CTCGCTCCTCCAACCTCACTCCGAATTCAGACTACAGTCTGAATCCTTCATCGGCTCGATCAGGGTCGTTTCCGGATTACATTCAACGTTCGTATCAACCCGGCGCTCAAGGGCAAGCTCCCGGTGGTATGGCGCAACAACAGAGTCCGTCAATGCCTATCCCAGATGGTCAAACAAATGGCCATCAATCACCACAACAACTCAAGTCTGACTCGGATGTTCCTATAGATCCATCAATCGCCGCGCAGACGAGCCCGACATATGCAAGCCATCAGCAGCAATACTCGCCTTACACACCTCACCACGACATGCAGCATTATCCAGGGCAACCCCAAACTCCAATGGGGTATCCTTCGCGACCCGAGTGGGCAGGCCATTACCCCCAGCCGGGTATGCACTATGGGCATCCCGCGACTTCAGGTCCGCCCGCGCCCGCAATGGTCTCTCCAGTGCAGCGACCACCTACTGTAAGTGAATCAGTCTTGCACCTCAAACATTGAACAGTGACGCGTTTAATGCGCATGTTACTAGGCTACTTGTTTGTCGCAACAATGGTTAGACTTCGAGAACTGACAAGTATGTTTAGGGCGGACACCCGCTATCTACAGTTTATTCATTCGTACCCATTCCTGGCGCACAACAACATAAGCGACCACGTCGGCGATATGAAGAAATTGAGCGCATGTACAAATGCGGATGGAATGGTTGCGAGAAAGCTTACGGCACTCTGAACCATCTGAATGCGCACGTTACGATGCAATCGCACGGCCAAAAGCGCACTCCCGAAGGTATGTGCTTTCCGTTCATGGATTAACAACTGCTGTTGTGGTTGTGGCCCTTGCAAAACTAGTGCGCTAGTTTAGCCTTTGGGATGGTGCTGGTGCAGCGCCATAATGGTCGTGTCCCCGCTGCACTGGGTAGCTTCTGATGACGGAAGCTAATACCTGTCGACCCATGCCCACTTATCTTGGCGTCTTAACACCAATAATATAGCATGCTAACTTGTTCTTACAGAATTCAAGGAAATTCGAAAGGAGTGGAAAGCGAAGAAGAAGGAGGAGGAGGCCGCGCGCAAAGCCGACGAAGAGCGACACCGGGCCGACGTGCAGCAGCGCGCTCACGAGGGAGGCGCTCCTGAGGCGCCTGTTTACGGACAGATGCGACAGGCAGTCGGCGTCCCTGGACAACCTCCCCAACACCCCCAACTCCCTCCCATCGGGTACCAACCTGCAGCCTCTGGCAACAGCACTGCTCCTCAGTACGGCACGCAGAGTCCAGGTCTTCCTGAGGGCATGGCTCAGTATGCCACCTCCAACAGCAATGCGTACAACAGTCCAAATAGTAACAACAGCAGTTACCCTCAATCGCCCTACGGACAAAACCCGCAAATGTATCAGCAGAGCCACTAGGAACGCCCTGCCAGTGCAGAAGCCGATCCCCTCGATTATCTGTTCGAAGATGATGAGGGATGAGGTATATCAAAAGCGCGCTCGCTTGTATCGTCGTCAGAGCAAGCGAGTCTTGACGAGTCTCCTTACGGGTGGTTCTTTGTGTCTGCGTCGCGAGCTAATGCGACGGTCATATCATCTTTCCTCTTGGGTGGTGCTTGCATTTTCACTTGGTGGCGGCTGTATGTTTCTAGTTGAGGGTGTCTACGATGGAGGTTGCTTGAGCGATCATGCTCAACATGGATAAGGCTCCATGATCGATACCGCGGATGAGTCAGCACAATGTTCCGAGGATACCACGAGAGACATCGTGAGGACAACTGTTTGGACATGTGTTATGCATGTCACGTCACCTGTATTCCTCACTGCGTCTTTTATCATCCTGAACCAGAGACAACTCAAATTTTCTTGGTTCAGACAATTTTCATTTGGGGTTAGAACGATTGCATGTGAAACGGCGTTCGAAACAAGAAACAATTATTCAATTCTCTGCAACGAGTTCGTCATTGGCTTTGATGCCTTTCTTGGCTACTGTGCTTGCTTCCAAATCATTCGCTGTCCGTCTGATCATTTGCATACAATGCCGACTATCACTGGGGCATACGTGCCCGCTTTTGTGTCCTTGTACAAGCAACGTGGAACAAACCATTGTAAAGTGGTCTGCGTATCACTATCTTACTGATCACCGGCTTTTGTCTAACTCTGCATCGTGTACTTCGCATGTTCTACAGTCGCATGATCAGATGGTTTTGCTTGAGACAAATCAGAGCGTGCGGCAAGATGACGCTGTGACCGAACTTTACCATTACCCGGCCAAGATATCGCCGTGTACACCTATAAACCGTCGTGCCTTGTATCCCAACGTCGCCGTACTTACCCGGCCTGCTTACCGGTCTCATTCAGTTGCTGGTTGATACGTGGTGCTCTCGTTTCACGAACAGAATATGCTCATCTCGGTAGCGTCTCTGATATGCATTATCCGTGCGCGTTCCGAGGCTCGCTATGGATAGCATAGGTTTACAAGGTATGCCTCGCTTCCCTACATTTACAGGCTCTAGCACAACATCCGTGTCCATGTCTTCGCAGCGATGATTACCTTCCCACTCCGTCACTCGCATGCCTGCCGCCACATACGCACAGTGCAAGTCAACATCCCGAGCATCCCCCCGTCTCGGATTTAACTTTGCATCAAGACATCAGACCACAAAAACCCCTAAGAAAAATTAAACAGCGGATTTCCCAAGTGCTACCTCGCTCGAGTACACGACTTACTCTGCAGTCCCCGACCTGTGCGTTGAATTGTCCAGAGCAGGAGTGTCATATAGAATATTCTGAACACGAATAACTAATCGTTTGCACATCGTCGTGTCGCAAGATCGTTTGGGACAAACTGTATTACGCTGGTGATGACGCATAGTACACATAATACCAGAAGGAGGGGGGAACCCACGTCCGGGGTTTACGGAAAGTACCGCTCGAGTTCGACTGACTTTTGAGGCACATTCTTCGTATCGAATGAGGAAGGAGCGGAGCGTGGATGGGAATGGCATATGAAATTGTGGCTGCATAATAGTTGTGTCGTCAAAATATATTAATCACATGCCGAAACGCCAATCAAAATTTGCAGACGAAGATCGGGGCATACGTAGATACTTGGTGGGTCCATGGAATTGGTATATGCATGTGGTTGTCTTGCGTGCAGCAAGGTGTGCCTGCAGGTAACTTTGTGTAACGAGAGGTGGCTGCTGTCCTGAATGATGATACGACGGCGAGGGTGCATATTGGCTGCTCAATATTATGGAGAATGAAACGGGACGGGCGTATGGCCTGGAACTCCGTGTCCAATTACGATCACACGAAGCAATTCCAAGACCATTCTTGCGTGATCATGCGAGCGCTGGCGCCCTGACAAAGCGTACATCGTGGAGAGAGATACGGCCGATGTACGGCTGACGGAACCATCCATGGCTCTCTTGTCCACAAAGGAAGGTAACTTACAGCCTGGAACATTGCGGCTTGTCGATTTTTCTTACAGCGGCGGGCTGGGGTCAAAGATTCTGATGGTGATCGCGTTGGGCAATGTCATCCGAATGTGCATGAGTGATGACGCCTCGTTCTGGGCCCTTCACCGGCAAAACGCCGCGCCAAAGGGAAAAAAAAATCTGCAGCAAAGTGCCAGGATGAGCAACTCAACAAAGAAGCTGAATATCGGCGACGTTCATGATCCTCGTAGCAGATTCCGCAAAATGTCTACATGTAATGCGAAGCCGACTTAGGAAACCTCACAATACGCTAGCATCTCGCAAGACTACATCTGCGAGATCACCGTCTAGCGGCACATGAGACCGTTGTCCGATAAACTACTTTGATGCTCCGAGCGCTGGCCCTTGATTTGTTTTCTCGGCGCGCCGTTGCAAAGGGCACTGGAGCAGCGGGTTTGGAAGCTAGCCAGGGGAGCAAAAGGCGCTGGCTGGCGTGACATACCCATCAGCCCATGATCTGACGGCGGAAACTAGCAGGATGATGTGCATGCGCTCGCTGTTATACTACTGCTGGTTTGAGGCGTGGTCGTGTCAAGGGCTGGGTTGCACGCGTTACACAACAGTAGCTGGGGCTGAAGGATTTGGACCCGATGCCACGAGGGGACGAGGGTCCTAGATGTGGGCGTGCGTCTGCTGGCGCTGTGCTACAGTCGGATCCTTGATCGCAATGCAAAGCAGCAAGATACGTGAAGACGGTAAAGTTGATGATTGAAAATGCACAAGACGAATGTGAAATTTAAAGGGTATGGGTAGTAACCACCGGGTCGGATATCTGCTCTTCATCACTTCCGAGCGTCCATGAAGACAACAACCACCTCTCACACAGCACAGCACAACAGCTTCCCCTCGTACAAGGCACAACAACAGCGGCGTAGAATTCCGTCCATAGGAATGTCAGCGTTGCCCCGCACGAAACTAGTCACGTAATCCTCCTTGCAATATAATGCTATACGTACGGATCTCGTAGCATCGAAACCGCCGACTACCAGACGCAATGTGTTATGTAGCGCTAACATGACACCTCACCATAATCCAGGCATTCTGCGGTAGTTTTAGTTTGCTTGCTTGTTGGTCGCGGGACTTAAGAGGGAAGGATCGAAGTAAGCCCTATGATAGTGGTGCGCCTGGCTGGCTCGGCCTCCCGCGTTATAGTGCTGGTTCGGCTCCGTAGGCTCGGAGGCGCGTAGTGTAGGTTCAGCCTTGTAAGCGGTAGGCATGGTTTTGCTGCTAGAGTGAGGCGTGGGCGCGGGAAGTCTGATCTAGGCTGGATTGCTTCTTCGCGTGGACGTTTGGAGGCGGCGCGACGCATAGCGGCATACTGGGCCTACTAATGCTGTCTAGGGTAACACGCGAATAGATGAGGCTCTTTTTTTCGGTTCGGACGATGCGGTGCTCGGGTCATCACGTGTGCCATGGTTCGGCCCGGTGACTGTGCGCTACGGAATGGGGAACTTTTCCCAACTAGAGCGTCTCACGCTCTTTGTACATAACGAACCGCTTCCTAGACCTGATGCTGAACTGTCGTGCGTGCCTTTGGCGATGCACACAAGCGCTCGATGTCCCGACGACCAATGCGCACCGCCTCCGTCGTCATGTAAATCCGCTTCTACAACAGAGCCAGCAACGACTGCTATCCACCCGCCATGTCGCTAGAGCAAAGGGTGAGAGGTTTGCAGACACGAGCGAGGCTAAGGGAATATCACAAAATGAAGAAGACCACTTCAAGAGGTCTGCGTTCGCAGCGAACCGGAAGAGAAGAGAAACCACGGCATTGCGGCAAACGCCTACACGACAACCGGTCGACGAGACACCCAATCTAGCGAGACTTGGCCGGCGAGACCCGTCCATGACAGATAGCGAATGGAATAGGAGGAAGAGAGAGTTGCGATATCTGCAGGATCCGCTGGAGCTGGCGACGTTTGTGAGGAATGAGTTGAAGAAGGACAAGGCAGAAGACATGCTACAGTTGGTGCGCATGGCGAGCCACTCTATGCAGTGCATTGTCAGCTGGAACCATATCATTGACCACTACTTGGCTAAGGAGAAAGTCAACGATGCGATCAAGATCTACAACGATGTACGCATGGTCTGCACCAAGTCATGAGGGGTAACGCTGACCTGCTACAGATGAAAAAGCGTGCGCAATTCCCCGACTCCTACACATACACAATACTCCTCAGAGGCCTCTCGTGGAACGCGCATACATCTGGCATTCTCAGCAAAGCCCTTTCTATCTACCACTCGCTCTCCGCACCGAACTCACGAGTCGAACCGTCGATCATGCACACAAACGCTGCGCTGAAAGTATGTGCAAGAGCGGGAGATATGGATGCTCTATGGGGTGTGGCTGGAAAGGTACCAGAGAACGGGCCGGCAGCAGCCAATGCCATCACATACATCACCATACTCAACGCTATACGGCAAAGCTTGTTGGTAGACGCGCCCAAAGGAGAGAGCGAGGATGAGACGGCTGCGAGGAGAGAGCGCGGAATCATGGAAGGGCGGCGCATGTGGGAAGATATTGTCGGGAGGTGGAGACGAGCAGATCTGGCCATCGACGAAGAGCTTGTCTGCGCAATGGGAAGATTGCTGTTGATTGGCAGTCGACCGCGAGACTGGGACGACGTGCTCTCGCTAGTAGAGCAGACAATGGACATACCACGACTCGTTCCTCGACTAGGCTCGGTGGAGCGACAAGACGCCGGCCTTCCACGTGTGCGAGCCCCCAACGTACCCGAACGATATCGTATCGACGACGACCATCTTTCTCCTGATAATACCCCCACGCGTGGCGATGAGTTCCTAGCTCTGACACCTCAGGGCGTAGGCAGTGCAGTATCAAATCCTCTCATCTACGTTCGACCGGGCAACAACACACTCTCTTTAGTCCAAGAAGCTTGCCAGAAAATCGTAGCGAACAAGGCAGCTCAGGAATACTGGGACCTCTTGACCGACCCTACAACGTACAAGATTATCCCCGACGTAAACAACCTCAATATGCGTTTACGCAACCTCCGCCAGAACCGCGCCTCGAGTGCTGCAGTCCAACTCCTGCAGCAGGATATGATGGATCGGGGCATCAGGCCTCCACCTGGTACGTTCCGGATCGCGATGAGTACCTGCGTCCGCGACAAGAACAACCACAACTCGCTCAAGAATGGAGGTCAAATTTTGAACATCATGTCCAAGACCTTGGAAGACGCAGATCCCAAGACTGTCACCATGTATGCCGGGCTTGCAGTCTCTTTCCCCTTAGCCAAAGGCTCGGATTTTGTCGATGCCCTCACTCTACTCAACCCCCTCGTGAAGAATATACGTCTACAACTAGGGGTTGGTGCAGGGCAAACCAAGTATGCGCAGCGTCGCGGACCTCAGTTCTTGAAGGGCGAGGCAAGACAAGATGCTATCGATGCTTTGAAGAAAGTCCATGGCGTATACGACAAGTTGCTATTCTCGAATCTCATTGCCGAAGAGCTCAAGAGCCCGTTCGAGAAAGAGAGAGCGAGACTCTCTGCATTTGTTCAGAGGGTTATGTTCAAGGGTGGACAAATGAATGCTGCGGATGAAGGGCCACTTGAAGAGGCAAATTTGCATGGATATCTGCGGAAAGAGGATGGCCAGGGAGACGGCGGAGTGGAACCGAACGAAGTCAGAGAAAGGATCCAAGGCGATGCCAGACCGTCATGGAGAAAGGAATGGAAAAGGCCATTGGAGAGATCATCGCGGCCAGCAAGGCCAATGAAGCCTTTTGAGCGAAGGAAGAAGTACACGTCTCCGACAGTTGACAAGTCTGGAGAATTGAGGGACATGTAGACACGACACGACACTTATGAGGCGTTACGACCTGAGGAGTGCATTTGTTACCTTTCTTGTATAACACCAGTGTAGCTTCTGAGGCAGAAACAGCATTCAAGACAGCGCACTATGCAAATTACTATCGAACCATTCTCTCACAACATAGAGTTGCTCCTATCTGGGATCCTAATCTTTCATATGGTATGGTAGAGCTGGCACGTGCACGTCCCAAAACTACTCAAACCTCCGCGCTTCGCCGCACACCCTCAGCCTCTCATCACCATCGCTCTCACGTCAATCCGCGCGCAACCACTCCCTTTTCCTGCAAAGTCCCACACAATGGGTAACGACGGTGGCTCGATTCCCAAACGTAGCGAACTCGTAAAAGAAGCCGCCAAAGCTCTCACAACCGCCCAAATCAAAGAGGCGCAAAACGAACAACAAGAATATGCCTGGTCTACTGATCCTCTGACGCGCAAACCTCTTGCCCGCCCCGTAGTTTCCGACGCTGCTGGTGTTCTGTACAACAAGGATTCCATCATCGAGTTCTTGTTGAAAGAAGATGATGATGCAGAGAAGACGGAGATGAAGAAGGTTGCGGGCGTGAAAGATTCAGAACTAGGCACTTTCGGGGATAGGGTCAAGGGTTTGAAAGACTTGGTAGAAGTCAAGTTTGAAATTGAGGAGAAAGATGGTGGTGAGGTACAGAAGAATTTAGGCGAGAAGTGGAAATGTCCCATTACTGGAGAAAGGCTGGGGTTCGGGAGCAAGGCTGTGTACATTGTTCCTTGTGGACATGCCTTTGCGGGAAGTGTCGTCAAAGAGGTTGCTGGGAGTGCGTGTTGGACGGTATGTATTGGCTGGATTTACATACTCGTGGCACGACGACTGACTTGCTACCAGTGCAACGAACCGTACGCTGAAAACGACATCATACCCATCCTACCCACCACACCAACCGAAATCGCACGATTGAATCTACGTATGAAAACATTGAAGGATAAGGGCCTTACACACGCGCTCAAGAAAGCGCCCGGCAGCAAGAAGAAGCGGAAACATGGCGATACATCCGCCACCGAGAACGGCGCCACGAAAACTTCACTATCAGACGAAGACAAAAAGGCAAAGAAAGAGAGTGCAGCAAAACCTACAACAGCGTCCAACGACGGGATCAAGAACTCTGCCACAGCGTCCTTGACGCGAAAGGTGCTTGAGGAACAAGAAGAGCGCAACAAGAGGAGGAAGATGGCGCAAAATGACAACGTGAATAGTTTGTTTAACAAGACGGAGCACAAGGCATCAGCGGGGAACAGCGCGGACTTTATGACGAGAGGATTCAGCATTGGGAAGAAATGAGTACGAGGTCTGGAGAATAGACTGTTGGAGTCAGGCTTTAGCATGACACACCATGGGCGTCTTGTACGTACGGAGCGACAGCATATCGATGATCTCGGCAGGCATAGATAGTGCTGATCGTGCACAGATAGAACAGAAATATGATACCCTGCGATGAGAGATCGCACCCCCGCTTGGATTTATGCGCAGTACCAAGTCAACAAAAGGATACATGGTGAACTATCATCGCAAACGTGTACACTTTGTTGATTCTGATATGCAACCAAGTTCATCACATTGACATCAGGATCGTTTTGCACCGCCTATATTAATGTCTCCCAGCTCTCTGCTGCATTATTATGCTCACCCACAATGGCTTCCATCAATCCCCTAAGCTAATCGCATTGCTACAATGTCTGCTGCATATCTCCACAGAACAGGCCATCGCCACATAAACCATGAGATCAATTAACAGGATATGAAGGAGTAGCGTTTGCCAAACAGTGCTTGCAGGGCGATGTGTGTCGTAACAGGATCCGCAACATATGAAGACGCTTCGTTTGAAATGGACGAATTCTTTTGGTTCGAAACGGCGAAGTGATTGTATGACTTTTGAAGCTATTTGTGCGTCCGCCATCACTCCTGTGACGATTCTGTTGTGCTCGCTGGCTTCAAAAAGAATGCCTCACGATAGTACCTCGCTTCTTCGATGCTCTCCAGAATGTCTGCACGTGCTTCATGCAACATCTTCTTTCTTGGAATCTTCTTAAGTGTATCTTTGGGCGCCCATCTACGAGCAGCCTCCTTGATGGTGCTGACGTCCATGATCCGGTAGTGGAGGTAGTCGGTGACAACCTTATAAGGCTGCTTGACAAGGAAGGACTTGTCGGCATGTACAGAGCTCCCGGAAAGCAGAGCAGTGCGACGCTCAGGTACAAATCTTTTGATGTAGGCAAGTAGGCCCTCTGCTGCCTCTTCGGCGGTGGTGGCGGAGTCGATGCAGGCTTGCGTCAAACCAGACTGCCCGTGATGGCTTGTACACCACTCGCCCATGCGATCGAGTTGCTCTTTGTCGTGATGAATGATGGCCTCATAGCCTGCTTCGTCGAGGATGTTGAGATTTGCATCAGTGACAAATGCGGCAAGAGACATGATGGTGTCATTATCAGTGTTCAGGCCGGTCATCTACCAGGGTCAACAAAATACTGCATAAGAGCACGAGCAAGCCTACCTCACAGTCTATCCAGACCAGAGGGGCTTTTGAGACTGATGCCATAATGATGTTGTGGTGTTGAAGACGCAGCACATCGTGGGCAAGTAATAGAATGTACCAATCGGGGTAGCGTCTTGGCGTGATTAATGGACTGTCGCGTCGCGTGCACGGTGCCGATTAGCGCGTCGCTCCTGCACTTCAACTTGTCGTCCCGCCAGCCCTCCAAACACGCCCACGACAGCAACATATACCCCAATTTCTTCACTTCGCTTTTTGCTCGCATACTTTATACGTTATAATACATCATGCCGCGTGTAGGGAAGAAGACCGGCGCTGCCCTACTAGCGGAATTGCGAGCGAACCGTGCGGCGGGCAAGACGCGTTTGTCCACATACGAAGTCGCCGAAGAAGAGCAATTGTACGATACGGTCGACGAGGAGGGTTACAAGAAAATTGTACGGGGAAGGCTAGATCAAGACGACTTCGTTGTCGGCGACGAGGGGGAGGGATATGTCGATGACGGCAGAGAGGAGTGGGATGAAGGGCAGGGTCAATACCATTATGCTGCCACAGACAGCGAGGGAGAGGACGAGCGGCCCGCCAAGGGCAAAGCTGGTATGAGATGATATATCCAAGGCCCATTTGCAGTAGAACTAACGCGTGATAGCCAAGCGGAAACGTGAAGAAGACGAGGAGAAGCGAAAAAAGATCGACAATGGCATTAGCAAGTACTTCAGTGCGAAGAATGCTGCAAAGGCACCAAAAGCCAAGGTATACTCTCCGAACACATGCCTTGTTCCAGAGCCAATGCTAACACATCCAGCCTGTTGTCACTGCCGCCGACAAGGACTTCATGGAGGATCTATTAGGCGAAATCGACACAAACTCCGCCCGCTCTTCCACGAACCGAGTGCGTCCCATCAAGACGGAAGCGCGAAGGAAAACACGCGTCCTATCACCTCCTATATCAGGAAACAGGCCGACAGCGACATCGAGACGGACCAACGATTCAGACGCACACCTGCCAGGCACACCACCAGCAACGAGTGCATACGTCGACGACGACGATCTTCCCGTACTCGACGACGACCACCCTATGAGCGACCTTCCACTGCAATCATCACCTGTTGCTAAAGCCGTAGAGCGAAGAGCCCATCCTGCGATCAAACAAGAAGAGGAGGAAGATGATGACCTCATGGAGGTGACTCAACCCACGACACATCTTGGTGTGCCAATAGCCAGTGTCAACATGGCCGGCAGACGACCAATAGCGAAAATTAAGAGAGAAGAGTACACCACACCCGCCAGCTCTTCACCGGTTGGACCTTCTACGGCACCTGTCGATACTTCTTCGTGGAACGATGTCACGAGTAAACTCAACGTTATGAGTAGCCCCGCTCCTGCAACTACTGGTATGGGCAAGATGCAACCACAGGATGCGCTCGAAGAGGACGGCAGCTTACGCATGTTCTGGATCGACTACACCGAAATTAACGGCAGCTTGTGCCTGTTCGGCAAAGTCAAGGACAAGAAGTCAGGCAACTATGTCAGTTGCTTTGTGAAGGTCGATAATATCCTCCGAAAGTTGTACTTCCTGCCCCGAGAGTACCGTCACGTCCGAGGAGTAACTACAGACGAGGAGGTTGGCCTGAGTGATGTATCAGATGAGGTTGATTCCATCATGAGCAAGCACCGCGTAAACCTACACAAAATCAAGCCATGTACTAGGAAGTACGCTTTCGAACTGCCCGACATACCCAAAGAAGCCGATTATCTCAAGCTCCTCTATGGGTATGACAAGATGCCACTAGCCTCTGATCTGAAGGGAGAAACGTTCTCGCACGTTTTTGGAACCAACACCTCCCTCTTCGAGCAATTTGTTCTCTGGAAGAACGTCATGGGACCATGCTGGCTCAAGATCGACGCTCCCGACTTCGCTGCTGTTGCCAACGCTTCTTGGTGTAAGCTTGAAGTTTTGGTGAGCAAACCCAACAACATCACAGTCACGAGCGCGTCTGATAATCTGGACGCGCCTCCTATGACACTCATGAGTCTCTCCCTACGAACCGCTTTCAACGCCAAGGATAACAAGCAGGAGATCCTGGTGGCCAGTGCTATGATCTACGAGAACTTCTCTCTGACCGATACCACACCCGTCGACCAAATGCAGTGCAAGAGCTTCACTATCATGAGGCCGAATGGCACTGCTTTCCCAACAGGCTTCGATAAAGAAGTCGAGAAGGTGAAAGGTAACATGTACATGAAGAAGACAGAGCAAGAACTTCTCAGTCTGCTGATGGCGATGTTCCAGCGGCACGATCCTGATGTTCTCGTCGGCCATCGCTTAGACGACGTCGATTACAGCGTTTTACTAAGCCGTCTCCGTGAGAAGAAAACACCAGGATGGCACCGCATTGGACGACTTAAGAGAAGCGATTGGCCTAAGAGCATGGGTAAGGGTGGTGGCAGCTTCTTTGCTGAGAAGCAGTTAGCCTCTGGCCGCTTGCTGTGTGATTTGGCTAACGACCTTGGAAAATCTCTTATGCCGAAGTGTCAGTCGTGGAGTCTTGAAGAGATGTGTCAGCTTGGGCTCAACAAGCGACGTGAAGAGCTTGACAACGAAGCTGCACTGAAGACTTGGGCAACGACGAAGGAGGGTCTTCTCAACTACATCAAGCACTGCCAAGCTGATGCATACTTTATCGCTGCCATTGCGATAAAAGTGCAGATGCTCCCGCTCACCAAGGTTCTCACCAACTTGGCGGGTAATTCATGGGCTCGAACGCTGAGTGGAACCCGCGCCGAGCGTAACGAGTACATTTTGCTGCACGAGTTCCACAAGAACAAGTATATTTGCCCCGACAAACAGTGGGGCAAAAGCAAGATCAAAGTTGAGGAAGAAGCAGCTGAAGGCGAAGAAGGTGCGGACGCGAAGAAGAAGGACAAGTTCAAAGGTGGTCTCGTCTTCGAACCCGAGAAAGGCCTCTACGACAAGTTCATCCTGGTCATGGACTTCAACTCTCTCTACCCCAGTATTATCCAAGAGTTTAACATTTGCTTCACGACAGTTGAGCGATCTGATCTCTCAGAGGACGACGACAAGGTGCCGGAAGTCCCCACAGACCAAGATCAGGGTATTCTGCCGCGCCTTATTGCTACGCTCGTCTCACGACGTCGCGAAGTGAAGAAACTTATGAAAGCCAAGGATGCCACACCGGATGAGCTGGCCACCTGGGATATCAAGCAAATGGCGCTGAAGCTTACTGCCAACTCTATGTACGGATGTTTGGGATACACCAAGTCTCGATTCTACGCTCGGCCACTCGCTATGCTTACGACATACAAGGGTCGTGAGATTCTCCGGAAGACCAAGGACATGGCCGAGGAGAAGGCGTTGCGCGTCATTTATGGTGATACCGATTCCGTTATGATCAACACGAATGTGGACAACATTCAAGATGCGCTCAAATTGGGTAACGAGTTCAAGAAGGAGGTCAATGACAGCTACAGGCTTTTGGAGATCGATATCGACAACGTCTTCCGCCGCATCTTACTACATGCCAAGAAGAAGTATGCCGCCATCAATATGGTCCCTGTTGATGGCAAATACATCGAGAAACTCGAGGTCAAGGGTCTCGATATGAGACGCAGAGAATACTGTGCTCTGTCGAAGGAGACATCGACGTAAGTTTTGCCGCCTCTGAACGTCTGGTACAGCTTACTAACGAAACCGTAGGGAATTGCTAAACTTCCTCCTTAGCGGTGAAGACCCTGAAGTAGTCGTCGAGAAGATCCACAGCCACCTCCGTGAGCTGAGCAAACAGATGCGCGAATACACCATACCAGCTCGGAAGTACACTATCTATACACAACTCGGAAAGAATCCCAAGGAGTATCCCAATGGTAACTCGATGCCCTCTGTCCAGGTCGCACTCCGCCTTCAGGCCAAGGGCAAGCACGTCAAGGCCAAGGATGTCATGAGCTTTATAATCACCGGTGAATCGTCTGGCTCAGCCGAAAACGCAGCGAAGAACGCTTACCCGGTTGACGAAGTCTTGAAAGCCGACAGTGGGCTGAAACCAGATATCGATTACTACCTCCACAAGCAGATTCTACCACCAGTAGAACGTCTCTGCGCCCCTATTAGCGGAACCAACATTACTCTCCTTGCTGCGTGCCTCGGTCTCGATACCTCCAAGTATCGCATGAGCACCGTTTCCGGAGGTGCACAACAAGACACCGAGATCCATCCTCTTGAGTCGCAAATTCCAGATTCCGTGCGTTTCCAATCCTGCTCGCCACTCTGGCTGCGTTGCCGGGAATGTACAACAGTATTCCCATTCCAGGGTCTCTCTTCGACATCACCAACAACGGCATCGTTGCAGACCATCTCGCATAGTGGAATACAATGCCCTGTTGAAGGCTGTGGCAAGATACTACAAAATATCAGCGTGGTAGCTCAACTCGAATCTTCCATCCGTCAAGTCCTCGCTTCATATTATGCCGGTCACGTTCTTTGCGACGACCCCCAATGTTCAAACCGGACGCGTAGTATATCCGTCTACGGACACCGTTGTCTTGGCCCGAAGGGTCTTGCTCGTGACTGCTTAGGCAAGATGAGCTACGAGATCAAAGAACGTGATGTTTGGAACCAGCTGTTGTACTACCAATCGCTGTTTGATGTTGATCGCGTAGGTAAGATGGAGGGTGGTATAAAGGCGGAAGACATGGAGAGGAAGGAGAAGATGAAGGTGCTGGCAGAGGTCAACAGAGAGCGGTTCGGTACACTCAAGGGTGTGGTGGAGCGATGGCTGGAGAGGAATGGAAGGCAATGGGTACAGATGGACAGTTTGTTCTCTTTTGCGCTCAAGGCTTAGATATACAGTGGTGCGCCATAAGCGATGTACGACCACCCAGGTGGGTGGCGGTTTCGCTTGCTGCCAGACCACGACGATGTTTGCTACATAGTGTTTACTTTCTTGAATCGACCTTTTGATTATAGCATGATGGAAGTTGCTATATTGCTTGGGTATATGTATTACTAGTATTAGAAATTACATCGCTCTCAAAAATGAGCAGGTACCGCCTGATATATCGCACAGGATCATACAGTCGCAATTCCCTCAGGAACTTTGTCGTTGTGCGCGCCCCTTTGCCCAGCGCCCTTCACGGCCTTGCGACAAGCTTCGTGGAAGACGGTGATAAAGCGATGGATGTCGTGAAAAGAATTGTACAGTGGCGCAGGCGCAACGCGCAAAACGTCAGGCTTGCGTTCATCGACTACGACGCCACGTTCTTCAATGTAGTGTTGGACTTGGTCCAGCAATCCGGGTTTCAGAAGCACACTAAGCTGTGCACCACGCTCGGCCGGATTCGCAGGTGTTATGATCTTATACGGTGGCTCTCCACCATCGTACTTTAGTAGCCGCGCTTCGAGGTATGCAGTCAACCTGAGACTCCGCTGTCGTAGCGCGTCCATGTCCGTCAAAGCAAAGACATCTAAGCTGGCCATGACAGAAGTCATGTCTAATGCACTAGGGTTGCTAAGCTGAAATCCGCTCGCTCCAGCGATTGGCACGAATTTGTTTTCCATGCGAAACCGACTGTTCTTATCACTTCCCCACCAGCCGCTCAGTCGCGGTCGGTAGGCAAGATCTGTCTCATTACTGGCTGCGCCGTTGGTGCCATCTTGTCGAGCTGCACGCACTTGCTCCACTTTTCCATGTCTCTCGTGTACAAACAGTCCTCCGATCACGCCTGGGCCACCATTCATGTATTTGTAGTTGCACCATGCTGCAAAGTCAACATTCCAGTCATGCAACTCTAGTGGTACGTTTCCAGCTGCATGGGCAAGGTCCCACCCTATAGTTATACCCAGCGATCGGCAGTGGCGCGTTATGAGCTCTATATCGAAGAACTGGCCTGAGTAGAACTGAATACCAGGTAACAAGACTAGTGCGGTCGTCGGCGCGTGTTGCGATATGACTGAGAGTACGTGTTCATTGGAAAGGTAAGGCGAGGATGCAGAGGGCGGATCGATGGTTATGAGCGCAGATGGGTCGAGGTTGTGGTGAGCGATCTGGGAGAGAGCGGCGTACTGCAAAGAAGTCAATTAAGAAGCACTGAGAGCATGTTTGCGTGAGCTTACATGATCACTAGGAAATGCCTTCCCCTCAATAATAATCTTGTACCGATCCTTGGTCGGTCGATAGAAACTCGCCATCAACAAATGCAGGTTTGCAGTCAACGTCTCCATTATGACGACTTCTGTAGGTAGTGCGCCGACTATTTTCGCTGTCTGGCCTTTGATCGCATCATCGATGTGTAACCATGGTGGTAACCCTCCCTCGTAATCTGTAAAATGCCCAAACACACCCTTGGATGCCCAGGTATCCAGGTAACGGTTGACATATTCCTTTGTTTTCCGAGGCTGAAGTCCTAGGGAGTTGCCGCAGAAGTAGATGGACTCTTCGCTATCGTCATCGCGCGTAGTTGTGGCCTGCTGAAATCCAAATTTCTTGTTCTTCAAGTCGCCTTTACTTGGAATCACAAATTCACTTCTTAACTTGCTCAGTTCATCCTTCTTATCTTCGTTCCTCGCGAATTCTTCGGTACATAGTTCCGTCTCAGGAAGTCCGAGATATGCGTTGTGGTGTTTCGGCATCGTCGCTGATGATAAATGAAAGACTACTAGAAGTTGAACAAAACAAAACTCATGCAGAGATAATATGGCGCTATCATTCAGGTTTTAGGCACGATAGGTAAATAGCTCAGGCGGGTAAGACTGGAACAGTCTGGTGGCTCGTACGATTAATGGTGGCGGCGGTACAAGGTGGGGGTTGTGTGCCTGACTAAGCGATCTAGAACTCCTAATTGGCAAGCGCGTCTGATTGGATCTTGTCAGCCGTGACATTCTTAGCTATGACCTCAGACTTGCGAACCTTCATCTCGACGCCAATCACCATAACCTCGATATCGCAATAATGGCATCCTCTGCAACCATGTGCGCATCTTGCCTGCGGATAGCGAGGAGGACGGCGACAAAAAGATCTTTCCAACCTATAACAGCCGCAACTCAATACACGCGAGCGTACAGCAGAGTGACCCCAGGCGCCACCTCGCAGTCGCTATACCTTGACTTTCTTGCGCCCTTGTCTCCACGAAGAGTTTCAAGAAATATTCTAGCACAGAACTTGGCATTCTCACAACGAAAACACATACCACAACGTATGCTTGCCACATCATCCGACGCCTCTACTGCAAAGCCTGCCCAACCAATCCGAAACCCCCGTACCGATGACTCCGGCAACCCTATGTTGATCTCGATAGCACCGCGTGCATCAAATCGGCTTCAGAAGATCTCTACAGGCGACAATAACCCGAACCTCGCATTGCGCGTAAGCATCGAGAGCGGCGGATGCCACGGTTTCCAGTATCTCATGGACCTGACGGACTTGTCAAAGAACCCAGCGACCGAGGAAGACACTATATTTGAGGGAGAGAAAGGGGAGAAGATAGTCGTTGATGAGGCGAGCTTGGAGTTGCTGAATGGAAGTACGGTAGATTATACGATGGAGTTGATAGGGAGCCAGTTTAAGATTACGGGCATACCGGGTGCGACGAGTAGTTGTGGGTGCGGGACGAGTTTTGATATCAAGCTATAAACCATGCACTGCATGTAATATTTGCACAAGTCGATGCCTTTGTTGGCAATGGATGTGTACCACTGTCAATTTTATAAGATTTGTAAAATGCGAACAGATCCTAATTATAATAACAGATTCAGGAAGAATACAGAGATTATGAGTCCTTCTACAAAGGAAAGTAGCAGGCCACAGGTATGCCAACTCTTACCATCACTTAAGGCTTACAACGACCTTTCTTGCCGAGACGCCCTTCTTTTGTATATCCAACGCTTTTTGAATAACTTCTAGCCCTTCTCCAACGACCATAGGCTCCGGCGCGGCTTTGAATTTGCCAGTCGCGAGGGCTTCAGGCAGGAAGTCGGCATACACGGCTTCACCGACAGGGCTGTATGCTACTGACCCGTATATGAAACTCGTTCTGATATTTCTCAGCTTTGATTTGACCGCAATAGAAATCATCGAGGTGGCAAAGCTCCAGACAATCTGCAGCGCAACTAACCGTTTCGGTTGAGCTGGAATCGGATACGTCGCCATTGCGATATGTTTGTCGCCTTTGCAGTTGCCCAGTACATCCAGACAGCGGAAGACTGCATTCTCCCCGATGGATAGGGCTCCTGCGCATTCTCTCCCTTCCATGAACTTAACGATCTTGTCGACTGCAGAAGGGTCGTTGTAGTCGAACACCTCGCTGGCGCCGAGCGACCTCATGAGGTCAAAGTTCTTTGGTGAGGATGTCGATATGACTTCATACCCAGCGGCTACAGCCATTTGGATAGCATTGCAGCCCACACTAGTCGAGCCTCCCCATACAAGAACAGTCGTTCCGGTCGGGTTAGGGTTAAGTTGAGGATACTGCAGACCGAGTTGATCCTTCTCGAACAGTCCTGCAGCAGCAGTAGTGAACCCCAACGGTATCACTGAAGCAGATTCGAATGACAAGGTATCCGGAATGGGCGACGTGTTTCTTTCGAGGAGAACGGTATACAGCTGGAATGCCCCATACGCTGCATTGTTTATCTTTTTGTCGGTGCTGTGCGCCTGGCCCACAACACGGTCTCCTACTTTGAACCGTACGACCTTGTTCCCAGTCTGGATCACTTCGCCAGCGACATCGTATCCGAAGACGAAAGGATATTTGATCCAACCGAATGCCATGCTGGTACCTTGATCTTGCAAAACCCAATCGATGGGGTTGACCGCTACGGCGCGGTTCTTGACGACGACTTCATCGGGACCAGGTGTGGGGAATGGAGCTTCTGCGACTTGCATCCGTTGTTTGGATGCAGGCATCCATGCTGCGAGATTAGTAGGCATTGTGTAGGATATGGTACTTGAAGGGGTAAATATGCGCCCTTGTGATATCGAATGACGAGAGAATGCAATCTGTAGTTTCTTTGCAGCATTTCTAACTTCCACGTTCACTATTACTTTATACATTTGTCGAACATTGGTATTCACGCCTGCCTACTATGTGCTCTTCGAGGAAGCGGAGCAATGCACCAATCAGCACCAAGCGGACGTCCGTTTTAGACCCACTTTTCAGCCATAGACGATCGCAGGCTTACCTCGAGCACTCTGACGCTTACATGCCCCCAACGGGGGGAATGAGCGATATAGTGTACGTTCTCCTATGTCAGTATGGCCCGTGCATATGACTTGTGGCTGATGTGCCTTGTCGAGGGGGCGTGGTTACAATTCCACCTGAACGTGAAGACTCACTTCCAGCCCTTAGGCCCTGACCGTACGAGACGCACCTCGCGGATATGACGAATTTACCCGTTTCCTCAGCACGGCTGCTGGAGAGGATGAAAGGCCGAGAGAAGGCTCAACTATCTTGCGACTTTTGCCGGAAACGAAAGTGAGGAAACCGTTCATCTTTTTGTACTGGACCACTATTACTGACACATGTTCAGGCTCCGCTGTGATCGGGGCAAGCCTTGTGGGAGTTGCATCCGATTCGGACAAGCAATGTCATGCACGTTTCCTCTGTCTCAACCTCCTCGAACCTCGCAAAGAGACCGACCAATGGATACCACCACCCGAAGGGTTTTCCAGGAACGAATCGACCAGCTGGAATCACTTGTCCGGTCTTTGCTTGGTAAACAGGAAGAAAAGCTTGTTGCTCCATTACCTGGAAGCGTGGCGTTCTCTATGGCCACTAATATCGCCGCTGATGCAGATCCTCTCACATACGAGGTTGGACGTATGAATCTGGAGAACCATGAGTTCTCGTACGTAGAGAGTGATCACTGGAAAGCCATACTCGACGAGATAGGCGATCTGAAAGAAATGGTGCAGCAACAGCCCGAAGATTCTCTCAAATGCGACCTAGTACTTCCTGGCAACGATCTGTTTCTTCTTCAGACGTATCCAGACACGAAGATGGATGTCATAGCTGCGATTCCGCCTCGTATTGTTGTTGACAGCATGATATCGAAGTACTTCAAATGGGCCGATATGCCCGTTTCGCTTGTTATCCATCGCAAAGTCTTTTTCAAACAATATGAGGCTTTTTGGGAGGATCCACTTTCGACACCAACCATATGGCTGACCATACTATACGGCATGATGTACACGGTGGCGTATTGTACGCTCTTCATCAATGGTGGTTCAGGCTCACTTGACGAGACGACGGCAGCTGAGTACCATAGCCTAGTCATGATCTCACGAGAGAAGATGATACAGTGCCTTAGGCTAGGCAACTATTTGAAGGGAGCGCCACATACCATCGAAGCTCTGTTGGCATTCCTCCAGACTGAGTACGTTCAAGGCGAAGACACACAACAAGGATGCTGGCAGTTGACAGGCGTTATTATTCGTGTAGCGCTAAAGATGGGCTATCATCGGGATGGCTCGCAATTCCGGGAAATGAGTGTTTACGAGGCAGAAATGCGTCGACGTACTTGGTACATACTCGCACAGTTTGATACAGCGTCTGCTTCTCAAGTCGGTCTTCCACGCATCATCAAAGAGACTCAATGCGATACCGCTGAACCCCGCAACCTCCTTGACGACGACTTCGACGATACATCTACCGTACTGCCGCCCGCTAGACCGCAGAACGAACACACTCTGGCCCAATTCCTGGTTTACAAAAGCAGGGTCATTTCCGTCTACGGCATGATCTGCGATTTCACTACGTCATCCAAGCAGCGAGATTATGCGGAAGCAATACGATTGGATGCACTGCTCAACACCGCATACACCCAAAAGCCTCCTATCCTCGAACTGAAATTCATGCAACGATCCGTCTTGGACGGTGCTGAGCTCATCACCCGCCGTCTTTATATGGCAATGTCATATCACCACGCGCAGATCACTCTTCACCGCAAGTTCATGATTCTTGCAAAGGTGAATAGCAAGTACACGCTTTCGTGTACGACATGCTTGAATGCGGCATTGACGATTCTGCGGTTACAAGCTGAGTTGTTCGAGCAGTGTCAGCCGGGGCGTATGCTACATGCTGATCGATGGAAGATCCTTTCTTTGACCCAGTCCGAGTTCTTGCTTGCGACGACTGTTTTATGTTTCAATTTGTACGACGATGTTAAGAAAAGGTTGTTCGGCGGGGACGTCGCTAGGAAAAGTGTAGAGGCGCTTGAGGGTTCGAGGAGGGTATGGGAGCAACAGGGTTTCTCAAAAGAAGCGCAGACAGCTGTGAAAGCTATAGATGTTGTTCTTGGTAAATTGCATAGTAGTTTGGAGAAAAATAACGCAGGAAAGCCACAGCTATCTGGAGCGCATGCCAGCTCCGCCTCGTCGTTCTCGGCAGACATGGGTTCTGGAGACGGCCAGAGCGTCGATTTGCTGTCGTACAAAGACTGTTCAGATACGGAAGTTTCCTATAAGATGCCCCAGGATTCTGATAGCATGGCCTTTGGCGACTTTTTCGAGATGGATCAGGAGTGGGAGGGGTGGCTCCAACTTTGAGGACGAGTTTGTCCGGATTGCGAATTTAGTCGTAATCGATTTTACATCTTTGGTAATACAGTGAAGTCTCCGTAGCCTCTCTAAGAGCATACTCGAGCTACCTATCGTATCTATCTCATGAATTCGTCACTTCATCCATCGTCGTTATCATCTGTTCCCACAATGCCACACCACGTTAAACAGTTTTCGATGCTACACATACGTGCTGCAACTGATACAACGATTTGATACCCGGCCAATATCATGGGCTTCCACTTTGGCCGAACCAAGAAGCGAAGTAGGCTTCCTACACTGTATCCGGTTGATCACCTTCTTTACCTTTCGTCTCTCCGTCGACACCAAGATTCTCCATAGTGCCCTTGTGCACCTCTTCGGGTTTCAGCGCAGGTGGTTGTTCCACGACTTCGTCGAAGATACCACCTTCAGGCTCTGTGCCCTGACCGATGGCCTTGAGTATCCTCCATGCTCTTCTAAACTCATCTCTAATAGCAACGATGCCACGGTGAGTGACCGTCCTTGCAACATTGTGGTCGGTCTCGAAAGGATCTTCAATGGCGAACAGGTACCGATTGGTGACCTTCTTCTCGGCTGTAATCTTGGTTGTTGCGCTCACCCAGCCCTTGCTCTGCTTCGACAAGATACCGCCGGGCGTCCGAAGAGAAAGAACTTCGTTTGTCCAGTAGAACTGGGGAGGCTTGGGGCCATAGCCGTACCCTGACAGGGATGCATAGTACTGGAAGAATCCACGTAGCAGCGAACCGATGGACTGAGTGTTTTGCGAAAGCTGGCCAGCTTGCGCAGCTTGAATGATCTCCGGTTCATTGCGCCAAAAGCGGACCTCATAGCCTGCGATAGTTGTATGCTTGAAGAACTGCTCCAGAGCTACTGCATCACTTGGGAGCGGGACGGAGTGTTGAAGATTTGGACATACGGGTGGTTGCGCGACATTGACCAGATAATGCAGTACCATAAGCACCCATCCGTACGAGGAGAGGGTGCCGGAGTATGCGCTGTTGATTTTACGTCGCTTGGCCCAGGACTTGATAAAGAGAACTATGGGTCGAACACGCGGGTCGGTTAGCGAGTAGCATCGAAGCATATGGGTGTTGTGGATGCCGAGCGGGTTCTCGAAGTTGATGTCACATTGGATTCCACAACCTGTCTTTGGGAAGTCGAGAGGACCAACAACCTTCTCTCGCATCCACTGCTTCTCAGGACGATGATGCTGATCTTTTTTAGCCTTATCATCAGCCCCGTTGCTGATAGTGTCTTCTGACTTGGTAGCTGGCGCAGAAGAGTTTTCTTGGGTCGTCTCAACTTTTGCAGGGGTTTTTTGTCGTTTCTTGGTCGTCGTCGCAGCCCCCAGGGTAGGAAAATCGTCACCGAAGTTAGGGCTGTCTGCTTGCGCCGTGAGCTCTGAAGCCTTCGACCCATCGACATCCACCAGCGGCTTTGGTGGCTGAGCGGGTTCTTGTGGTAGGTCCGATGGGTATTTCTCCTCTTCTGGGAGTGCGTCCCACTTCTGACGCTCCTCAGCGAGAGCTCTATATAGAGTCTCGGTCGGCGTCTGACATATCTTCAGAATGGGCACTCTTGTTCTTGTCAGCAGACGGCCACCCAGCTTGGCGTCGAGGACTGCTCTTTCCAGTAGACGTGGAATACCGCGGTCAATGGTAATATCACTAGCCCTGGCTGGATCTTTCCACTCTGGTACTACAGCTAAATCCATGTCTGAGCCGGGCATACCAAAGCCTGAAGCCAAACTTCCAAAGCCCACCAAGGAGACGGTCGCAATATCACCAGAGTAGTCTCGAGCAAAGGCTTTCTGCATGATCGTTTCCAAGTGCCTTCGGAAATCTTCCTTGGCCTCCAACTCGGATATAGACATCTCTACCTTCGGAATCTCTTCTGCCGCGACCTCGTTCAAATGTTCGATCTGGGCCACGAAGTTCTCCCGTGGCTGGTTCATAGGTGGTCGTGGTGCATATGGACCTTGCGGACGAGGACGCTGTGATGATGCTGGGCCTGCTGGGATTTGGCCTGGCAGCGCGACATTGTCATGAGCTCGTTGGAGAATCTTAGGGGGTTGTGCATGTGGCGTGCCATCTGCACTTGGATTCTGCTGTTGGTGGAGAGGCCTGAAGGGCCGCGAAGGATACTGTCGATGATCTGCTGGTAAGCCGTTTTGAGGCAAATTTGGCCCTTGCTGGTTTGAGAAGTTTCTAGGATGTTGTTGATATCGCTGATTGGGGACATAGCCTCTTCCACCCCCTCGAGCTGGAGGAGTATTCGCGGAAGCGTTTGTGCGCCATCCTTGGGATCGACCTGGAGTGGCGTGGTTCTGGCCGTTGCTATCGAGGCTGTTGACGGCATCGTGGAAACCTCCACGTCCGCGGCCACGTCCTCGCCCTTGGCCTCGCCCACGTCCACGATGTGCTGATGTGACATCTTGGCTAGACTGTCCACCAGCTATGCTGACGTTGCCGAGGATCATGTTGCGCAACTGATTCTCCAGTCCAGTGGGTTGCGATGGATTCTCCTGCTCCATGATGTGGGTTAATCTGAACTCCTTGGCGATGTAAGCAAGTTGTGACTTGCGTCTTTGGTTTTGTAGGATCCAGCAGCGGAAGACGAGCAGTATGGAATATTTCTTCTTAAGACCAAACTCGCAATCACAGGGAGTGGCTTTGCAGCCTCAGGTTGGGGATTCTGTCTTTGAGTTTGTTTGGTGTGGCGCGCTTTCGTTTTCGCGATTACTCGATTGAACAGCCCCAACGTATGGATCTCTTAGCGCACCTGCGATAACAGTTCACGCCAGGCAACCATTCGTAAATATCTCGTCTAGCCAAAGTAATTAGGCCTTTGGTAGCACTGGGTTGAGAGCGCAATGTAGTTTTTGCGCAACGGCACACGTGGCTGAAGGTATCCGGCTACTGTGGTGGCTCACTCCTGGCGCAAGAAGCGGGCACGAGCTGTTTTTCCAGTCGTCGATGGTGACGATTGCGGTTAAGTCATGGTGTCACTCTTTGGAAGGCGGAGACGGGGCTTCACTGGAGGTGGTCTTGGCGCGCTAAGGCACTAGCGCAGAGCTGTGACGTTCCAACTGTAGTTCTACCTTGGACAACGATTCCTTGGGACAAAGGCGACTGAGTCTCCGAACAGTCTTTATCGGCCACCCATCGTCTCTCATTCTTGCGCCCATCCTCACAAGCACCTTCGCTATGAACGGCAATATGAACGGGGACCCGACGCCAGCGAACGCGCCCGCCGCGCCCGTCGCCGCCAATGGCCAGCAGCCGCCTGTTCGTCGTCGTCGCCCGCGTCCACAGGCCGATGTCCTGCGCAAGCCTCGTCGGCCGCTACAGAATATTACTCGTCCCATGGTGTCGTTATCGCAGATGAACGAGGCTAAGAAGCCCGTCGCAGGGCCCGCCAACGATGGGACCCAGTCGAAAGACGCGTTGCGACAGGAGTTTCTTGAGAAAGGCGCCAGCGTCTTCCCGCTTATCGTCAGCCGCAAGGATCTGAAAGAGCTGCGACACCATGTCATGCGCCTGCATAGCAAAACTCACGTTGACATCACCGACGAGCATCAGTTCAAGACTCCGATCAAGCTCCATCGCCGAGACCCCCGCGCGCCCCCAAGCGGTATGGGTTCGACCTACGAGGAGGAAGACACAAAGGAGGATATGGAGGAGATGAAGGAGCGCGAGCGCATCGAACTGCAAAAGGAAGAGCGCCGCAAGGTCCGCGAAGAGAACCAGGCTAAGATCGCGCCTACTGGAATGAAGAAGCCCCCTGCCTTCCACAAGAAGACAGAGCAGAAGTACCGCCCCGATGACACTCCAGAGGCAAAGAAGCGCCAGCTGCTGCGCTACGAGGAGACGCTGCCGTGGCATTTGGAGGACTTTGAGAACAAACAGACATGGGTCGGCACCTACGAATCGGAGATGTCGGAGACGCACGTTATGCTGTCGACTACTCGTCCCGGCGATCCAAGCACAGCAATTCAAATGGCACCCATGGAACGCTGGTATCGTTTCAACGTCAAGGGCAAGGTCAAGGCAGGTGGCGATGACCTGGACAAGATCCTGGCCAAGGTCGAGAGAGGCGGCGGACCCAAGTTTTTTGCCGAACTTGAAGAGCGCCAGAAGCAGCGCGTCAATGCAGAAAACAATGCGAGGATGTGGAGTGGAGTGCGTACCCGCGTGGGCGGTGGCGCGGACGATGAAGGCCGGATCAAACGAGAACGGAACGATGACGATACAATTGGCTTCGTCAAGCGCGAAGCTGATGCAGACGATATCGACTTCAACCTTGAGGAGGACTTCGCCGACGACGAAGAGGGTCTGAATGGTCTCTTCGAAGGTGAAGAGCAAGATGTCAAAGAAGCAGCTGAAAAGCTGAAGCGAGACCAACTGCAAGCCGCTCTATGGGATCGCCCAGATGAGCTGGCCATTGCCATAAAGGAAGAACAAGAGCGGAAAGAGGCCGAGGAGAAGAGGATCCAAGAAAAGGCGACCAGGAAAGCTCTAGTGAAGCGCGAGAAGCAATACGATTACCTCGATAGCGACCCAGAGAACCCGTACATCACAGAAAGCGAATCGGATACCGACTCCGAAACAGAGCGACAGCAGGCTAAGGAGGAGGCAGAGAAGAAGGCAGCCGAGCAGAATGGCAAGGCTCCAGAGGCTGGCAACATCCCCTCTGGTACGTCCACCAAGGGCTCCAACACCCCCTCCGGAAACCACAAGTCTGGTGATAGCAAGAGCAAGAAGCGGCCGGGTTCGCCCAACCTATCAGAAGCTAGCGGCAACGAGTCCTCACGGAAGAAGCATAAGAAGAAGCATGACAAGCTAGCTGATGGATCCCGGAAATCAACCCTTGCCAATCTCAAGGGCGCTGGTTCTGGTAGCGATAGCGAGATGACGGACGCCGGCAAGAAGCGAAAGAAGGACAAGAAGGACAAGAACCGCATCATGATTGGTGGATCTTCCACCGGCACTCCTGGTGTTAGTCGTGCAGGTAGTCCAGCAGCCAACGGTAGCCGTGCGGGTAGTCCCTCTGCAGCTCCATCACGACCTCCCTTGCCGTCTGCCAAGGAGATCTACGAATCATTGCCGCCCCAAGGCATGAACATTCAGAACCTCATCGTCAAGTTTAAGGGCCGTGTTGACAAGACGAACACGCAGCTTTTCATCAAGCTTGTCAAGGCGGTCTCTAGCTTCGACAAGGCCAAGAGCTGGCTTACTCCTCTGGAAAAGATGCCATCTGATGAGCATATCAGCGCATTCATGAATGGAGGGAATGCACCAAAGCCTGCGTAGTTCGAGGACACGTATGGCCTGAGGGGAAGTGAGTTTGATATCCAGCATGTACTTTGATAAATTGCATTGGCGTAGAGAGAGTGTGGGGTGAAGGGCTGCAAATTGGCACGGGCTTTACTTTGCGTTACCTATCGAGGATAATACATGACATGCAAAGTACCGGTATGAAGGGAACCTGCGCACTGTGTGGTGGTTACTCAGTGCAAAATACACTATTACTTTCAATCTAGCTGAACTCTACCAACAAGCATCATACTTTCGTCTCTCTAACCTCACCCTCTTTTCTACTCTCTTTGCCATCGTTTTCATCCCTTAACGGACTCTCGTGCCCCTCTTCCGCAGCGACCTCCTGCAGCACCTTCTCATTAGCATCAACCCCAACCTCTTCGTCTCTTGGTACGATTCGTCCATGCATCTCTTTATCCGCCGTCTTCCCATCCGCAGAATCCTTGTCTTTCTTGATCATGCTCCAGCCACCCCTCCACCCAACCCATTTCTCCTCCCACGGGCCCCTAGCAATGATAACCAGTATCGCTGCGGAGATGAACCCCACACTAGCACTGCCACTTCCAATCCACCCCGCAGCAGCATAAATATGGTTCCCAGCTGCGGTACCAATAAGTTGACCGCAGAATGTCGCGACCATGAAAGCGGTATTTACGCCATTCCGCCTTTTAGGTTCCACAGAGTAGATGCTAGAGCGATTTGCAATCTGCGCGGTTTGGTTGCCGAAATCCATTAATAGGGCTTGTAGAACGGGGCCAGCGACGGTAAAAGTTCCAGTGTATGTGCCTAGACAAACTCCCAGGAGCGAGCATGTAAGACCGAAGAGGACGGAGAAGTGCGGGACAAAGCGGTCGGTGACTGTACGGGCGTAGATGGGTGAGATCAGCATGCCTGCAATGCCTATCAGACCAAAGAGTCCGATTGTGAGGGAAGAGTAATTGTACGGATCGTCGGCGAGGAGGAACGTCAGAGTTGTCCAGAAGGATGTAAAGGGAGCTGAACAGAAGAGTCCCGCTAGACATGCTTGAACGAGGACAGGGTGGCGGAAGAGCATTTTAACAATATCGAGTAGGATTCGGAAGTAATTCATGCCTGGATTGGTTGCAGGATAGTCGGGCATGAAGAGCCAGAGAAGCACAAAGATGACGTATTGCAGGGCAAAAGCCATCCAATATACTGCGCGCCAGGTAACAAAGTTTGAAATCGTTCCGGAGAGGACGCGGGCGACGAGCACACCAAGCATGAGGCCGGAGACGACGATGGAGAGGGCTGCTGCGCGGCGTGACGGAGGAGCTAGGTCACCAACTAGAGGCAGCATAAGCTGCGGCGTTACTGTTGTTACCGCTACGATGAAGGATATTGCAGTGAAGGTTCCGAGGTCTGATGTCAGACATAGTCCTAGCCTGTCATCGTGAGCAATCTGCTTTCAGCATGTCTCGTATTTTGGATTCAACATACCACAAGGTCGCAGTGAAGCCTACTAGCCCACACACGAATGGCCGTCTGGGCAACAAGTCTCCCAACGGGCACAAGAATAATAGTCCAGCTGCATATCCAGCCTGCATTACGGTAGGAATCTGCGCAACCTGCTCATAGCGCACATTAAAATCCGCGGCCAATAGATTGAGGATGGGATGGTTATAATAGAGATTTGCTACTGTAAAGCCAGCAGCGAAGGCAAACAGAACATTCACTGAAGGGTGGTGGTCAGTGGCTAAAGTACAGAGGTGTGTCGAGAGCAACTTCATGGCAGCTAGACGTAGAGTGCAGGGTCTTCTCAAGTCGAAAGAATACGCAGGTGGCAGTGAATATACGTACTGCTCATCGAGAATTGAGGCGGCTTATTTGGATCCCAACGACAATTCGGTGGGGTCCATGTCAAGACCGTGTAAGCTCTTCTCCATAATGATTGCTTCCCTTGCCCTTTATTCCTGGCGCTCTCGTCTCGTTCGATTACATCTCTTGATAAACGTTCTCTTGGTGTTGAAGCCGCTGACTGTGCTGATCCTTCCCCATTGGCTGGTACCGTCCCTCGGCCCCCACCATCCTTGATGTCGAGTGTTGACATAATCTGCCTATGTCACATACATTGTACTATGACAAAACCTATCCAATAAAGAATGACGAGATCACGTAGGATCGCAAACCGTGGTACAAATACTAAGAGGTAAAAGTAAAGCAGGCAAAATGTGGAAGAATCGAGGTACTGATAGTCGATGACGGAATCGTGCCTTTTTCGACTAACGTCGGCAGGGACCCATAAGTGAGGAGCCGAGAACAGTGTGTTGAACGACGCTGTTATCCCCGGTATCACCGCCAATCAGATGTAGCACGTCATCTAGACACAGAATATGCCTGCTGTCATCGAGCATTTTGGTATTGTGTTGGACGTTCATTTTGTGTCTAAACAATGTCAACGATCTTCTCATCTTCGTCGTCTTCGGCGTTTTCCAGCTCCATTAGCTTCCCGCTACCACCTGCACTAGCCATGTCTGGTATATCCTCCTCTTCGCCTTCTTCTTTGCGCATGATGACTTGAACCACACGATCGCATGCCTCTTGTACCCCTTCATCATCAACGTGCATGTGACACTCTCTAACAATTGGGTAGACTTTGACGCGTCTCAGCACCTCCCTGCTTTCTTGTGTCGTACTCAGCAGAAGTAATGTCTCGAGATGTGTTTTGATAATTTCGTTATCTTTCTCGCGCTCCTTGTCCGGCTCGAGGAGTTGCAGCTCGTCCAGCATGCCTTCCGTGTCGTCGTCTGCATACTCTTCTGGGCCCATGAGGGGTAGAAGAATGTATGGGAGTAGGTTCGCGCCGATAGACGGAGGTGGTAGATTTGGGTCGGACGATAGGTTCGATAGCAGCACCGGATGTGCAGGGACGTGGAATGCGACGTTCTTGATGGTCGAAGCTACACCAAGACGTCGGATGTGCGAAGTGTGGTCGGTGAAGACCTGAATCTTGGTGATTGGGATTACGTTGTCGTCGTGTTCCTGAGGTGTGGTGAGGTATTCGCGGCCTTTGGGAAACTTGGCTAGATCGGCGAAGAAGTACGAGAGGTAGTCAAAGTCTGCGTTTTTATTGTAGGCGCCCTCTGCGCCCTTGACAAAGCAGTCCATGAGCTGGTCCATAGCCCATGTCGACTTGGATAGCTCCTTTGGTATGTCGCGCTTCAACTCCAAGACGCGTTGTAGTGAGTCCTCCTTGGCCATATTGGCGAGGAGCATTGCGATCTCGTTCGCATTGGGCTCTTTCGAGTTCTACACTGAGTCAGCCTCTGCCTATTCTTCCTATATGCTCGGGGAACTGACATACGGTTATCCGCGATAGCAGCGTCTCGAGAAATTCATCGTCCTTTGCCAGCGCCTTCTGGACCTCGGCGTCGGCGGAGACATTGATGAGAATGGTAAAGGCGTTCTTCGCTATGGGCGCATAATCCTTGACAAGTAGCTTCAGGTCCCTAATAGGCTCTAGTTGGTTGCGCTTCCATAGAGAAGGGTTTGCCTGTGAATATCCGACGAGGTGTTCGGCCGCTGCATAGTGTGAGATATGTTTCGTGGTGGGGTGGAGGGGCTCGTCTGACCAGTCTGTCTGATCTGCGTGTTGCCGTGATGCAGAAATTCTACGAGCTAGATATGGCGCGTCAGTTGACAAGAAACGTAAGCGTCCTCAGTACTTGGTTGCCCACCTCTTCTAATTCTGATGGCATCGTGGCTGTGGCTTCTCGTTCCTGCCGTGCGCGATGACGAAGACCCAACTTTTTCTCGGTTGCGATTAAGGTTATCGATAAGCTTAGCGCATCCCGCGCCTCCAGGCCCTCGCCGCGAGTTGTCGCGAGACGCATACATGGATGCTAGCATCACTGCAGCAAGGTGATAGCCGTCGATTGCTTCATCTAATCCATATTGCCCTGCCTATTCTTAGCCGTGAATGGCCTGACTCTACCATCATCTGTCGACGTCCAAGCACTTGGACGCTCACCACCGCAATTGCCCAGCAATTTCATCTGAAGCGCGGCCACAGTTCGGACGACTTCAGCACATTGCCCCGCCACCAAGTCTTCTAATCAATCATGTTGCGTATCTCGTCATGTGCGTGATTTTGCGACAAACCCCAGTACGATATCTTGGCCGAAGGCCCTCGTATTAGGGGCGGTTACGCGCGACCTGACTCTGCAGCTCGCGAGCTCGTCTTACCGCCGAAAGCTTGGTGGCTTCAAGCCGCAACCCCACAGAACGCTGGTGTGCTAAAAACCAAACTTTCACTCACCAGCGCTGGCTGATAGTCTCGCGCGCCAGCTAGGAAACTGTGTAGGTAAATTCGACTTCCGTTTCAAGAACTGATGAGCAACATTTCCAGGAATATCTACGCTGGCAAACAGCAAGCAAGACACTAGACATGCTCCTGCGCATTCGGTGACAGACAGCGAAAGTGCCATGTTGGCACAGGTTTTGAGCGCTCGAAATAGATCGTCGACTTGCAGCGGGCCGCCGGACTGGCCACTTGTCACACGCATATACTACCCAGTACGCAGGGCGGGCACACATCATCAGCCAATGAGGGCGATATGCCGGTATCGTAACATCTTGAGCTAGCGTGGCAGGGTGTGTAGCGAGTGAACAGCGTTGGCGCTTACAACCACCAGCAGCCAACCACCCAAAATATAACCGCCGCTCATCAACCATGAGTAGCGCCGAGCCTTACAAACCTCTTGATTGGGCCCATCTGACCACCACCTGGCTGCAAAGAGTAGTTTCCTGCATGGGCAGTCGTCTTTCTACCGCCATTGCCCTTGATGCATGCCTACGGCTCTTCCGCTGGCTCGGACTACCTCGCAGAATGCTCGTCTTATAGTCGTTATCCCCAGATTACCCGAGACGTCTGCTCGTACTCCCGGTGTTGCTGTTCCCAGTCTTTGTTTGCTTCTCTACACAGCCGGTATCTGTTTCGTTTGGTCCCGCCAGTTATTTCGGGATACCATTTTATTCAGAGTAGGGTAGTAGACATTCATTATGGCAGGACCAGCACTTCAACTATTCCCTCCACCTCGTGCTCCAAGACAGACGAGTCCCAATCGGAGACCATCTCCACACGCAAAACCAATAAGTCCAGAGCCATTGGTACCTGAGAGTGTAGTGAGCACCAAATCTCCGGTTGACCTCCACGGACTCCTTATACAGGTCAACTCTGTTCCGGTCTCTCCATCTAACCCAATGGCGCCCCCACCGGCCATCGCAGCTCCACCAAGAGCGCATATGCCCAACTCGCAGGCTACAAGAACAGAAACACCAACGGGCAGACTACACTTCGAACCACCTCCTCAGCAAGCCGCCTCCCCACAACTTGAACGTCAAGAAAGCTTTTACCGCACACAAGAACGTTCTGGGCATGACCAGACCAGCGACCAGCAACGTACCACTAGTCCAGATCCAACTCGCGCCATCTCACCAGCATTCTCTGAAGCCCAGACTCTGGTTCGAGCGAACAGCTCTGCCACACGATGCATATCGCCGCAAGAAGAGATCCCGATGCGATCAATGTTCCCCGTTTATGATCCTACAGTCCCTCTCGGACGTCAACCATACCAACCAACACAAGCATCACCAACACAGATACCCCGAACGCAGATCAGTCGATCGCCATATTCTTCTGAATCGTATGTTCCACATAGCAACGTTCGGTCGAGCAACTCGTCAGCCCCTCCTCCACCAAAGCCCTTCTTTACGCCATCCAACCTGCTCGACAATCTCTGGACAGCTACCAATGGACAAGAAGAGCCAAATGTTCAGATATATACATTGAGGATGCATCGAGCAACAGCCTCAAATCCGACGATTACATTTGGTACTACGCCATCCTTACCGTTCTACTCTGTAGCACAGTCGAATCTTGCTGGCAACCACGAAATACCCAGCATCTTGAACGAAGTGCTCATTCAACGACACCATCCCACTCAGCCGCGAGTTCTGCCCATTGCCCACCTCGATCTCATCGCGCCCCCTTCATTAGATAACGGGGCTTTTAGTCCACAGCAGCAAGAGGATACCACCATGCTTACTAGCATATATCCCAAGCTTGCCGCTCTTCAGGCACTTGATGCGGCTGCTAACTCTCCTGCTGCCTCACGCATCGCCCTCTCGGATCCTGGTGCGCAGTCACCCGCTGCGCAACGGCTGGCTGAGGACGTCCTGGCAGGCACTGCCCAGCGTGAGTGTTGCGCTCTTGCCTGGACAAGGGATAATCCTCAACAACAAGCGAATCCTTGGGCGCAACATATGCCGTCAGAAGGGTCGTACCAGCTGCATCATCCGACGTTGGGCACGTTTCCTATCTCCTTAGAAGGCGACTGCTCTGTCATCAACGCACCTTCGACAAGACCTATTACAGCGTTCTACGGACATAACATGCCCATGACACCACAAAGTACAGGACGGAAGCCGGCTTGTATCACTGTACTAAATCCTTACGTTCTTTCTCCAACGACACCACGGACAAATGCCTTCTCCCCACTGCCACCGCCCCCGCGGTTAGATGGTATGAACCGACCAACGTCCATGACTCCTTCTGAAATGTCGGTTGGCCAACTTCCTACAACCACAGACGCGACTGCGGATGACGCCATGCTCGCACGTCTCGATTTCACCAACGACGCTCTTATCCTCAATCTTGGTGCCTTGACACGTTTTGGTAACCCCTTCCTGGTTGACGTTGTAACCTCTACGCTCCTGGCGGTTGCAGTGGCGGAAGCTACGCGCGGTCGCAAGACACGTAATCGAAGTCAAGAGAACTTCGAGCCACCACCACCGAGTTTCACCCTGACACACCAAAAGGAAGATACGGCGAAAGCGTTCAAAGATTCCTTCGTCGAGGGCTTCCAAGGTATCGGCGGAAAGTCGCGACCACCACTCTCCGGTAAAGGGCTGAAGAAGTTTGCCTCCAGCCTGAAAAGTACAACAACGACTCGTAGCGAGAGTGCAAATGGAAGCTTCGACAAGGACATTGAGCTCGGAGAGTGGTACGGACAAGACAAGCACACCAAAGCGAAGGAAACAAAATCCGAGAAGAAGGCGAAGAAGGCGAGTGCTGATGATGAAAGTAAACTACCGCTTCTTGCCCGCACAGTCATTACAGTGTTGACGTTTGCATTCAAGACTGTGGTGTTTGTACTGAAGATAGCCTTTAAGATTGTTGCGGGCGTCGTCGTTATGATTACGAGAAATTTTAGCAAATTGTGAGGCTGTAGATGGATGAGCAAGGTCCTACAACTCGGGAGTTTCGGTTTTCTTTTCTGCATGATACCATTCTTACTACATTCGCTGGATACCATTTAGACCGCGCTATATGCGTGGTGGACAGGAACCTAATTTCAACACGATTATATTCATTATCGCTCGCTTTCATCACCTGAGTTTCCGACACAAGGCTGCTAATAACGAACAGTTGGTAGATAGATGTTACGAAGCGAAAGTGTACAAACGGTAGGTGGAAGGTAGTTTTTCATGTTGTTTTTTACAATATCGCGATCCTACGTTGGGAAATCCTCATTCATCCGCAGACATGTTCCATCCATTGGTCCGACCATCGGCAGAAAGACAAAAGCCACATCGCCTTCATCTCAACAAAATGATATAAAGAAACCCAATGGCTTTCACCATCTTAGGCACTTCCGCTGTCAGTCTCTACAGCACTTTAGCCTAGGTTAGTATAAATCCAAAGCGCCATATCCGCCTCGGGGTTCTCCTGATAGTCCGCATCGTTCTCCTCGTCGTCATCGTCATCATCAGAGTCCATCCACCTATTAGGGTCCAGATACTGGCCAACGCGGGGCACCAGCCTGCACACGTCGCCATCCTTGACAAAGAGATCCATCTCAGGGACTGCGATCTTGACGCGACGTGCAATCTCGGCGTAAGGGACATACTCAAACCACTCTATAGCCGCATTGAACTCCTCGACGCCAACGAAGTTGAGTTCACGGTCGACGGGGTTCATAGCGTCCTACCAGTTGCGGGCGGCTACGAGTGCAATTGGGAAGTATGCCCTGTTGGCGTTTTTGAAGAGGTTTGCAGTAGCCTTGTTGATGGGCTTGGTGTCCATGACTTGGGCCATTGTCTTGAATTTGGAGATGGCGGAGGTAATAGGGGCAGTGGGGACAGCGAAAGCGATGGAGGTGGTGGTGACCAGAAGGCCGAGAAGGTAGGTGATGACGAATATGGCCTGTGAAGTCAGCTTGGTGTTCTGTGTGATAGTGTCAGGGAAGACGATGATCATACTACGTCTTCGTGGTCGTGTTGTATCTTTGAACTTGTAGTGACCGCTCCTAATAAGTTATCGATGCTTGAGTGGAGGTTGTAGAGGATTAGATGCTATTTATATACTGAAAGACGTTTGCAATAGCTGACTACTGGAAGGGCGATTAGAGTTCGAGGAACGTAATCACTATCGCTAAGAATGTGCCCAAGTAATTGCGCAGTGGATATGGCTTCCACAGAGAGAGGTAATAACATGGATACTTTAGCGGAAGTTCAAGGGCTGAGATTAGTCGTCATAAGAGATGCGGTGTTCAGGATTGGGAGTGCATCAAGGAAAGCTGGATGCTGAGAATTAAATGTGGAAATGCAGATTGCCTTTACGTGGTTGAAGCTAGATCTGGTGATACTTGTGCTGACAAAACAAGAATTACTGAACGAACTTGACAAGAACGAATTGATTCCAGAAACAGCACAGCACATACCAACGCAATTACGCAGCACTTACCATCATGTACTCCTCACTTTCCGTCTCGCCCATCAGATCTCCCAAGATCTTATCAGCGTCCCGGAATATGTAGCTCATCGGACCCTCACCCTCCTTTAAATGGAGCACGCTGCCCGGTAATAGGTCCTTGGCCTTCTGGGCCATTGCAGCGGGGCAGTTCTGGTCCTCCCGACCATGCCACAAGGAAAGAGGCATTCCATTCTCCCCAACGTACAGTTGTCCGAGCTCAAAGCCCCAATCGCTGCCGTTTAATTTTGCCTCCCAGCTTGCGCCTTCGCTCCCTCGGTAAAACGACTCTCTGGTCATGGCTACGTAGATGGGCCAGTTGGTGCTGTCTGTGATGGCTGCTTGGTCGCTAGGATGCCGACTATGGATTTCCTTGGCAATTATCTCCTCTAGGACTTTCGGGTCGTCATTGCGGCTCGCCTTACCCATAGTACTGTCGAAAAAGGCGGTGGTCAGACCGGTCATCCACGGCGCTGCCCAAAGAACGATGCGCGAAGGTAGCATCATGCCCGCTGTCCCCAACTTGACCGGATACAGGCCGCTGACTATGCTAGCGCCCAACAAACGGTCCTTGGATACCTCCCTCACGCAAGCCAGTACGTAGGGCGCGCCTCCTGATACACCCAGTAAATAGAAGTTATGGATCTTGAGGTGGTCGGTCAGGGCAAGCACATCGGCAGGCCAGTCGAGGATTCGGCGGTTGATTTGGAAGGTTGATAGGCCGCTGCCAGGACGATCGGGTGCGATTATTCGGACGTTGTGTAGGGCGCAAGCCGAGTGCCATAGCTTGCCTTCAAAGCGCGACGATTGGCAACCATGCATGAAAACTATTGTCTTCTGGGGCACTGGACTGCCGTAAATGGCGTAGGACAAGGTACGACCATCTTTGAGCTTCATGCGCTCATTCTCCTGCTGCATCGTAGTCTTTGTAGGTGATATTTGTTCGCGAAGGTCGGTAGTTGCGTTATTGCATCTTCTACGGAGGAAGGAGGGGTGCGCAAGGCCACATCGCCTTCTCCGCCTGCGGTAAGCGCGAAAGGCAGCGCATAGTGAAGGTTGTTTGCCTTTGAGGGATATACAACCAGATCGACGATACGCTGAGTTGTGCAGAGCGGGGTGAACACCACGGGGTGAGCTTTGTTTCGGCCTCGCCAAGTTGCACTACGGCTATGAAGGGCAAGGCCGCCGAACATCTCGCCCACTAGTTCTGACTTCACATGCATGGACAAAGACATCACACCAACTCCGCTCAGATCAGCGACGTTGCTGGAGTATACCATTAATAGGGTAGCCGCGCTGTTTCTTACATCACCACTTGATGCTCGAGAACGAGACCAGGTCAAGACAGTGAGAATTGGAACGCCTTCGAATACTCCATCCAAAAAGCCAAATTCTCACCGCGTCCAAAGCCACTAATGCCTTAGTACTGCTACTTCGTTTTGTTCATGAAGAGCGGACGAAGAAGAGCCTTACCGAACCCTTCCTCTTTCGCTTGGTCCAAAAGGAACATACGACGCTTGAGGATGTATGCGCGGAAAAGCTTGTAGTTCTCGAATAAAACGACCAGATAATGCACCGGATCGTTCCGATGATCCAGGGTATTGAAGATGTTGACATAGACGCGTGAAAAGGCCTGGCGAAACACGTCAACAAATGGGTCAAACGGTAGAGATATCTACGTACCTTCGTGCACTGTGTCACAGACGGTGGTATAGGATCGATCTTGACATCGTGACACAGTTCCTGCCACTTTGCTAGGTTCGACTTGTCGGGGCTGTAGTATCGTAACATCTCAAACTCAACGACCTCGGCGCGACGTCGCTTCTCCTCGTTCTTGGACCAACCTTGATGAATGGAGAGCTTGTTTAGTTTGGCTATCAGATTGTCTTCAGGGTTCGAAACGAATCCATGAAATTCCTTTTGTGCGAAGTAGTCATGACCTTCATTAAAAGAACCACTGCCGCTTGAAGGGGGATGGGGGTGTGCTAGGATCGCTTGGGGAATCGGAATCGGTTATCACGGCTTCGGGTACGATGGAAACGCCTCCTTCTGTTCAATGTGAGCACATGGCTTAGTTAATGCCCTTTTCGGATAACGACTTACTAGCGCGGGTTCGGGGCGCCATCTTGCGGGTGCGCTGTCGATAGTGCACGGAACCGCGGCACTTCCTTCAACAGCGTTGTCCGACGTATGGCGTCCCACTGGACCGCGATTGTAGTGCTCTCAAAGAAAAAGAAAGGCGAGGAAGCGCAGAACGAATGCTTACGCGTCGCCAAGCGGCCGCTGAGTCATACACGATAAGTAATCCATCTTTTGGTGTTTATTTCACGCGCAGGACTTGTGGTGTTGCATTTCATTGCCATTCCCCCCAATCCCAAGATGTAGCTAACATGCGCATACCTTCCCGTCATCACAGCTTCCTCAATAGCGCACTTATGAAACCGTCCTGCTTCGCCCTTCTCAGTGGGAAAATTTTGTCCGGACATGTATATTCTCGGAACTTGTAGCAGCTCTTGAATCGGATGACCTCAACACCGATGTTACGATGATCGATGAGGTTGACTAGATTGACCAAGACGTTCCGGCTACCAAGCATCTACACGCGGTTAGCAACAACTTCTCAATTGCTTGCGACTTGCCTGCCTTCTTGCACTGGCTGATACTGTCTGGTGGGTCACTGATGTGTACCTCACGACAGAGATTCTGCCAAATGTCTAGCTTCGTCGTATCCGTTCCATATGCATAACCGAACTCTTCCGCCTGACATTCAGCCCAGCGCTTTCTTGCAGACTTTCCAAGCCAGTTGCGCTGTGCTGCTAGGCGCTCGAAATTGCTCCTGATTCCGGCGATTGGGTCATATGCGAAGGGTGGGAACTTCTGGAACCATGTACCAGCCTGGCTTGGGATTTGGCCATGGGCGTCTTTATCCATGTTAGCATGGTTCAGGGCTGCTGAAGCTGCCTGGCAGTTGGTCCAGTGCTTCCTTCGAAGCTTCTCGCCCCACTTGCGCTGTGATGATAGTCGGTCGAAGTTACTCCTGATGCTGGCGGTTGGATCATATTCGAAGAGTGCGAAATTCAAGAACCATGTATCAGCTTGACTTGCCATATGTTTGCTTGTAGTGGGCGATGTGCTGGCGCTGTTTCGAGTTGCAGCAGAGGCTACCAGTTCTAAGCAGGTCTGTTAGACAGTGGAAATGCAGAGTGCTTGAGTGGAACACTTACGAGCGCGATGGTTGCGGTGACGGGTCCTGCTGAAGCAGTTTATGAGCTCACTAGAGCTCTGAGGCGATGCAAGTAGCAGTGGACTTCCTAAGCCCAGGCGTGGGATGCATACGAAATGCTGCAGCAAGCCGAGATAGATTGGCAATCAGGCCATTGGTGCTTCGGAAAACCCGCGACCCCTGACGCCGCGTCGACAACTAACTAGAACAGTCGAATGATATCAATACTTCTACTACAGTGGCTGCATGAAGTTGCACGGCAAGGGAGGGTGACTCTGAGCTGTCACTGTCGAATGAATCTTGGCCACATTGAGTGGCTGCTGCACGGTGGTGTTGCCGTGCCGCGCTCATGCATATGTGTGAGAAACTTACAGATGATTAGAGAACTTAATCATTCTGAGATTCTGCTAAGATCTACCTGGTAACAGTGTCTCCTAAAAGGAGTTTGACATCGCATAGCCTTACTTTGCCCGCCTGCGACGCTCCAAAGCGCTATCCAAAAGACTGAGTCATCATGTTTCTCGCACACCCACTGCAGCGTAAACCAAGCTACACGAGAATCCAAATATGGCTGCCTAAGGTGCTGTAAACAGTCTCGAAGTAGCGGTTGACCCTAATCATTGCGCTTGGGAGAGAGTTCTTTCAGAAAGATCGGCAGGAACGTGCTCGCCATCGCCTTCTCGGAGGGGTATGTGCGACCGTGCAAACTGGAGTCTCCAAGTCTCTCGAAATCTTTAAAGAATACGAAGACCCTGCCGTTTCGTTGTGAGTCGAGCAGATCGTAGATATTGACCAAGATTCATTAGATTGAGTTGAAAAGACTACTAAAGGGATCGTGCGTGTTACCACTTGACAAAACATGATGACCATCCCAAAAACACTGGTTGAACCGCACACTACTGTGAGAACCGTATCGTATTCAAAACCTGGTAGACTGTGAGACTCCCACCTTCAGGAGCTTGCCTATATTACCCAACGACCCATGTAAGACCAAGAAAGGTACGACAGCTACTACAACTTAGACAGCAGAGCGGCCATGTACCCTCCACCTGTCTTAGCGCACTCTCTCGGGAACGTGCCCATCTTGCGAACGCTTAGACGAAGCTCGCGAATAGTCTCATATGTGACGACCTTGATCTCCGGGTTGCGCATGTGATCGATGACACTGTAGAGGTTGACTTTGAGGGGCCGAAGAGCCTGTTCATAGTTAGTAGCGTATTTCGGCAGGGGCCTCAAGATGAGATGATTACCTTCTTGGCTTGCGTAATGGTCAACGGGATGTGTTCAACACCCATCTCTTGACACAAGTACTGGTAGTACTCTAGTTTGTCGATGTCCTCCGAATCCCAGTAGAACTCGACTTCAGTGCGAAGCAAGGAAATTAGCCTCTTACGTTTGGTACGTCGGTCCCAGCCTTTGATACGAGCAAGGCGTTCAAACTCCTCCTTGAAGGGAGCAGTTGGGCGGTGAATGAAGTCGGTGAAGTCATTCCATGCCGGGTTTTCGACTGCATCCTGCTCCAAAACATCCGAATCGGTATCACTGTTGTCTGTAGTTGCATCCGTGGCAATACCCCTGTCGTAGTTGGGGATTTCGACGCCTCCAGAAAGCTCATCTAGAGATTGGACTGTGTCAAGAGATAAAACCGTGTTTCGCGAGTCAGTGCTATCCCAGGAATTCGTGATTGACTGAGACTGTGGACCAACGGAAAGCCGAAGATCTCCTTCTTCGCGAGACTGATCACTGTTCAGCGACCTCACACTGCCGAAAGAGTCCGCTCTTGAGGTACGTGAAATGACTGAGAAAGACGACGCATCAGAGCCAACTGAGAGCTTTCTCATATGATCGGTGAGATCGAGGGTCCTAGTCTGAGCAGCTGGATCCGCATCTATGGTCGAAGCCACTGTTGTTGACCTGTCTAAACACATAGATTAGTAACGGTTCCTGCTTCACATCCACACTCTTCAAGTCCATATCGCAATAGCAGTATAGTAAGAAGCAAAGTGGGTTCTTACTGCGAAGTCCCCATGAATATGTCTCATTGAAACACTCCGTCCAGTGATGACACCACTCCACACTTCCGCCGGTCCATCCCTTCGCCTTCGCCAAGCGCGCGAATTCCGCCTTGGGTGAATTGTTCGGATCAACAACATGACCAATGTCCTTGGCCCATACTTGTAGAAGCGCTATCTGCATTTCGGGAGTCATTATGGCGGCAGTAGTATATGTGTGCTAATGTTGCGATGTTCTCAAAGTGCTGTTAGCACTGTGGCGGGGTTACTTGGACGAAAGGGAATGAGAGGCGCCGAGGGGGGAAGCTGCGGGGAACGCGTAAAATAGTTAGAAAGCAGCTGTGTGGGTAAGTGAGGGTCTGCGTTTGGACCCTACCTAGGTTTCGAAACGAGCTGGACGAGCTCTTGTAACCAACAAAACGCGCTCACACGTGGTTACGAATGCTTGAGAGCCTATTATGGTTAGCGCTTGAGGCCAAACCAAGGTACATTCGCGCCAAGCGACGGGGTTTGCAAAGTATGCACATGACTGTATTCTGAAGGAGCCTTGAGGCAGCTCGCACAGGGAGTGAATGTTGATGTAGTCACCGCTTGTACTATAGCAGCATTGATTGGTTGAGTTTGGTACCTTGAAAAGATGCCAACGTTGTCCAAGAGATTCCTAAGCACTTCTATGCCGGGACACATCCGAGACACCCTAATCGCGTACATGTTCTTCTACGAGCGCAATCCACACAGTATCGTTGTGAAACGACGACGACCCCAATATCCGATATTAACCCTTAAACTGGCTTCTTCGGCAGTGTCTTCCTCGGTTGTTTGGCAACTCGCGTGCTTCCATGCTTGTGCTTCTTGTTGTCTACCGTTGCATCCTCTTTATTTTCGGGTGAGACGCTTGTCGGCATAGTAGATTCAGACACTTTTTGAGCCTTGCGTAGGGTTGTAGCTGCGCGAGTACGTCCACGACTGTCGACAAGCGCAGCAGGCTTCCTGGTGATGGTTTTGGAGACTGGAAGCTCAGTGGAAGCATCGCTGTCGTCTGCGCTGCCATCCGCACTGTCGTATGCGAAACCCTCCGCAACCTTCTCTGCAATCTCCTCTGCTTCCTCGTCCTCGCCCTCGTCCTCTATCTTGACGTTGTAGTCGTCTTGCTCCAAGTCCTCATAGATCTCGAATTCGGGGTCGACGTATCGCTTCGCCGCTGCCTCAAGTTCTGCCTCTTCGTGAGCGCGGCTGAGCGTGATCTTGAGCACTTTGATGGGAAATGCCTTTGGTTGCCGCAGCTGTAGCTCATTTTTACGGTAGCGGGCTTTCGGAGCACCGTAATCCCAGTTGGTGTTTCGAAGAGTGGGCATCGTGAGCTTGCTACTAGAATATGAGCTTGGTTTTCAAGACAGTCTTATGGATATGCGATTACTCGTCTGGCTCTGATCCACCGATAAATGCAGGGGGATCGGAAAGCGCAACAGGATCTGAGAGCGCTGCGCCTGAGTCGAGGCGGGGCTCCTCGCCCTTCTTCTCTGGTATTACTTTATCTCGAATCATATTGCAATATGTTGGTTTTGGGTGGTTGCAGTGGGTGCTCATGTGCTGCTTGCGTTGCTGGTAACTGGCGAAAAGGATGCGAGCAGTAAGGTCGTAAGAGGGCATTGAGAATAGAGCAGTCAAGGGAGCGGATTTACAGCGGAACTCTCGACTAGCTGTCGCATAAAAATCTGCGTTATACAAGATAGACCGACACGCAATGTCCAGGTCAAGGCGTTGTGGTGAAAGTGAAAGTGAAAGTGAGCGTGGAATCTGCGCCGTCTTCCGGTACGATTGGGCTGTCTCCGAGCTGAGAAATGAAGATGATGCAGATTTTTGAACAACAGGCAACGTTCCTAAACTGGTGGAAAGAGAAAGCGCTTGACGTCCAGTATTGCCTGCCGATGGGTCTCGGACCCGAAATCAGACGGACATATCAATGATCACAATCTAGCAGTCATGTACTAAGAGATATTGGTCAGTTGAGAATTGGCAAAATACCTAGAGCCTCGAGTATACTGAATTTCTCTTTCCTGATCTGGTGCGGTTCTCGCTCTTCTCTCCTACTGATCACTAGGTTCTCAAAAGCACGTCGCGGTGCGGATACTGCCCAAATTCAAATTGCGCGAACGTGAATGTGTTCAGACAGAGTTGAGGTCTGGTTGTATTGCTTTGAGGATGTGAGACTATTGATGATGTTGATGAGGTTGATGATACGGGCGAGGTCATAACCAACCCGGACCCTTCCTGGGCGGATTCCATCGCCGATAGCGCTGGAGCAATACGCGCACTGGGGTTGAAGCCATTAAGCAGCCCAGAAAGACCGTGTCGTGTGCACGGAGATCTCTTGGGCGTGTTCTTGGTCGCATCCAAAGTCGACGCTGAACGTCTGCGGTTCACCAATGCCTTCCAGTGGGTTCTTCGTATGTTTTCCTTCCGAGTCGTAGTTGGTCCATCGCGTGAGGGAAGCCTGATATAGATCGAGCTAAGGCTCACTTATACTACGCTTGTGGACGAGATAGCTCCATGGTACAGCTGAATTAGACACCAGGAAGCCTATAATGAGTTTGCCGCACTACAAGGGCTAGACGTTGGGCTACAACAACATCAGCGCACATACCGTAGGCTCTCGGTATTCGGCTAGCCGCCGGTATGTCGAGCTCGCGGGGGTTCCTCAAGGCGATAGCTACTTAGCCCAGACTGCGTGAGGGAGCTGATGGAACGTTCCCTGGCGGCGTCTGTATTGGCCCTAGTACGATTGTCGTCTATGATAGGCGAGGCGGTATCGGAGAGCTCTGGCGTTGGCGGCGCGAACTGTGAGTGAACAGGTGTAGCTGTTGGTCTGAGGGAACACGCCTCAGATTCCAAATCACTCGTCCTGCCGTAAGTTTCCATCTGCGCAGTGATCTTCTTCAACTTCCGAATGTCGCTTTTATAGCCTTTGATGTCAAGCTTGAAGAGAATGATCTCCCGGACATAGAAGTCGATCTCGTTTCGTAAACTTTCCATTTGCACGTCCTGGGTGTTAGCAAGAGCCTTTCCATTCTTGCTAGACTGCTCTCTTCTCAGGCGCTCATGGAGTCTGTTCATCCACCTATCAATATCCTCTCGTCTGGCAAGTGAGGTGAGCTCAGGCCACAAGTCTTCCTCCTCTATGGCCACGTGGAGCTTCATTGCCGCATGCCGCCTTATTTCCGCTTGCAACAAGAGTTTGTGATGCTCCAGTTGTTTCTCCACTGCACGAATATCCTTTTCCTTCTCTTCGATTATGCATTCGCGGTTCAGGAGCGCAGCTCGAAGTTGTTCCATGTGTGTATCTGTTCGGCGTGCTTCTTGTAAAAGACCATCCTGTATATCCGAATGAATGGCAATTTTGTTGTGATCCCGTTCAAGCCGACTGTGCGTTCGTCGTAGTTGCTCTCTCTCGTTCTCCAGATTCTCAATGTGGGCATCTTTCTCCCTCACTTGGTCTTGCAGGCGCTCGACGTGCGCGACGAACGCACCTAGCGTTGCAATCTCATGAGAACCGAGTTCTGGACTGATTGGTGAAGCACCGGAGAAAACTGTGCTCGTACTTATACGAGCATCAAATGCTGCTCGATTATCGCTTGATGGTGCTTGAGACTTTGAAGTAGAAAGGTCGAAGGGTGATTTATCATTTCTCAAGTTCGAGAGCTGTTCTTCTGCGTCTAGTCGCTTTGTGTTGGCAATTTCAAGACGGCTCTCAAGATGATCGGTGGTATTCTGTAGGGCTTGCATAGATTTGGCGAGCTTGTCAGCGTGCGCTGCCTTGTCTTCGAACTCAGCACATTTCATCTCAGTCATCCCAAGTATATTACGAAGCTCCCTTTCGCTTTTCTTCGACTCATTCAACTTCGCCATCAAAGATTCGATTTGCTGTTGAAGAGCAACATTGTTTTGTTTGTACTGATTGAGCTCTGGAAGCAGATTCCGAGTTGTCGTTTCCGGTCTACGTGTGCTGCTGAGCTTCCGCTTCAGATTCTCCTAGTAATCCAAATCATTCGTAGGTCTTACATATAGCATAGTCATGTCCTTACCATGTCGGGGCTGCTCCCTAAGCGTTGAGGCGATCGCTGTTTGCTTTCAGATTCGACCGGACTGGCAGACGCGGGGTCCACTGTAACCTGTGCGATTTCACAAATTGGTGTGTGCGGTGGTTCGGTGGTATCCAGGACAAAGTGGAGATTATTTGTCGACGCTAGATACGTTCAGCATATTGGAATGGTAATTGATGTCATAAGCGTACGGCACGAAGAGCCCGCATTGACTGATTCAACACAATGGGTAGCGTCTTCGGAGAGCAGGGAAGTGCGGTGGTAGGCTTGACAAGAGATGATACTTACCGTGGCGCAGACCGTGCTTGCTACTTAGCTCTTCAAGCTCTTGAATGTGATTCTTCAAAGATGCAACTTCCACCAAGTGTGACTCTACGAGGCTTGTAACGTATGCTTCGTGCGACGATCTTAAGCTGGTAAACTGGGACTGGAGGATTGAGATTGTTTGATCTTGTGTAGCAATGGTCGCCTTGAGCTCGTCAATATGCTTGTTGCGCGTTGTTGATGGATTGGATGCAGAAGTTGCCTATGTATAGTCAGCATCTGGGTATGATACATACCGGACACTTGAAAAGGCCCGATTTGGCTATCGTAAGGCAGAATAAACGGCACGGTAATAGGACTAATGATCGCAGTTTGTGCAAGTGCCGCCCCTGCGGCATTGAGAATGTGAAACATGTCACCACCACTGTTCGCCTTCCAGGCTTCCAATCCGGGGATACAACCAAACATTGCCAACGAAAAGTCTGATGCCACGGCTCGATAACAACTCAGTACATCTAACTCAGGCACATATTGTCGCATTAGAGTTGGAGATGGGATAAAAAGGAGGTCTGAAACTGTTTCGTTATGCAAGCTTGTTGTTTGTCCAGTAAACACACGTCTATTGAGAAACAAACAGTACTCACTTCATTCTGACCGCGTCGGCGCTTTTCAGTGTCGCGATCACGCACTTTCTTTTCTTGAACAAGCCACACCTGACTAGGACCATACCTGCTGCCTTTGTTCGTCGAGGCCTTTCCGTGCGTGGATGAAAGAGAAGTAATCAGATCCGGTCTCGAACGTCTCCGCATCCCGGCCTTATTCAAGGGCTTGCTGTCAGGCTCCATTGATAGGTCAGCTTGGGTGGTGGTGCTGGACTGGAGTGCATCGCCGCTGCGAATGGTCTTCATTATGCTATATCGCGAGCTCAGTTCTCTGAACGTTGATGTACGAAGTCAGTATGTTTCATATGCAGTTCGTTCAGGAACACTTACGGAACGCTCCTCGTATGATTCAGTTGTGCTGGAACCAAGTCCAATGCATCCAAAAAGACACTCTCGTGACTCAAGCGTTTATCAGGCGGGTGACTCTCTCTTCTGAAGATCTGGGTTGTCGGTCGGGCGGATACAGTAGTTGTGGTGGATGGAAATCCTTGATTCTCTAACAAAAGAGAGCCAGGTAGCTCGGCGGGTAACTCTGCAATCGAAGGTACTGAGGCAGAACGTGGCCGACTGGGGAGAGGCTTTTGTAAAGATGCGGACCTCGAGCATGCACTGGTATTGGGTACTGGTGAGCGCAAGAGACCATTGAATGTAGTCTGTAGGGTTGTGGCAGCACCGGCAACGGCTGCATTGTACTGGGGTGTGACAGGACTACAGACATGTTGCTTGTCGTCCGATGGAAGGATGATAAGGTTCGCTGGCCGCCGTTTTTCAATTTTCAGAGTGGTCTAGAAGAGATGGTCAGCGAATGGTCAAGCTCCACAAGGCAGCTGCAGACGTCGAGTTGCATGTAGCCACTGATATTTGTTTACAGGCCGTCTTGTTCTGCATAATACGTCGTCGTCTTTGCCAGCGCACTGTTTTCTTTTCCTGCCCATCATCGTACCTTTGCTTCGTAGTCGTTGGACTCGGGTTCAATTGACTCAATCGACAGCAGCCCCCCCGTACGATAGTAGGGCTCCGAGCTAGACTGGCGTTTCGACCAGGACAGAATTCGCTTGGTCGTCATTGCGCGATCCTTGCGCACCCTACACTCAGTGGTTGTAACACCGCAGAGACATGAAGATGAGATGAAAGCTCAACGCGCTCGGGCTGCGATATGGTGCGAGAAGAGCGACGAGACGAAAACACAATGGCTGGAAGGTTTGCAGCCGCTTCAATGGTGGTTTGACTATGTTTGCAAGGCGTCCGCCTTCATAACGCCCGCTGTCATGTTTTGGGGTGAAGACGCTGCTTACAGGGGCCAAATGGCCCGACTGGTGCAAGAGACAAACATATGCTCCTTGCATATCGTATAGGCGCCTTGGAGTCCCATAGTGGCGCCGTCTTGTACATGCAACGAATAGACGAGATGAGGACGAGGCGCGGTAGCGCGACGCCGTGACGGAAGTGCAGGAAGCTTGGACCTCTCTCTTGTCTGGGGAAGTTGCGACCGAACAGCTTCAATCCTTAGCCGGCTATTGCGTGCTAGTCGCAATCCTTTCTGTTCCTTTGTGCAAGCCCACTGCTAATTACGGTGTAATGGTCTAGCCGGCTATCACCGCAGTGCAGGCGACTTGGCATAGCCCCCAAGAAGCCCGTTCACTGAATCCACTGTACGCTAAAGAAAAAGTTGGGATCGTCATTGCGCCCCCAACCTCGACACTGCGCCCCCCGGTTCTCAGCATTCGGCCCCAACATGGCCAGAGACCTGTCGCCGTACAGTGCGCGACGACTGCTTACGCAACAATTAGTCCAAGGAAAGACTGCCTCGCCCCAGGCAGTTCCAAGCAGGAATGGAAGCCCGAGCAATACCTCGAAACATGGGTCAGAACGTGCCGGGAAAGAGCCTTCGATAGCATCTGGCCCCCGATCGAGGAGTAGATCGAGGGAGAGGAAGCCCAGGAACGTACCGAAAGACGGCGAGCCAAAGGAAGCGACCACCGAGCCCATCGCCGTTCGTAAGCGGGAACAGTCCCCAGAACCATACAGGAAGCCGCGAGACTCGTCCAGAGAGAGGAAGCGCGACGGTTCGAGAGAGCGGAGGAAGGATCGGTCTAGGGACAGGTCACGAGAGAGGAAACGAGATAGATCGGGCGACAGAAAGAAACATCGTTCGAGGGACAGGCGGCGCGACCGCTCACGCGACAAGGACGGGGACAGGCACAAAAAGCGCGATCGCTCCAAGGACAGACACAGTCGGCGAGATCGCTCGCGCTCCAGAGACCGACGCCGCAGAGACAAGTCCAAAGAAGGCCGACGTTCACGCTCGCCTATACCATACCGTTCTCGCAAACCGCGCACTCGCTCGCCCTCCGCGTCCACATCTCCTCCTCCCAAACGTCGCCGACGTACACGCTCCCCATTGCCTTCGCGTTCGCCCTCTCCACACGAGCGAGCTAAGAAACCGCTCCCGTCGCAAGAAGTCTCGTTCCGCGGGCTTGACGACTCCGTCCAACCACCCTCAAAATATGGTGGCGCACCACCCGACAAGGAGAAACCTAACTTCAAGCCCACTGGTGCGCTGGCCAAAGCTGCCAACCGCGTAGAAGGCACCAAGATCTCCCTCAAATACCACGAGCCACCTGAGGCGCGAAAACCACCCGCTTCACAGCCCTGGCGCATCTTTGTATTCAAGGGCGACGATGTGGTAGATACTATTGAAATATGGCAGAAGAGTTGTTGGTTGCTGGGCCGATCACATGAAGTCGTGGACTATGTTCTTGAGCACCCTAGCTCAAGTGGACAGCACGCAGCCATCCAGTTTCGGTACATACAGAAGACGATTGAAGACGAATTCGGCGTGAAGAGCCATCGAGGAAAGGTCAAGCCTTACATCATTGACCTGGAAAGCAGTAATGGCACGGAGCTGAACGGCGAGGATCTCGAGGCGAGTCGCTACTTTGAGCTCAGAGACAAGGACATCCTCAAATTCGGAGGGAGCGAGAGGGAGTACGTGATCATGCTGCCACCAGCCGATGCTAAATAAGAAGGGATGATGAAGATGAAGAATGAATTAGACACCAGCATCACTGTGATGACAGATAATGATACGCCGTGGTAGTTTCTTTCTATACGAGAAGCGAAATCCGGAGACAAATAATCAAGGAAGAACTATAAACCATACATGATTGCCAACCTCTGGAGCGAATAACTACATCTAGTACTCTCCTTGCAATATCGAACAACCAACGTAACGTCCATCCATAGGTCACGCAAACACCGCCGTGCCGCAAATTTTAAGAGGTACTTCGACTTTAGTAACCTGTACATCCACACACGCGTTGTTGTTTTGCCAAATTATACGAGAGTCGTGTTCTATAACTATTTCTGTACATATAGCGCCTTCTCTCTACGAATATTACGTAGTCGTTATCCTGTACGCGCTTATCCGAGAATGGTCCTTCTAACAGCGCGAAATATGCTATCGCTATTACATCATCTAAGCTAAAGCCTCGTTACTTCTTATAATCCTAGATAGTCTTGGAGAAGCTAGGCATGCCTTTAGCAAGGCTGAGAAGTCAATGCTAGCTCTAAGACTTATGCGGCGTTCAGATCCATGCGTGACCGCCACCCCGCTCAGTACTTCTCTGGGGAACGCCTTCTATATATGGCTAGTCCAATACAGCCACCACTTAACGTAATCTTCGGGTGTTATTAAGCACGCCAAGTCTGTGGCTCCAACTAACTATAGCTAATACAGTCAGCCAAAACTTAGGTCAGGTAATGTCACTGTATGGCGCGACACTTCTTTATCTAGACCTCCGGACTCTTCACATCGCGCCTGTGCATAGACAAGCTTAATACACATTAGTTCTGCAGCTTTTGTTATCCTGTTCAAAGCTTCTTCTTTCATGAGCTTTCCGCGTTATCTACCCTCAACACGAAATAAATAGACCACCTAAGTCGCTATCTAAGTTAGGCCATCCTTACAGCGGGTGTAGCAGCGCTCAGTGCAGGTTCCAAGAGCGATCTCAGTTTGGGCGTTATTAGCACGTCATCTCAACCCGCTTTTGGTCTATTCTTGTACGCTTGACCAAAATATGCGTCTCTTCCGCACGCAAAGCACCTCTCACCCTACAGTCTTTGCAGACATCCCAATCTCTATTAGAGCAGTGTTGGCAGTAGTAATAAAAATTAGTTGCCCTAATACTCGAAGTACAGACGTCGCATTAAATAGACCCTAAGTCATCACTATGGTCGGGTGACGCAGTTTATCCAGGATCAGTCGGTCCACACTCTTCAGACAGGAGTTCTAATACTGCACGGTGTCCCTTCTTCGTGGCTATCCAAAGTAGCGTCCACCCAAATTTGTCGGCAATTCAAGAGTCGTAGTTGTACCGGATAATAAGTACTTAAACGGTAGTAGTCTGGCCGCCAGCTGCAGCCCACCAGAGTAGAGTCCGGTTATATGGATCTTAGAGCTGCCTGATGCTATCTTTCTCGATTAAACGCTTAAGTACTTCATTATTGCCCGCATATGCAGCGGCCTAGAGTGCGTTGCCGTAGAATCTACCCTGTGTGTTGACGCCGGCGCCCTTGTCTAGCAGCAGCTTCACCACCGCCTCGTGGCCTCCAGATGAAGCCGCCTGGAGTGCGTTGCCGAAGCGTCCACCCTGCGCGTTGACGTCGGCGCCCTTGTCTAGCAGGAATTCAGCCATCGCACAGTGCCCATGTTTCACCGCATACATTAATGAGCCTTCACCATTACTATCCATCGCATTCACTGCGCATGTTTTGTCTTCTTTTCTGCGCAAAAATTCCTTCGCCACGTCACATAATCCAAATCGTGCTATCCAATGTAAACCTGTCACAGCAGGATTGCTCCCACTGTACCCTCTGTACTTGTAGCTATGCACGAATAGTACCTGTGCTGCACACGAAAATATGCCACTGTGAGTAACTAATGTACAAGCTAAGGAAGCAACCTTAGCTTCGACAGATCTTGCATGTTCACCACAATGTTTGGCTGCGTAATCCAGGAGTTCATGCTGACGCAGCCTCTCTTCAAACTCTTCGTCAGTGGCACAGCTGCCGCTTTCGAAGACGCTGAACGATAGGTAGGTCAGACACGTCTTGGCTATTTCCAACTGACCATTTGGGTTCAGCCTAGAGCTGATACGCTCAAAGTATTCTTGCGTAGTGTAGTGCACAAGACGGATCACAGCACTCTCCTGATCAACAACAACAAGTCCAGCGCATACAGAGACTATGTCGTCCACATCGGGTTTGTTTTCGGGATCGAGTTCAGCTTCGTCAGGCTCGACTGCCAAGGCGCAGCATAGCTCAGCAGTAGTGAGCGGTCGCTTCGCAAGTGTAATCCACGTTAGAACGTTCTTTGCTAATCTAGAACGACTAGCTCGTTGGCCTTCGATCCTCTCTAGTGCTTCAACATACGCATCATTGAGCGCAGCTGCACCCTTCAAGAATGTAGCGAGAGTTAATTTCACTTCTTTTGCTGTCGTCTTGTCTGATAGGGAGTCGATGTGTAGACGAGCAAGAAGAAACCTTAGGTATGTAAGTTTGTATCGCTGTAAAGAAGCGAAGCGACTTACATGCCGCCGACAGCCTCTACTACTCTTTCCTGCACTAATTCCTGCAAGGTTGCACTTCGCTGGACGCATCCGGGCAGCCGATGTATTTGGCCAGCCACGAACTGCTTGACATCCTCATCACTAGCCTTTACTTCTAGCCTCAATGCTAGCCGAAAAGCGTCCTCAACATCTGGCACAAACCGCGAGGTAACCATTAATCGCATATCCGCTCCCTTTTGCAGATCAAGGAGCTTGGTGCATAGTAGTCGGCGTGTTTCGTTCTGACACTCGTCTAGCGCATCGACGACTATATGAACGTACGGATACTGTACGAGCACGTCTCGAAGAGCGCTGTATATATCATCGAGTGATGGTTTCGTTCAGCGGCCGGCGTGCTTCTGATGTAATTGTTCCACAGGACCTAGCGTTGACGGTCGGCTCTGAACTAGCTGCTTAAGGAGGGCTGCTAATATGCTAACAATGTCCTGATCTGCTTGAGACTTGTAGTTGCAGTAAACGTATGCAACTCCGTATGCGCCGTTTTTCGCCGAGTCTAGAAGCTGATCGACTGCGATAGCCGCTACCATGGTCTTGCCGGCACCTGGGATTCCTGGGCAGAAGAGGGTGGTCTTGGCGTCGTCAAGCCATCGTGCCACTTCAGGTGCGTCTAGGAACCACTGGCCTGTCCCTTCCTGCCTGCGCTTTATAATGTCCGATTGCTGAGCGGGATAGTCGCTCGACGATATCCATTCTAGAAGAATGCGCTGGCTTGCGGTGACTTGTACCTGCTGCACTTTGTTGACAGCAGACTCGATAGCCGATAAGTGCGTGCGAATGGAGCCGGTGTCATCTTTGATAGCTTGGGAGAGTTTGCTTGCACGTCTAAGCTTAGTCGTTGGGTAGTCCTAGTACAGACACTTACAAGTGATCCATTTGTAACGCGATCTCCACTAGCGTCTTCAGCCGTTCCATCCGAGCCAAAATGGCGTCGACCTCTTCTTTCTTGAACTTCCATAGTAACGCCTCCCTGGCTTTCTTTAGCCGACCTCCGTCTGTCATCTTTGCTTGCAGAGTTTCCAGCGCTTGCTTGAACTGGTCGAGCGGCCCGTTTTCGACTGCAAGGGCTTGCACCGCGATGAACCATGGCTGATGGCCATGTCCATCTTCTAGTCGGAATCTCAGGTTTGTCAAGAGGCTGTGGAGGTTACTCGCTTCGATCGCGCACTGTGAACGGCCTTCGGAGGCGTCCTTAACGTCGTTCAAGTAGGAGAGGACTCTGGCGGAGAGCTGGAGGATAGCGATGACGCTGGCTGTGACACTCAGCGGATCCATGTCGGAAGGGTTCGAGCGCCAACTGCAGACATGTCCGAGCAACGTTTTGCGAACAAGGTAACATTGCTAACGTTCGACCAGGCTGAAGAGTGCGCGGCTTGAGTGAGGCTGAGCAAGGACCTGCTGTGCGAGTCGCGTGAGGGCGCCGCATCTTATCGATAAGGTCACACTAAGGATTTGTAGACTGCTGTTGCAATGACAGGACAGCGAGAAAGAGGGAGACAGCGACTGACCTTTTTCGCAGCGTGCTCCAGGGCTTTTCATCATATGTCAAGGCGGCAGGGTTCTCGCCAGATGGGCATTAGAATTCTATCGATGAAGGAAGCGGATTGTGGTGCAATTTACATGTCTTTCTTCATGTTCAGCATGACGATCTTTGCTCTAGAGGAGATCGGTAGTCTTAACGCCAAAGGAAAAGTGTCTTGCAACGCTGGTCAAACCATCACTTCATGCTGGACTTCCTCAGCCACGCTAGAATTCCAGTGCAGCTGCTGCAAGCCGAGCAGCACAGAAGCAAGTACCATATGTAGCTGTACCGTGACACTTGTGCAATCCGAAGTATACACTCGACATGATACATATACGGCGCATGACAGCAAGATGTTTCCTGTTCATGTCTAGAATATGCTGACGGTCATGGATGTGTCCATCTATCATCACCACATCTGTGTCACAGGTGCTCTCCATGTTTCCAACATCGGATCAATGAGCGCTTCGCTTACTCGCGCTACTTTGGCTGATGGTCCCGACGCGTCTACTTCTTGCTCATCTGGAACACCTTCTTCTGCCACGACACTTTTACGCTTCCGACCACGTTTCTCCCCTGATTCGCCTTCGTCTGCCTGCATCGTTGCCTTTGACCGGCCGCGTTTTGCTTTACCTGCAGCCTTTTTGGCAGCATCTTGCTTAGCACGTTCTGCACGATCCGCCCGAATTGCTTCGAGATCTTCTTGTCTCATTACCCGTCCTTCGCCATTCTTCCTATTCTTCTTTAGGATATCTGATCTTGTATTCCGGCGAGTCTTGGCCTCGTTGTTGGCAGCCTTGAGAAGTCCAATGTAATTTTAGTCAAGGGCTTGTTAGGCAATAGACCTTTCGGCGGCGTTGGCAAGCTTCTGGATCAATTTGTGACGACGCATTTCGTTTGGCTTATTATTATAAGGATCTTGCTTAATGAGGCTGAGCAGTTGTGTTACAGCTTCCAATGACACGGGGTGTTACCAGCGTCTGAACTACTCCATTCTGTGTACTTTCGACTTCGTAGGGTACCTGAATAGACAATGAACCGTCTGGTTTTACGATATCACGAAGAACCCCCGAAGGGTTGAACGGAAACAGGCCGGTCTTTGCCCAGCCAGCAAGTATATTCTTCTTCGTCATTCCCTTTTCTCTCGCACGACTATATATGGCAGTAAAGTGCTCTTTGTTGACATTCGTCAGGCCTCCACGGTAGCGGCGCTCGACCTTATCTCGGTAGGCTGTTTTCAATAGCCCAAAAACCGATACGTCGCAGGGCTGTGTCTTGTGAGACGTGTGAGATGGTAGTCTGCATAGGGTGATGTTATTCTCGAAGCAAAATTCGATAATCTCCAGGGTTTCATGTGTCCCAAAGCCATCATAGATAAGTATCCGTGGTTTCCTATTAGCACGAGCTTTGGTCTGAGGGTCAAAAACTTGTTTAATCCACTCCAGGCTGATGATAGAGTCATTGTAACCTGTCTTAGAAAGAGCATAGAACCATCTAGGAGTAGAGTATGTCGTCCAATTACTCCTGTGAGTAGATGCAGGCCAGATGATTATCGGATTAAGATACTCACCGCTTGCTGACACGCATTCGATAGCCGTTACCATCGTGCGCTTTGTGCCAGTTCCTCTATAGTCCCGTCCATCATCCTTGCCTACAAGGACTTTAACAGCACTAAGCATCGAAAGCATAATGCCCGTCTTATCTATGTTATAGACGTTCTCTAGCAAGACGTCTGCTCTACAGAGTTCGTCCTTAATCACATCGAACCAATGTACCACCTTGTCATATATGCTATTATCGTAACGCTCCCATGGCATAGGCCTATTATTCTTCGATTTGAGCTGTGGGTAGCAGCGACGGAAGGCCTAAGGCCAATTCTTCTTCGGTGGCTCAGAGGGTCGTTTCGTAGCACGTCGGCTAGCGATGCAAAACGCAAGTGCAGGTATATACTTAACACGTATAGGAGTCCCGACTGCACCCATCCGTAATATAAAAGCAACAAGAGCTTTCTCCTCGGGTGGGGTGAGGTATTGCTGGCCTAAAGCCTTCTCCTTCATCGAAGGTCGTCCGCGCTTCCAGTAGTAGCGGGTATAGTAGGGAATCTCTTCTTCGATCTCTACGAGGGAAGTCCAGTCTGCAGGCACATCTGTAGGGTCAGTTTGCGCTAGCACTTGGCTGGCTGGCTGGCTCCATGCTTGCTGTAGTGTTGCGAATGCTGCTATTTGGGCCAGCACAACGCACGGCGCAGCTCCGCACTCCTAGACCGAACAAAGGAACGCGTTTATGCTAAAAAATAGGACGCACGTGACTAACGTAGATGCTTCGAGAAGCGTGCGCCACACCACAATTCCATCAAGCTAGCTCAAGAACAGACGCTATACGATACAGTATGCCTAAACTTAGCGGCCAAGGCACGGGAGTAAGTCTTGTTCACGGACAAATCCGGAATATACTTTTCCAAGTTCAAGCATCCGTACAAATCTTAGGATATATTCTCTTACCATTAGTCTATTCAGCAATTATCCCGATGTATGTAATACCTTCAGCTATAGTGCTGATACTAGGGTGTAAAGGTAATGCAGCTTCCGGTGGATGGAAAAGCACGAGCGACAGCACGGCTCAACGCTATGTATCTTTTCGCTACAAGCCCTCATCAGACAGAAAAAAGCCCATAGAACAAGTGTATAGTATCACAGGGCGATAGAAGCAATATAGGAATCTTCAGGATGGCAAATGTGTAGAATACTTGCGGCACGGGGGTATTTGCGTGACCCATGGATGCACGTTATCAATCCTATTGTTACTACTTGTGCCGAAGATTGCATACACAGACTGCCAACTTCAAGCATCTATGGACAACCGGTATGATGTAGCGTATGCGGGCTACATATACTACCCTGCCGCAATGAATTACAGTTCTATCACGCCCAATAGCTCCATCTATGTCTAACTTGAAGTCTAGACAAACGTGTTTCGTTGTAGAAGCCAATGGGGAGGGTAGGTCGCTTGCGAAAGCGCCGAGCATTTCTCTTTTGGACTTGAACGAGCTGTCACTATGTTGCTAGTGTCAGAGCTATATGTTTCAATGTAAACTAGTATATATTCGATATGAGATGAGCAGTGTGAGACAAAACATGATGTGATATAAGTAGTGTGAACAGGCATAGTGTACAATGCTAGAGTTGGACGAGCAGGTCCTTGAGCGCGTCAACCACCTCTGTGACCGTCTGAAGGCATTGAAGGAACAATGGCAAGGGCCTTGGACAGAGAATAAATCCTTTAGACATCCTGATATTGTTGTACGAGTTCCCCTCGAACTGGTCCGTAGGAGCCCGGCGGCGTTGAGTGATGAAATGTGAAAGGTTAAAGTTGAACTTCTGTAGGGATTGTTCGAGAAATTTCGTGCTATGGTCTCATTATCTCATGGTCCCGAGTTCATTGCTCTCCAATGGACTCGTCTGGCGATGCAATGATGGAAGTTTGGACGTTGGACAACGCCCGGCGTGCAATCAGGTCCAGGGTCCAGTGTACGACAAGGATGCCGCCCCTGCCGACTTGGCAGGAACAGCCGTCATCAGGCTCCCCACAGTTCGTGTAAGGCGGAGACACCCTCTTGCGCGTCCAACTTGTTCTTTTTCTTTTAATCTCCTTTTCACTTATTTTTTGTAATACACCATGGCGCTTTTGCGACGCTATGGGCTCTACACGGTCCTCGCCGTGGGCTTCATCTACATGCTTTGGTCGCTCAGCTTCCCATACGAGCAGCCTGGCGACGCGCCCATAAACGGCAATCACGGCCAGCAAAGCCAGCAACCACAGAGAAACCAAAAGTACAAATCCTTCAACTGGGCAAAAGTGCCTTTCAAGAATCGTATCGAATCTCTCACACCACTACCGACCGGCGAACCGAAAGCCCTACCGCCGATACAATTCAATTTCGGGAAAGAGGATGCTACGGCCAAGAACATCCGCGAGACGAGGAGGGAGGAAGTCAAGAAGCAATTCTTGAAGTGTTGGAAGAACTACAGAAGCTTCGCATGGATGCACGACGAGATACGACCCATAAGCGGAGAAGTCGCCGATCACTTTGGGGGATGGGCCGCCACTCTCATTGACGCGCTCGATACACTATACATAATGGGCTTTGAAGAGGAGTTCTCTTCTGCCATCAAGGACATCGAGCGGATCGACTTTGGATACACGGATTTGGATCGAGTCAATGTTTTTGAAACCAATATCCGGCATCTGGGCGGCCTTTTGTCAGCTTTTGAGCTGAGTGGAGACCAGAGGCTACTAAATAAGGCGAAGGAGGCGGGCGAGATGCTATACCATGCGTTTGATACACCCAACCACATGCCGATCACGCGATGGCAGTTCCGCGCCGCGGGCGAAGGCAAACCCCAAGTAGCAGATGAACAAGTCCTACTCGCGGAAATCGGAAGTCTGACTATGGAGTTTACGCGTCTTTCGCAGTTGACTAGCGACCCAAGATGGTATGATGCGGTCAATAGAGTGACGAAAGCCCTCGAAGAACAGCAAGATAAGACAAAGCTACCAGGCATGTGGCCGATCGTTGTCAATGCTCGGAGAGCGGAATTCGCCGGCGACAGCGGGTTTACACTGGGGAGTATGGCTGACTCGACGTATGAGTACTTGGGCAAACAACACGCCTTACTCGGCGGCCAAGACGCCATATACCGCAAAATGTACGAGAAAGCCATGGACACTGCATCCAAGCACGCCTTGTTCCGACCATCCACTCCCGAGAACTCCGACATGCTCATGTCAGGATTCGTCCGCGTTGAAGGTGCCAATGCATACTTGGACCCGGAGATGCAGCATCTGGCTTGCTACACGGGTGGTATGTTCGCTTTAGGCGGAAAGTTGTTCCAGAACAACGAACACGTCACGATCGGTCGCAAGTTGACAGATACGTGCGTCTGGGCGTACCTAGCCTCACCTGCAGGTATCATGCCCGAAGTATCGCATCTTCTCAAATGCGCAAACACAACGACCTGCGTATGGGATGAGAAAGAATGGCTAGAAGGTATCGCTTCCCGAACATCTGACAATGCAGAGGAAAAAGATCCCATCAAGAACATTGCGAACCTTCGCCTGCCAAGCGGCTTCACCAGTATCGATGACAGGAGGTACATTCTCAGACCAGAGGCTATCGAGAGCGTGTTCATCATGCACCGTATTACAGGAGAGCAGCAATGGCAGGCCGCCGCATGGGATATGTGGACAGCTATTCAGCGCTCCACTGACACTGATATTGGTAACTCGGCATTGGCAGACGTATCGGCCGACTCCCCACCAAGAGCGGACAGCATGGAGGTAAGTCATCTCTTCACCTGTTCGTAGGGAACAATATTGAGCAAGTACTAACACGCGAACAGAGCTTCTGGATGGCGGAAACGCTAAAGTATTTTTACCTAACATTCAGCGAGCCCAACGTTATCAGCCTGGACGACTGGGTTTTCAACACCGAAGCCCATCCTTTCCGGATTCCAAAACCCAAAGCAGCGTAACATTCAGATGAAAATCTAGGTCAAGTATGTGGTGACAAATTTCTTCTGGCATCAACGGGATAATATATACCCTTAATCTATCCAACCATCTTCATTACTTCATTAACAAGCTGAGCTCTTGCTCGTCTTTTGCTTCCTTCTTATATCATACACCACCGTTTATCATTCCATCCATCTAGTGTGTACCGTAGTTTGGTCCACCAATGCCTTTTTCGCCAGGCTTGTTCGCACTGGGGTCAACACCAACGTTCGAGTTGCCGCTGTCTGAGGCTACAGGTGCTTCGCCGGGTGCGTTGCCCTCTTTCGCAGCGGGCGCGTTGGATGCACCGAGACCCTTGCCTGCGATACCTGTTAGTACGGCATCCCAATTGAAGTAGGAAGGGAGGATAAAGCGGAGAACATACTCTCAGCTTCTTGCTTGTTGAACTTGTCCGAAGCAGCGTTGCTCTGGCCGGGTGTCTTGGAGTGAGGCATATTGGTCGTGTGGCTTTTTGGCGGTCGGTGTGTTGGAGAAAGAATTCAAGGTTTGATTTGAGGTAATGTGTAATGCGTATGAGTTTGTTGTGGTCCGAAGACATGCGACTTTTATGTCTTATTCTCTTGGGTGCTTTTGTTAGCCTAGTCTTGTGGTTCTGATGTCACTTTATTCATGATATCATCAGTGTGTTGTTAGGATGGGAAAGGATCCGCTTTAGCGCTAGATGCAGGTACGCGATCGCGATTGCGCTACAGCTCGATTTTGTATCGGCACCAACTCACAAGACAATTCATGTACGCACCTTGCAAACTGTGGGACAAGTTGAATATATCAGACTTTCGATAACAAATGCTCATCGCTATCTCGCACGCTACCAAAGCCCATCCATAGCCAAAAGACCTTCCAAACATTCAAAGCCTCATACAACGTGAAAGAGGAAACGCTTAACGCCAATCCATGCACACCGAAACACACTCTATACTGTACTCTTCTTCACTCTCAGTACGTCAACATCTTCTGCCCACCTTTGCCATCGTGGCCCTCGCCAGGCTTCGCAAAACTACACCACCTGTCCTTGATGGACACAACCTCATATGTACCCTCCTCCTGGACCGGAATACTCATGGTCATCTCATGACTGATTTCAGTCTTGATCTCCAGCACCTTGCTCTTGCGTCCTTTGTTCGCGTTTGTACTCCTCGTGTAGGTGAACTCAAACGGTGGGGTACCCCAGAACTGGAATTCTAAGTCTGTGCCACCGCCCTCGTGAATGTCAATCTCGTGGACTTGGCCCCCAGAGAGACGTACAGAGGGGATTGGATGAATGGTCTTGGTTAGGTCGAGCGCTGCGAGGCACTCGGAAGCTGAGTCACGTAGACCAGTGATGGTGAATGTTCCTGGGAGCTCGGCGAGACGGCGGAAGGTGGTACCTGGGTTGGAGGCCTTGCGTTCCTGTTTCTCAAAGGTGTAGTACACTGTAAAGGGACTCTGGCCGCTGAGAGCGAAGGACAGGCGCTCGCCGACACAGAAGTCCTTTCGGTCTTCAAGAGGTGTGGCAGTAGGCGCGTCATGAACGCTGATCTGTACACGAGGCCCACCTGGTGGAGGCCGGAGGGTACAACCACGTGAGTCGCGAACCTTGCGGATAGAAATAGACGAGTGACCAAGGTGCATCTTGCGGTGCTCGATCTTAAGATCATACTTGTTTGTGGGTATGTTCTTGTGCACGCTTATCTCCGGCTTAGGTGTACCCTGGTGTTTAATCTCCACTTCAAGGTAGAATGGCGCAACGCCCTCCAGAGTGATGGGAATGACTTCTTCACCCTCTGACTCTCGAGAACAGTAGCTGTAGGTCTTTCCAGGCTTATCGAATCGAGCACCAGGACGTGAGTGGACTTGTTGCTGGATCGTCAAAGGCGAGAAGTGCTTCTTCGAATGGTCGTACCTGGCATCCGCGAGTTTCAGGAAAGTGTACTCGTAGGTACCGGCCTTTGAGGTTTCCGATCGAATCGTTGCGAGACCACCAACAGTGTGTAGATCCTTCTCGCTGACGGAAGCTGTTTTTCCCTTCTTGTCTTTGTACTCTTGTCGGTAAGAAATGTCGAAAGGAGCGTTTCCTATGAGATGATTAGTATTAGCAATGTGTGAAAAGGCTGAGATAACTTGCCGGTCAGGGAAACATCGAATGAATCTTCATCACCCTCGCACACGGCGTCCTTGATGTACTTGCTGCCTTCCAGCACCGCGCTACTCTCAGGAACGCTGAGCGAGGGACGCGCCACCCAGGATACGTCAAATTGGTCGGCCTTCTCATCGACCAAACCAGGACAAACGGAGTCCTTGACGGAGATCAACTGATACGTTCCGTCCGTCTTGACGTCGAGCCATGAATTGGGATTCTGGAAGCTATCCCTCTTGACCTCCTTGGTCTTCAAGTTTTCGTACTCTAGCAGCCAAGGGCCGCTTCCAGTAAAGCGGAGGGGTAGTCCGACCTGTCGACTCTCCAGAGCCAGGACTGATTGTTTGCCTTCAATGTGTCCGAAGTACGCCTTGGGTCGTTCGTGGCGTACGTTAACTCTAGCTTCTTCTTTGAGGACTTCCTTGCATTTGGACTTGTCGGTAACACCTGTTAGAGCTACGACGTACTCGCCGCCGCTGCTGAGTTTCTCTGTTCGTATGACGTAGTGCGCGTTCTCAGTTTCGATGGCGCGCTTCGTACGCTTGCCGTTGTGGACAATCTCGTACTCCAGCTTCCATGGTGCCTCGCCGACGAAGCCAACGTCGAACTCCACCACATCGTCGATACAGGCTTGTTTTGGTCTGCTACTCTCAATGAAGTGTGCTTGTGCAGAAGGTTTAACGTCTTGTTGGAGTTTGATGTTGTTCAGGGACCGCTCTTTGTAAACCGAGTCGCTGATCGTCTTGAAGGTATACTCGTAATGGCCAGCATCTTGTGGGGTAAGATCAATCGTACTGCGAAGACTAGCGATCTGAATCGGTGGTTTCCTGACCTCTCGGCCGTTGTCTTTCTTCTCGGAGTAGGTGACCAGGAAAGGCGGGCTTCCCACGAAATCAAGGCCTACGCGGAGACCGATGGGGTTACCAGCGCACTTGTCGATGATGTCTTCGCTGTCTAGGGTCAGATCAGGCTCTGGTGGGTTCTGTAGCAGGCATGAAGTAGGTTCAAAAACTTCGCCGTCGCAGAAGTCGGTCGATACAGACTTGATGGTGTAAAGACCTGCGACTTTGATGGTGGGTTGCTCGCCCTTTCGCATAACCTGCTTCTGTAGCACGGCATCTGGGCTGTGATATCCGTCCGCGACAATGTGCTCTTGCGGTGTGAACAAGTACTCAACGGTATGCGCACCGTCAATCGCGTTTTTGCCTGTAGAACCGTATTGGACTGGCAGACGGGCGGCTTCGCCCTTAGGTACTCGAAGCGGATTCTGTGGGCTACAGCCCCTGAGAAAGGCTGTAGGGCGCTCATGAACCTCGAACAACTGACGGATGCCGGCAACCTTAGGCCGTGGCCGCTCGTCATCATCGACGTTTAGATAGCTTACGAAGTTGCCCAGTCCATCTTGTACCTCCTCAATCTCGTACTCCCACGAACCACTAGTTGTGAGAGATTCATTCAGGGGTACTAGAACTTTGTGCGCGCGTGCCCAGGATATGTCTTCGCGCCCGCTCTTGACCAATGCTTGTGATGTGTGTTTCGACAGGGGTGAGATGGCATCGTCTGGCTGTAGGTTTTGGAATTGAGATCCGCCGCGAGGCTTCCCGTTTACAATGAGGCGGTATTTAACATTTAGGGGCGGTGTTCCCTCGACTTCCAGCGCAACGTTGGATAGATCGCTACGGCAGCGGTCGTTGCCAGTTGGCTTTACCCGAGCTTGTGGGCAGGTAGCCACTACAACGTTGGTTGACCGGGGTCGTACCAAAAGCTTCGACTGATCCGTGACTTTCTTCAGCAGATATACACCCGGCTTCTTGATCGTGTAGGCCAAGGTCAACGGGTCGTCAGGATCGGTAGACTTCTGCGTCTTCCTAGCCCTCTTTAGCATACCCTTCAGTTCGCTTTTCTTGACGATGATGGTTTCGTTGACGTTCGTATCGATGTCGATGCGCAGGATCTCCATTTCGTGGGGTTCGGTCTGGTTGATCATGATTGGGATTTCCAATTGGGTGACGGACGAGTTCAGACAGAACGACTGCCTGTCTGGGTTCAAGACTGCGGATCCCTCAGGCAAGATGTTGACAATCTGCTTTCCCAGGATGAGAGAGGCGTTGTGTAGGATGGCGCCAGGCTTGACGCTGCGTTCGCTGATGGCCAGTTCGCTATCCCACAAGAAGCCCACCAAGCCCATAAGCCATGCCTGTACCGGTATGCCGATCCTGAACATGAGCATGACATCCAAGCCCGCATGCAACACAAACAGGAGGAAGGCAGCGCCATTGCCCCATTCAAGCCAGGGAATCTCCAGAAGCGGGACCCCGAACATGAAAAGCACATCGAAGAAGCACCATTTCAGGCACAGCCATAGCGATTCATCTTCCTCGACAGCCAAGGTATAGAAGTCGTAGGTGCGATATGCCCATAACGCGACGTAGAGGGCGAAGACATAGAAGCGCTGCTGCGCAGGATCGAGGATGTCTGAGGGTATTAAAGGCCCTGAGCTTGATTGTGCGGGGGCCTTGGGTAGATCTGGCAGTGGCGATTTGATGTTGGGTCGCGGTGTAGTGCCATTTGGGCTCTGTAGGCCGGGAGAGCGGTTCGTGTTCTGTGGTGTTGACGGAAAGCCTCCCACGCCTCTCCGAACCTGCGGTGTGCCGTTCATCGCACCCAGAAGTTAACACTTGGCTATATCGTGATCATGGGTTGACAGATGCGACGGAGATGAGGAGGGGTTCGGCCGGTGTCGATCGGGTGTGTTGCGCTGGGTGGTTTGGTCGTGGACGTGAAACCATCAAACAAACATTTACCTAGAGCCTACGCGACGGGCGCGACAAGGATGCGGGCTGCGGTGTGGTCGGCCAATCAGAGCTGGATGACGCCGAGCTTGTCACGTGCTAGGGCCCCGACCTTGACCAACACGCCGCGACTTGCTTTCACCTTGACTTGACAACATTCTCAGCTCGATTCCTATTGTCTTGTCGAAACGCACAATAGACAGAGTATTGGCGCTTCACCCATAGATTTCTCGTCACAATGCCCGTCTGCTTTCCTTTCCTCCAACCCCCAAACGTTCACATACACACCTGAACTCCCTCCACTCAGGTTACAAATCACCATAAAGCCCCCTCGACCCAACTCATCCAGCATGGAAATTCAAAACTCTTCCAACCCTAGAGCTGGCTTGGAGATCGAAGACGAAGCACAAGAACAAACCCGACAACAAGCCATGTCTAGCAAAGACGAAGCAAACCAAGCCGCTGGAGTAGTCTCTCCAACCCCAGAGAAAACCAATGGTACATCTACAGCTGAGACCATCAATGGCTCTACAGCTCCGGGCAAAGCCTCGGAGACGTCCTCCCCTAACACCAAGAAGCGAGGTCTGCCCGAACCTGATACAGCTTCCGAGCCCAGCAGTAAGAAGTCAAAAGACTCGCCAACACCACCGTCAGCCCAAAACGGCGCCTCAACAGCTCCTGTATTTCCCAGTCCACCGGATATGCCTGCAACTACTTTCGACAAAGAGACCTGGCAAGGGTTCTGCGACATCGAGAGCGAACCCGCCTGTTTCTCTGTCATCCTCCGCGAAATGGGCGTTCGCGACGTGACCGTACGTGAAGTATTCAGTATGGATCCAGACTTCCTTCTCGACAACATTCCGCAACCCATCTACGGTTTCATTCTCCTTTTCCACTACCGCGAATTCGGAAATGACGACCAGGCAACAGAGTGTCCCAAGGACGTCTGGTTTGCCAATCAATTGCCCGCTCAGAATAGTTGTGCAACACTTGCTATGATCAACATCTTGATGAACCAGAGCCACGAGGACGATGTGCGTATTGGTGAGCATCTGACGCAGTTCAAGGACTTCACACAGGACTTGTTGCCGTATCAGCGCGGCGAGGCCTTTGCGAGCTTCGACTTTGTGAAGAAGATTCATAATTCTTTTGCCAAGAAGATGGACATCCTCGAGGGTGACAAACATCTCAGCTACAAAGTCAAGCGCGCCCAGCGCATCAAGACGCAGCTGCTGTCTGAGAAGACCAAGCCTGCTAAGAGAGGAACCAAGTCGCGTCGCGCTGCTTCTGCCGATACTGTCGCGAGCAATGATAGTGCAGAGAGCATTGAAGACAACGCACATCACTATATCGCCTTCGTACCCGTTGGAAACGAAGTCTGGAAGCTGGATGGCCTGGATAAGCAACCAACATGTATGGGCTCTTTTGATCCGCAGCGGGGCGAGACGTGGTTGGAGTCAGTTTCTAATACGATTTCTGCCCTCATGGGAGCTGGGGACGACGACTACGGCGTTATTGCGCTGACGCAATCTCCTCTGCTTTCACTACGCAAAAGCGCTAGTCTGACGATCAATACTCTCTCGTACGTCGACGCACGCCTCGACGACGTTTCCGCTTCTACATCGCAAGGCTGGAGAAACCTTGTCGACGCAAATGAACAGCCGCCTAGTCCCCGCATGCTAGATCTAGAAGAACATCTAGCCGCTAACCCCATGTCTCCTACTATCCAAGCGACCATTGACAGCGAAGACACGACTCAACTTCTCGCTCGCCGCAACTCATTGCTGACGGAGGCTAATCGACTAGCCGCGAACATCATGATGGAGATGCAGAACGAAGCAGAAGAGGATTTGAAGGCTACGCAACGGCGGTACGATTCTGGTCCAGTCATCAAGAAGTGGCTCGAAATGTTGGCGGAGAATGGGTTCCTGGAGGAAAACCTAGACCGCTTCATGCAGGGGAAAAGCAAAAGGTGAGGGAGTGAAGATATGGGATTACTTCGCGACCATTACATCGGTCTTCTAGGAGTATTACATGTTTATCTTTCAATTATCAATTCAAGCCCGATAGGGCCGGGATGAATACAAGGATTTAGTGTACGATATGGTACCCAACCATCAACGTAACAAATATCAAAAGTAGAATACATCTCTAATTTTCAACCCTTCAAAACGTTCCCAACAAAGATACTTCTCTAGTCCTCCGGGTATTCGTCACGCACATTGCTAACAAAACAATGGGTTGCATCATCCCAGCGCTTGAAGTGGCGACCAGCCAGCTTCAGCAAAGCCACTGAAGGGTATGTATCATCGCTGACAGGCTGAATATTTTCAGCCGCAACGTAGCGAACAGATTTGTCACAGACACTAGTTCTCATTAGCTCGATACGGTAAAGACAAGATGAGACGAACTTACAGTACGTGATAGAAAGCTTGATTCCTGCCATTTGACAGAGAATCCACACGCATGTTCTGGATCCAATCCTCGTTCGCGTCACAGACAACATCCCAGCCTGTGATGACGCCCTCATAGCCGTAACGCTTGTGTTGGAACAATTGGCCTACTTTGAACGCAACGTTCTGCGTGCGCTCGGAGCGATGGATCACAGGCTTACGCACCGCATCAACTTGGTGCATACTCTGCACGAATTGAAGCAGTCGGTGGCCCTCGGGCTGATTGTAGAACATGGGGATGACGTAGCGTGATAGTAACGTCACGTCCCACGGGTAGTGCATCTGGAAATGCTCAAGCAGGTACGGCAGATATTGACGCCGACGGATTGCCGTATGGCCTACGGCAAGATTATCGTCATTGGGTCCTAGCAGCAGCATAGCCCAGATTGTTGCGTAGAAAGCATTGTCCATGTCTGGCTGCGAATTCATCCACGAAGCTTGGATACTGTGCATTCCAGCTTCAGTTTCGCGGATCGTTTGCACAGAGTTCATGATATTGCGTGCGGTACGTATAACCATTTCTCGAGTATTGGTGTCGCCCAGAAAACCTCGGTGTTCACTGCTTGGAACACCCATGTCGCGTAGGACCCGCTGCAGATCGCCTTGTCTTACTTCGGATGAAGACCGAAATGGGTCCAAGTACATGTACTCTAGCTCCGTCGAACTTGTTGGCTTGTATTCTCCGTCGAGGTTGTAGTTCTTGGGCGCGTAGACGAGGGTATAGACGTGGAAGAGAAATCCACAGGGTCGTGCATCAAGGCCGATCCGTCGTGCTACTGCGCAATAGATGGCGACCGAGATGAGGGGAAGAGAATCGTGCTTCGCTGAGCGTATGACAAGACCGATGAAGGAATTTCGGAGAGCGCGATAGGACGTCTCTGTAACACCTTGAAAGCCTTGATCACGGAGGTAGGATGCCAATGTCGAAGCCTGTTTTCGCGGACTCCAGCTGCGGAAGCCAGGATATGTTTCTAGCAATCTATTGGCTAGTGCAGTGATATCTTCAGCTACCACGTCAACATCAACGTCTTCTCCAACTCGTGCAAATACATCGTATGCGCCCAGGGCTCTCTCAATCGATATGTCTTTGCCGCCATGCAAGTCTGTCCACACTTTGATGGCGACCTCGCGATGTATGCGCTCTAGTACGGCATTGGCGTAGTATCGTCTCGCCAGAACATCTTCTGCATCGTCAGGGCATGCGCATTCCTTCAGTAACGTCTCCTTTGCATCGTATCCAAATTCTGCAATGTCGTTGATGCGCCGTATGCGCTCTTGTTGACTAGTGACGATATGATTCAACAACTCTTTTGTGCGACGCTCGATCGTGTGCTTCGTCATGTATAGCGCGCGCCAGTCGACATCGGATAATGGGGCTGCAAACTTGGCGATGATGTTGTGGCGAGAGTCCCATGTTTTGAATTGCGTTTTGCATAGATGCCGCCAGATGATAGGCGCATCAGTGGTGAGCTCCTTGATGAGCTTGTTGGTTTGCGAAACGGATGCGAGGGATCGTGGGTCGAGGTTTAGGAAGATGGCTTCGAGGATCTCGGTCGGCAGGTCAGTGAAGGAGGGGCGTTCCATGGTGATGGCGGGCTAGAAGTCGTTCCAAGTTTGCGGGGTCAAGTAAGTGGGCGGTTTCGGAGAAGAGTGGAGTCGTGGAGGGAGGATCAACGCAGAGCGCAATGGTGAATAGGGCTCAGGTGTGGCGAGTGCAAGCCATAGTCGAATGTTCCGCGGCGGATGTCGTCAACATTGGAACATGGGTGGTGATGAGCGCATTGCTCGCTAGCATTTACTAGCCTCGGCAGCTAAATCGCGATAACGCACCTCCAACGCCTGTTTTCTATGTCGTATCGCGGCTCAAGATATACGATCGCGGCTTGACTAGGATGCAACTGAACTAACTCAATGTCTCGTTTCTCAAGCTAGTTAGAGACGTCTCAGGCATGGATGCAAAACCGATGCAGCGAGAGGGCTCGTGAAATCTGCTATATCAGTAGGCTAAAGGACTTGCCGTACCCTTGATAGTAGCAAAGTTTTATCAGGCTGCTCACTTCGCCAGCCGCTGAGAGATGCATGATAGCGCAAAGGTGACTAGTTTGGCTTGGGTAGATTTACTTTGGAATTACCATGACAAGACAACTCTATACAGAAAGCCACGGAGTCCACCGTCGACTAGCAAAGAATAACGTTTGATGACTCCGCCAAAGCATACGTCCGTATCACAGTCCCCTCTTCATCAAGCTGACAGATACGTATTAAGTCATCACCAAGTTAAGTCATCAGTGTCAGCAGAAGTTTCTTGGCAAACCTCCGGCTCACAGCGGAAATGAATCGCGACACGCTCAACTCTGGACTCATTGTGGTCAGTGCAATAGACGCGATTCAAGCACGGCAGCCAGACATGTCCGCAGGCAAGCAAAAGTCTCACATAGTTTTGCACATTTCGTCCGGATAGCGCGTAACCGTTGCCGAAGCTCGCTCTCCGCGAGCCCCGATCTGCAGCCACAATTGATTGATGTCACTGCCGCACCGCCGCATTCATTACCATAAACATGACGCCCTAGAACCGAGCGGTCTGGCTCACCACTTTTTCTCCCTTTCTTTTGGCCTCGTAAACCTACATCCTTACTTTTCCTATCATATACCACCATGGCCGACCTCAGTAGAGTAGAGTCGATGCAGTATCCTGCGGGGCATCTTTCCCATCTCACCGAGAATCAGCAGGCCCAGCTTCTCGAGTTCAAAAACATCTGCCAGCAGGCAGGCTATTATACACCTGCAGTCGGAGCGAATCAAGCCAGCCATGACGACGAGACCATGCTGTATGCGCAAAACGCGAAGTTAGTAAAATTAGCGGGGCACTGACTGCTTACAGGCGCTATTTGCGCGCGCGTCGTTTTGTTCCCCAAGAAGCCTTTAAGCAATTCAAAGACACGGAAGATTGGCGGAAGGAGAATAAGCTGAGCGAAATCTTCAACACCATTGAGGTCGAAGAGTATGAGCAAACGCGCCGCTTGGTAGAGAGTCCCGCAAACATGCGCTGTCATCCTGTCTGACAGCCTCACGTAGTACCCGCAATGGCTCGGCCGACGCGACAAACGCGGTATCCCTCTCTTCCTTTTCGAGGTCGCACCGCTGAACTCGAAGAACATCTCCGCATACGAGAAACAACTCGCCAAGTCAAAGACGACTATACCCAATGTCGCAACCAAGAATCTGCGCTTATTCGCCCTGTATGAGTCGCTCACAAGGTTCTACACGCCGTTATGTTCCATGGTCCCTCGCAATCATCCGGAGACGCCCATCTCGCAAAGCAACAACATTGTGGATATCAGTGGTGTTGGGTTGAAGCAGTTCTGGAATCTGAAGGGCCACATGCAGGATGCTTCCGTGCTGGCCACAGCACACTACCCCGAGACACTGGATAGGATATTCGTATGTCTATGAATTGTTACGAGAACAAGTCAAGTAGGACTAACCGCGCCATAGATTGTTGGAGCGCCTGGCTTCTTTCCCACAGTCTGGGGTTGGGTCAAGCGTTGGTTTGATCCCATCACCGTCTCCAAGATCTTCATCCTCTCGCCGCAGAACGTCTACTCCACACTCTCCCAGTATATCGACCACGAAAACATCCCGAAGAAATACGGTGGCGGTCTCGATTTCGAATGGGGACAACTACCAAACCTTGAGCCAGCCATCGAGGCGCAGATGAAATGGGAAAATCCAAACACTCAGGACGGCCGCAAGACGTTCCCTATTGGGCCGATAAAGTGGGAGGAAGGGCAGAATGGGGAGATGCAAGCCTGGGGTGTTGGCAGTGAGAACGGAGCACCACGAAGAAAACTCATCTTCTCCATCCCCAAGCCTGTGGGATACAAGCAGGGAGATTTGATGCCGCCTACACCCGCGACTCAGATTGATGACCCTCTCACAACCGTAGGAACGGCTACACATCCACCCGATACCAACGAGCCAGATATCGATACTCCCCCCTCAGACACCGAGTCACGCCCGGCCATGAGCTCACCACCGAATATGACAACCTTACCGATTCGCGAAGGCACATCAGAAGCACGGTATGAGCAACAAAACCATACACACGCATCTGGTCAACTCGCAGAGGGAACACCTGAAGCAGCCGTTGTCGATCACGGAGACGGAGACAAGACAGTTGCAATGGAGCCCAACACAGTGGGCCAAGCACCGAAAGAGGTACCACTCCCTGATCGCGAAGAACCCGCTGCCCCGGGCTACTTAGACCAAGCTAAACAAGCCGCTGTATCAGCCTCTGCTATAGTCACTTCCACTGCTACTTCTGCTGCCGAAGCTGTAGCTGGTGTCGTTGGCGGACACAAAGAGGACAAGGTTGAGGAGCCTGAGCGGGCGAAGAGTCCACAGGAACAAGAGATGGATCGTCAGATCGATGCGACGAGTGCCAAAGACGTCGAGGCGTTTTTGAGAGCGAAGACTGCTAGTGGGGGACATATAGTCAGCTGAGCTCCTTCCAGCTTCGAATATGTCTCACGTAGAGTAGAGATTGGATTGGTGATGAATTATTGATACCACAATAATAGCAGTGCGTTAAGCTCGTACGCTTCCATAAAGACTTGGTTCACATTAAAGACGCGTTCGCCAGTATCATACAAGCTCAATAACTAGAGACCAGTAGTGTACGAACACATATGAGAAGTCCCCAGTAATTCTAGACATGATACATGTTATGCTCAGAGGTATTGAGAGGGAAAGAAGATGCTTGTGCTTGGATGAGCTTTGAAGCTTCACCAAGCTTTGCACAGGTCCCACATCATCAGGCAAGAGCGAGCTTCTCCAACGCGCGACTGACAGCGACCAGTCCAAAGTCCAATCAACCATGCGATCATTCAATCTTTCAATGATTGTGTAAACATGCGACACTTGCAATCAGCCCACCGAATTACCATAAGACACCACCATACTAACGGCCCTCCAAATCTCAGCTCCAACGCCCCATGTAACATACACTCCCGATACAGCAAATTACCCGTCAGCCTCCGTACCACTTACCCAAACGATGCCACAAATACCGCGCCGGCTGATCGAACACAAGAGTCTGTGCGACCACGCCGTCAGCTCGTTAGTCCCGTGCTACATAGCGAACGGTTTCGGTGCTGGTTAGCGTCAGTGCGGACATAATGAGGTACTAGGTTGCAAGTCATCGCGCAAAACGACGTGTGATACGCTACACCATGGGCACGGTGTGTGATTCGGGTGAAGACTTCCGGGTGGCTGGGAGCCTGGACAGGGCGGGAAGGAAGGGTAAGAGTGGGGAAAAGAGTGGGCGGGCGAGCGAACCTCTGCTGTTTCCGCGTTGAACAGTGACAGGTTAGAAACTTGGTATATCCATCACTTCAGCTTAGCATCTCGAAGCTGATAAAACATGTTTCACGGAAATATTGTAGATCAGGTTGCGGACCAGTGATGACTGGCTGGGGGTATAACATTCCCCTAAACACTTCATAGCATCGAATACCACGTAGTAGTTCCATGCGTTACAATAGCGTCCACTGACATCGCCATTCCACATATCATGTGATCCTTTCCCACATACCTTCCAAGCCACATGCTTAGACGGTAGAGGTTTCGTGCTTAGCAGCAATGTTCTCAAGAGGGATCTCGATGTGCTTCTCAGCAAGATGCATTTCGCCAGCGAAGGTGCTGTGGGGCTTCCACTTGCGGGAGGTGCGGGGAGTACTCTCCTCCAACATCTTGTCGACTTGCTCAAGGGTGAGACCCTTGGTTTCGGGAACGAAGAAAAAGGCGAATAGGAAAGAAACGCAGCAGAGCGAGCCCCACAGGAAGAAGACGTTGGATCCAAGACGAGCAGAGTCGTCACGGTCGGCAACGAGGTAGGGAGTGATGATACCGATGATGCAGTTCCAGAACCAGTTGCTAGCCGTGGAGAGTCCGACACCGCGAGATCGGATGGTCAGAGGGAAGATTTCGCCAATGACAATCCAGGCGCAAGGTCCCCAGGTGGTGGCGAAGACAGCGATGTTCAGGCAAATAAATGCAATCATGGCACGGGTGGCGTTTGGATTGGCCGGGTGATCGGCAGTGTTCTTGCCAGCGGTTGCTCCGATAGCTCCAACGATAAATTGCATGATGACCATACCAGCGGCTCCAAAGACAAGTAGCGGACGTCTTCCAATCTTCTCAACCATGATGAACGAGGCAGGCGTGGACAGCACGTTGACAAGGGTCGTAACAAGGGAGATGAGGAAAGGATTGCTGATTGAGCCGAGCTGCTGGAAGAAAACAGGTCCGAAGTAGAAGATGAAGTTGATACCAGTCAGCTGCTGCATAGCCTGCATAAAGATACCAAGTGTAGTACGGCGGGCGTTGGATGAGGGCGAGGAGAGCTTGCCCTTGAAGCAGGCCATCCACGAACCGATATAGCTGTGCTGAGGGACTACGGACATCTCGTATTCGTGGTTGGCAATGATCTCAGCGAGTTCATCCTGGATATATTCAGAGTCAAGAGGTTGGCCACGGACACGGCCAAGGGCAGAGGCGGCCTTGTCGAGCTTGCCCTTCTTGACCCAATAACGAGGGGACTCTGGTAGGAGGGCGAGACCAACGGCGAGGATGATAGCCCAAAGAAACTGGACAGCAATCGGAATACGGTAGGAACCAGTGTCGCGTCTGTTCTGAGTGGCGTACACCACGCAGTTTGCGAGTAGAATACCGATGGTAATGCAGAATTGGTAGCCTATTCAAGTTAGAACGCATGACATACAAGTCGCACGAAAAGTACTCACCGGCAACTACGGCACCACGGACCTTCTTGGGTGCAATCTCGGACATGTACAAGATGACGATGGATGAGATGAAACCCACACCGAAACCAGCAATGAGTCGCCCAGCAACCATGACACCAAGACCAGTGGAGGCAGTCTCGAGGATGCCACCAACAACAAAGATTCCGCAGCCCATGATGATAGTCATACGACGTCCGATAAAGTCAGCGATGTCACCAGCCATGATAGCACCAAAAAAGGTACTGTGGTCTGTTAGCCTACTATCATCACACCAATGTATGGATTCTACGTACCCAGCAGAAAGGATAGATGTTACAAGAGATTGTTGCCATGGAGCGACGACAAAGGTTGAGTTGCGATAATCTGGTATACGAAGTCAGTACATGCCTCAAAAGCACTTCGTACAGGAACATTTACCCTTGATCGTTTGGTCCGTCGATGCAAGACCAGGGTATTTGACGTCTGGATACTCGGCTCCAGTGTATTGCTGGATGAAGTAATCCATATTGAGGACACCGCCCATCCAACCTGTATCATATCCAAAAAAGATTCCACCAAACGCAGCGAATGCGACAATCAGGTAAGCCCGAACAGTAACGGGAGCCTCAACACGGTTAACATCAGTCGTGCCGGTGACGGCAACAATCCCACCTCCTGGCATTTTGTAGTTACGTGTTTCAATGTTACTCAAAGAAGGCGTAGCGAGTTTGACGAGCCCTTTACACAGGAAGAGGAATCCCGCGCAGCGTTGAACAAAGAAGATGCTGGGATGTCTGGGGAATACGATCAGTGGTGGGATCTTTAAGCTTTTAATATCGGATCCCAAACAGCGGTGATACTGCAGCACGGTGCGCGTGTGGCTTTCTGTGGTAACATTGCACATTCTTACCCTAGGCCTTAACGGGTTGCTACTCCGCATCTTACGCTTCTGGAAGGATTACTACCATTCCCCATGGGCCGTTCGCGTTAGTCAACGACTAGTGAAGATGCATATGTCTGCATGTACTGTTGGCACACGGCTGAGGTGACCTGTCATCGAGACGGGATTACACTACCATGGAACTCACGCATCGGGGACTGCAAGTAACCTCGGATCCACTATGCTTCCGCTGTAGATGGCCGGATATGTCGCTCATTCAGGCAGTACAACAGTTGGTCTGGGATACGAAGCACCCGGGGGAGGCGTCAAAACCTGGGGTGCCAAGCTCACTCAAGCTCCGCGTGAAGCCTGTCTTAGCGGGTGAGACCTGCATATTGTCCTGAAGGATCCTTGTAAAGTTCCGAGACTGTCACCTACATGGCAGATGAATGAGATACAAAGCGCGTGTGGATGGGCGCTAGTTGACGCCCCATCAGCCAAGAGCTCTTACTCTTCCATCGGTTTGGAGGAGTGTTTGGTTTCCGATGTATCACGCTGACTTCCTCAAACAACACGAACAGCACATGACGGAAATCATCAAAATAGCTTGTCCTGGTGATGACCGTAGTTTGCCGGCGAAGCCACCGCGTGTCGGCGCCTGATTGTCCTTTCACTCTTTGTCCAATGGGCGACCATCTAGAATATCTCGCTTGCACAACCCCGGACACGTTAATGTCCATCGTAGTTGTTCTGGTGTGGAAATCAGGCATGGCAGGCGTCTCCCGCCTGAACGTCCGTCCCTTGCGGTGGGTCGAGCACATCCTGGAGCATATACATAAGCATGTTGATTCGTTCGCGTAGAAGATGGAATGTTAACGGGTCAAACGTCGCCAATAAGAACGGCAGGCCCGAAAGTTGGTGTGCCTCGTACATATTACATGCTTGTCTTGCCGCCCATAGGTCAAACCCTGGAACATCAAGATTAGCTGAAAGGCAACTGAAGGATCAATCGGGCACTCATTCCTAATACGTGTTCAGCCAGAAGATCATGATGCTCATGAGTACTGGTGGCGCATCCGGTGTTATTGTCACCTTACCCTTTGTTAGCCACAGCCGTGCGGCGTATCTGGAGAAGCTTGTCATAGGTAAGCAGCCACCAAGTATAGAGATCAGAGCAACAATGAGCGAGTAAGCAAAAAGAAAAACGGCTGGTGTCTTTCACATGCGCGTCACCGGATAGCTTTCCTAAATGACTTTGAGGTGACACCCCCGCTCGCTCTCCAAAGCGATGCTACTTTGCAACGCCTCGTGATATTCGCCCAACGATGGACCTGATTCTGCTACAAGCTACTAGCGTCAACAAACGCGTTTACCGTCTGCTGGTCCGCGGACAGGGACGTTTTGGAGCTTGGGCGGTTCCGACTGGATACTTGCGGGCAAGGGAACTAACGGAAATATCTTGGACCTCTCGAAAACGGCGCGCTGTGCCGGACAAGTGTGCACAGAATATGCGCATCTCGAAGGAAGGCGCTGTACATGTGGATTATGCACGTGGATGCGCTGCTGTAGGTTTCGAGCTGCCACAGCTCTTCATGGCAGTAATCGGAGTCGGATAAGCTTTGAGAAACTCTCGGTTTTCTACATGGGGACTCCATTCAAAGGTCTGAACAAGCTCCTGCGCGAACGGTTTCTAGCGCCTAGTAGCGCGGGGTGTCTGATTCAGGCGTCGCGAATGCATCCTTCGAGGACAAGAAATCAAGAGGATTTCCGAGACCCACTGTGACATGGCAAAAGCTTTTTTCACTTTATGTGAGGAACTTATGTCGAGTCAGGGCGACGTCAATAGTGGTTGTGAAGGGAGCGCAACTAATCGATGCACCCGTGGACGCCTTCCGTGCCCATAGGGGTATCGCGTAAACCGTGCCGCCACTGCAGAAATCAGCTGCGGCATGTATGCAGCACGTCGAGAGACATCACGGAGTAAACGCCATCCGCGTCCCGGGCCGGCATCTTTGCCAAGCTTGAACCTCAACAACATCTCCAGTGCGTAGATACGAAGCTCAAGTTGAAGGATTTCAATGCATTCCAACAGCTGTTGAAGACAGCCTTACGTGCTACGACGACAATGCCATACTCGTTGCGACCATAGCCGCTGTATCTGACATCCTCGCATCTCCGGTAAGCTATCTCTTCCTGGGCCGGTTTGGTCATACGTTGGAGGAGTCTTTGGAGACCATATTCACGAGAAGTACCGAAAGGAGCTGTTCTAGCTGCATCAAGCTCGGGGTAAGGAGTCTTAGTATCGCCTATCGTTATGTGGCTCGCGTTGGAACCACTTCGTCAGATTGCGAGAGTACGGATATGACTGAGGGCATCCGATACTTGCCTATCACTGCAGAGACCGCCTAGTCATGTCGTCACCAGCAATTACAATTGCAACTCCCACGATTTCGTAAGAAACCTAAGCCCCTATGCTCCAGTTGCATCCCGACAACAGAGCCGAGCGCCTCGATAAGCAACAAGACCTTTCGTTCTCAGAGAAATGATATTCGACTAGTGACACAAGAAGCTGGCAGTGTTATGGTGCATCGAATCAAGCTGGACCCCAGGAAGTAGGAAGACATACCACACACTGATGTTAAATGGTGGGGCCTTACAATGCCGCACAACGATCACAGGAGCACTACAAGATGTATGCATGCTGATGCCACCAAGTTTTGTACACCGACGATCAACATCCCTTTATACCTCCTTTGGCTTCTCCTGGTATGCAGCAATGCCTTTCTGAACGGCAATGTTTCCCAGCGATCCTGGACGGGCCTTATTAATTGACTCGCCCAAGTTCTGCACGAAATCTCTTGGAAGGTGTTCGACGTGCTTGGAGATATCACCTATAGACCGTGAAGTGCACAAGTCGGTGACGAAACGTCTAGCAGGACTACCTGGAGGTGTGCCGTTGTAGATGGCCTTGACAATGTAAAATGCTGGGACTATCCAAGTTGTCTCGCGTCCTTTCAGCTTGTTAGTAGCCAGTGCAGCTTCCAACATAGCGTTTTTAGTCGCCAGATCTTGAGCCTTTTCAGCAAGGATATAAACGCTAAAGAGATCCCGGTATTGATCTCCAACGTATGTTTGAAAGTCCTTGAATTCGAGCATCTTCAGCTCTTCCATAGTCTTAACCGCAGTTGATAGCTGGCCGGTGTAACATAGTTGATGTAGCGGGCAAAAATTTTGCCTTCATCGTCGAGGAGGTTGATGATGCGTGTTTCCGCCTCTTTCCAGTTACCGTTCATGGCGCGTCGGAAGAACTCTGAGCGGGAAGTGAGAAAAGACTCATGCGCAGCGAAGCCTTCTGTATTCGGCGCCTGTCCCACGCGTACGGTGATTAAGGCGCTCGTTTTGAAGCTATCCGTATAAAGTTAGATTTGCCATTGCTTGCAGAATGTTGTGGCGCTATCGTCTTACCTTATGATTCTTGGCTTGCTAACGTGGGTGGCTTGGGGGCTCGCCATGACAATACAGGCGGCTTTGGGTGTTATTTCGCGGGATGAGAACGAAAGGATTAAAGATTTCGCTTGGAGGGTTGGCTTGTATGGATGCGGTGGCGGTCCATGCACGGCAAGCAGTGGTGAAGGTGAGAGTGGGCGAACAGGCAGGCGCAACGGGCGTTACCAGCTCAAGAATCACGCATACCAAATTACACCATACCCACTTGGGAGGCTGCCTAGGTAACATTATCAACTTCCTGCTGAGTGTTGTTGGAGCTTTACAAATATATCGTGGCTATACGCAACATGGGGACCACATTGTTTGCTACATCATGGAGTAGTGGGAGTATCTTCCAGGTATACTTGAAGCGCCTCAAAAGCGGCAGTGAACTATTGCGACACTAAAGGCACCATCTTTACCCCGACTGGCAGATGAATGCTCCAAAAGTTCAAGCAAACGACCTACTCTTTCTTCGCCTCCGCTATGTCATGATAAGACTCTGGAGTTTTCATAACGTGGCTATGTGACAGCATCCTCGTCTCCAACAAGCTCAGTGCTAAATCTCTCATGAAATCTGAAGGGAAAGGTTCGCTCCCTACGCATACAAGTCAATCAGTAAGCGACGCGCACCTAGCCTCTGTCCTGTGCTCTTGTAGATAAGCTCGACACATTGACGCGATGGTAGACTAGCATCGCGGACCTCCTGCGTAGCGGCTTTGCCGAATAAATCTGACTCTTGAGATCTTGCGCAAAGGGCATCTACGACAATGTTTTGCGCTTCCAGATCTTTGTACTTGTATGTGAAGAGGTAGAGTTTGCAGAGATGGCCATACTCGGTATCGTCGTGAAAACCTCCAAAGGCGGGTTTGCTAGGAATTCGACCGGGGTAGAAGAGTTGATCGTAGAGCCCGAATGTCTTCGCATCGACGTCATCTAGAGTGTAGAATTTTTGGCTGTATTTGGAGAAGATTGCTTCCCAGTAGACTGATCGTGCGCGAAGAATGTTCTCGTGAACCATGAAGGTCGTGCCAGGATCGGTGACACCGATATGCAAAGTGACTACCGTGAGACCGAAGCTACTATTCTTCAGTATAGTGAGATATGAAGAAGGTCTGGTAACTTACTCCATATTTTTTGACTCCGGGATGCGGAACGCTGCGGGTGCTAGCTCTTTCTCTTCCATTTTACTGTTCTTGATATTCTTGCAAGCATGAAAATCGAATGATCCGGCGTCGGTAACAACATACTTTACCTCTGTTGTGCTACTTCTACAAATGTACGGAACGGGTTGATGAATTGATTGCCCATATCTTGACACCATGCGCAAGCAAAGCACAAAATGCCTCTGTCTAGGATCGTAAGAAAGCAAACGTTAATATCACTACTAAGAAGAGAAACCGATAGCCGAAACCTAGGTAAATTCGTTGCTTCGGGCAATTCTCCTACGTCCTTTCGATACGTTCAATTATAGTTGTGCTCTCAAACGTTCGCCTATGATAGCAGGTACACCTGAGGGTTGTAAGTGCAGGAGCTAGCGAATACCATGGCGGACGCGTGGAGCGCAATGCAGAAAAGCTCATCGCGTCGGCGTTTGTGTGGAGTTTGCCCGGAGAGGTGAGGATATCCAGCCAAGTGAGTTATCTTATCAGGGACCCACACATGCCCCTCACATGATCCGCAACATCAACGCGTCAGATCATAACAACGCGTCGCATTCACTGTGTTCAGAGACGCGCAACGTTTGAAGTATGTATTGGTTTCCATTGCTTGAGATGATAGCATCACGTCGTAGCTACCTCTCCCGTAACGCCAGATTGCGACGCTGAAGAGAACAATGACAGTAGTAGTAGACATCCATCCGCAGTGACAGACACGCGCCCGAACGCCCGGCCAACATGATATACCCGACATGAAAGAGTCAGAGACGAACACCGTGGGCCTTCCTTACCCACATCCACCCATGGTAAAACCACGCCCTCCTGTAAAACCCATAGACTAGTAGTGAGACAAAGGGAATCCGTGAAGAAAATGTCGTCTAGCGTACGCTCCGAAGCGAACTCACGGTAGCATGATAAAGGAAAGAAGATCAACAAGAACGAAGAAGCTCAAGCTGGAACAGCTCATGCCTTGGCCTTTGGTGTGGCCTTCTTGGGTGTTGCCTTCTTCTTCGGTGTGGTGGCCTTCTTCGCCGCAGCAGTCTTCTTTGCTGCTGGTGCCTTCTTTGCTGCCTTGGTTGCGGCGGCGGGAGCCTTGGTCTTGGTGACACGACCAGACTTGGTCTTGCCTAGGACGCGCGATACCTCCTCCTCGACGGCAGGGGCAGCGGTAGGGGCAGTCTTGCGAGGTTTGCTGGCGTTGGCCTTGGGCTTAGCGGCAGGGGCAGCCTTGGTGGCAGTAGTTGTAGCAGTGGCCTTCTTGGGGCGGCCGGCGGCCTTCTTGGGAGCAGCCTTGGTGGCAGTAGTGGTGGTAGCCTTAGCCTTCTGTAATTCGAGTCAGCAAGACACACTATTGAGAAGAGACCTGTACTTACTGTGGCGGTAGCTTTCTTGGCAGCAGGGGCCTTCTTTTCGGTGACCTTCTTCTCGGTCTTCTTCTCGGCGGTCTTCTTCTCAGCGACCTTCTTTTCAGCCTTGGGCTCAGACTTCTTGGTAGCGGTGGCAGTGACAGGCTTGGCCTCCTTCTTTGCAAGCTTTACCGGTCCAGACGTGCCTGTATTACGCGTCAAAAAAGTTCACATTGACTCGTTAGACGCGCACGGAAGATGCGCGGCAGCGACGCGTCGAGGACGTTGTTGCGCTGGGAGTCGACAGCAAGGTAGGCACTTACCCTTAGGACGTGCGAAGTCACCCTTCTCCTCGCCAGACGTGATAGCACGGTTGACGTGGCTCCTGAAGGCGGCATCGCTGAGGTTGCCGACCTTGTTGTTGGCTTGGATGTATTTCTGGATAGCTTGACGGCTGTTGGCGCAAAGTCAGCGAGAGCTCTTGGGTGCTTTCTGACAAAAGCATGACGCGACGCATGAGCAATGCCATGTGGGTGGTGGCTTGACTAACCTTGATCCATTGCGTTCCTTAAGCTATATCATGCATAGAGCGCGTCAGTAATCATGTTCATTTGAGGAAGGAACGTTGTTGTGCTTTGTGGTGCTTCGCGCCGGAGTTGGCGTCGCAAGCTGTCGCAAAGTCATGTGCAGTGCAATGCGCTTCGAATAGACTTACGTTGATGATAGCATCCTTGACCATATCTAATAGAGTCAGCATTGACCGGCGACAAAGATGCAACTATCTGGCAGCCAGCGCGACGGCGCTGGGTTGAGATATCATAGTACATACCGATGTAGGAGCCATGGGCAGGCGCGGCGGCAGCAGCCTTTGCCTTGGAAGGGGTGGTGTTCTTCTTAGGAGGCATTGTTGGTACTGATTTAGACGGGAAGATAGACGGATTATTGATGCTTCGAACGAGAGAGCGAGCAAGAAAATCGATGGTAAGATGGTGGTTGTAGAAAGTCTGGAAGTCGCTGAGTTGGGGCAAGCACGCGGCGGGTGGGGTATGCGCCGTTCTTATACTTTTCAGGGATCAAAATCGCCGCACTCAGATCACCAACCCCAAAGGCGCTAATTCTCCAGTCCTGATCAAGATGTGCTTCAGTTTGATCTCATGCTGCAATACTGCCGCCTACGCTGACTGGGCGCAGTGCGGCTCCTGTCAGTTCGATTTGTTGGGGGTCTATCGAGTCTGCCCTTTGGAAGCGCAGGCCTTCACCCCATCTCTTCCGCTTCGAGTCGCTCTTTCTCATCTTGGTGACGCTGCATCTGTCACCAATGCCTGCTACGAGCCTGACCGCAAGCAGTTGTGGCCTCGCACTTCAATCATGCCAAAGGCCAGCCCTTGTTGTTTTACCGGAACCCTCTATCTTGGAGATGCGATAGAAGCATTTTGCGCCTCGAGGAGCTTTTGCGCAATCCTCTGTTTTCAACACCTTGACATCTATTGCACACATACGCCGCTACAGACCTGTTCTTTCCTTTTTGTTCGTATCAATCCCATAGCCCATGTGAAATAGTATAGTTCCTGTTATTTCAGTATGCTCATCTGGTTCATTTTCGCTCTCGACGGTTGTGTTTTTGGCGATACATGCATCGCGCCATCCGCCATCCATGGTGTTTCGCTTGCGCGTCGACCCCTCGAACACAACCCGCCCCAACGCGTACAAACAAGTAGAATTAAAGCATCATATCTGTCTATAGGTATCGCGCAGTGCAAATGTGAATTTTAGGAGTATCTTCTTAATCCTGTCACCCAGCACAGTGTTAAACTGATGACGTGTTGCAATGTGTCAGGCGGGGGTGGATCACGCGTCCACTCTGCCGCTCCAAGTCCTCCTCTCCAACACAGCCTCTGAGACTAACGCAAATTGAGCGTCTCAGACAAGATGCGTATTTTTTGTACCGGTTTACGTAGTTCTACAAGCTTTGTAACCTGCCATAACGCGTTGTGGCTGGTATGCGAGCGCGGTGTTGTTTCGCGACTCTTGGCTGGACGATGTGGGACAATCCAACACAAATAGCTAGCACCTAGCACCTGAAAATCTAACACTGGCTACCTTTGAAAGATTTTCCAAGGACAAGGCTCAAGTTTGGGACTGTATAGATTCGACTGTTCGAGTAAAGGCTTTCAGAAATCCGGATGGATATGTTCGTTCCACGCCATCCGGCCGTTGTAATGCGCCGAGCAATGTGTGTACAATATCAGTACTACTAGAACGTCTCTACGCTTCACCTGGCCATATTCTTCGAAATTGTCACCCATTAACATCACTTCGTTGTGGGCCACACTGTTGAAGATCAAGGAATGAGTGACTGACCGCGTACCTAGGTACTTGAGCGTTCGAATGGCTGCTCTGCATCGTGAGATCGGAGTAGAACGCTCGCATTCGAACTTTGCATGTTGTGCATCAGTAGAAGAGTTATGGTCCTGTAATAGCAATACTGTGTTTAGAGTAGGATAAGGGGTGGTTGGGTGGCAGAATACAGAAATATGGTGCACCGCTTGCTTTAAATACAACGTTCGACAACCGGTTCATGGAAAGACGAATCTCAGCTTTATTGCTGGACGTGTTTGGAGAATTATTGCCTTGGTCAAGCTTATTTTGTCGGTGATCTTTTGTTGTGAGATTCAAATATACCTCCTCCACTCAGTTTTATTGTCAAACATGTAGTCAATAATTACTATACGGTACACTCGAATATGAGCGGCAATGGCAAAATAAGCAATATCCGCAGGTAGAACAATGAGACATCATATAAAAACCCTAATATGAATGTCATTAGGACTAGGAAAATGAAAGTATCAACTTCGTTCCCACCTAGGTAGCTAAGTATCACTATAGGCCCTGATCGCGATTGATCGTAGAGGCTGTGTATGACGGCCCTCTACGATCTTGTAGAGTGTTCTAGAAGACAAAGTATTGGAACCCGTGCCTATAGCAATGAGCATCTTTGCTTGATTTACTGCCCGATCAGCTACATAGGTATGGCTAAGCTCAGAAAATTACATCTGCGACCTACCTGGATGCACTCAATCGTCATTCGACGTAACAAACGAATAATTGCTCATTATCTTGCACGACGATTTCCTATCGAGGCTGGACTTCAGATCTCACAATAACGCCAGAAGCCTGGCATCTGAGCGGAAGAGGTTCGCGCCATATCGACTCAGGCAGTGACATACAATACCGCTTTCGTCATTGCCAATAATGGCAGGCATAAAAAAAGCAAGTGTTCTTTGTGCATGAGAGTACGCTTTCTGCTCCTTCGTAAAAATATAAGGATCACCTCGCTCAGCTAGATGTCCATCAGGATCACGCCCGGAAGACAGTCGAGCTACCAGATGATGGTCATCAGCGAGGCTTCAAACACCACCAAGATTATTCCTTAGGAGATCGATAGTGCGTGTACAGTTCGACGTTTGATGGTGGGTCCGAATGTGAACGAAGAAAACCTGCTGGTCGAATCTACCGAATATCCCCCGTATTTATAAAGTGATCTTACTGTTAGCTTGACGAGCGTCCGTAGGCAGGGTCTAAGTGACGTCGCGAAGCCGAGAGTGGCGTACTACAAGGTCGTGAAGGCGGAGTAAGGTATGTACACATGATATTGAACGTGGACAGAAAACTGCGGACGCAAAAGTGTGGGATGAGGCGCGCTTGATGTTCAGTCGTTCCAGCTGCAGACGGACGGCGTGGTTTTGAGAAGGCGCGCGGCGATGGCACATATGAGCAAGCTCGAAATGCGATAATTGCCTCATTATTCCGATTTAGTGGAGTTTGACCTGTGCTCTTGTTTGAGAATGACGCTTGCCTTCGTATCACTTGTGCTATCCCAATGCATGTCTGTAGCTCTGACGTGTCGTTCTCGCCAACTGGGTACGGAGTACCGAGCTGGCACTTTGAGGTTCTCTTATTACCCTAAAAGTTCCGTGAACGAGGGTTTGCAAAGACGTTTGTATTGCTGTGTTCAGCTCAATGTGAAGGTAGTAATCAGTGCCGAGGCGGTTTGCTACCGAGAGATCACATCGTCGCCAACCCCTTGCCGCTACACCGCCACGCAGCAATGGAGCCGAAGAAAACACGAGAAATGACTACAAGTGTCGCCCATCCCAATGCTACTCTGCTCTGTCCCCTGAGGTCGGTCAGGAACATTCGGTCGTGCGATCTATTATTGTCAACGGGCCGGTCGGCTAGCGAATGAGGTCTTCTTGGGGTGTGGATTCGGGCCAAATTTGGCAGCGGCTAGCCAGTATCAGCTAATTCTTTGCACTCATCGGACAGTCGACGGGGCACCGCAACGTCACTTTCGACGCATCTCATTTGACGCTGATGCAGAGACTCCACAAACCCGTGTCCGGAACCTCAGAGAAATAGCCTCGCACGATCCTGAGCAAGAAACGATCGTGGCACATTCGTTTATCAGGGCCAAAATATGGGGAACACGGAAGTTTCTCCGGGTCAGTGCTCGTGTTTAGATCGTATGTGACCCCATGTCGTTGTATTGTTGGAGTGTCGTTTGTAGGACCATGAGGAGGTTGAATACGAGGCTGCTGTGTATATAATACCTGCTGGCCTTGCGTCTACAGGTCACTATTCAACTCAAACATCTTCAAACACCAACAATACAACTACCAACACCCCATCACATCCACCACCCAAAAACTTCACACCAAAACTCCAACCACAATCATGAAGTTCACCACCGCCGCTGTCGTCGCCGCTGCTGCCGGCCTCGCCACTGCTCTCCCTGCCGACGCCAAGATCAAGGACGGCGATGTTTTCACAATCCAAACCATCCGCTCCGGCAGCGACCTACAGTACAACACTTGGAAAGCTGTCCAGAACTCTTTGGTGATCAACGCAGGCGAACAGAACGCCGCTTGCGGCCCGGAGCCCCACAACTACGCTTCCTTCCAGCTCAACAACGGCACCCTCTACCTCTACACTGCCAACCCTCCCCAGCAGTTGTTCGTTGACAGGTCCGGCATGGGTCAGGGTGTTATCCAGTACACCACTGGCGCGCAAGGCATGGCCAGGAACGGAGAGAGGCGAACCTTCGCCGTCAACGACGACGGCAACCTCGTCTTCAGGGACCAGACTGGTCAGGAGATCGGCTTCCAAGCTTGCAAGCCTTCTCTTGATGGCGGCTACTCTGTCTGGCTGGACATTGTTACCAACCCTGCTGGAGCTGATGAGTGCCTTGGCTTCACCGCTCGTGCCATCAAGGAGGAAAACCCTGTCAAGTGCCTTTACACTACCAACCCATAAACGTGTTGTGATGGACACCATGTTTTGGTGATGGGTGGACTGTAAAGATTATACTGTAAATATTCGAACAGCAGTTCTTTCTTGTAAATACAACATATGATTAGACAATATCACCTACACACGAACTCACATCTGAAAGTGACTTGATTAGTAATGCAAATACTGAACCTATCCAGTAATTGAAGTGCTTGGATAAACTGCGCGGATGTTCAGCTTTGAAAGAGAAGATGCATCGGTGACTTGAATCGCAGCTCATCAAGGAAACGTCTACGTCATGCTGAACATATCTTATAGCGTGCCTGAGAACAGAGACTGGGTGGCTGTGTCGGCGTTGGAAAGAAAAGGCAGGCGATGCCACAGACAAAAGGAAAGATGGTTGCAGTATGAACTTTGAAGCGAAAGTCCCGAGGTCGGACTACGCCGAGCAATCTTCACCCGCATCCTCTCTCGGCTAGCGCGCCATGCTGATAAGCCGCAGAGTCGGCCCCGTCCCTGGTCTAACGCAATCGTCGTCTTATCGCCAGGCACGCGTCACACGTGCACCCATCACATTCACCATGAAACGCTTTCTGACTGGTTCCCGAGCAGCAGATCACCATCATGCCCCAAACGCGGCCCTGCGTGACCTCGCCCAGCGTGATGCCTGGCACTGCGCCATGAGTGGCTATGTCGTCCGTCCCTTTCATCCCCCATAAACACCCTTCTCAGCGCCATCTTCGGCCATCCCATAGTACGCCCACGCACTACCTGGCTACTCTCTGAACCTCTTCCACCAGTCGTTTCGTCCAGAAGACATATCGGGCTCTCCGTTGACGCATCTACGCATTTCGACCCGGCGGCGACGGACTAGACTAGAGGACCGACCTTCCGCATCGAGACACAGTGTATCCCGCTGTCTGCGAATCAGCGACAACAACTTGAGGGTGTGTAATTCGAGCTGCCGTTACGGGAAGGATCGATCCGCGAAAGCTTGTGTAGTCTTGTTGCACAGTGCCAAATTATCTCCTCCGTCCTTGCAGTAGTACAAGGCGAGCGGGAACATGCCGGCCATGCTAGACTCCCTCGTGGGAGCCGCGAGAGATAGAGTACATAATGCGGCGGCCTCCACTGCAGAATCGTTGGCAGCACAATCATCAGCCATGCCTTCTTTCAGGACACTCAGCAAGATCGCTCTCGGTGGTGCCCAAGTCATCCTCGGAAATGGAGGACGCGTCATGGGTGACTTTACCCAGAGCTGCCCAAATGCTCAATTGAGCTGTCACAACACCACTGCTGTGGAGAACTTGTGTTGCTTCAACGCGCCAGGTGGACAGATCCTGCAGACACAGTTCTGGGATGCTTCGCCTGCAACTGGACCAGAGGATAGCTGGACAATCCACGGTCTCTGGTACGACTGTCTTCCTGTCACCATTTACTCTGTATACTAACCTCCACTAGGCCCGACCGCTGTGATGGCACATACGACGCAAACTGCGACTCGTCGCGCGCCTACTCTAATATCACCGCCATCCTCAACTCATTCGGCGCAACCGACCTCCTCTCCTACATGTCCACATACTGGAAAGACTACCAAGGCAACGATGAGTCCTTCTGGTACCACGAGTGGGCCAAGCACGGTACCTGCATCTCCACCCTCGAACCCGAGTGCTACGACGACCACAAGGCAACAGAAGAGGTAGTCGATTTCTTCCAAAAGACCGTCGACCTCTTCAAAACGCTACCAAGCTACGAGTGGCTGGCCGCAGCGGGCATCACACCCAGCACCAGCAAGACGTACACTTTCGCCGCTATCCAAAGCGCAATCCAGGCCAAGAGACCCGGTGTCGAAGTCACGCTAGGCTGCAAGTCCGGCGCGCTCAACGAAATCTGGTACCATTACGACGTTCGTGGCAGTGTGCAGACTGGCGAGTTTGTTGCTTCAGACCCCGATGGCACAAAATCTACCTGTCCTCAGACGGGAATTAAGTACGTTCCCAAGAACGCGGGCTCTTCTCCTCCGTCTACAACAACGACTGTTGGTGGACCTGCGCCAACGTCGACTGCTGCGCCTGGAACGCCATTTACCGGAAAGGGGTACCTCAACGTTCTTGTCAACGGAGCCAAGAAGGGATGTATCATTAGCAAGGGTACTTGGTACACGACTGGTACCTGCGCGACTTTCACAGCTACCGACGTGGACAACGGCTTCACTTTGTCGAGCTCAAAGGGCAAGTGCGCAATCGTCGGTGGAGCGCTCTCGTGTGACGGTACTGCAAGCGCCACTGGCTTCACCAATGCTGATGGAAATTTGGCTGCTGGCGGTAACTCGCTCTGGAGTGCCGACAAGGTCGCGTCTGGCAGTACACAGCAGACTGTGTACGCTGGTGGAGACCACTCTGCCACTTTGGCCATTACCTGGCAGTCAGCGTGAAAGCCACTGGCTTCAGTATAGATTCCTTGGTTTCCAAATCACATGAATGCAATAGTCCTAGCACAGAGTCTGAGTCAAGTTTTTTACATTTGGTGATCAAGACTTGCTGGTTAAGCAGCGCATCCAAATCTTCAGGTATCTTCTTTTTGTCATCCTAATCATGTCATTCCTCGTAAATTCCCAAAATGGTACGAGCTGTTGAAATTGCCAGTCCAAATTCTGCCTTTTTTTTGTTGAAACACCGCATCCCGCTTAGACAAAGAAACGCCATAGTACGCCGCCCAATCATGGAAAAAGCTCCATGTAGGCTTAGATGGGCAGAGGGAAGGTAACGGCCCAGGCCGCAATCTCCTTCTTGAGGTCGTTGATCTCCTGCACCTCACCACTGGCGACCTTGCTCTTGAAGTCCTTGAGCTTGTTGTTCTCCTTGGGGAGCTCGCTTTGGATCTTCTTGCACAGCTTGATGCACTGGTCGATGTAGTTGGCAATCTTCTTGAAGTCCTCCTCACCAAGACCACGCGAGGTCATGGCTGGGGCTCCGATACGGATACCCATGGGTGTGAGGGCTGACTTGTCACCAGGAGTGGTGTTCTTGTTGCAGGCAATGTTGACTTGCTCGAGAACGGCTTCGACACGAGCACCGTCAAGGGCGAAGGGCTTCAGGTCGAGAAGGACCATGTGGTTGTCGGTACCGTCGGTAACGAGCTTGTAGTCCATGCCCTTGAACGCAACTTCAAGTGCCTTGGCGTTCTTGATGACTTGCTGTTGGTAGAGCTTGAAGTCCTCTGTTTGGGCCTGCTTAAGCGCAACCGCGAGCGCGGTGATGGTGTGGTTGTGGGGGCCACCCTGGTGACCAGGGAAGACGGAGAAGTTGATGGGTCCCTCGAGATCGTAGAGTGTCTCCTTGCCAGTCTTGGGGTCGGTCTTGCGCACACCCTTACGGAAGAAGATCATGGCACCACGGGGTCCACGAAGAGACTTGTGGGTGGTGGTTGTGACAATGTCGCAGTATTGGAAGGGCGACTTGTTGACACCAGCAGCGACAAGACCAGAGATATGGGCCATGTCCATCAGGAGGTAGCAGCCGACCTTGTCGGCAATCTCGCGCATGCGGGCGTAGTCGATCTCACGGCAGTAAGCGGAGGTACCGGCGACGAGCACCTTGGGGCGGTACATTAGGGCGTTCTGCTCGAGCTGGTCGTAGTCGATGAGGCCGGTGTCGAGGTTTACGCGGTAGGGGAAAGTCTCAAAGTATGTGGAAACAGCCGAGATCCTATTTTGGTCAGCCTGCACTCCCCATACAAGTGATTCGTTTTGCACGTACTTCCTCTGGGGGGTTTGGTAGCCGTGGCTCAAATGTCCACCATGAGGCAAGTCAAGACCCATCAGCCTGTCGTGTGGCCTCATAATGGCCTGGTAAGCCTGGAGGTTTGCCGGGCTACCACTCAGGCACTGTACGTTAACACCCCACTTCTCTGAGTCTAGGCCAAAGGTCTCGAGGGCGCGCTTCTGGCAGAGCAGTTCGATGGAGTCAATGTGCTCGTTGCCACCGTAGTATCGGGCACCAGGGTAACCCTCGGAGTACTTGTTGGACATGGGCGAACCGAGCGCGTCGAAGACAGCGCGGGAGGTAACATTCTCGGAGGCGATGAGGAGGATGGACTCGCGTTGACGCTGGATTTCCTTCTCCTGTAGTGATTGTTAATACACATAGACAAGGGTGGCAGCATAGTCCTACCATGATCTGAGCGACCTCACTGTCGGTGTCCACCAAGGACTTCTCCATGAGCTATGCTGAGTTAGCAGGGTGCATCTTCATTGTAATGAGGGGCAACATACGTCCTGGTGGGACTTGGGGAGCGCGTAACTAGACATGACAGGCAATTCAACGTAGAGTTGGTGTTAGAGAGGGGATGAGAAGTAAAGAACGGAGGACAATAGTAAAGGACTATACGGGCTTTAAGCAGTCAGAGCACTGGATGTCCCTCTCATGCCAACCCCACCAATTTTTTTGGACGCGACAAAATGCTCTAGGCTCGCTTAGGCATGGTGTCATCCATAATTGCATTCTGCGGCCGGTCGTCGGAGGGATTCGGACAGGCTTTTTGCCTTTGTGTAGTCAACGTCTTCTCACAGTATACACAGGTGTAACGCGTGAGTGCGCTATTGATGGTAGAGTGAACGCTTTCCGCTTTTGGGGTGCGAGAGGCAGGTTGACTGGCGGCTCCGCTACTGCATTGTTTTCCCCGCGTTTGGCCCCTCCACGATGCGAGAATACCCCGGACATGCCCAAGTGGACAAAAGGAGACATTGTATACACAGGTTCCAGCCGTCAGCCGTCGGACAAGCATCACTCAGCATGGGGCAAAAGTTTCCTGACTTGACGTATCCAATTCTCATTCTTTCATTTACTACATAAGTACAGTCCATCCAAGCGTTTCCTTCAGTCGAGTCATTCCCCCTTCGTCTAACCATTCTTGGTAAATACCAATACTCGCTCATGGATCAAATTGATCAGATGCAAAAGACTCTCAACGCCGGGTATGCCAAATAAGAATCGTTCCAAGCAGCAAGCTGCTATGGTGTCGCCAAAAGGGTATGTAACAGTAACTGAGCTGAAGAAGTGAAAGCCGAGTAAGCTCGGCACCAAATTACACAATCGCGCCAACAAAATGCTCATCTTTTCGTAATTAAGTTTTGAATGTATTCGCAGCTGTGTCGGTCCTCTTAGTCGTTGTCGGTGAGACGGTCGAGAACAATGATGCTGAGAATCATAACGAGCAACCCGATGGTTACTATTATGAGTAGGACAAAGCCAAACCAACCAAGAACCATGGCTGATGTACCGACACCGGACTTGACGCTACCGTTGCCCAGATCTTGCACGATAGTTGCGGCTGCGACGGATGCAGTGTGTTGCCACAGAACGGAGACCAGGACGAAGATGGATGAGATGAAGATGAGGGCTAGAGCGACTTGTGAGACGGGTCTTGACGGGAAGGGCTTGACGTCGACATCGGATCCGGTGTTCTCGTCTCTCTCCTCGTGCCATCCGGGGAAGGTGGCAAGTAGGATGAATGTGAAGAAGGCGAGGATAATAGCGACAATGAGCAAGTAGGGGAAGACAACAGCGTCCTTGAACGTAGCAGCCACCCAGACGAGGTTCAGTGGGTCCTGGTCGACGGATACATTGTCGACGAGGGCTGTGGCGTTGTTGGAGCAAATGAAGCCACCACCGTCTCGGTTGATGCAGATGCCAAAGTAGCCGACGCGCACACCAAGCTGTGCGTTGCCGACAATGTTGGCAATGGCGGCTGTGACACCAGGGTCGACTTGTTCAGGTGCGTAGGTGGGCGTAAACTGTTCGTACCACATGGAGATGAGGAAGATGCCGGGGATGAGTGGTGATGTGGATGAGCATCCTGCTAGTAGCAATGCTGGATGGTGGTTAGCTGTGGGTTTTTGTTGTGCTTTCGTCCCAACTTACATAGCAATATTATGGCAATTGCAATAAGAATCATGAGAACATGGTGAAAGCCAAGAAACGGTATTAACCCTGGTGGTTGTTAGTCCTGCTCCCTCCCATAACAACCTGGTAGCACTCACGTTGCATGCTAACCGCGAACCGTAAGTTCGCCATTGTGAATGTGTCGTCCCTTCAACTGCCTTGGATAGGCCTTGTATTCTCCCTGCGCCCCCAGAGGGCCGGGTGAGATGAGCGGGGAAATGCAGTCAGACCGTGGCTGGTGGTCGTCTCTCTCCTATGAAGGTACGAGAGAGTGGAAGCGATGGAGTCTTGTCCCAAGTGTACTTGTGTCGAATGCGGAATGCGGGTCGATGTTGGGTACGCTCGGCTGGATGGCTCTTACAGCGTCGGTCGGAAGGTGCACTGCGACAAAGATGGTCAGATGTCTCCTGTGTGGAAGAATGTTCAGTGTGTGGGTGGTAGCGTGGAATGTGACTTCTCTCTCTGCTTGCAACAACTGATAGTTTTGCTGTTGCGAAAATGGTGATGGCTGGTCTGAAGTGGCTGGAGGTGGTTGGCTTAGTCTATCAACAAAGCGGGTTGTCGAGGGGACGGAACACGAACGTCATGCCCCGGCCGCCCCCAACAGCCAATAGTACGCTGCGCTACTGGCGATCCGAGCTCGTTCCTGCATTAGACCCTCCTGTTAATGTCCCTGTCCAGCCTCTGCATTTCCTGCGACGACGTGGCGGCTTGCGTACGGCACCAGCTACAGTCCTGTAGCGACCGCTCTTTCGCGCGCGCCATGGTTGAGAGTTCCAGAACGCGTCGTAGCGCCATGCACTTCCACACACCCGCTTCGACAGCTCATACCGCCTCATACCGCCATCTACGGTATATAGTAGTCGGTGTGCCGCAGGCTGTGCGCGGGCAGAGATTCAACAATAAAAAGCACCATCGACCTCAATGTATTTTGAACATTTTGCCACAGCATTCGCTCAACGTATAGGGAACTCTGCGCATTGGGTGGCTCCAAGCACATGTAGAGGCCATCGCCGATACCATCACGTAGCGGTTTCGAGGAGCATCCAACACGACAGCATCTCGCAATCTGTTAGCAGGAAGACTTCTAATTCACTTCTGTAGGTTTCCCTGGCTCGGTATCGGGACCTGGGTATTACCCGGTGGCCCTGCAGCGACTTCTCCCGACAACTTACCTTGCGGAAGCTTGCGCTGCACCCTACGAACATGAAGGCAGGGCAGTCCATACTTTTCTTGTAGTTTGTAGACCTGCCCCGAACGTGATCAGTCATCAGGCCACAACGACTGCGCAATCTGGATCGCATCGTACGTCAGTGATCAGCAGGTTCATTTCGTGAAGGTGACAGCTAGATGCCAGACACCAGCAAGCATTAGGCTTCGTTGACCTGGCGATCGGACTTGAAGCTTGATTGTTACACCCTGTACCCTTCGAGACGGGATGATGTCACTACTACCTCGGCACACGTGGGGTCTCGCGTCCGGCGCAGGGACCAGTAACTTTGCCCCACCACAGGGCGCCAACTTCGCCAAACAACTCTCACAATGTGTATACTCGTAGACTATACGCTAACACTGGTCCTTCTTGAAAAACACCCGAAGCGTGGTAATTGTCTTGACGGCCAAGTCTAACGAACGCCAACATCTCTCAGCAGTTAGCTTCTTCCACTACGGGTCAGCAAACTTGCTTCCGTCGTTGATCTCTACCCCTGTTCATTCGCCTCTCATAGTACTATCCAAACAAGAATGAACATGGCCTATCACGAAAGCAGACTGGATCTCGACCTCGTCGGATTGCCAACCAAATGACGTCCTAGATCGCTCTGGGCATACGACGTGGTTTGTGGCTGCGCTGTTTCATTTCAGGCACATGTCAGTCTCACTCTTGCTGTGACTGCGAACGGCAGTCACGAACTATGACGTAGTGGCCCGAGACATGGAGAGCATATAAGCAGCACTCGCTCTGCACTGGAGAAAGTCTCCATCAACATCCACACCTGCAACTTCGAACATCAACTCGAACGATCAACAACCTACACATACTACCCCAGCTCCAATCAAAACAACCTTCAATATGACCGACGCATTCCGCAAAGACACCCACACCAAGCTTGGTGAGAAGATGGTACGTTCCCTTCATCCCTCCTCTTACCACTTTCACTCGCTAACAACTGCATCAGCAACCCCAGTCTTCCAAGTCTACTGCCACCAAGATCAAGGAATCCATTACTGGCACCGGTGACAAGATTGCCCGCGAGGCCCAGCCCGATTCTTCAAAGACCAACACACAGTCCACCATGGACAAGATTGGCCGCTCCAAGGACAACAACGTCCACGGTTCCACTGGCGGTAGCATCGTCGACAAGACCAAGAACGCTCTTGGAGTGGGTCACCACACTACCGGCACCCACACTACTCATACCCATGGCAGCGGCCTATAAGTGTTATGCTTGCTGTTGAGTGTGGAGGAAGGAACGAGATACCCGATCAAGGCCCGATGAGATGGGATGTGTACTTTATGAGATACCTCGCCTACGGGCTAATGAATTGATACACTGTCACACTACAATATAATCGCGTCGATGCCTGCAGCCCTCTTGAGCGCGCAGAAATAGTGTTCTTAAACTTTAACAAGATATCCTTGAGTACCAGTATAGTGCGAATATGGTCTAATTGCACGTAGATACTGGAACATGTCATCATCTTCACTTCCTTCACTTGCACTTGTTCTGACTCCTACATGGGACTTGAAAATTCGCCCAACATTGGTCCTTCTCCCCAGTAATATACGTAACATCATAAGAGTTTGACGATAGCCAAGGTACGTATACGCTCGCGCAGAAGGTCGAAACTCATCTCACATTCAAGTGGGCATTGCCATGACCCCATTCCATGCAGCAGCGGTTCCTGACTCTCCCCTTCTACCACGACTAGAAGGCTTGCTGGCCGTTGTTGCGCCTCCTGATGCCCTACTGCTACCACCCTTTGACGCTCGCTTCTTCACGCCACCAAAGCTTTTGCGGAACGAGCCCTTCTTCTTATACCCAGATCCAGAGGCTTTCCCACCTCTCGCTGCTGGTGCCTTTGCCACTTTGGTAGACGGAGCGGCGCCACCACCAAGCTGTGTATATCGATTGTTGAACTCTGCGACATCTGGGTTCGGAAATTGACTGAAGTGATGACTTGTGTGCACCGCATCGTCATCATCGTCATCCTCCTCGCCGAAATCGCCATAGTAGGACTCCTCCTCAGATTGTTCCGCAAGAGGTACCGCTTCTTCGTCTTCGTCGTCGTCTTCGCTACACAAGTCCACAACGAGCCGATGGTTCTGATCGTCAACCTCTTCGTCGTCATCATCAATCTCGTGGATGATCCGTGATTGTTGAGGTCGACGGTTGCGAAGTTGTGGGTTTCTAGGCACTGGTATGTCGTCTCCGTAGAATTCCCTGCTGTTGTTGATCAAGGTCAAGAACTGCTTGCCATAGAGATTCACCATTTCGGGCCTGATACCAGGGATAGTCTTCATCTCATCAAGACTCATGGGCAAGTCAAGCCCCATCTCACGAAGTACAGTGTCTGTAAAGATCGCTTCACGGTGCCCTTTCCTCTCTTGTATGGTCTTTCTCATCGTCTTGGCTCCATTCATGAAATCATCCAAGACTTCCCTTTGCAGGTCGGTGAGTTCTGCAGTTCGTTGATCTGCAGTAATAGGAGCTCCGACACTTTTTGCTTTCGCGGCCCTCGATGGTTTGGCAACACGTATTGGCGCAAAGTCATCATCAACAACGAAATCATCAGCCTGGTAACCACGCGCGGTCTTGTTGCGCGTAGGATGCCGAGGAACATCAAAGTCGTCATCGTCATCGTCGTCATCGTCCTCCCCGTTATAAGCGAAGGACCGAATCTTTTGCTTAGGCGCGCGTACAGGAGAGGGGACATTAGTTGACGGAAACTGAGTTTGCTGCTTCTTTGTTTTCTTGGCTGCCGGCGCTTTCGCACGTGCCTTTTGTGGTGAAGCACGCACTTGTAACTTCAGTTGCTTTCGTTTGCTTTCATAGTCATTGCGGGTCGAAGCAGGCTGCAGCAATCAGTGTGCGAACTATAATAAAGATCGTAGATACGTACGTGTAGGTAGTTGGTCGCGAAGCCAACCTTGTTCACCTTGCTCCTTTCCTTGAAAGCCCCGGCGTCAAGCAGGTGTTGGAAGATGCGTTCATTGTCACCTCGTTCCAGGTCCTTGCCATAGCCCCATCCGTACTCTTCCAGTCCTGAGCGCTTGATCTTGGCGTTGCCCGCGCCACGGAAAGCATCTACGCACTGATGCATCGTTACGTTGTCCTCGTGTACCTGACTCACGAGCTTGATGGCCATGGCAGCATACTCTGTAAGATCTTTTGTAACGAATGTGGCATCGGAACGACAATTGTCGCATGTTGAGTTGCACTTAGAGGCATCGAATGCTTCACTAAAGTATCCGAGTACTTGAGCGCGTCGACAGTCGGCTTTGTTTTCGCAGTACTGGATGACGGTTCGTAGCATATCACTCAGTCGCTGCTTCTGCTCCCAGCTACCTTCGCCTTCTTGGATCATTTTGTGTAATATCCTCGAGTCGGCATACTGATAGTACAGGTAACACTCCGAACGCTTGCCGTCACGGCCAGCTCGTCCAGTCTCTTGGTAGTAGCCTTCCAAACTTTTAGGGAGCGAGTGGTGGATAACGTATCGTACGTCGGCCTTGTCGATGCCCATACCAAAGGCGATTGTAGCCACAATGACGTGATACTCATTCTTCTGCCACTTGCGTTGAACCTCGGAGCGGTCGGCCGAGTCCATTCCCGCGTGGTAGTGGTAGGCACGGATGCCCGCCTCGGACAACTTTTGAGCCACCTGCTCACAGCTCTTCCGTGATAAGCAATAGATGATTCCGGATTTCCCAATGTATCTCTCTTTGATCAGATCTGCAATACTGTTGATGATACCTTTGGATTTCGGCAAAACCTCGTAGGACAAGTTGGGGCGGTTGAAACTCTGAGAGAATTGACGGCAACCCTGAATACCAAGGTTGGCAACTACGTCAGTACGAACGAGTTGGGTCGCAGTTGCAGTCAAGGCAATGACAGGTACTCCGGGAAATTGGCGGACAACATCTCCAAGTGCCTTATAATCTGGTCGGAAGTCATGACCCCATTGACTAACACAATGTGCTTCATCAATAACGATACGGGCAAGGTTCCCTCCAGAATGCAGTTGCTGGAAGGCACTGATCATTCTCTGGTTCTTGCTAAGCATTTCAGGAGTCAGATAGAGGATTTGTATGAACTGTTGGGGATCCCGTTGACGTAGCCCATCCATGATCATACTCTTTTGCGCCGCAGTCGACTCCCCGTTGATCAGAAACGCTTGCATCCCGAAGCGTTGTTTGCAAGCCTCCACCTGATCTTCCATCAAACTCAAGAGAGGAGATACTACAATAGTAACTCCCCGTGTCTTGCCTGAAGCGATCACCGATGGAAGTTGGTAGCAGAGCGATTTGCCACCTCCCGTGGGCATGAGCACAAAACAGTGTTCGCCTGATAGTGTAGTATTGATGGCTTCCAGCTGCCCTGGCCGAAATCCTCGTAGGCCAAAACGGCGGATAAGGGCAGTCCTGAGGTCCTGCGACCAGGGGAAGTTCATGCCAGGGTGGTTCTTAGCAGGCATGTTCAGCTGCTGCTTCTTTGGTGAAGCTTGCTGGTTTGTTTTGGACTGGACTTTATTGGTAGAGGCCTCGCGGAACACCTCACGAGATTTTGTTGACACGCGACTCTCTGCTTGGTCGCCTTTCCAATCAAACCCACCTGGTGCCTGATTTTCGATATTGGTGATCTCATGGAGGAAGTCATCATCGTCATCGGGTCCGAAGTCCTCGCCAAAATCATCGTCGTCGTTTATCTCGATAGGTTGGTGAAGCTCGCCCATGTTGTTGCTGAACAAGTTTTCCTCCTCTTCGAAGTCAAGCTCTCCAAACTCATCTGGTGTATGTTGCGGAGCCACCGGTCTTGGTTTCTTTGGGGATCTTCGGCGTTCTGGCGTCTCGGGTATCCGATGAGATCGCTCTCTGGACTTGCCTTTTTGCTTTCCTGACGTGCTGTCATCCGCGTAGGCACGAGACAACAGGTTTGACGGCGGTAGCGGAGACGCGGCTACTTGCTCTTCTGCAAAACGAATATGGCGAGTGGGCGTCCAGACTTCCTGAGCGCCAACCTCACTTGGCTTGACATATTGTGTCTGGGGGATCCGATTTGATCCTACATCTCTTGAGACCTTGGGAAGTGGTCGAACCGGACTTGGTTGAGTTGATTGTATGACTATGTTGCGGTTGTTTTTTGACTCTGTTTTAACGAGAGGCGTTGACTGCTGCTTGATGGCCGCTAAATCCAGTAAGTAGAACATCTGGATCTGGATGTCCTCATTCATCTTGAACAGTTTGCTGAGGGTTTCGCCATCCGCTGCATCAAACTGGCCGATGTTCAGGTCATCCTCTAGCTTCTGCTTGACCCTCTGGCGCTGCTCCATAAGTTCCTCTTGTTTGGCTTTCAAGGAGATCAACTGCTCCACTGCGTCCTTTCGCGAGCGAGCGCGTTCCATCCTGTCCTGTTCGCTTGGGTCAGGCTTGCCAAACTCGGACAGATGTGCCACGAACGCAGCGCGGGCGTTGTCCCATGCCGAGCTGGCAGCCTTGAGGTGCTTTTGCAATCTTTGACCTTCGGTGCTCAAAAAAGCTTCTATTGATTCCCTAATGGCGTCTCTCTTCTCCTTGGAAAGTTCAGAAGAGCTTGGTATGCGTTTGCTGGGGGCAGGCACGGGTGTAGGAAAGGAATTCGTAGCCTTTTGGGGAGACTGAGACTTCGCTGGGGTAGGCATGGAGTCCTGTTCCTGCTGATATGGGCTTGGGCTTCGTATGGTCTTCGAAGGCGACCGTATAGGAAGCTGTGTCTGACTGCAATCTTTGGCAAGACCGGCCATCGGTGTCTCTTCGCGCACTCTCTTCCTCGCTGGGGTGAGTGATTTCGTCCGAGATTGTGTGTCGATGTCCATCTCATCTAATGCGCCGAATTCCTCTTCCTCAGAGTCCAGAACTGCATGCCCAACCCTCTTAGTACCAGGTGTGTGTGACGGTCGATTCTTTCCGGTTGTGCTCTCGGTCATGACAGGAGTGGTCTTTCGGGGCGAAGGACTACGTGTTTGCCTCCCTATTTTACGAGCGGGTGCAATCCCCGAAGGTACGCGGCTCAGTGACTTGCGCTTGCGGGCCTGTGAGGATGTCGCATTCTCTGCGTTCGCCATCTGTCGCTCTTCTTCTTCCAACTGTAACATGGCCTCTAGATCGTCATCTTCGGCTGTCGCAACGTGCTTTGATTGTCTACCTGCACCATCTACAATCATTGAGTAAGGCGGAGGAGGGCTATCCGGAGCCATGACCATATCATCGATATCGGGGAAGTCGTCGTCATCGTCGTCAAGCTCTGGACTGGGCGCGTGAGCCTTCCGAGCAGGCCTGGGAGACTTGGTGTGACGGAAATCCGCTTCGTACTCGTCGCTTTTCCGCTTTCTGCTCTTAGGCGTGCGCATTGGAGCCGGTGAAGAGTGACCCGCATCGTCTCCGGTGAGGTCGATTGAGTCGACATCAATTGGCTCGCGGTACTTCGTCCTCACAGTGGCATGTTGAGAGGCGGGTGTGTTTTCCACAGTGGAGCCAGTGAATTTTCTCGCACTCGCTGATGGATCTTGCAGGTTACTCCTGAAGCCTCCTGTATCACTCGGCTCCCTCCGCTCTCTACCCGTTGGGTTCGAAGAGGAAGCATATTCAGGCAACCCCGCTATGATCAGTCTTGGCTTTCCACTGGCTGGAGTGTTCCTCAGTCTAGCCATATCCGAGGTCGCGTCTTCCGTCTCTGGTGGATTATGTATATCAACGGTCCTTGTTCGAGCGAGAGCGCGGGGCGGAACGGGTCGTGCGACTGGTAGTGCTGGTGGGGGCGGTGGCGCTGAGGCAGGTTCGGGCTCATTGTATTCTATGTGGTCGTCCAAAAAAGAAGAGTTTTGTTGTGGGGTCGTAGCTGAACTCGTGGGAACTGCGTCGGGATCGTATACAACGAGCGAAGTCGCAGGCGGAATGAAAGGCTTCTCGGCGATCAACCACTTGAGATGTTTGCTAAGATTGTTCTGAGGCATGAGAGCTTCGCATCGTTGGTGTGGGAGTCCGCATGGATAATCTACGCGTGCATCTGCATAGGCGTCGCGGTTTTACTGGCGAGATGGTGGCGATGTCATCGATAGTGTCGTCGACCGTGTTGTGCTAACTCCGCAACGCGCCGCGCTAGCACCAAATCACGTGCAGTGCCTCGAGATGCCGAACAGCGCCCTGGAGTGGACCTGCCGCTCCAGAGTCAGACATGCCGCTTCTTACACGAACCCGCTAACACACGGGTGATAACTCACAAGGCCGCTCGATACGCCCGAATATGGCGCAAGTTGCGAAGCCACAAGTCGCTTCCAGGTGGCCTCATCATTTTAAAATCTAGGTTCAGGTGGAGTCATATGTCCCATTACTTATACTGAGAAAGCCCTCGCGCCGATAATCGTGTGTCTGAAGCAATCACCAAACTCAATCTATCCAATTGCGCGAAGTCTACTCTTCTTACGTATAACATTAAGCATCGGTCATGGAGGTCACAGATAACGAGCTGTTCCAAAGGCTCTCTGCTGCAATCGCAAAGATACACTCAGGTCCTCCGCCTGCTGATGTCCTTCCATCCACCGCTACATTGAATAGCGCTCGCTCCAAGCTTCAATCCCACCTCCCCAGCCAAGGTGTTGGGCTCGAAGAAAGCATACGGCACCTACAAGAAGACCTCGCCCCAGCCTTCAACGGCTCTTCTCGCTCGCCAAACTACTACGGCTTTGTGACAGGTGGCACAACACCAGCAGCACTCCTTGCCGACAATCTGGTCTCAGCATATGACCAGAACGTACAAGTTCATCTGCCGAATGAGACCATTGCCACAGATGTAGAGGATCGAGCCCTTTCTCTACTATGCGAATTGCTCAACTTCGAACCAGAGCAGTGGCCGCATCGCATATTCACTACGGGCGCGACATCAGCGAATATCCTAGGTCTGGCATGTGGACGAGAGTACGTGATTGCAGAAGCCTCAGCGCATCGTACAGATGCAGAAATCAGCATTGGCGAGCTTGGTATTGTTGAAGCTATGCGGAAAGCTGGGATTGACGATATCCAGATATTGACTACGGTACCGCACTCTTCGCTGGGAAAAGCGGCGGGTATACTAGGTCTTGGGCGGGCGAGCGTCAGATGTCTGGGGCAATCTGAAGCACCACACAAGTTTGACATGCAGCTGCTCAAGAAGTCACTTGAGCAGCCTGGTGCAGCGTCCATCGTTGCTATTTCTGCGTCGGAAGTCAACACAGGAGCCTTCGCAACCTCAGGCCTAGAAGAGATGCAAGAGATAAGGAAGCTGTGTGACATGTATGGAGCGTGGATACATGTCGATGGTGCGTTTGGGCTCTTCGGCCGTCTCTTGACATCATCGACATACTCTTCGATTACCCAGGCTTGCGAAGGACTTGAACTTGCAGACTCAATCACAGGCGACGCACACAAGCTACTCAATGTACCATATGACTGTGGTTTCTTTCTCTCTCGACACCGCAGCATCGCTGAACGCGTGTTCCAAAACCCCAACGCTGCATACCTGGCTTCTGGAAACGATACGAGTGCCATCATGTCGCCACTAAACATCGGACTTGAGAACTCACGACGCTTCAGGGCGTTACCGGTATACGCCAACCTTGTTGCGTATGGTAAAGAGGGTTATCGTGCGATGTTGGAAAGACAGATAGAACTTTCACGAGGGATTGCAAGATATATTCTGGAAAGCGATGGATATGAGCTCCTGCCTAAGAGCAATGGTTCTCATGAAGATGTCTTGAAAGGTATCTATATCATTGTACTATTCCGTGCAAAAGATGAAGAAATCAATAAGCAACTGGTCAACAAAATCAAGGCCACGAGGAAGATATATGTGTCAGGGACAGCATGGAATGGGAAGCCAGCATGTAGATTCGCAGTCTCAAACTGGATGACAAACGTTGAGAGGGATTTGCCCATCGTTGAACAAGTGTTGCAAGATATAGTATCAGGGAACGAAGGTAGATAGTCGCACTAGCTGACTACACCCAGTATTACTGTATGAGTAAAAACCTCTTACATATCCTCCATCTTGTACACCTCGTATGCTGGTTCCTCGTATGGATGTGCTCTGTATTCATTAGTAGTCTTTTTATGATACCACGGAACGACGAACTCACTTCCTTAGTGCTTCCACCGCCTTGACAGCTGTATCACGCCCCACACATATGGCCTCGACTCTATACTCATCTACTTCCTCCAGTTCACCAACCTTACCAATCTGATGGCCATTGTCAATGTCTAAATACCTATCTTTACCCGTGTCAAAGTTGGAATGGATAGAAACCTACATGTGGATTGGCAGCATCGCCTGGTCTGAACTGACCTGTTCCTCTGCTGGTGAAGCAGCACTCTGTGTAGCCGGCTGGGCCAGGGAAACGTCCTGCGCCGGCACCGAAAATAGCGGTCTTACAGACGTTGACGGCGGAAGGAGGGACGAAGAATACGAGCTTGAACTTTTGCACACTTGAGGCCATGATGACGCTAGGAGGAGATGGTGAGTACCTAGGATGAGAGATGTGGAATTGGATGATCTCTCTCAGCCTTTTTGGAAACAACAAGTATGCAACTGAGTAGGCTGAGATTCACGATGATGCAATGGTACTCCGCCGCAACGATGCTTGAGGCGGGGCTGCAGTCACTGCAGATGCACAACACCGCATATGGTATCTGGGCAGCATCTAAGTGTAACCGTGGGATACTGATTCGAGATCTATAGCAAAACACATGTAGCCTACGCGTCGTCGATATGAGAAACAGCGATAGAATCAAGACGCGAACCAATTCTGTATTATGCCAACTTTTTTCCAGAAACCCTGTGCAGTATAACATTTCAAGGTACGACAGGGACAAGTGGGGCACGCGGGGCTGACACGTGCACGGGTGTTTGTTTACGCTTTTGTCCGATAACACTAGGAAAGTGTCAAGTCGCACAAGGCTACTCCGCGCAAACGGCCTCCAACCACGACCAACCCACAGTCATAGCGATCATGGCTTCGATGTCCCCGAGGAAATCTACGCGCGCCGCTGCGACGCGCCGGAAGGCACCCGTTGTCGACGATTCGGACCAGGAGGAAAACAGGACACCAACCCCCGAAGTCAAGCAGGAGGCAGAGGAGGAGGAATTCACACCAGCACCGGCACCACTCAAGACGGGACGGGGGCGGGGAAGGCCACGGAAGGCTGCAGCCCAGAATGAGGAAGCAACACCTAAGCCCACAACGAGGCGGCGGACTCGCGTTACGGAGTCGGTCGAGCCTACGCAGACGCTCACACCCGCCCCAGAGAGGAGCACCAGGGCGGCTTCACCATCAAAGGCGGTGCCCAAAAAGCGTGGAAGGAAACCTCGTTCTTCTGTTGCGCCAGCACCCGTTGAGGAGACTTCTCATTTAATCACACCAGAGCCTTCAATATCTCCCGAACCAGAAGCCGAACAGGCCTCCGAAGCCACGATTACAGCAAGCTCACCGCTTGCCGATACTACAAACGACACGGCGGACGATCCTACCAACGACGCGGCGAGCGATGTTACCATGACAGATCGAACACCTGAGCTGGCACCTGAGCCAGAACCCGCGCCCGAGCCTGTTGCTGAGGTTACACAGATAGAAGCAAAAGAGGAGACACCGATGCCAGAGCCAAAGATGGATGTTGACTCGTTACCAGAGCCTCAGCCGCCAGCCAAGGTCCAGGAGGAACTCAGCACACAGCAAACCATGCTCGAGCCTATAGACATTGTGGTGAAGAGGCGAGCGGCAGCCATCCCGGCCTTGCACGAGCCTGTAGCGCCCAAACAGCGGACAGTCATCACCTGGCTTGTTCTCAACAACTTCAAGAGTTATGCTGGTCGGCAGGAAGTTGGTCCCTTCCACGCCTCCTTCTCCTCTGTCGTGGGACCGAACGGTTCCGGCAAGTCCAACGTCATCGACTCCCTCCTTTTCGTCTTCGGTTTCCGTGCAAGCAAGATGCGACAGAGCAAGCTTTCCGCGCTCATCCACAACTCGGCGGCCTTCCCGGACCTGGATTACTGCGAAGTCGAAGTCCACTTCCAAGAAGTCAAAGACCTTCCAAACGGCGGTCACGAAGTCATCCCTGAATCACAGCTTGTCGTCTCCCGGAGAGCATTCAAGAACAACTCGAGCAAATACTACATCAATAGGAAGGAGTCGACCTTCACCATTGTCACGACTCTGCTCAAAGACAGAGGAGTGGATCTCGATCACAAGCGCTTCTTGATCTTGCAGGGTGAGGTTGAGTCAATTGCGCAGATGAAGCCAAAAGCACAGGGCGAACACGATGATGGTCTGCTCGAGTATCTAGAAGACATCATCGGCACATCCAAGTACAAGACACCTATCGCAGAATCTGAGGTCGAAGTGGAGAATCTGAATGAAGTCTGTCGGGAGAAAAGCAGCCGTGTACAGCACGTCGAAAAGGAGAAGAGCAGTCTGGAAGAGAAGAAGAACAAGGCGCTTGCCTACATCCGTGACGAGAACGAGCTGGCCTCGAAGCAGTCCACCCTCTACCAGATATACGTCTCCGAATTCGATGATCACATTCAAGTCACCCAAGAATCTGTCGGCCAGCTCCAGACGCAGCTGGATGAGGAGTTACAGAAGCACCAGGGAAGCGAAGAAGAGATCAAAGAACTAGAGCGACAATACAAGAAGGGCGCGAAAGAGTGCGAGCAACTCGAAAAGAAGAACCAGGAGTACCAGAAAGAAGTGGCCCGTGTCGACAAGGAGACGGTCAAATTCGAAGAGAAGAAGAAGTTCTTGGCTGGCAAGCAGAAGAAGTTGGAAAAAACCAAGGAGACAAGTGGCTATGGTCGTTCGGAAGCAGAGAGTCTCGCGAAGCAGTATTCCGCGGATGTCGAGCGCTACAACGAGGAGATTGCTGAGCTCGAGCAGAGCATGGAGGTCGAGGCGAAGGAGCTCGAAGCTGTACGCAAGAGCTTGGCCGGTAAAACCCAGGGTCTCTCGGACGAGATTGCGGCAAAGCAGAAGTCTTTGGAGCCTTGGAGCGCCAAGATCAACGAAAAACAATCGGCCATTGCAGTCGCACAGAGTGAACTGGACATTATGCGTGAGCGTGAGAATGCGGGCGCAAAAGGTATAGCCGAAGTTGAGGCGAAGATTGAGAGCTTGGAAGAAGCGAAACAGGCCAAGGCTGCCGAGCTTGACGAATGCAAAGCTGAAAGGAAGCGCGTTGAGAAGGAGGTCCGGAAGACACAGGCTAAACTTGAGGAGATAACTCAACAAGAGCCAACGCTGAGGTCGAAGCTTTCTGGCGCAAGAGCCAAGGCAGATGAGGCTCGTGCGAGCCTTTCGTCGGCTCAGACCCAGGGTAACGTCTTGACAGGTCTCATGCGCTTGAAAGAATCAGGACGTATTGATGGATTCCACGGTCGACTCGGAAACCTTGGCACCATCGACCAGAAGTATGATGTTGCCATCTCCACAGCCTGCCCACAATTGGACAACATGGTTGTAGACACTGTAGAGTCTGGTCAGCAGTGCATCGAGTACCTGCGGAAGAACAACCTCGGTCGCGCCAACTTTATTCTTCTGGACCGCCTCGCGAAGCGTGACATGTCCCCAGTTCAAACACCCGAGAATGTACCACGTCTCTTCGACCTCGTTAAGCCTAAGCATGAAAAGCTCAAGCCCGCTTTCTTCCAGGTTATGACAAACACGCTCGTAGCTGAGGACTTGGACCAAGCCGAGCGCATCGCATATGGCGCAAAGCGATGGCGAGTCGTCACCCTAGACGGCAAGCTTATTGACACTGCGGGTACCATGAGTGGCGGTGGAAGCCGAGTGGTTAAAGGAAAGATGTCTTCCAAGCTTGCGTCTGACGTCTCGAAAGATCAGGTCACAAAGCTTGAACATGACCGAGACACGCTTGAACAGACTTTCGCCGAGTTCCAACAAGAGCTGCGAGAGCTTGAAACTGCGCTGAGAGACCTTAATCAGCAAATACCTGAATTAGACACCAAGTCGCAGAAACTCGCCCTCGAACTGGAGAGCTTCGATCGCAATATTGCGGATTGTCAACGTCGCATCAAGGAGCTGGGTAGTGAACAGACATCCACGAAGACCGACAAGGGACGCATCGCGTCATTGGAGAAGAACATCGCCTCGATGGAGAAGGAGGTCTCTAAGCTCCGTGCTGAGACCGAAGACATTGAAGCCGAGATCAAGGCTCTCCAAGACAAGATTATGGAGATTGGAGGAGTCAAGCTACGAGGTCAAAAGGCCAAGGTTGACGGTCTAAAGGGGCAGATCGACACACTGACCGAGCAAGCATCCAATGCCCAGGTCGCTAAGTCCAAGGAAGAGAAGCAGCGTGCTAAACACGAGAAGGCACACAACGATGCCATCAAGGAGCTGGAGAAGCTTGCCAATGACGCTGAGCAGGTTGAAGAGGACATGGCTTCTCAACAACGCGATGTTTCTGGAATCCGACAACAGGCTGAAGAAGCGCAAGAAGAGCTTGAGACCAGGAAAGAGGAGTTGCAGCTGGTCAAAAAGGAGCTTGACGAGAAGTTGGCAGAACTCAACGAAACACGTGCGGTCGAGATCGAGATGCGCAACAAGCTCGAAGAGGGCCAGAAGACTTTGAATGAGTACCAGAAGAAACAAGCTTACTTTCACGATAAACTGAGCAAGCTCGCGTACCAGAACGTTACCGACCTGGGAGAAGAACAGGAAGGCGAGGGTCAAGGCCTTCCATCTTACAGCAAAGATGAGCTTCAAGACATGGACAAGGCCACTCTTAAAGACCAGATCGCCCACCTGGAGAAGAAGAATGAGTCCACACAAGTCGACCTAGCCGTCCTTGCCGAATACCGCAAACGTGTCGAAGAGCACGCCGCGCGCTCTACAGACCTCGCCTCTGCCGTCAGCGCTCGCGACGCCGCAAAGCATAAATGCGAAGAGCTCCGACGTCTGCGCAAGGAAGGTTTCAAGGCCGGGTTTGACATCATCACCGCCCGCCTCAAGGAGATGTACCAGATGATCACCATGGGTGGTAACGCCGAACTTGAATACGAAGATACACTAGACGCGTTTTCTGAGGGCATTCGCTTCTCTGTCATGCCTCCGAAAAAGTCATGGAAGAACATCAGCAACCTGTCTGGTGGCGAGAAGACGTTGAGTTCTCTGGCTTTGGTGTTCGCTCTACATCACTACAAGCCTACGCCGTTGTACGTCATGGATGAAATTGATGCGGCGCTGGACTTCCGCAACGTAAGCATTGTGGCGAGTTACATCAAGGAGAGGACGAAGAACGCGCAGTTTATCGTCATTTCACTCAGGAACAACATGTTCGAGCTTGCGTCGCGGTTGGTGGGCGTTTACAAGGTCAATCATATGGTAAGTTCACCTTATACACATCAAACGGGTCAAGCATCAGTTACTGACTTTAAGCAGACGAAAAGTGTTACGATTGAGAACAAGGACTACATCGTTGGGCGGGCGTGATTTGTTGATGATGGGCAATCGTGGCTCTTATGTTTGGTGCTTGGCGTTTGGGAGTAAGCTTGTGGGCACGCATCTGGTACAAAGCGGATTAGGTGGGCTGCATATGATACCATACCGAGATACATGCTGTCTGGTATTAAATGAGTGCAATGATGAACGTTTCTATATCTACAACATCTTAATCTCCCTTGCTGATATACCACGTCGGGTTTCCATGCCACTTGATCGAGACATTGCAAATATACAGTCCAAGCCAGCTTTCCTGTCTCCCTGGGCCTCTTTGAGTGAGAGCAGTGTGGCCCGGAGTCTGGTTTCACTTCTTCTGTCACTCTCATCGGTCATATCTCTAGATGAACAGTCATAGCGCCTCTTTGCCCAAACAGCAAAACTTTCCAACTCCTACGTTGCTATGGTTTCCCACCTTACACGCACTCGCCGCTCGCCACTTTCCACCTCTACCCCAACTGCTTACGCTTGGTCTTGGCTCTAACCTTTCTCACTAATCTGCCTGAATAGATTAACACGGGTTCTACCAACTCCACGCTCACACACACTCACACACACCTCCCCTGCCTCTACTTATACCAAGACCCGCAACCTACCTTCAATGACTCCCGAATTGATTGAGCACCACAACTTGTACTCGAACACCACAATTCGACTATATCTTCTACATTTCCCCCAAATCCTAAACAGTCACCATGTCTTCTGCTCACGACACTATCATGTCGTTCGTCACTGTCTCCGCCCCCGACTCTTTGGAAGAATACACGACTGAGCATGCTAGCAGCGGAGAAGAGAATGTTGCCGCTACGTCTGAAGCCAAGAGAGCATCCAGGAGCGCTTCCACCGAGAAGAACAAGATTCAGGAGACGCCAAAGCGAAACCGACGCAGTACCAAGTCTACCCAGACCAGCCCGACCACCGATAAGACAACAGCCGTATCGAGTGGATCAAGCACTTTCATATCAGCAGCCGGTTCCAATGAAGCTGTTTCCACACGGTCAGCGTCGTCAACCAAGAAGACCGGCCGTACAGACCGCAACGCCAAGAAATTTGTCGTCTTGTCAAAAGACCCTCGCGCCATTGCCAAGACTGAGTCGCCACGAGGCAACAAGCGCGCAGCAGAAAACAAGAAGGGTGGTCGAGCCAAGCGTCAAGTCCGGTCGTCCCAGGAGCTGGGTTTAATCTACAACAGCATCAAGGCTATCAACATGCCGCCTCGTGTCGGTCAAGTTCCTGGTCAAGTTCCCCCCACACCTGTCGTTGGCGACTATCCATTCGGCGATACGGAGGATCATCAGAACAGTATGATCATTTACTGGCTGGACGATCTGGAGAACACTTATGCGAAGACGACCATACTGTACAACGAGACGTTTCCGAACGACAAGGTAACAGATGAAGCTGTGCGTCGTCGTCACATTAGATCTCTGGAGCGACTGCAGAAGCGCTACGGTGCAAAGCCTGTTGCGCAGATTGGCATAGTTGGCAGGAACATTGCGAGGCGTGGGAGGCCGCGTGCGCCTCGTCTCAGTGGTATCGAGCCTGAGAATGACCCAGCCGATGCTGCTGCGCCATATGAAGAGCAAGTCGAAGGCGATGCTTCCGTCACTGAAGACAATTCAACTCATACATCGCATTCTCCTCCAAGAGGCAGCCTAGCCAAAGCAATCGATCAGGTTCAACGCGAGAAGCGGAATCACAAAGGCCATGAATTCGACAAGGCTTGCATCGTTGTTTGGCGTGACGCCGACAAGATGTCATTCAAGGATATCCGCGCAAAGCTCGACAACGAGCGTGGATGGTCCTTGGGCGAGCCCACAGTCAAGAAGGAGTACACGAGAGCTCGTGCTCGCATCTGGGGCACTACTTCACTGGAGGTTGCTGCCGACGAGGATGATGAGAGTAAAAGGAAAGCGGCTGAGGATGAACAAGGAGAAGACATGGAGATGGAGGATGATTTAGTTGAGCAGAAGGAGATATGAGTTGGAGATGACCAAGTGGCCTGCACTATTAGGCAGCGAAAAGGAAAGCCTGTTGGGGCCAACATGGTATAGACATGGAATAAATACAATGTCAAGACACTCGCCTGGCTTGCTATGAGGTGGTGAAGTCTTTAATGCATATGATCGTGTTCGTGTATTGTGTTGTATAGAGCGGTGCTGCTCGCCTTCTCTTTGACTGGTTTTTAGTTCAACGCACGGACCAACTCACCGCGGCTTTGAACCGCGACTGATTCCATCACTTCGACACGACAGCCAGCCATTCGGCTATATCGACACCACCGCCCCCAAACGACTGGCGAACGCGCCGACGACGATACCGAAGAACGCACGCGAATACCCCGCCCATTTCTGGAGCGCTCCACAGCATTTCGAGCGCGGTGATAGCGTGAATGACGGCGCGCGCACCCCTCAGCCGTTCTTCCGCCTCCCTGCGCGCTCTCACTCCTCGCCGTTGAAGTGCACGCCTATATTAATACCTAGACTCACTTCCAACTTGTTGAACACATCTACCGACCAGCTGCTCCAACACTACACGCGACCATGGCCGACGAGCACCCGCCCCCGAACGGCGGCGGCGGTGGCGGCGATGACAATGGAGACAAGGATGAGGACGACTTCCGCAAGATAATGCAACAGATGTCACGGGGCGCTGCAGAAGGCGAAGAAGACCTCTTGGGTGGCATCGCGGACCGACCGCTGGATATTGGCGAGAAGGCCGACGACGCAGTCGATTACGAAGACATCAGCGACGACGACCTGCCGGAGGAGGAGTTTGAGCTGGGTGAGGGTGCTGACAGCACTCAAAACTTCAGCGGCACTACCTTGCAGGATTCTGGCGGAGTAGTTGACAACGAAGACGTGGACATGGACGATCTTTTTGGCGACAACAACGATGATAACGACGATAACGACGATCTCTTCGGCGACGACCCCAGTCACTCTGATGCAGTGCAAGCATCTACGCAACACGAGGACGATCCTCTCACCTCCATCGAAGATCTAGTCCAGGAAGGCTTCAGCGCCGTCTCAAAGGATAAGCCACAACCAGCTGCTCGCAACACCGCCCCCGATGCTGCACAGCAAGAGGCAGAGGAGGAGGACCCTGAGGTGCGCGAGCAACTGGCTCTATTCGCACAGTCTTCGCGCAAGAAAGACGAGCCAGCGGCTGCTCCAGTAAAGACATCACGAGAGGAATTTGAAAAGATCTGGCCCAACTTCGAGGCGGACAAGCCACCACGCTTCTTCAGTCTGGTACCGCGAAAGCGCGCTTTCTACATCCCCAAAGTTCCGCAAAAGACACCGAAACCTTTCCAGCTGAACAAGCTTACCCTGGACCTTGCGACGGATCAAGAAAAGAGTTTCCGGTTACAGCCTACAACGGCCACCGCCAAATCAGGTCGACAGCAGGAGGAGGAGCAGGGTGGTCTCATTCATATTACGAACACTGCAGAAGAGGATGGCGATAGCGACGACCAGCTGGAACTCGACAACCTCGATACTATTGACGACCGTGAAATCATCGGCAACGTATCGTGGAGTGACCTGAGGATTGCCTGTGAAGACTGGGATGTGCCAGATGGTGCAAGCGACACAACTCTGTCCGACGAAAACCAGGCACCAACGCCACCTGAAAGCAATGGTGGTATCGACTCTGCACAACTGTCGCCAAACAAGAAGCGGAAACTCGGAAACCGTGACCAGCCTATCCACTTCTCCGTCTATGATCACATGGAGCTACCCACATGGGACGATCCCGAGCTCGAGACTGCACGACTGTCAAAGAAGATTCTTCTCGACATGAACGACCCACATCTCCTACTTGATGTACAGCAGCCCAGTGCAGAGCCACCGAAACCACGGACGTTAGGTCTGGGCCTCAAGCGCGATAGCCGTGGAAGCCTTGCAAACCCCATGTTCAAGCGCTACAACATCTCCAATGACGAGGCGTACGACGCGCTCAAGGAAAGCAGCCAGCAGAAGGTCCGTAGTACGATCGGCCACATGAATGTTGAGCACAGCTTGCCCGCACTGAAGTTGCAATATCCTTTCTACAAGGTTGCACTGTCCGACCGCGAGCTCCGGTCTTTCCATCGTCCTACCGTTACCTTCAAGCCTGGCGAGCGAGCAAGCATCACGCCGCTCAAGTCGATCAAAAGGAAGCACAAGAAAAACCTCAAGCCATCCGAAGCCTTCGCTTCAGCCGAAGACCTCAACATCGGTGACAACTCTGACCTGCTCCTTGCCGAGTATTCCGAGGAGTATCCCACTACCCTGTCCAACTTTGGTATGGGCATCAAGATCCTCAACTACTACCGCCGGAAGGACATGGAAGATACCGCGCGACCGAAGCCGGAAGATGGTATCGGCGAGACCTCAGTGCTGCTACCGCAGGACAAGAGTCCATTTTCACTGTTCGGCCAGGTCGAACCAGGCCAGCAAGTCTTGACACTCCACAACGCCATGTACCGAGCTCCCGTGTTCAAGCATAAGCCCGAACAGACCGATTTCCTTGTGAGCAGAAGCTGGACCGGAGTTAATGGCCCCAGGTACTACATGCGAAACATTCCGAATCTCATGGTCGTTGGCCAACAGTTTCCCTCTGTCGAAGTACCAGGTACACATGCTCGTAAGGTTACAGAAGCTTCCAAGAAGCGACTCAAGATGCTTGCGTTCCGACTGTACCGAAAGGGTCAACAGAAGAATGCGCGTCAGCCTTGGGTTAGTAACGAGATGATCAAGCAGCATTTGCCCGGTACCGAGATTGCGCAGAATCGTTCCCGAATGCGGGAAATCATGAAGTACCAGAAGGACATTGGTACGTGGGAACCGGTACCAGGCGAGACTGTTCCTGAAGAGCCGATTCTACGCACTTGGATCAAACCAGAAGATGTCTGTTTGATTGACTCCATGCATGCTGGTGACAAGCAGCTTCAAGATGCCGGTATCAAGTCGAATGAGATCCGTGATGACGAAGAAGAGGCTGACAACGAGAACGCTGATGTCAAGCTGGCGCCCTGGAACACAACGAAGAACTTCCTCAATGCCTGCGCTGGCAAGGCTATGTTGGAGCTCCACGGTGATGGTGATCCTACGGGTCAAGGCCTAGGTTTCAGCTTCATCAAGGTCTCAATGAAGGGTGGTTTCAGAGACGTTGGTGAGAGTGCGGCTGATCGTCTTGATAACAAAAAGATGAAGGAGCTTGGCGGTCACAGCTACAACGTCCAGCGTCAGCAAGTCATGTACGAGAATGCCATCAAGCGTATCTGGAACAAGCAAAAGGAGAGTTTATCTGCCCAGAACCCGCCTTCTGACACTGAAGACGACGTCGACTCTGCTGTCAACCACACCAACCACAGCCGCCAACGTTCCGAACTAGGTACTCCGGCCATACGACCTGACGACGAGACCATGTCCCAGATGTCCCGCAATAGTAATGCGGATAATCGTGGCAAGAAGCTCAAGATCACACGTACTATCAAGAACAAATACAACGAGTTCGAGGATGTTACGGAGATAATCACCGATCCCGCTGTCATCCAGCTCTACATTAAGCACAAGCGGCAGGAGCGTCTACTCAACATGCGCATCGAGGACATCAAGCCGACCGGTGATCCCGAAGTGGATAAGGCCCAACAGATCAAACTGAAGGCCGAATTGGCACGTTTAGCTCGCAATATAGAGCGTCGCGAGGGTCGTGAAAAGGCAAAGGGTATGCACAAGTCGCAGACCGGAGATGGTGGTGCAACCGGTGGACCAGGCAAAGGCGGAGCAACACCTCGCAAGTGCGCAAACTGCGGCGAGGTGGGCCACATCAAGACAAACAAGAAGTAAGTGGACAAGAATCCCTCTTTGTTTAACAAATTCGCTAACGTATCCTCCATCAGGCTCTGCCCGCTCCTCAATGGCCAACGGAAGCAAAACGACACGTTCAGGGATGCAAGTGCTGCATCTCCCGCGACAGTCGTTCCTGCTACCCCTTCTTTCGCCGGTTCACCGTCTTAGAAACAGTCACCGTGTTGGAAAGAGGATGATATTAACAAGGTGCAAGTACCGCTACGCATCTCACCTGGGTTTCCAGACTCGTACAAGCATGCCAAAGTGCGAAGTACATTGATGTGTTGACGCACTATGCGTCTCAGCATGAAGACGAGGGTTCCAAGTATTTTTTTCCTTTAATGCATAGCATGGCGTTGGTGGGATAACTTGCTCTTGATACGGGAAGTATCAGTCAAAAACAATTTTGGGAACTTCGGGCCTAGGTGGCTCTGACGGCGTTTATTCATTCCTGGGTACCGACTACAGAGTTGTGTGCCCTGCTTGTTACTTCTTCCAAGCATAGTAATTTGTATAACATCCTTCATCCGGATGGGAAAATGTGAATAGTCTTCCATGCCTTATGGCGCTCTAGAAAGTTGAGTTTTCCGCAAAAGCAAGTGAAAACAGAAATATGGTATTGCACATACAGTCTCATATATTGTCTATACAAGAAGAGAGGAAGAGTTGGTACAGATTGCAAGAAAATCGAAAACCATGTAGACTCTCTCGCAATGCTACATAACCCACAAAACGAAGATGCTTTCCGATGCAAGTTTAGTCTCCAAACACCTCCGCCGTTATACACATCCTATATTCGCCTGAGAACCCCATCCTATCCTATTCCGCTTTATCCTACACACACCCATTATTCATCCAGATAGCCAATCTTGCAAAACTGGTTCAAGCTCCGCACATCCAATTGTGCAGTCAAGAGTGCGCCAAGCAATGTCTCCTTTCGAGGTAAGATATCCGCCTTGACTTTCCACGAGCTACCGTTGAAGTTGAAGATCTCCATATCGTCGTCGTCATATTCCTCTTCATCGTCATGGTTCATGTGCCCGTTTGGTCGTTGCACACCCTTGACCAAGGGCTCGCCACCCTTTGATTTGTCGCCTAGGCGTTTGAGAGTTGACAGCGCGCGGTGGACAATGAGCTGGAAGCCTTCCCTGTCGTGATCCATGGGTCGCTGACCGCGGTGATTTGGTGGTTGCGGAGGGTGTGGGATGGCTGCATCAGTAGCGGAAAGCGACATTGCGAACTTGAGTAAGCTATGCGCCCAGCCGTCCTCCGATTCGAGCCATGAGCGACAGATGCCACTTTCGGGCCCTGGAGCTAGACTAGCGAGTATGTCTGCCGCTAGCATGCCCTGCATAAGGTACGCTTTTCTTGACTCTGCAACGCGCGCTTCGAGCATGCGTACCTCCTTGGGGCGCGGCTCTTTCATCTGGTACATTTTGTTTTCAATGTAGTTGCGGTCCGGCACAACGGAGATGGCAAGGGCAAAGGAACGCGTCAGAAGGTCATATGCAGGGGTGGATGTTGCCTCGTTGATGAAGATTTGCTTGTAGTAGGTCCGGTTGGGGTCGTCACGAGCAAGGAGTTTTGCAAGACTGTCTACGGCAGAAGGGAGATAGCGATGGATTTGCGGGTTGAAAGGCGTAAATCTGACTGGCTCAGCGGGCCGTGGAACCGGCGCAAAAGCGCAGAGGAAGTGCAACACGGCGTACGCGTCTTCGCGGTTAGGTAAAACGACCTTGGCGCTGGTATTGGAGAAGAAGGTGACTACATCCTTCATGAAGTCAAAGGTGTTGATATGTGACCGTAACAACAGTACGCGGGTTCCAACAAGCCGTATAAAGTTTGCGAGGAACTTGATGACTGGAGCGCTGACCAAAGAGTCATGATTGACCTCGAGGAAAGACAGATTTCGGAAAATGGTTGTGATGGCGAGCAGCCGGTCCGCAGTACGATCGAGCATGTACTCCTTCGAACCCGCCTGCGGGAGCTCTTGTAGTGCCGAAGCCTCTTCGCGACAGTGATGTAGAACATCCTCGTATGGTGTGAGATCGATAATATCAGTGACTTCGGGGTTGTCGTTGCCTAGAATTTCTAGTTGGTCTTCTGCATACTCCACCAGCACCTCCGTCAAGTCTTCGCAGTGCGACAGATTGAACTGTACGGTGTTGTCGTACGTAATTCGCGTAAGGGTGTCCAGCCCCAACCGCACCTCCGCATGGAGTCCCGACTTGATGCTCATATTGATGGCTCGAACGTCGATCACACCCATCTCCGGTAGTAATGGAACGTTCGGTTTGTAGTTTGTGATCGTATCGATCATGTTCTTGAAGTTGTCAGAATCAAAGTCAAGGCCTCCCCATGTATCTTGTGTCCGGTAGGCGGGTTGGTAGACGCGGGTCCCATCGTCTTGCTCGATCACTGGTTTGCGTTTCTCAGGCTCCTCTACAGCGGCCGAGGCTGGATCTGCGGCAGCGTTATCCTCCTGCTTCATCGGTGACGACTGCGACTGGCCAGGCTCTTGTCCTTGAGTGGGCGTCCCTTCCAGCTGCCTGCTGAGGCTTTTCCGCGCGTTTCCGTCGGGCTGTGGTGTGGTGCCGTTGACGCTTGGAAGCGCTGCGTTGCTCTGTAGAGGCGTCGCCTGGTGTGGATGCGGGGATGGCTCAAGTTGCTGATGTGGCTGCTGGGTTGGCGGAAGCGACTGCCGCTGCTGTTGTTGTTGTTGCTGCTGCTTCATGGCCTCCTGTGATCTCTGCAGTTGCTGGAGATATTCTTGATGTCCTGGAACGTTGGCCGGTTGGCCAGGCATGGTCGGTCTTGTTGGTGACATCTGCTGGCCCACAGACGCCATCTGACCTATTTGTCCCATTTGTCCCATTTGTCCCATCTGCCCCATCTGTCCCTGTGGAGGCATGCCCTTCTGCTGCATCTGCTGTTGTCTTTGAAGGTAGGCAGTTTCGTAGAGGCTCAGATATTGCTCGTATATCTGGCGCAACTCATTGGGGGCGTTCGGAAACTGCTGCGGATGTATGCTCATCATTTGCGCGATCCTAGGCCATCCGTTTTGTTGCGTCACAAATCGATGACCCTTGAAGCGCATGACAGCCGCGTAAAGGTTCTGGAGATTCGTCGGGCGGCCAGCGCAAAGTGGCTGGTGATTGAAGGGTCGATTGTGCTGGGTCATTAGCGCCTGAACATTCTTGATGAACTGGTTGTATTGTGATTGCGGATTCTGTGGTTGTCCTTGGGCCTGCATCATGTTCTGCTGCATGCCTGGATGTTGCATTGGGTTTTGCATCGCGCCAGGCATCTGCGCGCCGGGCTGTTGTCCTTGTCGCGCAGCCATGTTGCTCGCGGCAAGGTTGCCCAACTGCTGCTGCTGTTGCAAGCGCATCGCGTACTGCCTTTGCGCTTCTTGCTGCCGACTTTGGAGGTTCTGCGATAGTTGTACCGACTGTACTGGGAACTGGTTCCCGGAGTTGGCGTTGAAAGCTTGGTTCATAGGCGAGGCCTGGAAGTTCATGGGAGACATCTGCGGCGCATGGGGGTTTTGCGCAGGTGAGGCAGTGTTCATCCGCTGGCCTCCCATCTGGCCAGGCGCGAAGTGCTGGTTCTGCATAGTGGGTGAAGGCGTGTTGGTGAAGGCTTGCTGGTGCTGGAAACCGAATTGGGCTTGCTGTGAAGGTGTTTGAGAGCGCGATAGAGACAGGGCAGCGCCAGTCGAGTCTCGTTTCTGGGGCACCGATGGCATCGGATTATATGGGCGCGCGCCGTTCATCTGGGGGTTTGCGATTGCGCTCGGGTCGATGAAGCTCGAGGGATCGTACATTCCGTTTTGGGGAGACTGGAAGTCCATGATGATGCGCTACTGCCGCGAACGGCTAACAAGGGCGGGCAGAGGAAATGGACAGTCGCGTATAGGTAGAGACGAGTAAGAGAGCGATGGGCGCACGTGAGCGCCTGGTATTGACTTGGCTAGTCTTCTGTCAGCACGCATGTTGATGTCTAGATGGACGCGACTCTAGCAGCAGCGACCGGACGAGGTCCACAACAGACAAGCAAGAGACGGAGAGAGGGAGGATGAGATAATACACACCACGCGACAATAGACCGACGCTAAAATGATCTTCTCATCAGGGCAGGACAGAAAACGAGTGGCTTCCGATGCGGTCGATAACTTCACGTACCGCAGACGCGCTTTGCGGACTATGCGTTGCTGAGAGCGGAGGAAGGAACAGTTTTCTTGGCAGCGTCCCAGCCTCTACTTACTAGCCTTGTCGGGCATCACGAGACCAAGCAGTGTCCGCGACTTCAAAACAGCGAGCACGTCGCCGCAGACAGCAGCGGCAGCAAAGTCACCAAAACATACACACAGGCACAGTCGCATCCGGAGCAGTAGACGCGTTCGCGCGTTGCGACAGGCCAGTGGAGTGCCTGCGTTGCCGGCAACTCACAAGCCTAGTCTAACTCAATTTGATTTCTCCGGGTCAGTTTGGCCGTCGTCGTGACACGGAAACACACGTCTCTCCACTTATTACATCACTTTGTTCCTGCAGTAATGGCGCTGTTATCGCACAGCTGGGCGTCGAGAGTGGGCACCCAGACCGCTTGACTCTGCGTCGAGAGCCCAGCCAACCGTTGAACCCGCTCTTACCCTCGAGTCGGCGCACCAACGAGCTCATTCAAACATGGCGCATCTGGTCTCTGTACTGCCGAGTACAATACGGTGTAAATTCGCATCTACTCGTGTATACCCGTTGGTGATCGGCACGTCACACGCCGGTAATCTACCACTGTGACTGGGGCTATACATGTCAGATTCCGCGCATGTGCTATTATAGTACATGTCTGTGAGGAGGCTCGTGTTTTCTCCTATCATTTCAATACCTTGGTATTCTCAGAAACCATGCATGGTTCCTTACTTGTCAAGTATCAAGTCATTGCTGTTGGGAAACCGCCAGCGCGAGATTCCACTACTCCAAGGGGTAAGTAAAACTAGGTTATGGAGCTTCTTCGTACTCCGCACCTTCTTCCAGTCAGAGGGAAGGGTCTCACCGCGAGTAGGTTACTACCCCTCATACACACATAGTCTCGTTGTCTCGAGCAGTGAGCAAGGGTCTGCAACCATCCAACTAGCATGCCTAACAAGCCCGACAGCTGTGGGGGCGCGTATTTACACTCCATTCTAATGAATTGTGATCTCAAGTCTACCATTCAACGATATGTCGGATGTTCAGCGCGTGACGAGAGTATCGTGAATTTTCCTTTTTTTAACACGTCGCAACAGATGGTATCTGAGATGCGCTTCCTAGCAAGAGCTCTAGAGTGATCGTCATATTCACGTGACGTCGGCGTTGGCGTCTCACATTGCCCGATCGCGCCTCCCATGAGCTTCATCAACATTGCGACAGACAAGCACCGCCTCACCCACAACACGCCATACACAATCACCGTTGACGATTGCTGTTCTCTCGTTGCTGATAAACCACAACTGACTCGCCTCTAAACAAATCTCACCCAGCCACCATCACCATGGCTGACACCGCCGTCGAGAACCCGGCCAACACGGTCCCGCCGCACAAGAAGCAGCTCCCGTCATCGATACCGAACTTCGATACCCTGGAGGGCTTTTCCACAGAGGGAAACGATGATTACTCTACCTTCAAGAAGCTACAACGACAACTAGAGTAAGTAGCACTCAGACACGCTGAAACACAGGTGGCTAACAGTCCCAGGTACATCCATTTACAGGAAGAGTACATCAAAGATGAGCAACGGAGTCTGAAGCGGGAGTTGGTCAGGGCACAAGAGGAGATCAAGCGTATTCAGAGTGTGCCGCTGGTGATAGGGCAGTTCATGGAGGCCATCGATCAGAAGTAAGCTTTAACACAGGCACAGCGCTTGCGTCATGACACTAACACGCACAGCACCGGCATCGTACAATCGTCAACCGGCTCCAACTACGTCGTTCGTATCCTCTCCACTCTCGATCGCGAACTCCTCAAACCATCCTCATCCGTCGCTCTGCACCGTCACTCAAATGCTCTCGTCGACATCCTACCACCGGAGGCTGACTCCTCGATTGCCATGCTTGGCCAGGATGAGAAGCCCGACATCACTTATGCCGATGTCGGAGGCCTGGATATGCAGAAGCAGGAGATTCGGGAAGCTGTTGAACTGCCCCTCACACACTTCGACCTCTACAAGCAGATTGGTATCGACCCACCGCGCGGTGTACTATTGTACGGACCTCCGGGTACAGGAAAGACTATGTTGGTCAAGGCCGTAGCGAACAGCACTACAGCGTCCTTCATCCGCGTGGTCGGCTCCGAGTTTGTGCAAAAGTATCTGGGTGAAGGTCCACGTATGGTTCGTGACGTGTTCAGGATGGCGCGCGAGAACTCACCGTCCATCATCTTTATCGACGAGATTGACGCTATTGCTACAAAACGTTTCGACGCGCAGACAGGTGCTGACCGAGAAGTCCAACGTATCTTGCTCGAGCTGCTCAACCAAATGGACGGTTTCGACCAGACCTCTAACGTCAAGGTCATTATGGCGACGAACCGTGCGGATACTCTCGACCCTGCGCTGCTTCGACCCGGTCGTCTTGACAGAAAAATTGAGTTCCCTTCGCTGCGAGACCGCCGTGAGCGCCGTCTCATCTTCTCCACCATTGCTGGAAAGATGAGCCTATCGCCTGAGGTAGATCTTGACAGCTTGATTGTCCGTAACGACCCCCTCTCTGGTGCCATTATCGCAGCCATTATGCAGGAAGCAGGCCTGAGAGCTGTTCGCAAGAACAGGTACAACATCATCCAGAGTGATTTGGAGGAGGCATACACGAGCCAAGTCAAGGGTGCGGCTGAGGCTGACAAGTTCGACTTCTACAAGTAAGCGGAGCCGTTGCTTGGGCGTCAGGAGAATTTGAGGGGGAAAGAAGTGGCATTGTACTACTAGATAGACTAAGCCTTCTGGTTACGAGCGTTTCAAAGGCGTGTATTCACCGTAACTCGGTTAATGCATGAAAATATGTCAACATAATTACAGCGTCTATGTCTACCTCGTGTCCTCGGCCTGTGTCACATGTGGAATACTGTTTGTTGAAGTCAAGACTTGAGTCTGACCGAAATATATAGTATACTATTGTAGCGAAGATAATCACCCCTGGATAATTCAGCACCTCTTCTTCGAAGCACCATGGGTCAGATACTGGTATAATCCAACTGCGACGGCTGTATCAGATCGAACGTAGAGAACGGTGTAAACATGTTATTTGAATACATGTAAGTTGGTATATCGTGATAACCCGTCACATTTGCTTTCGCAAAGAATAAAACGCCATGTGATACTCAATGTATTTAAGGACAGGTGTCGAGAAAAGGACGACGTGCTAATCCAGTCGCATGACTATAACGAAATGGCCGGCCTGATTCCGTAGAACTTGATTTTGTATCTCTTGGTGTCTTGAAATAATTAGGCACTCAGAAACACTACGTGTGAACACTTGCGAGATGCTGTTGGTCGTTGTAATTTCTTTTGTCTACATTGTTATAACGAGAGGTAGAGAAAGAGGTCCTGTTATTTATTATATGCATTTGTTATTTCTTTCGTCTATCTACCAGATATGCCACCAAGCCTTCCCCTCGGTCTCTCCCCAAGTCAGCATACCTGCCTCTTCTTCTCTTCCCGTTCGCACTTCCCTTGTTAATATCAACAGCACTTCACACCAAAGACACTAACTGCTATTATCACCTCCTTCCACCACTTGATAGAGAGCTATCCTACATGAACCGAGAGTGGCATTCAACTCCATGTACCGACACCGCGAGTTCGATTGCGATGGGAGAAAAAAAAGTAAGAAATGTACTACAGGCCATCCGTTCCGATTCCGTGATCCAAAAATACGAAAAGAAGAAAAGCCACATGGCTCCAAAAAAGAGGAAAATTAACAAAGGAAAAACAGGAGCGGATCGACGCCCTTTAACAATGGGCGGCGGCTCATGGTATCATGCATTCGCGACGCAAGGAAGCGACAAAGGAAAAGCCCGGTATTTGACCAGGCGGTATGCAAAAGGCGTTGTATAAAAAGGTAAAACGAGATGACGTGTTAAGATAAGATCCATTGGCGAGCTTAGTTGACTGTGATGGTGGTTTCCAAGGGTGTTCGCGGTAGATCCTTGTCCAGAGAGGATCTAGGTATTGTCCCTCTCTTGTCCTCTTTCGGTGGTGTGGGGGGCCCAGAGTGCCTGTTAGGCATGTATTCGGCATCCTTTGCTGGTGTAGGTGGGCGACCATCGCTACTTGCTGTGCCAGAGTCCTTTGGCGGTGTTGGCGGCGGCCTGCCTTGTGAATGATCCCTTTCTCTTGATGTTGACCTGGCTCTGGACTCAAGCCGCGGAGGGCCGAGGTAGGGTGCTCCTGTGAGTGGCGGTGGGGGTGAAGCCTCATTGTTGCTTGTAGTTATAGCATGAGCGGCATCTGAAGCGCTCCGGTTGCTGTGCCCGCCAACACTTGAAGATTCACCAGCCTCTTCGACCACAGGAAGAGTGGTTCCAATCTCTCCTCTTTCCGCAGACGGACTACGTACCGCCCTCATATGCAGATTCGGTACATTCTCCTCCCCATGACCTTGTCGCCGCGAGCGATCAGCTTGGTGCTCCGCCTTCTCGATAACACGGTCGGTCGAAGATCGGTTGATACCGTCAAGTGACAGCTCGTTGAGATCGTTCGTGGCCTCTTCCATCTTCTCGCGGTCGGCCGCTTCTTTGGTTTTGGTAACACCACTGATGAACTTGATGAATCGATCGCCATAGCGTTCAGGGGGTATAGCAGATATTTGAGATTCCGTGTTAGCAATGCCTTTGATGAAGTGCTCCATGCGTTTGATGAGCGAGTACTGGAGGATGGTTAGCATCCTACAACAAGTGCACCACGTTGCAAACTTACGTGTGTCAGACAGTCGATGATGCCAAGGTAGTAGATCTCCTCTCCAGGGGCGTTGTTTTCGTGAGTAGCTCGGAAGCCACCGTCGTCGGAATAGAAGTAAAAGTTCCGGTTAGGATCTTCTAGCTCATCCGGCATCTTGCTCGAGGTCTGACCCATTGGTACTGGTTTCTGTGTCTTGACCATCTGCCTCAGTTCCCTTGCTTTCCGAGCGCTCTCCAGTTTGGAGGGTGTACGCATGAGCTGGTTCGGTTGTGGCTCTGGTGCCTCCTCTCCACCTGGGGAGAAGACCTTGAGTGTCTTGTCACGCAGATTCTCCTCGTTGCCCTTCTCTAGGTCGTGGATACCGATGAGAAGTGAGTAGTCCATTATGTGTAGGCGCTGCAGCAACTTCACGTCCTTCTGCATCTGCTCGATGAACATCTTCTTCTTCGACGGCCCCAGCTCGAGATGCTGGTTTCTGCGTAACCAATTGAGGTCCTTGAGTGTTGCGCGAGGGTTCGTCGCCAAGTTGTCTTCCTTGAAGTCCCGCCCAATCGTCGAGCCCTTCAAATCAAAAGTGCGGTGGATATCTCGATGCGGAGGAAACAGATTGTTCATGACGACAAAATGGATCTTGCGTCCATAGGGTATCTTTACGCGATGCAGGCCATAGAATTGAGAAAGTAGGGTATTGGGGTTCTCCTGTACATGATTGTAGTAGTCCTTGAGGATCTTGCGAAGGAACTTGTGTTCGGCGTGGTGGATAGTCTTGATGATGTACTTGTAGTCGCGAGAGAAATAGAAAAAGCTGCCGCTCTTGCCCGGGGAGCCGAGCTCGGAAAGGATGTATTTACTTGTTAGCGACACAAGGTAATCGGCAGGGTCGAGCTTGAAGGTAGTGCGGAGATGGCGGAAGACCCATGGGGCATAGTCCTTGAACTTGAAGTCGTATTTGGCGGAAGGAGTAAGCTCGTTACCGGTTCTGTGAGAATGTTAGTGTTGAGCAGAGGAGAAGAAATGACAGGTCTGGCAGACGAAGTGAAGCTGAACTCGAACAGGTGCGTGATGTTGTAAGGAAAACCAGCCGGCACGTACATGTCAAACGAGAACTTGTGCTTCGCGTCAAAGTCGGCATCGGTAAGATCTCGGTCCATCTTGGCGTTGGTTCGCGAGACGGTGAAGCGGATACCCGTCAGCATGTTGTAGGCAGTGACCCAGTTGACGTGGTTCTGGTCCACTTTGGTGCCCACTACGACGCGGTCCTCGTCCTCGTCCTCTTTGCGCTTCCTCTTGCTTGCTCGCTTCTGTCGGATGTGTTCAGCCCAGCGCGCGGCATCATCGTCCTGGGGCACCTCGTCGAGATGCACATCGGAGTTGACGGAGCGTGTGGTCCTACGCACAAGCGACATGGAGCCTCTCCGTCGGTGCGGCGTGGAGGGCGAGAACCTCCCACTTGCGCTGATGACGTCGTCGGTGTTATTCTGGGATTCGCGGGCGCGCGATGTCTGCAACTTGGGGACCTCGAGGGTGTGGCGTTGCTGCAGGCCCTGGCGTTGCTGCGAGGGGTTGGCGTTGGCGTTGTTGTGGTTGAAGGCAGGTGGGGAGGAGACGCGATGCGGTTGGGTCGGTATCTGCAGGCTGGACGTGCCCTCATCGGGCTGCTGCTGCTGCGGCGACGGTGACGTGGTAGTGTTGGCCATGGAGCCGACGTGCGGAACGTAAAAGTCCTTGCTTGCTTCTTTGGTGCCATCGAGGGCATCTACCTGGCCGAGTTCGACATGGGTGGTGCTGCCACAAAGGCGGTCCTTCGTCTTGCTGCTGTGGATCGAGGCAAAGTAGCCGTCGTCTCGGCTCGGCCGCTCGCTCGACTGTCGCTGCGTGTCGGGCGAGCGGTTGGTGTTGAAGCTGTCAGCGTCCATGTAGTCTCCTCTACCCCTGCCATGGCGGCCTTCTTCCTGCGACAGGCGCTTGTCGATGCTCGCTGGCCGGGTCGGGCGGCCGTTGGACAGCTTCCCGTTCATCGCGGTGGAGCTGCCATTGGGGGGTGAGCGGTCTGAGGGCGTGCGCGCGGGCGGTGTTGATGTTGTTTGTGCATGGGCAAAGGATGGGCGGTCGGTTGCTTCGGCGCCATACGAGGGCATCATCTGCGACTCATGGATGGTTACGCTCATCAAAGAGGCAGCCTTCCCCGAGTGCTGCGGAGGAGGGGTCGGCGAGGAAGCGTGAGAAGCCAGTGTGTGTGTGTACGAGGGGTGGCTTGTGAAGGGTCGGGTTGGGCGTCGTCCGGGGGATTGCGTAGCGCAGCGCCGTCAGAGACTACCAGAGAAGAGCCGACGTTGGGGAGAGGCGAGACGGACGGCAGGGCGCTCAATCAATGGGATCGTGCTAAGGAAAATGGTGGTGACAAGAATGGGCGTGGTGTGTGGTCTGCAGCCAGGAGTCGGAGCTGGTGATGCTCGTGCGAATAGTTGGCACTGCGCTCGTCAGCCCTTCACTCGCCGCGATCCGACTTCCGTCTTGCGCTAGCCTTGGCAGGTGGATCGTGCCTTATTGCATGCTGCGAAGCCACCAGAAGCATGAACAAGGGCCTGACGCATTGTGAATCAAGACAGTTTGGATGCAGTCGGACCTGCCTCATTCGATTCCTCGCTTCTTTGCGCTACTTTTCACACCCTTCATGCCATGCCAACGCGATATATGCACGCCGTTTCTACATTCCGCAACTCCGTAGAGGGAGATTGCGCGTCTGGATTAAGAACACTCGGCATGCATCCCTCAGCCACACCAATAGTCCCAGCAGCCCGGGTACGGCGTCATGCTGTGGCTCTCAAACAAGCCTATTCTTAACCACTCTGACACCGTTGCAAAGGAGAAGGTTTATTTTCCACACCAAGCTGGACTTGTCGCGTCGCGCACCGGACAACAGAGAGTGCGAGCCGGCCTTTGCCCTGCGCCGGACTTTGCTCACTCGTCCATAGTCGGCACTATTTAGTACCAGCTCCACTGCCAATCTCCCGCCTAACCCAGCCCTGTTTTCGTCCGCCCAACATAGCAGTAGAATGCGCAACAACCATCTCGACAATACAGTACTCCACATTGTACGTGTACGGTATTCCCCGCATATCCAGCCGTGTACAGATCTACACTGATTGGGTGATTTGTTATCAAGAGAGTGCATCTCTGCTGAGTATCAGCACCCAAGGGCCAAGATCAGCGCTCGCGACGCTAGCCTCCTTGCGTTTCCCTACATGCTGCCCTCAAGAACACCAAACACAATCACCAGTGTCGGTTCCAACGCTCGAACCACGCGACTCTGGTAGTGACAAGCCTCAACATTCTAATGTGAGCCTGAGATGTGATTCGAGATGGCAACATCTCCAAAACCTTTCCTCGGGGGTAGTCGGTCCTGTATCAGCCGAACAATCTGGACAAGCAGTAACCTCGGGCTTTTGATAATGGCGCCATGCTCATCCCACAGCGATCCGATGTTTCTCCCCAGAGCTCAGAGTGATGATCTCAGTGTTAGGGAGTGTCTTCCTAACAACACCCTCGTCCACCATCTTCTTCACTTCATCAACCGCGTGCTGCGCAATCTGGGTCAACTTGACTGCCCAGCCGCGATTGTCTTTGTCTGCATCGTGAGCAGAGATCCAAGCTTTGGCATACAAGCTCTTAGCAATCTCCGTGCCACCGGGGCTTCCAGCGGATATGTTGCCTCCAAGCCACCACGGATTCTCGACACAGTCGAAAGAATGCAGAAGCGCCGTGAGGGGAAGGGCGGATTCTGAGACAAGGTATGAGCTTGCGTAGGGACGAATCACGTCGTAGGAAACACCGTGAGGCGAGTAGATGACGGACAAGGTCTTCTCACGATCATTGTAGGGCGACGGCACTATTGTGCAGGGCGATGAGGCAATGGTCATCTGAGACCGTGGCGAAGGGGGCGGGCTCATAGGCAGGTCGATATAGTGCATTGGACTCAGCGACGAAAGCACAGTACACGGAGGCCGATAGGTTATCCCGATGGCATGGTGTACTTTAGAGAGGTCACGCTTTGCTGGAATCCAAGTCACCGTCACTTCACCACACGTCCCCCGGGGAGACGGCGGCGGTATCACTATGCGATGTATAGATCGACCCTCGCCCTCGACATATTTCGGCAGAGCATGCACCAGGCCGGGACGGAAGTGTTTCCACGAACGAATCTTTCTGGCAGCAGATGGGATGGCTAGAATAGTCGCTTCCGAGTCTGGTGGGAGTTGGCGCAATGTAGCTTCATGGCAGTGGTCTGGTTTGTCTTGGGATATAAGCACGAGATCGGGTTCGCGGTCAAGGTCTTTGAGGCTCGAGATGGACGGTTTGGCTCTCTGCTCAGAATGCGAGAAGATGGAGTTTAGGATGATGGACGGTCCTGACAGCCAGGCTGCTCAGAGAATAGATTAGCACGTGTTTACAGATTGTCATGTCATGCATCGTCGCAGACCCCGATCCTCAAAGACTTACGGTCAACCAGAATCGTAAAGGAGCCTGGGAACAACCCTGGTGACGATAGTGGGGCAGCGGGTGGATCAAAGGTAAGGAGAAAGGAAGTGTCTCCATTTAACGACTCGACGGAGAGTGCCATGGTAACGCAAGACAAGTGCAAGACAATGTCGGCAAAGCGCACGACGATGCAACAGTAACGCAAGACATGTGAGGAGAAGAGGACGAGGCCACAGGCTGCGGCGATGCCGTGTCAGTCTGTGATGCCCTTGTCCATGATGATTATGGGCGTGCGCCTTCGCCTTGGAACGGCCGCAGAAGCAAATGCATTGGAAGGTTGACGCGAGCATGGTAGTCGCAGACGAGCATTGGGGGAGAAACAGCAGGTGCAGACGAGACGCATGTGACGCATTTAGAAAGCAATAGCAAGACGGTGCTGCTCCTGTCACTCAACAATTTCCACCCCCGGCGCGTCAAAAGCTCGTCGTCGCGTGTGTCGTCTTCGCTCCTCTTTCCCTTCTTCCCTGACGTTTCCCACCCACCACCTCATCCTCAACCCAAAGCCCGCCGCCGAAATGTGGTAGATGCAGCTCCCTGCAACCAAGTGCAGCTTCCTGGTTCTGCCGGCCGAAACTGGATCTAGCTCGGCATTCGAAGAGCAAAATCTTCATGGCGCCGTAGCCGATGTGCTGCTGAAGAGTCCGAGCAATAGTTCGCATTGGTCAAAATTTCTTGCATGCACGGGACTTGAGCTGTGAGAAGGCTTCTGCGCCGTCTAGTTGATTATGAGTCGCCTTGATCACGGCCACGTCTGATTGGAGCGCGCAAATCCCCATTCAAGCGGTAGGTCATTGGGCAGCACGAAGCTCTCCAAGCTATCTTCTTCGCCTCAGCTCCAGGGCAGCCGTCTGATTGCTCATCCGCTCGAGCTGGTCGTGGCGATAGAGCTCTACATTGACGGCAGCGGTGCACTACCATTTGCTTCTTCTTTCATGGTTCAATCGTGACTCTTGAACACAGCCACTATTTCATCACTTTCTCTCCAGCCCCGCCGCTGTTCCCAGCTGCCCCGCATCCAGTTACGTCTATCCGCAGTAGCAGCAACTTCAGCTCAGAGCTTCTTCACCAACCCGCCGTAGTCACCACACCAGCCTCTACCGACATTGTAGCCTTCATCCGAAGCTGCGCAAGCTCCAATAGAGCTTCTCTGTCCCAGCGCCCAGCTTTTTCACGTGCCATTGCTTCTCTGGGAAGCTTCTGCCATTGATGCTCGCAGCCATGCCTCCGTCGCGCGCAGCACCGCTGACGAGCTCCTTCTCCGTCAGCGACGAGAGCAATGTCGTTGTTTGCCCGCTGCGCAACCATGACAGCTCCGCCTGTCGCAAGCGCTGCACTGGCGTAAGTTTTCGCCATCCTTCTTTCACGTCATAGCAAGCGTCAAGGCTTCAGAGCTCCCAGGTGCAGACTAACACACCATGCGTAGGAGAAGCGTTTTCGGTCCATGCAGGAGCACATCCGCCGTGCCCATCCGGAGCACTACATTTCCAAGTTGCCGGCAACTGAGGTAGGCTTTTCCATGACCAACACTATGCAAACCTCTTGCTGACGCGGCATTCCTACTCGTAGGAGAGCTTCATGTTGATGGTCAACACACCACCACAAGAAAGACGCCCGCCTCCACCGGCAACAACCTCAGCAGCACCCCAGCAGACGTACGATTATGGCGGCAACGAACACAATTCCTTCTTCGAGACCGACTTCGGTACCAACCATGTTCGCACATCGGACGAGATGCGCCGACCGTCGCTCTTACCCGCTGCAACCGCTGCAGCTGCCCTGGCCTCGTTACACAACCATCGTGCCGAGTACGACTGGGACTCAGATCCGGTATGAAGCCGCTGTGCAGCTTCCCTGCATAAGGCCAAGCTAACAACTGCTGTGAACAGGACGCGGCATCCGACCCAGACTCAAAGAATTATAGACCTCGCGCACGATTCGCTCCTACCACCATAGAACAACACATCAATGCCGAAGAACCTTACTATACTTCTACCTCTATACAGCAAGAATTGCTACCTTCCTCCCTCGCACGTTCGCCTCCCGGGCGCTCCTCAACGCTGCCACCAGGCGCCCACTCTCTCAAACCAAACAGACCTCGCAAGTCATCTATAGGTCAGAATGCTCGTCGGGGAAAACATGAGCGGCAGAAGTCCAAGGACTATTCCCGCAGGCTGAGCTACGACAGGAAGGCTTACTCAGCTGAGCCGGCAACAGCTGCGGCTATCATGGGCAAACGATGGGAAGACTTGATTGATGCCGCAGCTTCAGCCACAGAAGAGGACAGTCGAGATCTTACACCGGTTGGTATCACACGCTACTATACCACGTCGTCTAACATGAACAGGTGCCACAATCGCCAAATCAATCCCCTCACATGATGAACAACCGAACCTCTCTACCTCCCTTCAACTTTGCTTCACAACTTCAGTCATACACCGCATCACCATTGAACAACGCCTTGACGCCTCCACCCCCGGATATGTCGGATCTCCAGCCTTTCCCTTCCGTCGAGTCCTCCATTGAATCAGCCATGTCCGGCCAAACTTTCCATATGCCTTCCCAAGGTCTGTCCGATTCTTCTCCTAGCTCTCTTTTCCCAGTGCAAATATACTGCGCTGCATGCCGGAAATTATCCATATTGCGAGACAGCTATGCATGTTCCGAATGCATCTGCGGCCTGTGTCAAGAGTGCGTAGATGTACTTGTTAGTGAGCACAATCGTGGTCGGGTGCCGACGTGTCCGCGATGCAGCACTATTGGAGCCAAGTTCAAACCTTTCCAACTCGATATAAGATGAAGCAAGGCTATCCATGGCGTTTTGGGCATTACATCATAGTAAGGCGTTTGTTTTGCGTACCCCAGACTTTCCCTTGGCCTTGTGCCTGTTTCCGGCCCGTTTGCAACTATAGTTAGCTCCACGAGCCACATGGGCGTTCAAATATTTCGTTTTGGGTGGCTCGTTCTGGATAGACTGCTCGAAAAGCAAGTCGGAGTTTTGATTTGGTCGTCATGAGGAGCCCAATTGGGTATCACTCCCTCACAAAGAGGTCGCAGAGATAGATTTACCTGCGAATACAATTCCTAGGTGTACTTACGCCTCATATGTTTCCATCTTCGACGCTCGAGTTTACTGCTGCACTAATCGTCCCTTTCAGCGCACATTGCGCATTTCATTCCGCCTTTGATTCCGCACTCTCGTTGATAGCGTCCTAGGTATCAGCATCAATAGAGCTTGTGAGAGCATTTTCTGGGACCGATTCGGCACCAGTTCGGCAGGGGGAACATGCGGTGAATGAACCACAGTTTGGTTGAAGAATCGGTGGACGTCAGAGGTGTCAGCTGGTGGAGCCTTGGAGACTCCCGTCATTACCGGGCGCAACACTACCGGTACGCGAACCGACTGTTTCCCACCTGATTCAAGCCTTGAGCGGTCTAGATGACCCGGACTTTTCGATTACGAAAGAACACGAAGTGGAGATTACAAACTACCTCAACAGTTGAACCGGGGGAGTTTTCCACGGGGTGGAGGACGGAAAATGTCTATTTTGGCAGTCATTGCTGCAGGGACTGGAGCGATGTGGATAATTGGGTATGAGAGATGGCATCGGTTCCGGAAAGTCAACGGACGTGGCGCCGATGTTACGATGCAAAGGGGGCCGCGGAGGAGCAGTGGCCAACTTAACTTGTAAGGACGACTAGATATGTTTCGTTCTGTATTCCTGTACCGAGCGCGTCGATACATCTCATCATCGATTGTCGTTAGACCCAGGCTCGTGCAGATCTGGAGGGTTGGTGCGAGCGAGGGCACAGCAGAAGGTTGGCCGGGTGAAATGGACTCGTGACACCTTTGGGAGGGTTGGATGCAAACGTCTCATGACTGCCTCGACATTGTTTCCTGCTGTCAACATCCTTTCGCCTGCGCCCGTTTTGCTCAGATACGCCAATCACAATAGCAGTAGAACCATCGCAGCAGATTAAAGCCGGCAAAGCACATATGGCGGTGTAGTCCGTAACTGTCCGTTTTCGCCAGCGGAAAAAAAAGCCAAGCCTTTCTCCTTTTACCCCGCTGTATAGCCAATCGCTTTACCTGACCGTAACAACACAACATGTCCAGCTCCAGTTCTAACGCCAGTTGTTTCCGGGCACCCTTCGGCGCTGGGCATAGGAGTGCACTTCTCTGATCGGCATTGCATGAAGCTTGTTCGCAATTAGATAATCTATCCAAGAGAGGCTCATAACGTCTTTCCCATATCAGCGAAAACAAATGCCCATAGTCGCCTCGGGAATACCCAGCTACCATGGGACTCCCTCGCTACTACGTAGGTTTGGGCCAGGAACAGACACGGTGTTATGGCGATCGGCAATAGCTAGCGCAGGGTCTGGCCTTGCATCCTCAACCCAGGTACCCACATACTACGAATATGCCGGTCTAGACGCACACTCGTTTTATGGTTTGCATGGAACCTGTGGTTTGAAACTACTGCGGGTGTTTATTGATAGTTGGGTCGTTGCGGCTATGGGAGTTGCGTGGATTGGGTATAGCCCGGGGTGGCGCCCGGCCCCCTGACGTGGTGTGCTGGGGCTGTGGGCTGCATTGGGATTGCGGTTATGCGCTGGGTATGTGAGTGTGTGTGTGGTGGGGGAAAGGGTATTTAGAGTGGTCGTGTGCCTCGCATTTGTTGGCGCATTTTCCGTTGGGATATTACTACTGTTTGTTTGTCGATATACTATCGTTGTTGCTTCCTTTTCGCCAACAACTTACACTGGCTTACACATCGATTGGATACATGCAAATACTCGGGCCTCGATATCACTACTACCATCTACCAACCACTTGACATACCAAACAACTGCGATCATCAACTTCAACAAAACTTACTACGAATATCTACGACAATCGTTCAACATGCCTATCTTTCGTACCCTGACTACCAAACTCAAAACCTCTCTGTCTCCTTCCTCTCCGGATTCTTCACCAGACCAATCACCTACCTCGCCGCAAGTATCTTCTTTTGAAAAGATCAACGGACGCAAAGAAGGGGGCGTTGGCGGAGCTGTGAAAAGGCCTGAAGTGCAAGCTAGAGTTGACTCGTACATGTCGCAAGCAAGCAATGCGAGCAACGAGAGTGTAGAAGAGAAGAAACAGCGAAGGATGAGTCGATTCAGGGAAGAACTAGACTTTGAGGCTGAGGAGTGAATGAGGGTATGAGGACATGAGGAAGCAAAGAGGATTGTAGTATTCTCAAAGGTATGTTGTTGTCATTGATCTTCTCTGAGATGAGGTACTAATCCCAAGTCAAGCTTACGCTGCTTCCGAGTCTGCTGTACCCTCCGCATTGCCGTCACTTTGTACTGGTGTGCCTGTCCTGCTCGCACTACCACTCTTTGGCGGACCTCTAGGCGGACCGCCAACCTTGGGAGGCGGAGGCACGCCACTGCCTTTCTTTGGTGCATAGTCCTGCTCTAGACTCTTCTGCTCGCCTTCTTTGAAGTAGTCGTCCAGCCCACCACCGCCACCACCCGCGGGGCTAGCTACATGGTGCGCTCTGCCTTTCCTCTTCGGAGGGGGCGCCGTACCCTGAGGCGGCGGAGATTTCGACGGTAGCGCCATGTTCGCCGGTACAAACAACTCCGCCGGTGCACCTTGGGGCTGAGCGGCAGGAAAATCAATGGAGCCAGTCAAAGGGCGTTTCTCGTCGAACGAAGTAGCCCCGCTAGCATCGCCCGTGGAGAAGAACGTCTCCCCAGGCGCTGGCGGCGGCTCGTCCAACCCCGCTGGGATGCGATGCAAAGCGCCAAAGCCCAAAACACAACCCAACGCACCCTCACCGCCCCAGTTGCGCGTTGGCGTAATGGTAACAGGCCGGGTGACGTTGTATTCGTGGTTGTACACGTATAGTCTCAACGGTCTGTTCAGGAAGTCTTCAACAAGCTCACCCAAGCCGGACTCGCCGCGCACAAGCCCTTCAGGGCTGCCAATGACGTAGTCACCGTAGGGAAGCAACCCCGCGGCGTCGGCGGGCGAGTTGGGAGCCACGTCTAGGATGTGCCAGACGTCTTCTGCAATGGAAAGTGGAGACCATTGCAGGGAGATGCCTAGTGTAGGCTGGTCGGCGGGAATTTGTAGATAGACTTCCCGGATCTTTTGGCCCTGTAGAGGGTGTTAGATACGTAAATATTAAATGAGATGACCATGCAAAATCAATCATGAAGACTAGTTTGTGTTTTTGGTGTTGTGAAATGAGAAAGTGAGTAAAGCTTGATCGCATGCATCGTGATACGCAAAAGGGCAATCCCAACCTACCTTTGCGCTAAATACACCCAGACTAATCGTTGTGCCAGCACAGTTCCGCACCTCTGTCGCGAAGAGGCTTGGGTCAGGATTATCCTAATCACAAAGTCAGTACGACATCCACGTATTCCACTTATTGCCAGCCGTCCCACGTCCCTCTTACAACTCTTCACACCATTTCGCGGGCTTTCAACTTCTCGGCTCTCTTATTTCGCGTGCTGCTGCCTCTCAATCAGGTGGGATTGTACATACAATAGTTCGCCCATTGATTCCAATGACGAAATCAAACCACGGCTCCAGAGGGACTTCTAAATTGGCATTCCTCAGCACCTGAAATCCGTATGCGCCATTGGTAGCAGACTGCTGCTCTTCGTTGAGAGGTGCGGCGTCTAATCGCGATATGAAGCGATTCAGCGCTCCGAACATGGACATTATGAGAGGCTGTGACGTTGATGTTTCCTCTGAAGAGTTGTTATATGAAGACGATGAAAGAGAAGTTGTGGTGGTGGAGATGTCGTTGTTGATGACTTGGAGGTTTTGGAAGGTGGCCATAGCTCAGGATCTGCGGCGCGCTAGTGGGCGCAGCTGCAGTAAGGATGGCGATGTGCCTGTACTGGAATTGAGATGAGCCGTTCTAGCCCAAGACTCGAGTCCAAATTAGCATTCTCTTCCTTTGTATTGTCTGCAGTCAGTCAAACGTATATATTCTGTCACGTATAGCGACCGAATTCTTGACCAGGCAGTTGCGTTGGTCCAGACTAACCCGAACCAGGTAACGCGTATCAGGATTGCTCTCACTCATCTATACTGTTTGCTTGCTTTCATCATCAACATATCTTCTTAACTGGTGTTCTTTGCCTGCAAGGTTCGGGAGACACACTACCTTCAGGAAGACATACATCGTGCTCACTATAGTCATGAGTGAAAACCCGGATGAGAAAGGCGTAGACCAGTGGTCGCGTGTCGAACAATTCCCTGAACACTTGAAGAAGTATAGCTCATCTTCTACCATTTTCGCGAAGCCTGGCGGCTAACATTGGTAGGTACTGGCACCAACGATTCAAGATCTGGGAAAAGTACGACCAAGGCATATGGATGACAGAAGACGCGTGGTTCGGTGTGACACCAGAACCCATAGCCAACAAAATTGCAGCCCACATCTCAGAGTCAGCGCCCAAGGACAAGACTGTCATTGTCGATGCATTTGCCGGTGTCGGTGGTAACGCCATAGCACTAGCGCGTTCAGGCCGTTGGGAGCGCGTCTTCGCTATCGAGAAAGACGCCAAGACCCTGAAGTGTGCAAAGCACAACGCCGAGATCTATGGTGTGAGCAACAAGATCTTCTGGCTCAACGCAGATTGCTTCACGGCCATCAATAGATTCTCTGGTCAGAGCAATGTCGTCGTGTTCGCTAGCCCGCCATGGGGAGGTTCGTATGACCAATACACCGTCATCTGAAATATGCTGATCGAGATAGGAACCGAATACGGAGCGGAAGATGTCTTCGACCTGAGTAAGATGGAGCCGTACAACCTGGAAACGCTCTACAAAAGCTTCACGAGGATAAGCAAAGAAGTTGTTCTGTATCTGCCGAGAACGTCGGATCTCAATCAGATCGCGAGATATGGGCAAGATGGAAAAAAGCTAGAGGTTGCACATTACACTTTGATGGGCGCTAGTAAGGTATGATACAGCTAATATCGCCATGAAGCTGAATACGTGCTAATGTTGCGCAGGCACTTTGTGTGTATTTCGGCAACTTCGACTTTGAGATGGAGCAGGAATCATAATCAGTAGGCGCGAATCAGAACACGGTTGTCACCAGTTCCACACCTGACGATATCATATGGGTTGTATTGTTCTTCATCTTAGTCCATCTCAGGTATCACCTTCTCCAACCAAGCACACAAGTCTCGAAGCCTGTAGTTGTGGAGATACGAAGTTAGTGTATGTCTCATGTGCATTTCGTACAGTCACAACTTACTCAGCCGCGCCCATTACATGCCCCATTCCTTCATATTCCTTTACTGTCACCTTCTCTTCCTCGATACCAAGTTTACATAACCCTTCGTAACACATACGATGATACCGCTTCGGCACCAGTCTGTCGCCTGTTCCTCTTGCCAGAAATATCTCGCTGTTTGCACTCACCTCTTTCGGCAATCCGGACCGCTCTCTCAGCTTAGGTATTTGATCTGCCAGCGGGAGATATCCGGACAATCCAACCAATCCTCCAAGCTTTGCAGTGTACTTTGATACCAGGCCAGTCAAGAGTGCCATAGCATGGCCTTGCGAGAAACCTCCCAGGATGATTCGATCCGTCGGAATGCCCTGTTTAACCAGATCATCGACCAGTGTCGTAATGTAAGATACTGTAGCCATCATACCCTCTTCGTCTTCGTCATCTTCGAGCTCGGGTCGGGATGGCGGGTAAGGAGAGAGGCGTGTGGGGATATACCAGGCTGTGGTTGCTAGGTCGTGGTTTTCTAGAGCGTTGGGAATGACCCAAGACATGTACGGTAGTTTGCCCGCGGACTGAAATTGGTTGGCGACGTTTTCTAGCCCTTCGGCTTCGTCACCGAGGCCATGGATGAAGATGAAGGCGGCGGACTTGGTGATGTCGCTCGGTGGAGACGTGGGTGGGATTATAATAGGTGGTTTCCTTTCGGTCGTCATGCTTGATAAGTGATTTGCAGGTGGGATTGTCCCATCAAATGGCTATTATATTTCTACGGGACTTTATATATAATACCCAAGTAGATGGTAGCCGAGGATAGCATGTTCTCAAATACATCTTCGAAGATCACGGCTAACGTCCGATAAGATGATGACGAGGTCGGAAGCAGTCCAAATAATGTACGTACCCCGCATTGATCATGCAGGTACGGCGCCTGGACTTTGGACGCGTCGGCATGTGATCCATAATTTCCACACCTCCGAACTCTCCGCAGCATTACCTCCCACGCTCCACCATCTACAATGCCGCACGTCGAAGTGCTCCCAAACTCCACGGCGACCGTCGCGCCGGGATGGACGTATGTCGTCGATACGGGCTATGACCCCTCCAAAGTCGCCATCAACCCCAAGAACAAGAAGCGCGCCGCAGCAGCAACGCCAGGCGGTCAGCGTGCCGAAAATGAGCTATCAGCACGACAACAGACGGCTATAGCGCGACGCATAGCAGAACTAGAGCGCGACAACGACCCCAAACAGCTCATTACGATACCTGGAAAGCCGAGCGTGCCGAAAACGCAGAATGCAAGGAGGATCATACAGTATCAGCGGCAGATCAAGCATTGGCTTGACGACGAAGAGGCACAATTAGGACAAGCAACGACCACATCAAGAGGGAGTGTGTCTCAGCCCACAGGAGGAAGGGGAGCAACACAAGCGTCCCGAAGGCAGAGTGCATTCACTTCCGTGCCCGCGACGCCTATGGAAGCAACACCAGGACCCGCAGCGATTACACAAACCCCATCGCGACTCGAAGACGCAAATGCAGATGATGCGTTACTCTCCATCGACGACTCTATACCTGCGCCACTGAACCCCGCTGAGCTCGAAGCTCTACTTGCCGCACCACCGCTTTCGTACGCTGCAAGCCATGCGGCGCCTCCTCCAGCTGGCGGTCCACCGCAGAGACAGTTTTGCGATAATTGCGGATATTGGGGACAGATCAAGTGTCGTAAGTGTGGAGCACGGGTGTGTGGATTGGAATGTAAAGACGCGCATGAGGCTACAAGGTGCTTGAAGTGGGCATGAGGACAGACAGCAACCGAACGTGACATTTGCATGGCGTTGGGATGCTTTATTGATACCCCATACTTTTCGAACCATCTACAAAGCAGTTTCTTGCTCAGTATACAAATTCTTCTCCAACAAGCTTCTCGCTCAGCTTCCAAAGCTTCTCTGGGTCTTCCGGGTTCTTCGCTGTTGGCTGCACCTCCTGTGGCGCCACATTTCCATTGTCAAGGAAGGCGCCGTTGTAGTTGTCCAATCTTGTGTCGAAGGCAGCCACAACGTGGGTAGCCGCACATTCGTCGAGAGACTTAATGTCAAACTCACGTGTCCAGCCAATCTCTTTATCCTTGGCCACTGTGCGCTTGTCAGCAACTCGTTCGTTTCAGCTCTCCACGTCTACTACGTACCCACACTCTTCATGTCTTCATCATCGAACTTCTCAGCGAGAGACGTCCCCAGTGTTACTCCCGGGTGCAGGCTAAACGCTTTCAGTCCTTTCAGACCCAGTTTCTTTGCCAGCGCATATGAAAACAAGATATTCGCCGTCTTACTCTGGCCATACGCTTCCCATTGATCGTAGACCTTGCCATCCTGGAAATTCGGGTCCTCAAAACGCACGCCGCTGAAGCGATGGCCGTCACTAGCCACATTGACAACTCTTGGTGCTTTGGAAGCAAGGAGTTTGGGCATGATGAGATTGGTAAAGAGGAAATGCCCGATGTGGTTGCATCCGAATTGGTTTTCGATGCCTTCGGCTGTGGTACGGTAGGAGCCTTTCATTATGCCTGCTGAGTTGACGAGGACATCGATGTGGGACTCTGGGTATGCTAGGACTTCTTTCGCGGCTTCGCGGATCTGCTTTTGTGATGCAAGATCGAGGGCTAGAATACGCACTTCGACGTTGGCGCTCGCTGGGTTGGATTTAATCTTGTTGGCCGTGGCTTGGACTTTGGATGCCGAGCGGCCAGCGAGGATCAGGAGAGCGGGTTGGTGTTTTGCAATCTCTTCTACAAAAGTTGCTCCTAGGCCACCCTGCGTCACGCCGGTAGTCAAGACGATCTTGCCAGCTACGTTGGATGCATTATCCGCTGCGATGGTCGAGGCAAGCGCATTTTGGCGGCTGTAAGGTAGTGGTGAAGCCATAACAGTACAGACAGTAGATGATATATCTATGAACTTCTTGCAATTGTAGGCCAGATAATTGATGTTGTAAATGTTGTTACTAGTTCTGCATTCATTGAAAGACACCTTCCTTGTATGCATCAACGATCAGTGACCTACCGAAGGTTTATGTTCCTTCGGGGGAACGGCTAATATCGATACAGACGTGTACCCACGTAAGTGCTGTCAATACGATTGCCTGGAGCTTAACTCCGTCCGCCGTAAGTCCGTTTCTCAACTCAGGATCCGATGTTTGTCGGAACACGAATCATGCATATAGTATTGTCAAAACAATCTGGGGATTGTGAAGGGCTTTGGGATTTTTTGACTGCGAGATGGCGTAGTCATATGTGGCGGCGAGGGTCGTGATGTAGTGGTATTGAGAATGTAGGATATGACAGGTGACGTCATGGTCGACATGTTTCATCCATTGCCCATTACGCAATTTCTCGCCCTTTGACAGCGATGCTCATATCGAATTGCTACTGTAAAGACAAATCAACCCTTCAGACTAGTCATGCTACTCGCGTGTCAGACAAATGGACTCTCAGGTTTCAGTATTACTTTACGGCCTGCTCTTCTATGCTATTTCCATACCAACTTCACCTACATCTCCATACTCTTATGATGTACACTCTCCTCCCGATCTTTAAGTCCTAATAGTACTGGAAACATGGTAAACGCAAAGCCTGTTGCAACTGCAAAGTACACCACTATTGCTACACCATCCATCCCCTGCTCTTTCTGGGTCTCTAGCCGGTCCTTCCAAACATCCCATACATATGCCGACATGCCTGCTACGAAGCTTGCTACGGCCAAGCTGATCAGTTCGTAGGGAGCTTCGACTAACGTTAGAGACGTCAGAGAGCTTTGCCATACAAGACGCTCTCGGGCATTGTGGTACTGGATGCCGTTGGAGAGCCATCTCCGAAAGGATTTCGCGTCGCGGATGACGCCAACTTCGCGTTGCTGGATGAGAGTGAAGAATGTTGCGAGGAGGGACAGCATAGTGCTAACGATGAAGCATGCGCGTGCGACGAATGTCGTCTTTTCCAAAACGGGGAGAGAAAGCGCCTGGAGAGCTAGGGTTGCTAAGAGGGCACCCTTGAAGTATCGGTATCAGCTTTGAGCACATTTGTTGCTGAGCTGCTCACTCAGTTGGTCCTCATGTCTTAATTCTAGACAGGTGTACATACCACCAGCGTGACTAGTTTGAACTGCTTCAACTTCGTGTCCCGCATCTCAAGTACTTTCTCATCTTTTTCGTTGTTGATCAAATTCTCCAGCACTTCCAAATCTTTACAGTCGAAAAGAAGCCATATACGCCACATATACCACCGTCCATATCGCGCGCGTGCATACTCGTTGTCCATCCATTCTCGAAGGGGCTGGAAGCCATTGACAACATAGCGTGGTGCGAGCAGAGCCCGTGCAGCCGTTCGTGCAGGGGTGCCTAATGCACTGAAAACCTCTGCTCCGGACATTCGACGGATTGTAGGGAGGATGAAGTGGATGCCGGCATGCTAAATATCAAAATTACTAGAATACGTTTTTATCCAGATAGCTGAGGAGTCGACAAGGGGGTATCGGGACTAATCGATTTCTCGGGGAAGGCGTCGGCCCCCAGTCTCAACGTCGCGCTATCCTTTGGGCTATCATTGGCCAGGGATGGCAACCTTGCATGACTTGATTCAATGAAACGCCATGGGGGCGAACGTGGGCGGTAACACAAAGTGATGGAGAACAGGTAGCCATGTAGTACGGCTGGATCTGAGGCATGTATACCCGTCATGCCTCTGCATCGTTACGTCTTTATTCACCAGTCCATCCACAATGCTCAGATACGCAAGTATTTCGCTGCAACCACGCTTATATTTCTTGTTCGTAGCGCCGTTCCACAACCAGCGAGGGACGCTAGGGGAATGTGTCCACTACAACACAAACATTACGACGTAGATCGATAGGGTTGAGAGTTAACTCATTGGTTGGAGGGAGCTTACACCAGCAGTCGTGATTATGTTCCTGACCTACAAGACGATTAGCCAGTGGGCACGATAGAGTGTTTGACATGTTCTGAAGTTGCGTACGGTGGCATGCATTGTGGAAGCGATCTAGGTTATAACTACCAATGCATGCGTTTATGGCTCGCTTTCCTGTCTCTTTCTCTCCCTCAACACATAATAGGGCCGTGACTATGCAGTGCCTGAAGCCTTTGCCTTTTCCTGTTCTTCGAGCTTTCTTCGTGCCGCCAGGATCATCTCCTCTCGCCGTCTTTGCAGGTTTGCTTGCCTCTCACTCTTGTCTGCGCTCCACGACTTCGCCTTTGGTTGCTCTTCCTGTACCGGCTGCGAGACCTGACTAAGTTTCGAAGATAAATTGTATCGTGTTATCAGATCTGGATGCGCGGGTCTTGATGGGGCTGGGGCTGCTCGCGCCGGTGTAGGTGCAGCTCGTGGCGCAAGTGTTGGTATTTGGAAGGACGCCGGTGCCTATATATGTGTTAGCATACGTCAACAGCATCAACAAAGCTCCGGGTGCGAGTCCTACAGTGTCTAAACCCCTCGCACTCAATGCCCTCTCAGTCGTCGCGGCGACGTTACCGCCATTTCTTTGTAGGTCCCATGCGATATCCCGCCTGCTCAACTGCGGCAGCATCTCAGCGACTTGGTCAATCTGCGCAGGGTTGATGCGGACTGCAGCGCGGTTTGCCGCCGCTCGCGTGCCTGGAGCCGCCGCCGTAGGCTTTTTTAAGTACCATCGTACAGCAAGGAACGTGACGACGATGAAAACGATGACTTGGGGTACGTTGATGCTCTGCTCCGCCATGACTCTAGTCGCGGTATGAGTTGGGGCTCGTTGAGTCGATGCGCTTGGATTGCGAGTGTACCGAGGTGCGGCGTAGAGTGCGTTTGTAACAGTCGAGACCTGCAAACGGATACCAATGCGGTGAATGTGTCAAGCGACGATGCTGTAGATCACTCGTTGTATTGAACCTTGGGGGAAAACGCGACAACGATATGACCGAGTTTATTGGCAGTGTTCTGTCAAGTTGGAGTAAAGTCGATATGTTTCGGACGAGCCTCGGCGATCGTGAATCTCGGAAAGGCTAAGGTACAACCGCCCTTACCCCTTGTTGTCCACTCTTGCGACCCACGAGTTCCCCCTTCTCCACACTCTGCCTGAACCCTTCTTTCACCTATGTCGGTACCGGCCATTGCCTAGGCCTACACTCATTTCCGACGACGTTTGCTTGAATATGTTATGACGTTTGCTTGCTTTGAGATACCCCCAATCGTCACGTTAGATTATATGTACGCTACGCGCTTTGAGATACAACCATGAATACCCCAGTGATACCACGGAAGCCGCTTCCAGAACCGGCACAGGCGTACTTCAATGATGCGAGTGATTCCAATGCTACGCGCGGGTCGCAATGGGCAGCACCTTCACCTCCGGGTCAACAGACGAAAGACGCCAATATCACCGCCTTCCCACGTGAAGTACCCGCACCTGACGATGAGCCCATTCAAACAGCGAAGCGCCATGGACTCGGATTTGGTGTCTTTGCTGGTATAAAAACAAGCGCTTTTGGCTCGACACTCTATCATCACTTCAACAACTTGCTCCCGCCACACCAAAGATACTTCAACAACCACATCAACCGCCGTACACTACTCATCATGATCGGCATCACCTTTGCTTCCCTTCTGGCTCTCATCATCGGTCTCGCAGCAGGCTTGTCCATTGGCTCCAAGTACGTTGCTTGTGCTTTGCCTATCTTCCATAGCCTATACTAACCACCACCATAGCAACAACGCCCTACCTTCACCTGTGGGAGCCCAGACCAGCGGTGATATGACCTTCTACAACCCCGCCCTGGGTGCTTGTGGCAATAGCCATGGGGACGGCGATGCTGTTATGGCTATCTCCCACGGCATCTGTCAGTGATACTCTTCCCAAGCTTCTAGTGAGACATACACTGACATCGCATGCCAACACTAGGGGACAAGAACCAGGTCGGCACCAACCCCAACACCAATCCCCTCTGTGGCAAGAAGATTCGAGCTCATCGCGTGGATGAGAGGACCGGAAGGGACACTAGCATCGTTGTCACTATCGTCGACAGGTGTAAGTACTCCAGATGGCATATTCCATCTAACACCACGTCAAATTACCGTTGCTGATTCAGTCAAGGCGGTGCATGCGATCACGATGACATCGACGTCAGCCCCGCCATATTCAACAAGCTCGCTGACCCAGCCAAGGGCAGGGTCAACGTGGAGTGGTCCTGGGTATGAGCGCCGTGACTTCTCCGTCGGTACATAGTCATGACTTAGGTTTGAGTCGACTGTGACACATTGCGACATTCTATATTACTCACCAACTGGTGCGGCATATATCTGCTTCTCAATTCCACTTATGCCTCACTCTACTTCTACTCGCCGCTTGATACTTAAATCCATACAATAACTTCCAACCTTCCGACAACGTACACTAAACTCGACACCGCAGTGGCTTTGGTCGTACTGTGCGTAGATACTTGTGTCTTGCAAGTCAAAGAGAGAAGCTTTTTCTGAATCTTCGACAAGCGACTGAGTCTCGAAGATAGGCAATCCTATCCCTAAAACGGCAGACGACACACACTAATCGCGCAGCTCTGGCGGAGGCTTTGAAAGATTACCACCACTCAGATCGCATCTTCCACTAATACGATCACAATCCTACACGGCAGCCTCTCCTGAGACTCGAGCTTCAGCTCCACATCTTGGGAAAAAGCTACCACGTACTCCTGTCAACTCCTTTCTCGGAACATCACCTCTTAGTCTCTCGAAAGATAAACCATTTGACCAAATCTGATCCAAATCACGTGTACGACTCCCCTATTGCACCAGAAGCTGTAGGTAAATATACGCTTACGTGGAGATGGTTAAAGGATGACGAGGTTGCCGAAGGAGTTTAGAATTCAGTCATTTCTCTTTTCTAGCTCAAAGGGAATTTGTGGGCGGTAATCAACTGAGCTGGCTTCTATGCTTAAATTGAAATGTGTGGGGATGTGGTATGAATCTATCGATATCAATTCACATATCGAAGACTATCCAATGCTCCAGTGCTTTTGAATGATTTCGTTAGGCAAAACACCAGGATTGTTCCTCATCACGTAGACTTTCAGAGGTCCGCCTTTTTCGTCGTGTACCAACACGCCGGCTCGGTTCTGTAACCCCTGCGTGACACTCTTGATCTCTGTTAACAGACTAACCATTTTACGCAGCCTGTCCTGATTGGCTTCCTCCCATCGCGGGAAACCGGACTTGGCATGATTGATGTCAACTGAGTGTACCTTGCCCTTGTCATGGTTGCCGTTCATGAAGTAGGGTGTGCGGCCGAACCAAAGCTGCGGTAGCGCTTCGTTAAGACGTGCGAGCTTCTTAGCTTTGATTTCAGCGAGTTTAGAAGGGTCAACGAAAACTCCTTTCTCAACAACTCTGGTAGGCTTATTGGCGGCGGGTTTTCGACTCTTGGATTGAGTTGGCGGCGAGTCTACCATATTCAACTGCGCTAAAGCATTGGTTACAACGCCAATGGTTTCTTCGGTAGGATGTCTGGACTCAGAGTCGAGGACGGCATCAGGGTCATCGTAATATGCGTCAACTTCGAATCGGACAACACAGTCCAGAGGGCCAATGTGGTACCGGATGACCCTATGATGGCTACTAGAGTTTCCCATCTCATCATCAGGCTCTGTAAAGGTCTTCTCGAAACTATGTCCATAGCCTGCATTAGATGAACCATGGATTATTTGCTGAGCATTCCTTTCTTTGCGGTTGATCACAAGCGTTTTGCCAATCATATGTAAGCCCATACAGAAGGCGTCCAGCTTCTTCCCAGCCGAGAAGTCGAGAAGTTTGCGCAGACTGTTGCGGTTGACAATAATGTCGACTTCGTCTAGTAGGGTATTTGGTTTCATCACAGCGAGGGCGGCGAAGGCGGGTTCAAAAGGAAATGTGGGCACGCGAGAAGCGTTTTGATCGATGAACTGTCGCCCGGTATCCTGAGCCAGAGTAATCGGCAATGCGGGAGGGTTCCATCTGGGAGGCGCGCCGGGAACGTAGATGGCTCCATCATTCTGCCAGTTATAACTGCACAAGGTCTCGAAACCACACTCAGAGGATACCTCGGTCCTGTCTGGCTCCAGTGATTTTGCTTCTATCGCACGTATAGGCAGCCCAATGGTATCCCGGAACATCCATGATGTTTTCCAAGAGAGTGCCTTAGGTAAGTACCGTGTCTGTTGGGTTGGCGCCGGATCTGACGAAATTTCCTTGCCTTGATTCGATTGCGAAAGTGTTGGCTTGATTGATGATGCTCTGGATGGCGATGCCGCCAATGGTGTTGTCTTTATCGATGGTACCTCCGCGGTTGCAGCTTCTGCTTTTTTTCTTGCACGTCCGCTACGAGTGAAGTGAGTTTGAGTTCAGAAGAGTGTGGTAATGCCTACTCACGCCTTCGTAGGACGCGGCTTGCGTTTCTTCAGCTGTAAAGCATTGTCACCCTTTAACCCAGCATTCTCCGCTGCTATGGGTTGAGGCATATTCTTGACACCCGTCTTCTGGGCCTCAGAGTTCGTGCTCAATGCGCCTGACGCTACCGGCGCAGCAGCAGCAATGAGATTATGGCGTTGGCTGAGTTTTTATCAGCTATCCGTACACGCATGTAAATGAACTTTTCAGCGCAATACTTGCCGCTTTCTGTCACGCCAGTTTGTCTTCGTTTGAGTGACCTCTGTACCTGACTTTGCATGCCCGATATTTGCTGGAGTTCTGCTAGCATTGTCCGTATTTGAATTGGCAGCTTCTTTCGGCAAGGTAGGCTGCGACATGTCCCAGTTGGCGTACCGTCTGGTCATTAACTTTACGGCAACTTAAGAAGAGTATCAGAGCGGGGTAGTTGCTGCGCGTATCAGGCTCTATTTGTACAACCTGACTTGGAGGTTGTCAAGCCTATCCGTTGTCAAAACTCAGTTGAATTGGCTGAGTGAAGGTGAAGAAGATGCGTGTAGCATGTCGGATGCATGCATCGGAAAACCATGGTCGATAGCCTGCACATCGGAAGCACAACTCGACCTGCATGTCGGTGGACCAATCGACATGTGTTATATAGCATCGATGCCATAAGAGGCGATGGAGCTCGCAGATGGTGTTCGCGAGAGGTGCCGTGGTGCAGGTCTCACGTGCGCAGGCGATGATGATTGGCAGGGTCTGGACCGATACGGCGGTTACGCGTCATGTCTCTCGAAGTCGGAAGCATCCTTTGAACTTCCTGGACGCACACGACCACCTCTCGGCTTCATGCTTTACATTTACACTTCTCATCCCCCTTTACTGCTTGTAATGTCTAGTTAATTTCTACACACGTCTCTCCGCTGGCCGTTTTCTTATGCTTGGCAAACCTCCTTCGCCGCAGCGTTAGGCGCTCCATATCCAATGTCGACCGTCTTCGCCTCCCTTGTACGGCCGCCAAAGTTGCGACGCGCCTCCACGAACACACAGCCCGCGATCCAACCTCCGCCCTCGATTGACAGTCATGGCCTCGACGAACCTGATCTCCGTGACCTCAATGCCGCCCTGCAAGCGCTCACGGACATCTTCCCAGACATCCAGCCCGAGGTTTTTCGAGAGATGCTCTCTACCTTTAGCGAAGAGAGCAGACTTCAAGTCGTTACCGAGACACTTCTGAAGCATGGTGACAAATACGTGCGGGGACGGTACAGGATGCCAGCCGAGCAGGAAGAGCAGCGGGAGACGGCGCAAAAATATAAATACCGGAAGGAAGATGCTCCAAAGGATACCCGAGGCATACCGCTTGCAGTAGAAGAGAAGTTCCGGTCACGAAGATATAAGGAGGCTGCAAAAGAAGCACTATATCAGGAATTCAAGGGCCTGAGCCACTCGACCATCAAGGCGGTACTGGCTGAATACAATTACAGCTATACACATGCACGTCCGACGCTGCTGGAACTTTCAACTCGAAGCTGGAGGTCCAGTATTACCAACTTCTTAATGCGGCGGAAGGCGCCGACCGCGAATGACCATCCACTGGTCATATGGACCCCCGCCGATGAGAGGCTGAACCGCCCACCCATGCCACTTCTCGTAAAGACAAGGAGTGACGAGCTGAATCAGGAGCTTTACAATGCTCTGATAGTACCGGAACATGAGAAACACCGGAAAGCGCAGTTACGGCAGGACTTTGACTTGGCCGTGCAATGGAATGAGGAGGAGGCTGAGCGAGAGGGCGAAATGTACGATTGTGAATGCTGCTTCATACCCAACACGCTTCAGCAAATGTCGACATGCGATATCGACGGTCACTACATCTGCTTCCGTTGCATACGGCATGCCATCAACGCTGCACTCTATGATCAGGGCTGGGCACGCAACATCAACACTGACCTGTGTACCCTGAAATGCATAGCGCCTATGACTGGTGGATCCGAAGAGTGCCGTGGTTGCATCCCCTTTAGCTTTGTCAAGCGTGCACTCTTGGAAGAGCAAGATGGAAAGGACAACCTTACCAAACTCAACGAGCGCTTCGCTAGCGATGCGCTTACGAGATCTCAGCTTCCACTTGTACAATGTCCTTTCTGCTCGTACGCTGAACTGGATGACCTCGCCCTTCCAGATACCAATCTCTTCGCCAGCCTCCGTTTTAAATCCCGCCCACTTATACTTGCTTCCCTAGCATCCATCCCCGTTTTCGAATTGCTCTGTTTCCAAGCTACGCAAGCCATTCTCTTCGCCCTCATCCTCATCTATACATTTGTCACCATCACATTTCGCTTACCCGTCATCGCACCCTTCCGATCCGCCCTTAGGCGTGTTCACCTAAAGCGTCGCGGTCTTCGATTTCAATGTCTCTCTCCGAGTTGCGGCCGTACATCCTGCCTCTCGTGCTCCCTTCCTTGGCACGACCCACACACATGTTTTTCCTCTCAGCTCACATCTCTCCGTCTTACACTCGAACGTGCTACCACAGACGCCGTCAAACGCACCTGTCCTCAATGCAACCTAGGTTTCGTCAAGTCCGAAGGCTGCAATAAGCTCGTTTGTCTGTGCGGGTACAGCATGTGCTACATCTGCCGACAAGGTCTGGCGAATGAGGGGTATCAACACTTCTGCGGACACTTTCGTGAAAGACCTGGGCAGCCTTGCGGCGAGTGCAACAAGTGCGATCTGTATCGTGTTGAGGACGAGGAGAGAGTTGTCAAGAGGGCCAAAGACAGGGCTGAGGCAGAGTGGTGGGAAGCGCAGGGCGAAGGTGCGAAAGAAGGGCTACAAAAGGAAGTCGATAAGAAGGAGGGCCCCGTGGTGAAGGGGGTAGCGGGGCTGAGGAGAGGAAGCTGGGAGGGCTGGATCGAAGGGGTGTTGGATAGTGTGCTTGTTTAATTCTTTGCTGAGTTGGCGTTCAGACACGGCAACAGATTGTCAGAGAAAGATTGATACCCAAAATTCTTGATTGTGCAGCGTTATTTGCAGACGCTCTTCTAGTCGCAACTCTATTTCTCGCTCTCTGTAGTGATTCTTGAGGCATAGTCTCATGTTTGAACGTCTTAGTCGAGTTTTTTTCAACCAGAGCAGATACACCTCCATTCACTGCTCCACTTCTTGATCCATCGGAGTGCCTTCTTCCATCCTAATAACCTCTGCCCACGAGAAGACGTCTTCTTGATTCTTGACATTGACCGTTGCGTGGACCTTCATGCCTTCTTCTTTGATCTTGACAACTCGCACCACTTCGTCCTCACTGCGGAGATGTTGGAGCAAATCATGGGCAGCACTGTTGGCGGAGACGACATCGTTGTAGATCTTTGGGCGGATACTCTTGGTAAGCTTGGTCTTGTCGAAGTTGTAGTTTTGGATGTGGATCTGGTATTGCGGCTGAGACATCTTGTTAGCGGAGGCCCTTAGGGTGTACATGGATGGTCGGCGGAGGTATTTAGTCGGGTTGCTTTGGCGAAGTGAAGTCGAGGGAAACAATAGGGAAGTGATATATAAGAAGGAAGGGTCCGCGGTAAGATTAGATACAAAGCATAGTTGCCTAGGTATGTTATTCACTGTTGACGTACACGCGTATGAGCAGCATGCACAACCGGTCACTGTTCGTAGAACAGCACGCGCTCAGTACGAAATGATGCACCAGCCACGAGAGCTGTTGAACTCGATCAGAATTGAACAACGATAATCACTTCTGATTCTAGCTGTTGCTTAGAATAGCCATCAGGACTGAAGCCTATTGGGAAGCCTGCTAAATGAGCACAAAGTGGTTGAGCGATCTTCGATGATAAAATAAACTTGATTATGATTCCACTGTTCCGTAAAATAGTCATTGCACTATTTCCACAGACGAATACCATGAGTAGGGAGACGCCCTTTAATCAATACTGGAGCATAGTGGAACAGATAAATGAAGTGATAGAGTTTGCTGTGTCACTGTTTGCGCTACAGTGAGGTCGCATAGCTCTTACCAACTCATCTTCAACTTGTAAGTAGTTTTGTCCGCAATTTTTGGTACGTTCCCCTGTTTCCTAATCTTGGCCATCCAAGCGAAACACTTAATTTACACTAGAGATCCAAAGATGCATTAAGCTTCCTATAGCGGCCATGGAGAGATCGTAGAAGATCCATGATCTGGAAAGCGATAAAGGCAAGTACGTTCTTGCTTAGCATCTTTTCCAACAGTGCTTATTTCCGAACTTTCGCCATTACCCATTGCAGTTGCTAAGCATACAATCTACGCAGTTGCTTGCGACGCCGACTACCCCTCCTCAGGGTCCAACACACCACCTTCCTAACCCCACCTAGCGCCCCGCAAGCGAGCGAGGAGTGTTATCAACCGCGATCATATCTTCACTGACATCATCACGTCTACACATTATCAATCTGCTATCGTAGACTGCGCTCTTGGCTGTTCCTCGGAAAGAAAGATCTCACTATGCCTACTTCGATGAAGGTGACAGATATGGGGTCTTTGGCGCGTTCATCGGCTTGTCGGGACAAGGATTGTGATAAGGGATGTTGGTCGGGAGAAACGATGTTTGGCTGATGTTGAGGGGGTGGGCGTGATCTTCGATAGATGTGCCTTGATAGGTAATGTTGTATGCCGGTTGCTAGGTCGGCATGCGTGTGAGAGGCGACACGGCAATGCGGGTGTTGGGATGGCAGCATACTGAGCTGGTTACATATATCATGTCACATCGAACTATACATATTGAATGCTCCAAGAAGCCTAAACCTTCCATCTCCTTTCCAATACCAGCAGAATGAGCGTCCCGGAGAAAGAGGTGGTCCACGAATCGAAATCGGGCAATACATCTCCATCGCCACCGCATTCGGACATCGAAATCGGTATCGTCGAAGAGCCATCCAAGAACGGCGATGAAGCACTCAAGTTCCTCAAATCGGCACACGATGTTGGGACTCTCACGCCTGAGGATGAGCGAAGGCTTGTGCGAAAGATCGATTGGATGATCATGCCGTTAATGTGGTGTTGCTACTGCTTGCAGTATTTGGACAAAACACTGGGTATGTCAGTTCTATAATATTACGTTGGTGGGATTCAACCGAACATACTGATGGTTTCATACTAGTAAACTACGCGGCAGTGATGGGCCTATACGAGGATGCAAACATAAGCACGTCGCAGTTCTCTAATCTCGCCCTTTTCTTCTACGTCTCTTACCTCGCGCTCGAATTCCCGCATGGTTATGGCATGCAACGTCTCCCTACAGCCAAGTACCTTGGCGCAGCCGTCATTCTCTGGGGTCTCGTCACAGCACTCACATGCGTGTGCAAGAACTACGGCGCTCTAGTGGCTACACGCGTTTTGTTGGGCTGCTTTGAGTCGGCTGTTGCACCCAGCTTGATTCTGATAACTTCGATGTGGTACAAGAAGAACGAACAACCCTTGAGGTAAGTTGTGACTGTACCAAATCCATGTGAGACGTGAACTGACTTCATACCTCCACATCTACAGAACTGGCATCTGGTATCTAGGGGTGGGGACAGGAACGATGATAGGAAGCTTGATCAGTTTCGGGTTTCAACACTACGACAGTGACACCTTCACTAGTTGGCAGATCATGTTCCTCGTAGTAGGTCTAATTACAGTTACTGTTGGTATAACTGGTATGTTTACTCCTCATCTTCGACTTCAGATATAGTACTGACCTAGGTAGTGGTGTTGTTCCTTCCCGATAACCCCATGTCCTCTCGTCTCACCCCGGCGGAGAAGGTATGGGCTATCGAACGCCTGCGCGAGAACCAAACCGGTATCGAGAACACGCATTTCAAGTTTCATCAAGTGATCGACTGCTTCAAAGACCCGCAGACTTGGATGCTATCGATCATCACCATATCATCGAACGTACCAAACGGCGCAGTATCTTCCTACCAAGCCACGCTTATCAAGTCATTCGGCTTTAATCCCAAGACTACAGCATTGCTGCAACTGCCTTCAGGCGCCGTCAGCATTATCTCCATTCTCATCGCCACATACCTTGCCGGCCGCTTCGACCAACGCGCATTAAATGTCGTATCTCTGCTCGTACCCGGTGCGCTTGGCGGCTGTCTCATGGCCTTCCTTCCTGGTGAATCCAAAGCCGGAAAACTCATTGGAAACTACCTTACCAACTGTATCGGTGCCAGCTTACCACTTCTATATTCCTGGGTCTCTGCCAATGTCGCCGGCCACACGAAGAAAGTGACCATGAACGCTATCTTGCTCATGTCATTCTGTTTAGGGAATATTATCGGGCCATTGACTTTTCGGCAAGATGACTCACCGGATTTTGTACCAGCGAAGATTACTATCGTTGTTACTTGTGCGTTCGCTGCGGCCATGGCGTTGGTTTTGAGAGCGTACTATATGTGGGAGAATAAGAAGAGGGACCGAGAGGATGATGGTAGGCATGTGGAGAATGAAGAGTTTCTTGATTTGACGGATCGGGAGAATAAGCGGTTCAGATATAGGCTATAGGTCGTTACCAAGAGGCATAGCATGTCAAAACTTATCCTCTCATCTCATGCGGCATGTATGACAGACCCTCCTCAAATTCAACTTTCTTCACTCAAGGCGATCAAGTAATTTACATACATTATGGTTGCATTTCTGAGGAAATGCTGGTACAAACACGGACGTTCTTCCTACAGCCAAAATGATCGATAAATCTGGCTCGCAATTTGCGAGATGCATGAGATTTACAATTCTGTCATCGCTAAATACAAATTAGAACATTCCTACCCCTATGGTGTACTAGCACCGCCCCTCAATTCGCTGATGATAATATCTGCCGCCTTCTCGCCAATAACAAGGGCCGTATTATTAGTGTTTCCACCCACGTTCTCAGGAGGAATGCTCAAATCCGCAATCTTCAAACCCTTGACACCATACACGTTCAATGAAGCATCAACGACACCATCCTTCTCTCTTGGCGCCATCTTGCACGTGCCAAGGGAATGCCACGTTGTGTTGACATTCTCACGTAGCCATTGCTCAATAGCAGCATCGTCTTCCTTGCTGTAGACAAGATCTTTGACATCTTCCAAAGGCCCATCAACATTCTCTTGTAAAGCAACAGCGGAATCGGAAGCAAACTTGGGATGACCCGCAGCCAGTTCCCCGCGGTAGAATTTTGTCCGCCGCAGGATCTCGCGCTGCTTCTTGTACGCCCAGATTTGTTTCTTGAGGTCGATATCGTCCTTGTCGTTGAAGAAGCCCACATCGAAGTCTAGTGCGTCGTCGTGCTTGGGGCCTGTGATGTGCATATGTCCGCGCGAGTAGGGGTATGCAGTGTAGTTACCTGCTGTGACGTACTGGCCTGCTGGTATGCTCGCTGGGTCACCCAGGAAGCACGATACCAGACCACACAGCATCAACGGACGGTTCGGCGCATCTTTAAAGTCGCGGTTCCATGCTTGCTGGAATTCTGGTCCGAGAGAGGCGACTTCGTCTTCAGTAGGACGAAGCTTGGAAGATATGTCGATGCCATTCCAGCCTAGCATGGGGTCTTTATTCTTCATCATCTCGGCGACGTCGGCACGTCCGCTCAGAATACCGTCGATAGTTTGGTCGGGTGCGAGAGCAGTCTTGTACGGGTAGAGAAGGAGGTGATGGTCTTGGTAGTCCTTTCCTACGCCTGGTAGCTCTTCCACGAGCGGAACACCAGCACGTTCGAGCACCTCCTTAGAGCCCACACCTGAGCGCTCGAGTACTGGTGGAGTACCGCAGGCCCCACACGTAACGACGACCAGCTTGCGAGCGCGGACTTGCTTGACAGGGTGCATGCTCAAGCCGATGATGGCTTGGAACTCGGGGTTTGGTGTATATTCGACGCCGGTTGCACGTTTGTTGTCGTCAAAAAGTACACGTACTACTTTCGATTCCACGAGAACGTGAAGATTCGAGTACTTCTCATCCTCCAGTTTCGGGTGGAGGTATGTGTGTGCGGTATCCTGGCGTTTGCCTTCGGGTGAAACGTAACGTTGCCATCGCGCAATGCCGTTGTTATCGTCCAAGTTCTGCAAGTCTTCGATCTCAGGGTAGCCGACCTTCTCAGCTGCGCTTATGAAGTCATCTTCCGCGGCTTTTGCCCGGTAGCCTCCGTCTGAGACATGGATAGGTCCATTATGACCGTGGTGCTCCTTAGCTCCCGGTCCATGGTAGGTCTCTAGCTTTTTCAGATGCGGCCACATCTCCTCAGCTGACCAGCCGGGTGTGTCCCAGCTATCGAAATCTGATCTTTGTGCTCGTGTGTACATCATGAAATTAATAGAACTACCTCCACCCAACGTACCACCGCATGGTACGATGGGCTCGCGATCTGCGAGCTGTTTCGACTTGTTTCCTTTGTAAAAGAGAGCAGTCTTCGTGGCGGGTAGTAGATTCTGTAGGTAGAAAACGGGATTGACGATGCTGGCGACATCTTTGTTGTTTGCGCCACCTTCGATTACAAGGATAGAGAGGGATGGATCATCTTCCGCGAGCCGACCAGCTATAATGCATCCCGCTGTTCCACCTATGCAAGATACTATCAGTGGGGGAACAGTTAGGCGTAGAGTATGTCGTACCTCCGGCTATAATGATGTCTACCTCATCAATGTTATCCGCAAGCTTATTGTAGATACCCATGGTGAAAGAGTTTTGTGACTTGGAAAGCCTTTGAAAAGATGCTCAATATCAAAAGGCAGAACAATTGCAGAGAGTGAACTTGAAGAGCCCTACAAGGCGTTTAAGTAAGCCTGCATTGTTCTTCCGCCCCTTGGAATTAGACTTCGGCCATTTGGGTTCCATCGCAAACAAGTTCAGTGGATGTCATAGGTCTTTCAACAACATGAGTACCCCACTACCCCATCTTGTGCTCCTTTCGGCTTGGCGTCGGTTTCGCGAGCGGGCCTTTTCCGCGATCTAGATGGTGATACCAGAGCCTAGGGAGACGCCACGAGCCATTAGCACTAACATCGATTGAATGATCCGCTATGCCATCCACTCACGACAGTCCTTCGTGTTTGCGCTATCGGGGATAGTGTTGCAAACAACACATCAGCTGCCCTCCCCCGCAATGTGGCCCGTACCCTAAGGTCGATCACTCGCGTTTGTCCGAGAACCGCGGATAACGATTTTGGAATCCTAGGACATGGAAGGGCATAAGCTAGAAAACTGCACTACGCATTGGCTATGAACCTGAAGTTGCTGGTTGTGATGTCAATATCGTAGTTGTGAAACTCAGAGAACGGAGCAGGAGTGGAAACGAAAGGGTTGAGAATCTTGGCATTGGGGCCCTACTACTGGTCAATCATAATTGCGGAGCCGCTGGCATTTCGTGCTGGCATTTCATGCTTACTATCCTAGACCGATGTGCAGTAGCCGCGAAAGGCAATGCCATGCATGAAGCTGAGGCACTAGGACGCGAAGTCCCGGCTTGTTTAGGCAGGACCTCATGGAAGAGGAATGCTAGCTCCGGTCACGTCGGCGTACGACTGCTACCCTCCAAAACTCGAAGGGACAAAACAGACACTTCACCATAAAACCATGCGAAGCATCGTAGAGACCTTTAAAAAAGCTGATCGAGGCCCATGTCGAGAATGTTCTGGAACTCAACACGACGCTTGCCAGCGATGCTGGACTTTCTGGGCGTCGCATCCGCAGCGATATAGTGCTCGATGATCTTGACAGTAGCAGGCAGAGTGCGGAACGGCGCAAGGCTGTCAAGCATCAGGTTAGTGCTTTCGTCGTCTTGGGCGGAGTCGTGCCTGAGGGATGTAGGGTTAGTGATTTTTCAAAAACGAATCGTATGTGGAGTCTGCTTACCAGTGGATGACGACCTCCCGCAAGTCCGGCGCTTGTAACAAAATCTGATATACGAAGCTTGAGCGCTGACGAAGAAGGGCAGGGAAGATGGCTTCGACGCAATCAGTTGTATCCGCGCGGATCCAGGTCGAATCCCAAACGAAAGTCACATCAACCTTGCGGATGTTCTCCATGGGGGAAAACGCTGCGTCAGTGCTGAATTTTGGTGTAACAAGTCAGTATGTTTCTCACGTGCAGTTCGTACAGGGACCCCTACATCTGGCTGAATGCCTCTTCGAAGAAGGACGTATGGGCGAAGCTGCCAGTAGCATCGATGCGTAAGATGGCTACATCGTAGAACCAGTTCTTGGCTTCGTTATTCAGCTGCTGGGAAGTCAACAGGAGCTGGACTGGCGGAGGGCACTGAGTGAGGCGCATGAAGTTGGGTATATGTCGCCACTCTAAATGTAGGTGTACGAAGTCAGTATAAGCTTCACACGCAGTTCGTACAGAGAAACTTACTGCCGTGGGGCCGGACTACAGGCGCTGGAGGAGGAGGTTGAACAGAAGCGACTGCGGTACCAGTGTTGCCGTCACCATCAGCCAATTCTTCGTCGTCGTCGTCGTCCTCGCTGCCATTGCCACCCTCTTCTCCGGTACTTGCCTGGACGCCCTCCGCCTCCTCATCTTCCTCATCCTCCTCGTCATCTTCAACGTGTACTTGGCCGGCGTCCTCCTTTATCTTGTCTGCGGGCTGATTGCTGAGGTTGACTTGAGCCGTAGCTTGAGTAAGTGCTGGCTGAAGGGTTTGCGCGCCGTCCACAGCTACCTCTGATTCCTCCTCCGCATCCTCAACGTAGATTCCGGCCTCATCTTCACCGCCGCTATCCTCTTCCTGCTCTACTTCTTCATGCTCATGCTCGTCTTCGTCTTCGTTCCCAATGTCCTCATCCGCATCCTCGTTCTCGTCTTCGTCGTCATCTTCACCATCATCGTCAGATGCGGCGATGTAGTCATCGTCATCATCATAGTCATCGTAGTCGTTGTCATATACGACCCGCGGTGTGGGACCGTTGGGGTTGTTGATGGCCTCCTGCTCGATGAGCGCCTTTACCTCTTTCTTCTCGAACCAGTAGCGGAGCAGCTTCTTGGGCTTGACATTGCGGGCAGCCACATACTCGAAGATGGTGTGTCGCACTTCGAGCGGAAGTTCCATGAAGGCAGGTGCAGCTTTCTCGTTGGCCATGGCAGGCATTTGGTTGGTTGTGGGTGGTGGAGTTTAAGCTGCGCTGAGAGTGCAGAGTAGAGGGTTGCAAGCGCGAGTATTAAGTAATCCAGGGCGGGAGTGGAGGTGAGATGATTGCTTAGGCAAAGCTGCAGCAGTTGCCTAGTAGGGCGGTGGGCTGGCGCGGGGCTGCTGCGGACATTTGTGTAGCCAGAAAGTGCGGCGCCAGGGTCCAAAGCAAGGGAGGGAAGAAAGGTGATAGAAGGGCGCGCCCTGGCTTCGAGAGAACCATCCTGACCAACGAGACGCTGCTGTTCTACACTTTTCGCAATCGCTGGATGGAGTTGAGGTTGACCCTGGCCCGCAGTCGCGCCTTCCCCACAGCCGCGCCTTCCCCACAGCTTGACGCGCTACGTCATACTTTAGCGTGGTTGGCTCCAGCCGCCTCAGAACTACGAAGCGGCTTATGTCTTGTTGCAACATACTCTAGAGGTATTCGCATCGTCTTGGATTATTGAGCTACTCAAGTAGAATACGTCGGATATCTCCTTTTGCGGACTGCAAGTATCTCTAACACCACCATGATGCCCTGGAGACCACTAGCCCACAAGGTACATCTCTTCGCTTCTCTATGTCCTCGCTTGGTTTTGCACAGATCTGAAAGCGTTGTGCTTCCAAGGCTCGGCGGAAGCGATGTTCCGTATATGCACGCAGGACGGACACTATGTACGATCATTTTAGGCATACCACCGTACATTGGCTACCATATATGAGCGTGCTGCGGACGGCGTTCATGCCCTCGCATCGCATCAGCATAGAATTACAGTCAGTCTACAAGATTATCCAATGGACCTCAATAGCGAGCGAAGCATCATTGTCCATGGTCCGAACAAGCCCGGCCACTGTACGTGGTCGCCCTTTGTCACGAAACTCGAATTCCTCCTGCATTTAGCCAATATTCGTTACCAATGCAGTGAGTAGCTTAGGCATTCTGAGGAAGCTGCAGGGCCATGGCACTGGTCATTTCTCAAACGAAGAGGCTGGCCATTTCCGCAGGGATATCTGGGAAACTGCTTCTGAGTGCTTGAAGGTCACAAGCCCACTGAAGCCGATACTATTCTCTTCGGATTCGTCGTCAGGGCGCTCACCGCGGACGCTGGGCCAGGGAGTAGAGAGCTGGTCAAGAAAAGTTGCCCCGCTGTGGTTGACAATGCTACGAGGATCCATCGTCGCTACTTCCCCGACTACGACGTGTGGGAATAGGCCTTGCTGTCTTCGGCATGGAACCGACGTCATTCACCTATGTTCCTACCTCTTCCGCCTGGGATAACAACAAACATCAACAAACGATGGAGCAACAGCAGTGAGGTGCTGCTGCTCACCACCCGGCTACCGTGCACGCCCATCTCAGAGTATATAATCCTGTCTTCTGGTCATCTTCCCCCATTTCTCTCTCATAGCAGAACTCATCCCAACTCTTCTACCACCAACTCTTCTACCCAATCCATCCATACCCAAGCCTACCTCATCGACTCGGTATTCTCCAGTCGCACTGTACGCTGAACGTCTGGTACCAGCAGAGCTCTATATCCTCCAGCTATGCTTTACGCCATGCATCTCACTACCAGCGTCATCGCTGGCTTCATCGCTGTCGGTGCCGCCACACCAGCCGGTCTGGCAGTCACGCCGACTCCCACCAGAGGTTCCCTCGATGCTGTTCCGGCTCAGTCCACTGCGGTAGACGGCAACTGGCACATCGGCTGTGACGCGAACAACTACTGCTCCTACTATCAGGACAGCAATATCGCTGGTGGCGCCGCCGACTTGGTGCCCCTGCGCACCATCGCTCTATCTGAGTCTACGTGCAAACAGTGTACAAGTCAGGACGCTTGCAGTGTAAGTTTCCCTTCTCTTCCTGTCCATTGGTATAGAAAGTTTTTACTGACCTTTTCTGGCTGATAGTACTGTGATGTTGGGCCCAAATTCGGCTGTCGCGACTGCGACCACTACCAATGCGAGGATGAATATCTGCACAGCCATGATTGCTTTGATATCCAGCCAGAGCTCGCCGACGCCATTCGCAATAGCACAATCACAGCCACCATCTTTGAGACCGCTACCAATACAACCGTTGAGACCAGTTCAACGATTGCAACTATAAGCAGCGTTGATGTTTCCACCATGACCGTCACGTCTACACCAATCAGCGAGTTTCTCACTACCATCATTCTGCCTACGCCGACTTCAGAGCCCACCATCACCATCACACGCGAGGCTGTCACCAACATCGTCACACACACTATATTCTCTCCAAGACACAGTGGACTGGCCCTTCGCAATCAAGCAGTCCCCAATGGCGCCGATATTCAGCCACCTATTCGTCGCAATGCTGCCTTCAAACAGTCGCAATGCGTGCCTTGTGATGCCGCTACTTGCCCGGTACGTTGACTATTCTCAGCCCTCTGTGTTTACATGTTGGCTTGCTTACTCTAGTTTGACTAGGAATGTCACAACGACTGTGCTTCATGCGAGAAATTTCGGTGTGACGACCCGATTGCTCACCTGACTGTATGCATGAGCGTGCGTTCCAGGTGGCAGCCTCCCAACTTCAACATCTCAGCTTCAGGGCCCAGCGAAACCACAACTGTTGTAGTCATGCCCCAGCCAGAAACTACAACTTCGACTCAAACAGTGGTTTACTCAACCGTCATTTCGACTATCTCCACTCCCTCGGTTTACACAGTCACCATATTGCCTACGTCTTCGCCTCCAGTCGTCACGATCACTGTGTCTGTTCCTGCTATTGGTACCACCACTGTCGTCGTAGTTCCTCAAGCCTCCACGGTGATTACCACAACCATCGTTTCAGTACCTCAAGTCCCCCTCAGCACCGTCACATTGTATCCTCAGGCTCCGCATATCAGTACGGTCATTGTAGCTCCTCTCCCTCCCCAGCTCAGCACCGTGACAGTGGCTCCTCATCGACCTCAGATCACCACCGTGACCGTGATCTCTCAACGTCCTCAGTTCCAGACCAATACCATCTCCATTCAGAAAAGCACTATCACTGTGCAAAAGTCGGCTTCGACCGTCACCTACCACTACCAGGATCCAGCTTCCACCATCGTCATTCAGCCACCAACTGTTACTGCTTCGCGCTCCCCGTCCGTGATTGAGATCCCCATGACCATGATCTCAACCGCAACCCACACGGTAGTCAGATCAGTTCGTGCGGTACAAACTCCTGCATCCATGTCTCCTCGCGACAGTGCTATGGCCAAGTTAACTTGCGAAACTTGCGATGGCAACCTGGAGTGCGATGTAAGTCAACACATTTGTTCGCAATGTGCTCACGGAACTTTCGACTGACCTCCGCTACTAATAGGGATGTGAATTTGATTGCGACGAAGACTGCTTCCATTTCCTTTGCAAAGACGCTGTTAGCGGACTGGAGCTCTGTATGAGCGTGCCAGAAGACGCCAAAGCTTCCAAAGCATACGACGCTTTTACGACTCCCCACGATTTCCTCGGCTCCGCTGCTATGCTTCTGACATTCGACGACGTTGAGAACCCTACTTCCAACACTTCAGCCAGCCACCTACAGCCCGCAGTCTCCAATGGTACCCGGCCAAACTTTGCCTTCGCCGAGGAGGATTGCTATTTGTGCGAGTTCGGTGATGAGTCTTGCGGTGTAAGTCATTCCCTTCTCTACTTAACTTCACCTTCTTTGAATTGGTTTGTTGACTAACTTCTGCAGATGTGCGACTGGCAGTTCACCTGCGGCACGAAGAAGAGGTGCTTCCACAACGGCGCTCGCGAGGTTGTCGAAATGTGCTTTGAGAAGGGCGAGAAGTGTCGTCCTTGAACCAAGTCGGCGGACATCTCTCTTCGACATATCGCGATCGAATCATCTCACGATGACACAAACTGATGGGATGGCTGCGTTGTTGGGTTTGGCTTTGTTATGTCCTTCTACGCTTCGTTGATCACGCCGCTCAGCTTGACACTGGTGCGAGCTCACATCAGGTTCTCTCCCCACTGCTTCCCTTTCCTGTTCCTTTTCACCTTTGTTGCCCTGTACTTGTTGATAGCTTTTCTTTTCTTTTCTTTTTTTTAGTTTGCTACTGAATACGATCCATCCTCTACGCTTTTAAGATGTTTGCCTCAACATATGTGCATGTTTTTAGATCGCCTTCCTACATCTTTGAGAGGCACAACCTTTCTTGCTTCAAGGAACTTTGACAGAGTTCTCGTTAGTTAATGGTTCTGGAGAGAAGCCACTCGCTCAACCAAGGTTTGCTTCGTCGACGCTGCTCTGCACCGCCAGCATTATGGCAATTAACTACTACAGCTACTGTTGCCTGTAATTTCCAGAATGCCTGTCACGGAAATTGGCAGTGCGCACAAAGGTCTACATCAAGGTATATCGCTTACTGCCGTTCATTACATACTCTACAGATTCTGTATGGTAAAGACTCCATCTAGTCAAAGACATCAAAGAACCTTTTGTTTTATTCCCAGACCAAGTCAATTCTCTCGCCTTTCACTTTCGAGTTGAACCACTCATAAATCTCGACTTCCCGTTGCACTATATTTGCTCCATCAAGGACGCCACTCCTCCCTAATCGCTCAGTCGCAAGCTGTAACTCCAGGGTTGCCAGATTTCTTGCGATACACGCCCGGCTACCCGCGCCAAACGCGAACCAGTACTTCGACATCGCTTCCGTCGGATTCAGCCATCTCTCAGGCTTGAAACTGTGGGGTTCGGGAAAGATGCTTGAGTTGAAATGCAGCTCGTAAGCTGAGCAGCCAACAATAGAGCTAGCAGGAAAGTAGGTGGATTTGAAAGTCCAACCTTCCGCAGGTACGACGTGAGGTAAGCGCGTCGGATTGGCCATGCTAATTCGAAGACCTTCCTTGACAACAGCGTTGAGATAAGGCAGCGCTTGAACTTGTTGTGCATCAGAGTCAAGCGTAGCGTTACTTCTGACCTCTTCCTTTAGTCTTTCGTATTTCTCTGGGTACAATGCTAGGTTGCGCATGATCGTAGCCAAGTTCATTCCCGTGGAATCTGTACCTGCAAAGATGAGATCCTTGCACTGTGCTTTGACTTCTGAATCGCTGTACCCGGCAGCTAGTAGACGGCCTGGATAGGTTGTTGACTTCTCGGAAGTGTTCGCTACCAGGGTGGCAACAAACTTATCGACCAGCATCATACTGTCATCAGTCTCGGGATCGGGCATCCATCTGGCGACGGCCCATTCTAGCCATGTAAAAGCGATGTTCGGAAGGTAGAAGAAGCGGCCAACCGCTACGAAAGCGTCTACAAACGCGCTTACGCTGAGCACAAGACCGCGTTCACTAACCCCATCGTAGTTCTCTCGGAACAAATGTGTAGAAACCGCATCAACAGCCAAACTCCGCGTTAGATTAAGGACGTTGACTGGCTTCTTTGTCTTCGCTTCCTCCTTCAATCGCTCCACCATACGATCCACACACCCCCAAATGGCCTTCTCGTTCTCCCTGAGAGCTTTGGAAGAGAAGAGAGGGACAACGGCCTTTGCTCTCGGACTGCGATAATTCGCATCGATAGTCGAGAAAATAGTCTTGTGGCCGTCGATGTCGAAGTTGGCGTAGCATGCCGCTTTCGGAAACCCTCCCTTGGAGACGTAGATTGAAGGTATAGCCTCTGCGTCACTTATGTCGACTTCATTGGGTGCGACGCGGACGTACGGGCCATAGCGTTCGTGGAGCCTATGGATGGTACTTGCTTCGTCTCCAACGTAGGCGTGATAGTGAAGGAAGATGCTGGTTAGCTTAGGTAAGATTGGACCTGGGATATGGGAGAGAGGATGGAAGTAGACACGATATATTGAACGAATGAACAGGAGCAGGAATGGTGCAAAGAAGAAGTTTACTATGGGGTGGGCGACTATAGCACTGGAAAAGAGACTTTGGAGCGCCATCGTGATGGCGCTTGAGGGTACGACTGTATTGACGCTCTAGTGGATGTCATCTCGTTTATGTACGTCGTGGCTGGTTGAGTCACCATGGGCGCGTTAGTGGGGTGCTATCGACAGCGATCACGATAAGAACGCCATCCACCCTTGCGTCCTAACCTGAGATCACAGTCTTGTCACGGCCTTTTCTCCTCAAACCGGAATATTTCACGACGCATCACAGTTTTCAGAAATCAGCGCTTCTAGATTCCGCCCCTCTGCAGCATACGATGGCATCATTTATGTTCACTAGCGCATACACAGTTTAAGACAAGAGAGAATGTAGGAAATGGTCGATTGTGACGAGAGACCTTGGTAGTTGCTGTAGTGTACAGAAATTACATTATGGATTACGCACGGCGATACAGTCGCCCTAATCATATGGGTATCGAGTTTCTTTCTCTTCTACCCCATCGTTACACATTATCCTGACTGCTCGACAATATCATCAGCCCGTGAAGCCCGCTCACCGCAAGCGTATTAAAAATTATCTTCTTCCTTTATGCTTCACATCTCCTTCTGCATATAGCCTCTCTAACTTGTATCACTCTTCCCATCATCCCTCTTGGAAGGTGTCAACTCCACGTCTCCAACTCGATCAAGCCTCGCATTCCTCTTCATCCTTCTCCACTGATGCACAGCAACGCAACTCATCACAGCCATGCCTATATAGCATAACCCGAGTATCGCTTGAATCCCTACTTCAGCATACCCGAGATTGTCCCAATCCTCTTTGTTGTAATTGTTACTCTCGTCGCCATAGATGATGATCGTATGTAAAACGCTGATGGCCGCGTAAACACCGATCATAGGCAGTGATAGCAAGAGCGCAAGGATAGGGTGAAAAAAGCCTGCTCCAAAGGGTATGGCTATAAGGGTGAAGAGAGTGATCGCGACATCGGGTACCATGGCGAATCCGGTACGGAGCCACCAATCTTTCCTAAACACAGGATTCTTATTAGCACTGTATTGGCTTCTGGTTCGCTGTCTTGTCGGTGGGTAGCACGTTGCTATGACTTACGCAAAGTATTCGTATCGTATGTCGAATTGGCGATTGTTGAATCCGTACTTGTATGCAGTATCGTGTATGATGATGATAAATACGAAAACGATGAGAATGAGTGTTTTTAAGAAGAAGATATGGTGATGATGGCGTTGCATTCCTTGCCAGTGTGGGTCTTTAGGATGGCTGAAGCATGATACGAAAGCCCCCATGTCTGGATGTAAGGTGTGAATATGGTTTTTGAGTGGATGGAAAGTATAAGTGTTTCTGGGGGATGATGTGCGATGCGCGGAAACTTCGTCTCTTCACTGTAGATATATGTATGCAGGTAGAAAGGCGCGCAAGAGCATATTCATGGTCACACCGGTTGACTTGAGACAGCATTGCGCCCACCTCCAACGCAGGTCCCGTATTTTTGCACTTGGCAGCTCAGCCACCACGTCGCGATTTCTCTTCTACCCGCTCTCCAAGATCGACAAAAGATCAAAGCAGTTAACTCGCGGTCATTTGTATCAGGTACAGCCTACCATGCCAAGTACGAGGCTGTGTTTTAGGCGAAGCAAGCCACTAGCGAACATTATTAGTGAAAATCGCTTGTACGCTGCAGCTGGTAGTTAGAAAAGCATTAAAATTGCATTCGAAAGTAGATCTGGAAATTAATGTTTAGTTCCTGCTATTGAATGCTTGATGGGACTATGAAGACACGTAGGTCGATATACAGGAAGGCAAACAGCGAAATAGCACCAAGACATCTCGAGCCTGGTTAAACCAACCTGATAAGTTCGAGGTGCCACCCCCCATTCCACCCCAGATTCGCCTGGCGCTAATGTAGTAATCCATCGAGTGATGTCGTGCGATATTGACGATCTCCAGCTTCTCCTCCCGGTCAGAAGCTCAGACTTCAAGGCTAACACCTAAATATGGATTAGCCTCGCGAAAAGAAATAAAAGTGCACGAACGACTTACTGTCAACGTTATTGTTGTAGACGGTCTTGGTGTTGTTATTCTTCAGGTAGCAGTTGCTGTCAACCCAAGTGATGGCAACACATCCTGGGAAGACGGCACACTCATCCACACACGTCGTCATGGTATCAGTTAACTTGAGAGCAATGTCTCCACCATAGTAGTCCCAGTTACATTGAGCGATGAAGGACTTGCTGTTCATGAGGTACCTGCACTTGTCGTTGGTGGGGCAGTTGATCACTGTGGTGCATGTCGAGGAGCCAGGAGCTAGCTCTGGGTCGGTTGGGGCCTTGACTTGAACGCCAGCGTTTACGTTGTTGAAACTGTGGTGCATGTCAGAATATTGTTGAAAGATACATGGGCGATAGCGATAAACTCACGAGGTTCGGGCGGTTCCAACTGGCTTACCAAGAAGGTAGCAGAAACCGTCTTTCATGTTGAACGCGACGCAGCCGGAGCGTCGCGAGCAAGCGTCTCCGCAATCGACGAACCTATCGGCCTATGGTGATATGAGTACTTCATCTAAATTTCGTTTCGATCTTGATTCACCTGCGCAGCACCAATGACGGGGCCGTTGTAGTCGGTTGCACAGCTGAGTTGGAATACAGCACCGTTGGTGGAGGTCGATACACAGCTGTTCCATCGAGGGCACGTCGGCGTGGAAGGGCAGTTTCGCATCTGGCGGGGAACCAATGCAGAAAGCGCAGCTGTACCTGCGAGGAGTACTCCGTGCTGCGTTATGATTAGTAGGGCTCGCGAAATTGCGCATGTATACTAAGAAAAAACTCTTCAATTGTCGAAGTAACAATACAGCTAACCCAGGGATTAGAGTAATTCTTAACCGGAATTGAAAGTTGTGCGCTACAGATGTGGCATCGAACAGTTGTGGCTTACCATCTCGGCGGGTGGTGAGCGATGGTGAGGTTGGTTTGAGACGAAGGAAAGAAGGGACGGGTAAAAGAAGAAAGGTCGCGTAGATGCTTCGAGATTAATTTATCACACGGCCAAAATCCAGAACGATGTGGGCTTTGTGACGATGACGGCGGGGGTGTATGGAGTTGATACCATGGTTCAATGCCGCCTACAGCAAATGATGGGGCTCCAAATCCGACACATAACAACAACCAGACCCTGGACCTTCTCTTGATTACAACGGCTGATAACTTTCAGTGAATGAGAACCGTAGGACTCCTCCATGGCCCGATTATATAAGCTTAGGCCTTGCGTGTCTTTATAACTACAACGATGCGGCCAACATCTCTTATTCCTTTTCCATCAACTCTCCAGGACTCCACGTACCATTGCCAAACCATGTAATTGGCCTGGAGTAATCTAACGTTCGACCATCTCTGATATATGCCCAACGAAAATATTCATTTACTCTCCTATCAGCTGGCCTGTTCCATTTGAAGGAAGCTCCACCTAGCCCATCATCGTAGAAGGCACGGTCCCGCTCAACGTCGTTTACTAAAACACTGATACCGTCGACCCCAATCGGGTGTGCGTCATTCATAAATGTCGCGATGGACCCATCGGTACCGGATTCGATGATAGTGCTCACTATCTTGGGAACCGCAGAGTTGAATTTTGCATCATCGCGAAGAGCGGCAGAAGTTTGCAAAACAGAGTCAAAATCCCAACGCGCTATTCCGTTGACAAAGAGGCCCAACAAAATACCTTGGTAAAGCAAGGACGGCCGTGTCTGGAGATTGGTTCCGGGCAACAGCAGCATCGCAAGAATGTAATGGTGGATTCTTAAGTTAACGCCTGGTATAAGCAAGCAAACGACAATACCAGTAACGAAAAGTCCGTACAAGCCGAGGTATCGGAGCAGGCGGCCTTCTAGCCAGAAGTAGTATACTTGACCCACGATGATCACGACCAGCACCAGAATGATTGTGGCCAAGGCTAGCTTCGCCCCCGGTTGCTGTTCCAGATCATGTGCAGTAAGTCGCGATATAGGTATCCAATCAAAGGTATAGTTTGATAATGCTCCAATCCAGAATCCACCAAGCCAGAAGATTGCCTTCTCAAATTGAGCAGTCAATCCAGACAAGGTTCGCTTGATGACACTCGAGTACACCACTACTGCTACGAACGTTGCGGGCAAAATTCGCTTTGCGAACATGGATATGCGATCTGGCAGCACAGTGGTATTGTGGTACGATGCCGACGGTGGATCGGAAAAAAAGCTCACATGGGCGAAAATGAGCATAAAGATTGGAAAGAAGATCTTTGGCGATGTGGAGAACACAGCAAGTGCAGCAGTAAAGAGGATCGAGATGGGAAGTAATGCTGACCGAGGATCAGAAATAGCCTGAAAGCTATCGTCGAAAGCCACAGAAAAAGCCAGCGGAAAATAGGAATCGAAAGGCAAGGATTCAATACCGTGGCGCTTAGTACTGGCAAAACTGTCATGGTTCCCAAGGAGAGTTATACGACCGGCACCACCTTTCAGGTCATTCACAATCCCAGCATGGATCGCTGAGCCACAAATGAAACTGTCTCCACGATAAAGCCCCGCACCGATGACGAGAGGCCGATAGTTTACTTCAAGCGGCCCAACAACGTGCGGGTTCAGGATCTGTACACCTCCACATTTTGCTGGACATTGGAAGGCGAAAGAGTGATTGCTAAAGGGTCGGCAATTGATTCCGTCGATACCGCATTGGTTCTTTCGTTTCCAGAGTGTATCTGTGCAGTCGAGGTTGATCACGTTATTGCCTTTGCCATCGCGAAGCGGCAGTTGGGCAGTCAAAAACCATGTGAAAACTAGGAGCCACAAAAGCAGCACGAGAGAGAGCGAGATGGGGTTGTTGAGCCTGTATGCTTTGAGCCATTGTACCGGACGCGCTTGTATCGACGGGAAGAAAGGCTGTATGGATTGAATGCGAGGCGGCTCGGGACTGCGAAAAACATCCAAAAATTTACGTCGACCGCTACGTGTAGGCAATGTGTTGTCCTCGAAATCCAGCTCTTCCCTTCCTAACAGGTGGGCTTCCTCATCCGTGTTGGCCGCACTGATAACATGGTCGCGCACCTCCTCCTCCTCATCATCATCATTGTGATTTTCATCTGGCCCGTTTTGTAAAGAGACACGCATGGTCACCTCCGGTGTGTGGTAAATGTATGAGACATAGGATATTTAACAATAGTCATCGTGGTCTGTGGTGAAACATTCTTTGTAATTCTTATCGATAACAGCATTCATCTATCATCTGGCGCTGGTGCTAGTGCCTCAACTCTCTTTTGAGCACACCGCCGAATGGTTATGTAGTATCTAATATTTCTTTACATATTGAGTGCCTTGGTAGCGCTTTTGTGTTTAGTGCCACACGGTCTTACCTTAGATGCGTGTTGTGCACCTCCGACTATCCCTGTGTGATACCTACATGATCACCACACCTGCTATCACGCTTGCACCATGTCGAATACTTGCAATCGGACGCTGAAGGCGTGAGCTGATCTTTTCAATGTGTCGTGAAGAACGAATCCACAACAACAAGTTAAGAGATGAACCTAAACATGCCTTGGACTCAGGGGCACAGACCATGACTCTCGGGAGTCATTACATCTTGACCAGGCTGAACATTTGCCAAATACAACGCTCAACGTGCGCACGTATCCCGCGACCCCAACCCACCCTCCAAGCACCCAATTACGCACTATAATGGACGCGCTACAATCCTACCTTCCTCAATCAGAGGGCTTGCTACCCAAATGGCTTCTAATTGTACGCCTCTGCTCACCCTTACATTGTCACTTCTCCCAGTTGCGCAAGCTGACAATCTTCGCAGGTCTCCCTAATCTCCATCGGCAACAGCATCCAATGCTACGCTACACTTTCCTTCACCTCGCGGGTGTACAACCCTACTCCGATTGACCCACCGCCTACCACGCCAAAACACGTAACCGCTCTCTCTTCGCGCACATTTGGAACATGGACTTTCTTGACGGGCATGGTACGTTTTTACGCTGCCTACAACATCAACAACCCCAGTTTCTACCAATTGGCTATCTTCACCTATGCCATAGCGTGGGCACACTTTATGAGTGAATGGTTCGTGTTTGGGACCACAAGATGGGGAAAGCCGTTGGCAGGACCAGTAATGGTGGCGACTTCGAGTTTGATTTGGATGTTCATGCAGTGGGATTTCTACGTCAACGCGTAGGCTGAAGAAATATCGGGTATCAATACAAGGAGATAGTGATGTAATGTTAATGTGTACATGGATGCCTTGATGCATAGGATTCTTACAACTTGAACCGAGGACATGTCATGGTACGGTCAGAAGTGAAGTAGGACGACTAGGGTTCCCAACGCAAGCTACGTTCAACAGAAGCCATCACGATCCAGTATGAACAGCAATGGACTTTTGACCCGCCTCGGTGGCTTGTTTGACCACTCGAGGACTTTCATTGATCGTAGCTGAAGAAACATACATGGCCCATGGGACTCCGATTCCTCAACCCTTGATGCCGAGTTTTGACGGCCATATCGAAAACCATCACGCTCCACCTCAACCAAGTTTCTTTCCGTTGCTGATCATGAACCGTTACACCATCCCTTTTCTATGCACTTAGAACTTGTTGAACTGCTTAGCAGCCTTTCCCTTTCGGGGAAGGACACGGAGAACGTTGAAGCGGACGGTCTTGGAGAGGGGCCTGCACTGGCCAACAACGACCTGGTCACCGGGCTCGACACGGAAAGCGGGAGAAACGTGTGCGGCGAGGTTCTTGTGGCGCTTCTCGTAACGGGAGTACTTGGGGATGAAGTGAAGGTATTCACGGCGGATGATCAAGGTGCCTGTCATGTGTCAGTCCCTACTGCCAATTGTCTTCTAATGTTCCTGCCCGAGCCTTGTGCACACTCCAGGAACTGGGTATTAACGTACGGTGCATCTTGGTGGACATGACAGTTCCGGTAAGGATACGGCCACGGATGGAGACCATGCCGGTGAAAGGGCACTTCTTGTCGATGTAGGTACCCTCAATGGCGGTCTTGGGCGTACGGAAGCCCAGACCGACGTCCTTGTACCATCTCCTGTTGCGGGTGTTCTTGCGGGGTCCGCCGACCTTGTGGTTGAGGAAGATGTGAGGCTATCGCATCGCATTAGTACCCTGTGTGCTGGGGGATCGCGAAACGGGCGTGTAGTACCTGCTTCTGGAAAGCGCGCTCCGACTGGACACTATTTCGCAATCAGCATTTGTCGAGAGTCTTCGTGGTATCGCACAACGTACGTGAGTTCGGTCGCCATGGTTGCGGGTCGGGTGGTATTGTCGAGCTTTCGATGTTGCTGGTTCGCAATTTCCAATCTCACATTCGCTTAGCAAGTGTGGACGATAGGTTTCTCCGGTGCCGACGTCTAGCGCCGCACTAGCCCGCCAGCCTCGGCAGGGCCTAGAGCGGAGCCAGGTGAGATTGTCGCGAGAGTTGACAGAGTGTGCGAACTTCAATGCTGCAGCCGCTTGGAACTGTTCCTTGACCTTATCGACCCAATCCCTCGCCATCCCGATATCCGTTTATCATGGCAGGCATCCTCGAGCCGTTCGGTGTTCACATCGATGCGAGCAACTCGTTTGTGCAGGCTGCTGTTTACGGCTTCTTGCTCGTAGGCATTGCATCCTTCGCAGCACCCGTCGTCAGCACTGTCCGAGTCCTTCTCAGCTTGTTTGTGCTTCCAGGGAAACCAGTATGCGACTCCAAGCATTTCCAACCTCCCTAAAAACACATCTGACCCCCACCAGCTTAGCACCTTTGGACCCCGCGGTACCTGGGCCCTCATAACTGGTGCTTCAGACGGTATTGGCAAGGAGTTCGTTCTCGCCCTCGCAGCCAAGGGCTACAACCTTATTCTCGTTTCGCGTACTCAATCCAAGCTCGACTCCCTCTCCGCCGACATCACCTCCAAGTATGGCCCGAAGATTGCCGTCAAGACGCTGGCTATGGACTTTGCGCTGAACAAAGATGCCGATTACAACAATATGAAGAAGCTCATCGACGGACTGGATGTCAGCATACTGGTCAACAACGTTGGCTTGAGCCACAGCATCCCAGTGCCATTTGTCGAGACGCCCAAACAGGAGATGAACGACATCATCATGATCAACTGCATGGCTACGCTACGTGTCACCCAACTCGTCACCCCCGGCATGGTGTCTCGCAAGCGTGGCCTGGTCCTCACCATGGCATCCTTTGGCGGCTTCTTCCCCACACCCCTCCTCGCAACCTACTCCGGCAGCAAGGCATTCTTACAACAATGGTCTACCGCACTTGCTTCTGAACTCGAGCCTCATGGCGTATACGTTCAATGTGTCCAGTCCCATCTCGTCACCACCGCCATGTCCAAGATCCGCAAGACATCTGCGCTCGTGCCGAATCCCAAGCAGTTCGTAAACGCTACCTTGAGCAAGATTGGAAGGAGTGGAGGTGCACAAGGTGTGGCATTTACAAGTACCCCATACTGGAGTCACGGACTCATGCACTGGTTCCTCTCACGCTTCTTGGGTGAGCGCTCGGATACTGTAGTCAAGGTGAATAGGGGCATGCATGAGAACATTCGGAAACGTGCGCTCCGAAAGGCTGAGAGGGACGCTAAGAAACAGTAAGCTGGGGCATAGCTACCAACGTAGTCGAACGTTGAACTCACCGGGCGTTGATGTCTATACTCGCCAGTCCGTATGCGCGCCCATAGGCAAAGCCCTAACCTCACCGATTTCCATCCTGAGTTGTCTCGCGCAGGTCGACCAACCAAGGCGTTACCAAGCGACATGAGAAGGTTATTATCATATCCCTCACCTCGTGCGTCGACATGATGTATAAATGGACAGAGGAATTGTTTCCTATCTTCAGTGAACATGGGTGGAGACTTTTGGATAAGATTTCAAGTACAATACGCATTCAATTAACTAAAACCCCTGCGCCGTGCTATAGCAACAAGGATATAATTACATGGCTTCGTCCAGCACCAAGAAAGAAAAAAAATTCCACGACTCGGTTCATGTAGTCGTACGAAAATAGCCAACCACCCAAGCATTGCGTCAAAACATCATGTCTGATGTCATTTTCGCGTCTCCAACGACATATCCTTACGACGACTTGCCGTAAGCCTGGTCGACTTCCTTCTGGTATTGCTTCAAGATACCCTTGCGGTTGAGCTTCTGTGCAGCAGTGGTGAGACCCTGATGTGTTGTCAGTATGTTGTAGGTTACACTCATGTTGCAGTAGTACTTACGTTGTGTGGTGTCCACTCCTCGTCTGCCAAAACAACACCCTCAATCATCTCGAATGCAGCTAGACCACCCTTTTGACCGGCTTGCTGCAATTGCTTGAGCACAACCGAGTTGATCTTCTTGTCGTGGACTAGCTCCTCCAGTGAGTCACCACTGACACCTTCCGCCGACGCAATCTTCTTGAGTTGCGGTTCGGTAGGCACAATGATGGCGACAGGCTTCTGACGATCTTCCGCAGCGTAGACGCAGATGTTGGCGACAATGGGTGCGGAGCGGTATACAGACTCGAGCTTCTCAAGCGCGATGTACTCTCCAGCGAGCGTCTTGACCAAGTTCTTCTTACGGTCAATGATGCGGATCTCACCGTTAGCGTTGAACTCTCCAACATCACCAGTCTTGAACCAGCCGTCGTCGGTGAACGCCTCTTTAGTCTCCTCGGGCATGTCCAAGTAACCGTCTACAACACCACCGCCACGAATCCAGATCTCTCCCTGGGGCGGGTTGTTGGTGGAGAAGTAGCCGGCATCCGCGAAGTCGACAAGCTTCATTTCAACTGAACCAGGCATCTCACCAAGAGCATGCTCGTTCCAGGCCAAGGGGTCCATGAGCGCACCCATGGCGCAAGTTTCGGTTAGGCCGTACCCGCTAATCATGGGGGTAATGGCAATGGAGATGAAGCGCTGGGTTTCCTTCGCGATGGGTCCACCACCGTTCATGCAGATTCGGAGTTTGCCACCGGTGGCCTCCTTGACCTTGTTGAAGACGATGGCGTCAAGAATGCCGCTGCCGGGTAGTCCCGAGCCAAGAAGGAAGCCCTTGGCTGCATATGCGCCCCAGAACATGTTGCTCTTGACAGCGCCTCCAGCCTCAACCTTGTTGATGATGCCCTTCTTGATAGTCTCCCACACTTGGGGTACACCGACCATGACGGTTGGCTTCAACTCACGAATATCACCGGCGCAGTTTCGTACCGACTGGTCCGAGAGCGTCCTAATGGTTCCGTAGCCCATAGTACCGCCCCAGTAGAGCACGGCGTTTTCGAAGACAAACTCGAGAATGTGCGCGGCAGGAAGGTAGGTAATGAGAACATCGCCCGGTCCGAGGTACTTGCCAACGATGACATCGACACCGGCAACTAGAAATTGTCAGTAGACTGTTGATATATTGGAAATATGGAAACATACTGGCAGCGACAACGTTGCGGTGCTTGATCATGACTCCCTTGGGAGTACCTGTGGATCCAGACGTGTACATGATGCAAGCCAGGTCGTCGGCCTTGGGCGGGATAGGCTCCGCAGGGCTCTGCTCGCCCATCTTGACCAGCTCGTCGAAGCTTATGACCTTCAAATGTGGGTGCGCCTGGGTGAGAGTGTCGATGTCCTTCTGCTTCGGGTCATTCTTGGTGCAGTATACGACAACTTGGACGTCCTTCGCCTCCTTCATAGGGTTGACAAGCTTGGGTAGTAGTTCCGGGTCTGTGAACATGACCTTTGCGTTGGTCTGAAGCATAGAGTGCTTGAGGCCCTCTTCTCCGAGTGTGTCGTATGCGGTAACAATGGCCATGGATTGGGAGATGGCACCTGGAGTCATGATTAGTTATCGAGTTTTGCACACGTACACGCGATTTCTTACCATGTGCGGACGCCAGCCATTGCATGCTCGTAGCGGCGAACAGATGCAGCCTGTCCTGTGGGTTGAAGCCCAACGACTTCAGTCCCGAGCCTACCGCCAGAGCCATTTTCTCAAACTCGACGAAGCTCTTGTACTTGTACGGGCTGAGCTCGAAGTACTGCCACTTCTTGTCTACTTCTTGCTCCTTGCCATCGACCATCTTCTTGACCTTCTTCGTTTCCTCGTGTATGTTGACGATCTTGCGAGCACCAACTGCCTTTGCATTTCCGAACTTGGCGGCCGAGTGTCGCAGAACATCGTACAGTGTGGCTACGTTGTCGTGGGGCTTCATTATCAGGCCCTCTTTCGCAGCTAGGTTGCGGCGCGGCACCGTCTCGCCTTCTACCTTCTGTGCGTTCGCAGCTTCGCACGTGTAGGGCCCCGACCGGTACATCTTGGCCTGGGGCATTAGCTTCTTGAGGTCTTGCGGCATCTTGACGGCTCTGAGGTGGGAGCTGTCCAGAGTGACAATCGTGTGTGTTGAGTGTGGGTATATGTGGGGGTATAGGGCAAAGGGTATCACAAAAAATGCTAGCAGCAGTGAGAGGGTATATGCAGAAGGAGTCGTCGCCAGCGGAGAAGGGCGGGTGTGATGAGGCTGGTGTGTTGGGGAAGCTTATGCGCTATGTTATGCTCACGTCGCTAAATCGACCTGCTTGGGCGGCCGAGCTTCTTAGGCAATGACCTCACTCAGCCACTGCAAGCTCTGGGCAACTGGCTGGGGCTAGCCGCTTCTCCACTTCTTTTCTGTCGAACGAGATGCGATTGAAGATCGACAACGCAGCACACATCGCAAGGTCTACCAGGTCGTGCCAGCCTGCTGTCGTCTCGCCTTGACTTTTTTCCTGCGTTTGAAACCTGCCCGACGTCACGTATCGTTGGGATACAGTTGCGTTGTCTGCAGCTGGCCAAGCAAGCCAGAGAGTTTCCAAGACGCGCAGCCTCCTTTTGTCGCTGTATTTCGCTTGAGTGCCAACCTTCACGCACGCACGAGGATCGAGCGGATAATCGCAGGCCGCTGTTGTCTGAGCGTTGCCAAGATGCGGAGTCTCACGGACATTCTGGCGACGGGGCCTGTTCTGGACCCTGAAGAAGGTGTGTGAAAACGCCCTGGAGTACTCAAACCTACACATCGAATCACACCCCTATGCTGGCCCTCGGCTCATCGCATTGCTCTCTCTATGCGATTCGTTCTTACACACCCCCAATCTGGAACATTTCGAAAAACAACAAATAAGTCATCATCGATAGACCACTCATCAAACCATGCAGAAGCCTTCGTCGTCTTCTCGCAAGATATTCCTTCCCAGTCACTTGGTTTCATCGATTCGCGGGACCCAACCCTAGACATCACGGTGGCGGGCTATGACCTGGTCATTCATCACTCAAAGGGTCTTTTGACCTCAAACCGTAGCGAGGGGACTACTGGTGCCAGTAAGTGTTTGCTATGATGATTCACGGGGTCACGCGTTGCCCCAAGCTTTCTACAATCTCAGCTGAGCTTGGATTTTCTTGGGAGTTCCCACGAAAAAGCATTTCGGCTTCGTAGGTCTGCATTACCGGTGCAGAATGCAGTAGATAGTCCAGCGAATTAATCATCATCATAACACCACTGCCATCTCGCCTCCTCTTCCGTCTACTAACGCCAACACAGTGGTATGGAAGGTCACCCCCTTGTTCGCAACATGGATCTCGTCCCCCTCGAATTTTCTCTTCACAAATCAGCTGCTCACATCCAGCTCCACCGTTCTCGAGCTCGGCGCAGGCGTATCCGGCATCGTGGCACTCTGCCTGGGTCCCCGAGTCGCAAGCTACACAGCCACCGATCAAGACTACGTCCTTAAACTGCTGCGACAGAATATCACAGAGAACCTCGAAACTGTTATCCCAGCTAAGAAGAAGAGTGGAAGAACGGGTAAGAAACTGCAGAGTCACTCAAAGAATAGCGGAGATGGTGGTGGCGGTGGTGGTGGTGACCGCATTACAACACTGCAGCTTGACTGGGAAACAGACGCAACTTCTCACCTCAATCCCGTGGATATGATAATAGCATGCGATTGTGTCTACAACGAAGCCCTCATTGAGCCACTCAATGCAACGTGTGCGGCTATATGTAGGCTGAAGAGTCAAGGAGAGGAACCCACGCTTTGTCTTGTAGCACAACAGCTGCGCAGTCCAGAGGTTTTTGAAACTTGGTTGAAAAGCTTCCATCGAAATTTCCATGTCTGGCAGGTGCCTGATGAGATGTTGGGTGAGGGGTTGAGGGAAGGAAGTGGGTTCGTAGTGCATGTTGGCATTGTAAGATGATTGGGGTTGTCTTGGTTAGAGGTAGATGAGTAGTAATGGTCGGAATAACAAATGAGTAAATTTCTTCATAACCAAGGCTACCAGAAGACCACAACACCGAAATCTCTATCGAGCATGAGAAACCACTTTTCGTAAGATTCAACAGTATCAAACAGCGCTCATGCAACCTTGCTAGGCTCGATATCCGAACTCGGTCGGCCTTCAACATCGGTAGCTCCTTTCCTAATCCTCGCCCACTCTTCCTTGTCCGCCGGCTCATCGACTTCATTCGCAGTCAACTCTGGTGTCTCCTCGTCCTCAATCTCCTCAGGCAGGACAAGGTTGAGGATAACATTGACAAGAGCAACAACAGCGAAGCCGGTTTCCAAAATCAAAACTATAGCGTTGTAGAAGCCCTGAAGAGCGTGGTTCGGTCCATCGTAGGTGAAAACATGATCAAACCAGTCGGGAACCATGGTAGCACCGAAACCCAGTGTGAATCCCGCGGTGAGAATGAAGCGGTTGCGGCGGGTGAAAGGCATGGTGCTAATAATTCTGATACCAGATACAGCTACGGCACTGAACAGGAAGGTAGTCATTCCGCCGAGAACTGCTGATGGGATGGCAACAAGGGCAGCGGCGAATTTAGCGAAGATGCCCATGACGATGAGCCAAAAGCAACATGCGTAACCGGCTTTTCGGTTTGCGCAACGTGTCAAAGCGATAACGCCGTTGTTTTGAGCGACTTAGAAAAATCAGCAAGTTTTTACAAACAAAAGGGTGACTCTATCGGAGATACGTACAGGTACTCATGGGTGTGATGGTGCAAAGGGCGGCTATCATGCCATTCAGACCATCTGCAAGGACACCACCTTGAATTCGAGAATCGAACATTTCGCCATCAACTTCGAGGCGCGAAACGTCGCAAGTGGCAGTAATATCACCTATGGCTTCCATGGCGCAAACCATGTAAACTGCTAACAGAGGCAGTACGATGGGCCCATAAACGGAGAGCTTGAAGGTGTTGACCCAGATGAAGGATACAGCAGGTGCGGCATCAATGGTGGACTTGTCGAAGTAGCCTGTTGCACCTGCGATTATGCATCCGACGAGCAGTCCCACAACGACAGCGGTAGACTTCATGATTGGTGAACCGAAACGTTCGCAGAGGATGATGGTGATGAAAACACTAAAACCAAGACCGATGAACTCGGCGCTACCCCAGGGAAGAGGGTGAGGAGCGTTAATGTTGGGACATAGCGCGAACAGGCCAGATTCCGGGCGGGACTGGCAATCGCCGGAGCCACCAGCCCAGTTTTGGAATCCAGTTTCGATGAGATGGACACCGATGAGTAGAACCGTAGGTCCAGTAACTAGGGGCGGGAAGACCTTCTTGAGGATACGCGGGCTGGTGAAGGACATGCCGATTTCGAGCAAGGCGCATACAGCACAAGTACCGAGGATAGCACCGTATCCGTCGGGGCAAGGCAGTCTTGTGCCATCAGCAGCAGTTGGGCAGAACCCAGTCGCGTACATCTGGCTAAGCGCACCAGTCGCCACGGGAATAGTCGCAAAAGAGGTACCAACAACTGAGATTAGACCAGTGCCGATGTAGTACGGGGATTTCCAAATGTGGAAGCGCGTAATCTGGACAGAGGATAGGATTCCACAGACTACCAGTGAAGTGGAAACAAGGTAGCGTTGTTGGTCTGAACTTAGATGTGCGGCGTTGGCGAGGATAATGGGAGGTGTTATGACACCTGCTAACATGGCGAGCGCATGCTGAAATCCGAGAAGAAGAGCTAGTAGTACTGGCATGCGATCGTTAAGGCCAAAGAAGGGAGCTGCTCTTCGCTCCTTCTTCATAAAAGGGAGGTTTGGTCGGAAGAGAAAGCCATAGTCATAAGTGCCAACTAACCCGTCTCTGTTGGAGTGTTAGAAGAAGACTGTGAAATTGCATTAGAATGTCATACTTTGTCGTGAAAGCCTTCATGGCGCGTCTTGCTTGCTCTCCAAAGCTTCGCTTTGGCGTATGGTCGGGGCCGATCATGTCAGCCATGGTTGCTCAGAGACTCGAAACACCAGGCGCGCGTTGCAACAGAAGCAGATGTGTAAAGCCTAAGCCAACTCTTTTATGTCCGGTTGTCAAACTCGCGATAAGGATGCGCTCGATGCTGAAGATTCTGATAAGATTGGCGCGGTGGCTGAAGATACCGAAATACACAACCAGTCGCAGGATCGGACGAAGTAGTTGGTCGGCTAAGGGCTGTTGCGTGCAGAGTTATTCGTTACCGCTGGGAGGGCTGTCAAAGACTCCAATCTTTCACATGAAGTTCGATATGCGGGGAAGTGACGTGAAGATGGCGAAACCTTAGTCCAAGTGGGAACCTTGGTCGGTGTGTAGTAGAGTGACGGCTCAAACCGATGGAGCTACCTACTCATCTATATAGAACATGTGGAGAAGGAGTATTATCTCTCGCAGCAATACTCACGATACGCAATTGTTCATTGACAATGTCCTAGCCCCGGATTCAAGGCACTCACGGACCGCCAAAGATTGGAGCTGGCCGAAGATAGTCGTGAGCCGCCGGAAACAATTACTCTTCTCCACGGCAAACTCGTCGCTAAGGTGCGCATTTCGCAGTGTCAGAGGGGGCGACACCCGCGTATGTGCTAAAGCGATCGCCTGTACTGATAGGCAGGAAATTCGTGATTGGTTGGTGGGCATGGGAGTCCACTTGGCGGGCGGTCCACTCCGACGATAGAGGATGGAAGATACTGCAGAAGGCGCCTCCCACACTGAACTGAAGTGAATGTGCATCTAGATCTGATGCCGAATGTTGTCAGAACATCCTGTTCGCCGGATACCGATGGAGCGGTGCTCTGCGCTTCCATTCTGGGGGCGGCTCGTGTTCTTGGAGATTTCGCGCAACAGCCGGTCTGACACTTACCACGACAGACTACTACATTGGAATCCTTGACAGTCTTTTCACACCTACACCAACAGTGTTAAATTTCACGGGTAGGTTCTTGTTATTAGTTTAAAAATGCGAATATGTTCCAGGCAGTCGTGCTAACTTTGGTACTTCTGGGTAGCTGGCCTCTGGCTGGCTAACTGACTGGCTTCAGTTATCGATAACAGCACAAGATAAGGTAGCGCTGGATGACAAAATTGTACTGCGTTGACGTGGTCGACTACTGCAGTGAGAAAGAGGAGAAGCAGTCGACTGATCAAGAATATTCAACGGCAGACTTTGTCACGGACTGCGCCTTGGCAGAAGTCGAAGAGGGCTACGCATTCAGGGTACCACGGCCAACGTTTGCAAGAATGGCTCGTCATAGCTCGCGCGTTCACGCCAACAGTTTGCCTTCAGCCCTACCCGTCGAAGCGTTAGGATGACCACTGACCTAGTGGCATGGATGTAAGACCACACTGGATGGTGCAGCGGGTATGACACAGAAACTCCCCGGAGCCGAGGTGACTGAGCATACGTTGATTCGCAGACTGATGCATCATGTTAACTTTGCGATGGTGGGCGCGCGTTCAAGTTGAAATGAACAAGTGTCTATATGGCTTGGAGATGGACGAAGCAGGTGTTGAGGAGCGCCAGTTCCCAATCGAGAAGAGCTTGCGATCGGGCACCCGAGGTTCAAGCCGTGCCGGGGTCTTGGGCCAGCGGAAGAAGACCCTTCAGAGTCTCCAACGTTGTGCAGCATAGACGAATTTCTTCAAGCGTCGTGGAGTCATGGACGAGCTCCACAACGCATTGGGAGCCGAGCATTTTGCCACTGTCTGAAGCATCACGTTGCGATCAAGCTCCAAGCCCCAAGCTCCCCTACGTAAGGCTGCAGAGGATATCGGTAGTGCTGACGCAGAGCGATATCAACAACTTCTCAACCGACTTTTGTGTGCAGGATGCATCCGGCTCACCCTTTGACTGCAAGTGTGGCCAAGCGGGGCTTGAAGCGGAGAGGACAGCTAGCGAGCTAGCGATGACGAGACTTGTGGCATCACCACGGCGTGAGGTTCTATGCCCAGTGAGGCAATCCTTCTCGCCGGCATGGGCTGCCGAAGATTTACACCAGACCGCTCTTTGTGATCTTCTTCTGATCTTCTTTGCAGGGCGAGGCTCTCGAGTGAATAGTGCCGCCGAGAGGTTGTGATTGCTCAGAATCTGGGGAAGGTGGCGGCCTGGGATTGATGGATATTCTGCACGTCGCACCACGCACCGCCACCCAGGTCTGTTCTCGATGCCGAGATCAGCACGACCTTGACAGTTAGACCCGAAATTTTCTCGCGCTGTTACAGCCAGCGCCGTCTTTTTGCCTGTGCGGGACCCTGAGACTTGGGCTAGCGTGGGGCGCTAGGCTTGCTATGACAAAAATTACGGCGATTACTGCTTCTCGAGCGGCCATGCAAGGTCCCAGTCTTTCGCTTACACGCCCGCAGAGTGTTGGGACACAGCAACCATTCCGTCGCCTTATTAACAGCTGCTGCCGCCCTCCATCTCTGCCTCCCCCTCATCCATCCTTTGCTGCTCCCTCCCTCCTACCTTCTACCTCGTCATTCACTTGAACGTGGTGAAGCTTTCCATCGTTGCCGTTGGAGCTTTGTACTCACATACCGGAGGCCAACCGGAGCTCAATCTTTTTTTGAGCCGCTAGTTGCTTCCCGTCGAATTTCTTCGACATCCCTCGCTTTACCTACGACTACTTTTCCGCCACACCCTCAGTATGCCTTCCCACCAGCCTACCGCCGGCATGATGGCCATCGACCCCGACTACGTCAAGCAGCCAGGATCCATGGCGAGCACCTCGGAGCCCAACCGCAACCCCAAGTACGACCCCAAGAAGCCACACATCACCGAAACACCCATCACCAAGGCCAACTGGTACAAGCACGTCAACTGGCTCAACGTAAGTTTGGACATGGACCCACACACACACAGCAGCAATGGCTAACATCGAAACCAGGTCACCTTCATCATTGGCATTCCCCTCGCCGGTTGCGTCGCCGCTTTCTGGACTCCTCTCAAGTGGCAGACCGCTCTCTGGGCCGTCATCTACTACTTCTGGACTGGTCTCGGCATCACAGCTGGCTACCATCGTCTCTGGGCACACAAGTCTTACAATGCCTCCCTCCCACTCAGCGTCTTCCTCGCCCTTGTTGGCGGCGGTGCTGTTGAGGGTTCCATCCGCTGGTGGAGCCGCGACCACCGTGCCCACCACCGCTACACCGACACCAACAAGGACCCATACAGCGTTCGCAAGGGACTTCTCTACAGCCATCTCGGCTGGATGATCATGAAGCAGAACCCTAAGCGCATCGGCCGCACCGACATCACCGACCTGAACGAGGACCCCGTCGTTGTCTGGCAGCACAAGCACTACATCAAGGTTGTCATCTTCATGGGCCTGATCTTCCCCTCAGCTGTCGCTGGTCTTCTCTGGAACGACTGGAAGGGTGGCTTCATCTACGCTGGTATCCTCCGCATCTTCTTCGTCCAGCAGGCTACCTTCTGCGTCAACTCGCTTGCCCACTGGCTCGGAGACCAGCCCTTCGACGACCGCAACAGCCCCAGGGACCACGTCATCACTGCCCTTGTCACTCTCGGTGAGGGTTACCACAACTTCCACCACGAGTTCCCCTCCGACTACCGTAACGCTATCGAGTGGCACCAGTACGACCCCACCAAGTGGTCCATCTGGCTGTGGAGCAAGCTCGGTCTCGCCTCCAATCTCAAGCAGTTCCGTGCCAACGAGATCGAGAAGGGTCGCGTCCAGCAGCTCCAGAAGAAGATTGACCAGAAGCGCGCCAAGCTCGACTGGGGTGTACCTCTTGAACAGCTCCCTGTAATCGAGTGGGACGACTACGTCGAGCAGGCTAAGAACGGCCGTGGCCTGATCGCTGTCGCCGGTGTTGTACACGACGTTACCGACTTCATCAACGAGCACCCCGGAGGCAAGACCCTGATCAAGAGCGGCATTGGCAAGGACGCTACTGCCATGTTCAACGGTGGTGTCTACTTCCACTCCAACGCTGCCCACAACCTGCTCTCCACCATGAGGGTGGGTGTCATCCGTGGTGGATGCGAGGTTGAAATCTGGAAGCGCGCCCAAAAAGAGAACAAGGAGGTCAACATCGTCAAGGACGAGCAAGGCAACCCAATAATCCGGGCTGGTAACCAGGTCACCAAGGTTGCGCAGCCCATGCTCAGCGCCAGCGCGGCCTAGAGTATTGTCCTTTTCGATTTAGCGATGGCCGGCGTTTGGGATGCCTTTTCGTTTTGTGTAGGCATAATACTGTTTTCATTTCACAGCGTTCGCTAGCGAGCATCTTGAAGACGATGCTCAGCCACGATTAGATGGCGTATGTTTGTAGCCTTTGATGAGCGTATGCTTTGAAAAGTGAGCTTTTTTACGGCCTAGACCGAGAATGATATCCATTCACACTTCAACTTCAAATGCCAATATGCTTGTGACTGCTCTTTTGTGATGTAACATAGGCGATGAGACTGCGTCCTTCGTGTTTAGCCATATGCTCTTTCTCCTGTTCGTTTGACATCAGTGACTGCCTTCTCAGATCGACTGGTCCGTGCCTCACTATCAACAACGCCGTTTCTAATTTCTAACATCAAACTTCACACCACTTACAGCAAGGATCGACTTCTATCGCATTGCCGTCGTCACGTCGTGACTTTGATGGCTTCCCAACAGGCTGGAAATACTCCGCCACCAAAGCGCCGCAAGCTTGATGACGATGCCTCGAACAAGGAAGTCACGAAGCCTGACCTTCACACAGGTCTCAACAAGCCAATAAGCCCACCATTGCCACATCGCAAAGGTCCTGAGCTACCGTCCTTTACGCCGACTTGGAGCTTCGATGACGTACCTAAGCAAATATTGGTATCGCGCCCAGCCGAACCGACTACAAATCAGCCACCAGATAATGGAAGTGATGATAGAGAAGAAACACAGTTTCTGAGTTCGCCCATACAACTGACGAAGATCGAGAAGCTGCCCGCACACCAAAATGTCGACGCTGTGAGTTTGTCGGATTTGTTAGGCGATCCGCTGATCAAGGAATGTTGGAACTTCAACTTTTTGTTCGATCTGGACTTTGTAATGTAAGTGCAATACACTGTGCATGTCCAGAATGATTGTCACCTGATTTTCAATGCTAACGTGGTCTAGGCAGCACTTTGACAGCGATGTGAGGGACATGGTCAAAGTCAAGATTATACATGGTTTTTGGAAGCGGGATGATGGTAACAGAATTGCTCTACTGGTGAGCATTCTCACGCCCTGTGTCTAGTCTTCAGATTTTGACAAGGATCTAGGAAACAGCAGAACGGTACCCCAATATTGAGCTGCTAAGCGCATATATTCCAGATCCCTTTGGCACCCGTAAGTGTCCCTGTATGAACTGCATGTAAGACATACACTGACTTCGTACACTTACATTTAGACCACTCGAAGATGCTCATCCTCTTCCGACATGACGATACTGCACAGATTGTTATTCATACAGCCAATATGATCTACCGCGACTGGGCCAATATGACACAAGCATTGTGGAAGTCGCCATTGTTGCCCGTCTCATCACAAGCAACAACTCCACAGATAGATCCTCATGAAGTCCACCCTATTGGCAGTGGTGAGCGCTTCAAAGTCGATCTCCTCCGGTATCTCAGTGCATACGAGAAACGATTGATAGAGCTGACTGCGCAACTCAAAGCCTATGACTTTTCAAGTATCAGGGCAGCGTTCATCGGCAGTGCGCCATCACGACAGAAGCCTGCTGCAGCCAGCCCTTCAGTAACCTCATTCGGATGGTTAGGACTACGAGAAGTACTTTCTGGTATCCCCGTTTCAAGGTTGGAAGACAATTCGCGCCCTCACATCATCACCCAAATATCTTCGATAGCAACATTAGGTGCAACGCCAACGTGGCTTTCAAATTTCCAGTCAGTGCTTGCCCGTTTTTCGACTATCAAAGCCGCCATCTCCGAGGAACATCGGCCCTCCCTCACAAAGGCATCATCTCTCTCCACCAAACATGAGTCTAACCCGGAAAAGTCGTTACCCCCAAGGTACAGTGTCATCTTTCCGACTCCAGAAGAAATTCGCACATCTCTTGACGGCTATGCCTCTGGTGGATCAATTCATTGGAAACTCCAATCAGCGCAGCAACAGAAGCAGCTAGAATACATGCATCCAACGCTATGCCATTGGAAAAATTCATCTTCGGACAATCTGTCGAGACAAGGAGCGCATCGTGGCCCAGCAGCACCACATATCAAAACGTACATACGTTTCAGCGACGAAGAGCATAGAACTATCGATTGGGGCATGGTCACAAGTGCCAACCTAAGCAAGCAAGCATGGGGCGATGTGGTGAACAAGAAAGAAGAGATCTGGATACAATCATGGGAAGCGGGTGTTGTCGTCTGGCCTGGCCTGTATGCTCAAGCACAGTCAGGGAGAGAAGTCATCATGGTCCCTGTGTTTGGGGCAGATATGCCTGGGCCTGCGAATCTTCATGTTCATGATCATAGCGGAGAGACAGCAGCCGAAGGCATGAAGTTGGTGAATCCAAGGATTGTCGTGGGTCTCCGCATGCCGTACGATTTGCCGCTTCGTCCTTATAGTGCTGATGAGAAGCCTTGGTGTGCTACCATGCAACATTCGGAACCTGATCGAAATGGGCACGCCTGGGGCGGCTATGGACGTTGAGTAGCGGTACTGTGATCACAATATGGAGCATGTGCAGATTCCTGGGCAATTTCGCCAGCAGTGTACCAGTCACTTTTACCACACGAGCATGTCGACGGAAGTGTGTATTGTCCTTGTACTCTTCAAGGTCTTCTAAATATAGTGTGATATAACCGTGGCAATACCTAGATCGCACGAACGCCTTTCCAATTCCTCGACGCTTAGTTGTCGTGCTTAGCCAGTAGCTGTTCACCCAACTCGACGTACTTGTCCTCGGCCTCCTTCTGTGTGGTACCGGCGTCAACAACCTCCTTCCACTTGTTGTACTTGGCCTTGCCCTAACGGAGTTGTCAGTTTGCGTCGCTGCACAGCTGTTCGAAGTTGCCCGATGTGTGTGTATACGTAAAGAATGGTGTGTAGGCGATATGTTACGACGGAGGATACGGAGGGATAGAGAAGGTATGCGACAACATACAGCAAGATCGAACATGCCAGGCTTTTTGGCTCCACTAAAGTCCTTGCCCTCTGCTACCTTGGCGTACGCGTACAACTAGAATTACAATCAAAAAGTTAGCATCTGAGATTCTAAAGGTCCGTTTCTAAGTAATACACTGTGAAAGGGTAAAAAGTGCAAGGGTGAAGAGGAAAAAAAGACAGATACGTACGTGCAGCTGCTCGTCGTTGCTAGGACCCTGCTTTCCAGCCGCCTTGAGCTTCTCGCCCATGGCGCTGACCTTTTTGTAGGTCTCGGTGTACTTTGCTCCTGGCATTTTGGTCTATGTCCAAGTATTAGCTCTCTATATTTCTCTACTCCAGACTTAGGCACTAGGCGTTCCTTACGGTAATATGTGTAGTTCGTGTAGGGTGTATAGAGATGTAGGCGGTGGTGGTGGACTAGTTGCAGAGGAGCTTTGGGGTCTTGCTGGCTGGTAGCGCGGGGTTCGAGATCAGGTTCGATGATGGTGGGGCACAAGCATCCGCGGCATGACGTTTTAGCGTGGATACACCACATGGACACTTCAGGGCTGTGGCTCACAAGGTTATGCTAAAAATATCTGTGAACATGTATTGAAAAGCTACGGAATATAATGCCATGCCTGCCAACGCCGTTGCAGCACCACGCTACATGCAACTCTTATCGTTTATCGTGTATCGTTTATCGCCTTCTTCTTGGGTATTACCTCTCCCATCTCTGATATTTGTGCAGTGAGCGTGTAAGCTACCGGGCTCAGAGTTCCTTAAACTGCTTATCTGTATATGAAACTTCTTACGCAGAAGTGAATGGGTTAGCAAATGAACGCTGATATTCTAGTGGACCCCGTTGACCCCGTTGACACCATTGACACCATGTACACCGTTTACGCCGTTTACGCCATTTACACCGTTTACACCGTTGGTGGCTGGGGCAGGTTCGAGCTTCTTCCGGTAAAGCTCACCATCACATGCTCTGAGACGCTCGGCAGCCTGCTCTGGGGTGATGTCACGCTGAGGCTCGGCCATCATCTCGTAGCCAACTTGGAACTTGCGGACAGTGGCGCTTCTTAGTAGCGGAGGGTAGAAGTGGATGTGGAAATGACTGGACTCAATCTCGTCGGCTGTACCACTGAGAGGAGCCTGATGGAGACCCATGCCTTGATTTTGTTAGCTTGAATGTTTTGAATCCGGCTGTAGTTTGACATACTATAGGGGAACTGAGTCTCAAAGAGGTTGTCGTAGCGCCTGGTAATCTCCGCTATGCACTCTGCTAACTGCGCTCGCTCTTCCTTGGTGAAGTCGACTAGCGACCGCTTATGCTGCTTAGGAACGACCATGATCTCAAATGGCCATACGGCCCAATAAGGCACACCAGCCCAGAAGCTCTCGTTCTCAAAGACAGTACGAGTCTTCTCTTTCGACTCCAACTCGGCATAATCGACTAGCATGTGTGCGCCTCCTTGCTCTTTGCGGTATTTGCTGAGCTGCACAAGCTCCAACGCAGGCTCTTCCGGTAAGGATGTGGTAGTCCAGACCTGGCCATGTGGGTGGGGATTTGAGCAGCCCATTGCTGAGCCCTTGTTCTCGAAGATCTGCATGTACCGATACTGAGCATTCGGAACTGCGAGAGCGCCCTGTGATAGTGGTGGAATAGTAATGGCGGATGCAAGCTTGGCTAGTGGCGACTTGGGATCCAAATGTGCGACGTAGATGTTGGTCCATGTCTCTATTATGGGAACGATCTGCGCCGGCGACATGTCGGCAAGAGTGAGATTGTGAGAGGGCGAGAAGCAGATAACATAGCACTTTCCAGTGACGGCTTCAGCGCGGAGTAATCTGGAAGCGAGAGATGCATCCTTGTTACTCGGGTCATACTCTTGCTGCTCTTCCATGACGGCACTGTAGTCGTTGACGAAAACAAAAGTCTTGTTGAACTTGGGATTGTGCTCGCCATTTGCCCGCGTGTTCGAGGGGCACAGATAGCACTGTGGTTGATTAGGATCGGCGTTGGATCAGACATAGTTCGGGCGAAGGGATACCTTTGGGTCATATTCTGGGAGAGTCGTCTTGGACGGTGACTCTTGCATACCTCTGTAGGTTTTCAGTGGGCTGTCCAATCGACAGTGTCATTAATCTGCTTACTGCCATGGTCGCTTTGTACGGTGCGGAGAAACTAGTATCCAGCTTCCTCGCAGGATGTTGAAGCGCCTGTGGGAGATGTCGTTCAATACAGGGTCCGTCATGATGGGGGAAATCTTCCTTGTATGGGATCAGGGCGGACGGTGGTGGTTAGTAGTATATATAAGGACGGCGACATAGGGCGAAACAGTCGCAGGGGCAGTATGCATGGCTCGTGAGCTAAATAGATGGAGTGACGCCAGTCAGTGAAGGCCTGCACGCTAACCCGGTCAAGCTTTCCCTGTCGGCGGGATGCTAGCCGAGTCGAGTAGCGCACCCTCAGGATGGAGGTTCCCGAGAGGTTGCGCGTAGGCTTGAGGACAGCAGAGCCTCTCCAACAACCCACGATACCTGCCGATTGGAGAATTAGTCCGCGACCCCGTGAACGCAGGGTTTTCTCTATCCCAACATGGCGGCAATGATGCCAAGTGCCGCAACCACTAGCAACCCCTACGACGACGACGCCGTGGAGCGTGACCTGATTGATCCGGACGATGGTGCGTCGCATGCATGCATCTGGGGGACGTGATGGATGAGCAGGCTAACCACCACCAGCTACCCTCGATGACCTCGATGATCCCCTTCAGGGCACGTCGGACCGCGCGCCGCTGACTGGCAACACGCAACGCGGCGCTGCGCAGACGCAATCCTACCTGACTTCGACCATTCCAGGCGAAGACCGCCGCGCGCCCACCAACACCATCGACGAGACAGTATGGGACACGCTGTCCCGCGACATCTTCGCCATATGGGAGAAGATGAAGCAGGTGCTGTATCCCAAGTACCTGCTGGGCGGCATGATGCAGCGTGGGGGAGGCATTGGCGCAGCAGAGCGCGGTGAAGCAGACGGCTTTGGCGGTGGTCTCAGGAACATTGCAGGAAGATGGCCAGATGCAGATGTCATCCTACAGGGCGGCATGAGCGAGGGCTTGCGAGACTGGGACCTCTGGGGCCCGCTCATCTTCTGCCTGCTGTTAAGTCTGTTCCTCTCGTGGGGAGCAAAGGGCGACCAGAAGGACCTGGTCTTTTCCGGCGTCTTCGCCATGGTCTGGATAGGTGAGGCAGTCGTGACGCTACAGATCAAGCTGCTCGGAGGCAACATGTATGTTTACCCTCTCCAATCCTGCACCATTCCCACACTAATTCGGTCCAGCGCCTTCTTCCAGTCCATCTCCATCATCGGCTACACGCTCTTCCCGCTCGTCATCGCCTCTATCCTCAGCGCCGTTGGCATACCCATGATAGTGCGCATCCCCGTCTACCTTGTCCTCATCGCCTGGTCGTTAGCAGCAGGCGTGAGCATCATGGGCGGATCGGGCGTGGTGAGGAACCGCGTCGGCATCGCAGTATACCCCTTGTTTGTGTTTTACGTTGCTCTAGGCTGCCTCTGCTTCATCAGCTAGTGCTGAGGTGTTATGCATGTAAAAGTATCGGAGCATGGTACAGCAGAGTATCTGGCGTTTCAGGCAAGCTGTGGAAATGGCTATTCATATCTTTCGCACATGTACTCCAATACAATGACTAGAACATGTCAGCCGCGTTTCAAGGCGGACATGAAAGTAGACTGGACGTACGTTCCCAAGTAGCGGTAGACGCACAAGTTGCTGCTACCCGTGTTCATGTTTAGCCGTGTGTCTTCCCCACTTCGTCATTGGTCTTTGCAGCGACAACACACTCGACCACGACCGACAGAAGCGCCAGCACTCTGCACCCAGCTAACCATCCACCCCACACGGCGCGCTTTTTCTGCAATTCTCTCGTTACAGTCGCGTTCTCGACTCGACCGTGTAATTGAACATTGTTGCATTCGGCGCATTGTAGTGGAAATTTGGTACTAGAGCGCATTGACCGACTCCACTAACCACAAGGCCCATCTGCTCTGCTCTGCTCTCTTCCGTTGAATGATCCAAGCCTGCAGCTCATAACCGCACCCATTCTCCGACCTCGTTTCCCTACCCCAAGGAACAAAGACTCATCACATCGCATTGTCGGCCAGTCAGCTCGCCACTAGCCTTGCCGACGCACCACCTCCGCCATTGTTCCAGTCGCCCACCGCAACTTGGTCTTCACCACCGAGCTTAGTTGCTATTGTCTGTATTCAGGCCTGCACTGCCTCAATTCACACCCCAAAACTACATACGCAGTCCAGCAATCGGCCGAAAAACGCCTTCTCACAGACCAGCATCTCCGGCTCTCTAGGTACCCTATTCTACTACCTACGAAGCGCAGCCTTGACATCCCCCGCGTCTGGAACACAATACATTCCGAATCATGTCAGATGCGCCAGAGAAACAGCAGGCGACAGCTGCAGCTGCTACCGCCTCCGAAGACACCACCAAAGCTGCGCCCACCTCTCCAGCGCGGAGCGATAAGAGCAGCGACAGCGAAGGAAAGAATGTGAGAGAAAAACTCAAGGATACACAGATTGATGCGCAGGCCACATCAGATTCCACCCCGAGTTCCGATCAGCGCATGCACGATGCACCCAACGGTAGCGCCAAAGCAGGCGAACACAGCGCCTCTGGCTCAGACAGCGAGCGCGGTCGGTTACGGCGAAAGCGCAGCCGCGAGGATTTTGAAGATGAAGCTGAAGCGGACAAGCACCCGGAAAAGAAGGTTGAGCGGCACGCGCGCAAAAGGTCAAGGGACATCACAGCCGACTTGGAGGCTGCTGCGCCTAGAAAGCCTTCTCCCAGTACTATCTCAAGCATCCAAGAGAACGATGTGGACGAGCAAATGACATCGCCAAACAAGAATACCTCTACGACGACTACGGCCGACAAAGCTTCAGGAGCCGGAACGAGTCCCAAGAACAAGCGGACACGGGATCAAGTTGAGAAAGACACAGAAGCTAGCGCAGAAGCTTCGGAAGGTGCATCTGCGAATGGCAAGCCTGTAGAAAAGTCGGCAGGCGATGAGCGGGACACCAAGCGATTACGAGACAAGGAGGAAGCTCAGCCTACCACTGACGCAACAACATCTAAGACCAAGGTATGGTGGCTGGCGCTACGTGATTACCACATGCTAACACTCCGTCCAGACACCGCTGACCGGTGGATTTGCCAATTCTTCCGCCATATCACCTTTTGCCAACATGGCAGCGAAACCTCAGGCATCAAAGGCGTCCGATAAAGCCGAGTCATTACCTCAAACATCAGACGACAAGTTTAAAGTATCTGGTTTCAGTGGCTTTGCAGCCTCAGCTACATCTCCATTTGGTGGCATCGCTAGTTCCAAGCCAAGTACTAGTTCGCCTTTTGGTGGGGCGAGCGCGGGCAAACTGTCGTCTTTTGCGGGAACCGCATCCCCTTCAACATCTTCAAGCGGTGGGTTTGGGGCGCTCGGAAGCTCAAGTACTTCCGGCTTTGGTGGCAGCTCTTTTGGTGGATCTCTAGGCGGTGGCTTCGGTGGTTTCGGCACAGCCAAGCCCACAGGCTCTTTTGCTGCCCCTGGTGGTAGCTTGGAGATTAAGGGTCTCAAGGAGAAGGAGAAGCCTTTTGGTGCAGCCGCAATCGGCGAGCCTTCTGATGACGAAGATGATGAGGACGAAGACCCAGAGACGGCCATAGACAAGGAAGAGCGGCAGTCGAGTCAGCCGCTCCTCTCACAACAACGTACGTCAGTTTTTTGCTCACCTAGATCACAATGCTAACCGTTTTGTAGCACATGAGACTGGCGAAGAGGGCGAAGAGACCATTTGGACCGGTCGCGCAAAGCTCTACAATATGGCTGGTGAGGGATCGAATCGAGGGTGGAAAGAGCGTGGCGTAGGGACGTTCAAGCTCAACATTACGGTTGACGAACCCAAGAAGGCTCGTTTCGTCCTCCGCGCAGAAGGCACTCATCGACTATTGCTCAACGCTGCCGTCACAAGTAGCATGGTATTCGGTGGTGATGCACAGGGCGAGAAACCGAAGGACACTCGGTTGCTCTTCAACTCGCCCAATCTGGAGGGCGAGTTGGAGATGCACTTATTAAAGGTATGAATATCATCTGATGCGAAGATTGGTATGGAACTGACAGTTTGCAGCTGAGAGCCGAAAACGCACAACAGCTATGGGAGGAGGTCAAAAAAGTGCAAGAGGAACTGTAGAACACCTTTACTCAAAAGCTTTGGTAGCGGAAAACAAATGTGGCCGCTCGATCTGGATAGGAAATAGTGGTATTGCGCCATGAGGCTGCATTGGAATCTACCAAGCGGAAAGAGGAACATGCTCCGATAACTGAATGAAAGATGAGAGCACGACGAGGCGGCATTTGGAGGCTTCGTGAGCGATATCCACTGCACTGTATATACTGGTAGACTGGCGAAGCATTGGTCTTGCCTGCACAAGTTTTGTGGTTCGAAATAGAAGCCCAAGAAAGAAACGTATAATTGTTACCCATCTTTCATACTGATATTGCACTCCGTGGTACGTACCAAGCAAGCCTCATTTTTTTGGTTTTACATTGTATCCACAAACCACTGTATCAGGTGCCAGAACCGATCATCTGCCCATGTCATTGCTTTCTTTTTCTCCTCTTCCATGATTCTTTACACGCAAGAGCGATCATCGCCTCCGACCTGCTCGAATACTCCAGAGTCATATTCCACGGATACATCGTCGCGGTTCTCACCGCATAAGACGAGGTCCACAACCGCTTATCTGCGCTCTCCTTTGACACTCTCCTACTGGTGCGGCTTCTACATGGAGGGGGCCAAAGGACAACCCTTTGTCTAAATCGGGATGCGGCGCAGGCCGTGCCTCCGAAACCAGATTGGACAACGCCATGTACGACGCTGCATGATGGAGCGCTCGCTGCCTGCTGCGGCTGCGCCGCATTCCTTCACTAATTTGGGATTATTAGGGCGTTTGGATATATAGGACTAAGTTTGCTGATACGATATGCTGGTACGACAAGACGACACGACAAACCAACTTTTCTTTGCTCCGCATCAAATCATCTCGACTCCTCTCCCAGGTAGAAGCCGTTGCCTATTCGATTGGGAACAAAGAGAAACGGGGAAAAGATTAAATGCTCGGGTTCCTCCTTCCTTCCTTGTTGACCTGCCGTCACACTCACACGACCCCATCGAAATACACCTCCACATCTCCACCCACCACAATGGCAATCCCAATAAACACATCACTACACCACCCATCGAGATGGCTCTACGAGTCCCTCCTCCTCAATATAGCAGAATGGGCACGAGAATCGTCATACTCTTCATTCTCGCCTTCTGCAAATACTCGTCGCTCAGACAAAGGTGAGGAAGTGAATACTTCTAGGAAAGAATCATTGGATATGAAGAATGACAAGGGGGTGACCAGCTACCTAGTATGTGCCTCCTATAATGAAATACCTGGGGGGTATAAGGCGCTGACCTAGGAACCTAGGAGCATACTGTAACTAGCAGCATGGGAAATGTTGAAGCGGGTTATGCACGCGCGCGCTTATTAGAAGAAGGGCGCGGGAATGCCGAGCCGAGTGCATTGGCAACAACAAAGAATCAGAGGAAGATATACGAGAGGGGTGTGGACTACAGCGAGAGAGAGGAGAAGACGGGCGAAGAAGCAGATATTGAAGATAATGATACGCAGGGTCATCCGAACCTACGGATGCAGTGGGAATGGACTGTGGCGTCGAAACGAGACACTGAGTAAGAAGCAGAAAGCAGTGGCCCGTTCTTGCAGATATGAGACGTCCTTTGGGCTAGAAGTAGATGGATTCCTTCGGCCGGATACCAAGCGAGCAAGCCAATGCTTCTCGTCTTATGAGTTGTAAAAACCCAACCCCTGCCCAAGAACATCACATTGCACCCCCTCTCTAAATGCCTCCATCCCACCTCTTCCTCGTACATCCAATACCTTCAACATTGGCCTCTCCGCATTGACCGGTTCCCATACACCCGAAGCCTTTACCATCTCGCTTGTGTTCGTGAAACCTCGTGCCGCTAAGAAGGCATCGCCAGGCGTCGGATTACCCGTTCTCGCAAAAGCCGTCCACATATCTACAATGTACTGACTAAATGGAATGTCATCTTGATCTCGCGGTGGCCGCCCTTGGGAGATGGTGGTGCCAAAAACGGACAGGAGCTCGCCCGAATGGCACTTGTAGACTGTATTGCGAATAAGTCAGTAATGTTTTTCAACGTCGAAAGCCGTTCTTCGGGCTGGTTGGGTGACCCACAGGGTGCGTTAGGATCACCAAACGGATACCCTTTTGTGACTGGCGCTTCGCAAGCTGGGGGGTTGGGACTCCATTCTTCAATTTGGTACGCCCTATCAAACTCATAGCTATACACTCCCTTGAACACCCTGTTCTTCGTAGCAGTATGCGCTGTGCTTTGTGCTAGACACCTGAACATTGCATCCGTGGCCACTCGGGATGTGAGGTTGAAGATGCGTAGAGTGCTATTCGTATCGTGAGGCAACGGAAACGAGTCCGAAGAAAGAATGGCGGAGGCAGGAAAGCCTTGCGAGGATAGTACAGCAGATATGTTGGACGAAGTGGGATACGAGGTGAAAGGTGAGCCATCGTCACGCATGATTCCGGACATTATGGAGATATTGAATTTGGGTGCCGATGTACCGAGAGGAAGGGCTGTGCTCGTCAAGAATGTACCGTCGACAACGGGGTATCTGATACATAGTCAGATCGAAACTCAGCCTTTCTCTCAACTTGAGGAGAGGCATAATCATGTTTGGTTATCGTTTCCCATAAGATTCGAAGAGCATCCAACAAATACGAAACGTGATTTCAGATTTCTCGTTCTTAAGTGTGAATGGATAACTGACCTTGCAACAGTCCCAGGTGGTTGTGAGCCGTTCCTGATGCCTACCAAAGCAAGAGGGTCTGCTTCTCGTAAGCAAGCAACGAGGTGTTCACCCGTCACTGATTCGCATCCTAGTTCGGTGCTGATTTTCGCAGTTCGGTTTGTAGCTTCTTCTATCGTCAGGTACCTGGAGAACGTGGACGCGTATTCTACGCCTTGTGGTGTGCTCATCATAATCGCCCCACGGACCTTGTCCCGCGCTTGTGGTGATGCAAGCAAAGCTCTAACCGATGCCGCTCCTGCGCTCTGCCCGAAAACAGTGATTCTGTCCTTGTCGCCTCCGAAGTCCTCAATATGCGCGTGAAGCCAGTCAAGCGCAATGCTCTGGTCATGAAGCCCGTAGTTTCCTGTCAACGAAGTGTTGCTGAGTGCCAGAAAGCCCAACGTAGACAATCGATAGTTTATTGTAACAAGAACAATATCTCCACGAGACGCCATGGCACTGCCGTCGAATGTGGTATCGCTAGCTGTTCCTCCTGTAAAGCCTCCGCCATGTATCCACACCATAACAGCCTTGCCCTTGCGCGTTGTGTTCCCAACGTTAGGAAGATACGGCGTCCATATATTGAGCGTAAGGCAGTCTTCGGTGCAAGCTGGGGCCCCTTGAATCCCACATCCAGACTGTATACACTGCGGGCTATAGTCGAGTGCGGTGATGTTGGAGGCAGGTGCGGGAGGATAGTACGTTGAGTGGGTGAAACGAGCTGCGATCGAGCCGTATTTGATACCGAGAAAGCGAAAGGACGAGGAGGATCGTTCACGACGCCCTATGATTTTCGCGTTGTTAGTCGCTACTGCTACCTGACGATCTCGATCAGTTCCTGCGTTGGAGCAAAGTGCTGGTAAGTAAGTTTCGCAAGGGTAGTGCTCCAGTTTACCGCACGTGGTAATTGCTGTGCAATTCGTCGTCGAATTGCTGCTAACCCAGTAGATGCCAGCATTATAGACGGCATTCTCGTAGTCTAGGTATCGGAGGAAAGTCAAATCCTCCAAATGACTTTCTGGGTCCCACAATTTTGTGCCTAAAGCAGCGCACTTTGAAGTCGCACTGGAGTGGTTGAATGAAGTGCCCAGCACAATGCTTGCTGCGCGTCGAGCTGTGAGGTTTCGATACAGGTCATTGTGCGTGATGATTGACAGGTCCGATCCAACTGATTTTGGGCTAGGAACGAATGTGGCGACAGAGGAGGACAGAAGAGTCAGTGAGATGGTGAGAAAGCCAACGAGTACAGCCATCGGAGAAGGTGAGGAAAGGACAACTTTTCCCAGACGACCCCGCAGGACATGCTGACGAGAGGCGATATATCCAGGAGTACAGTTCTATTGCCTCGATACATAGCGTGCATGCTGTATATTGCCAACGGCACACACTTTCTTTCACGCCTATTCGTGGGATATATCTCGGCTTGACAGGCTACGGTAGAATAGATGAAGCGGCAGGAAACGTTAATCGAGGATCGCCGTCGGTATGCATCAGCCCGGTGCTGCCTGGGAGAAGACATGGAGGTTCTACATGTTGAATCTACACCTGCGGTGGTATTGTAGGTGGTGCGCTGATGTTTGTTGACATTCAGCAGCTTGCTTGGCTTGTACCAAACAGGAGGCGCGACTGGGTGTAGGTGCAGGAGCAGGTGCGGAGCCGGATGGCACAAGGCGGCTGGAGATGGATTCCGTGGGCGCAAGATACGGGCTCGGTGTCCACGGATATAGATAGAGCTCGCGAGGAGCCCTTGGTGGGACCCCTAGCATGCAGCCGTTGATGATGACGTTCTGAGGTGGCGAAGCAATTGTTTCATCCAAGTTCTAGGCGGGGCAGCCTGCAGCTCTTATCGTTGTTTATTCGCCTCAGCGCGCCTGCCCCGACAAGTCGCTCGCGCCTTCTATGCAAACGACGCGCGACAAGGAAAGACACATTTGTGCGAGAGGAACAAGCGGGAGCGAATGTATCGAGAAACGGCTTTCGGGCTACAGTTGATCGCAGTCTTGAGACGACGCTCGGCCCTCCGAACTTGATCTGCGCGCGACTGCAATCTGACCAACGCTATCCGTATTCGGCCTGGCTCGTCTGCAGGCTTCGTGCCGGTCATGTTCTCATTCGCTGACTGCCTTAGCCTGGCTCAAGGATTCCGCTGTTGCCGTTTCTTCTCGTCACATCTACGCCCAAACCCCCAGCCCCAAAGCGTTACATCTTTTGCATTTTTATTATTCTCTTAATGCCGGCTCATGGACTTCTCTCGCATGTCCCAGCCACCGTATATCCATCTAGGCTGCGCCTGGGAAGGCGCCAGCATGGCAACACGCGCCACGAATTTGATCTCGCACTTACTGTAACCCCCTCGTTGACTAATGACCTCTAGCGTTCACTCCTGTCCATGTCCTTGGTGGTGCACGGGCCTTTCGAGCTAAGCCGTTCTCGCTCGCGAGAGTTGGGGCCATTCATTCTCAGGACATTCGCACGCTCGATTCTCCACTGCTATTCTGACTCCCATACCGCCTGACGCCGTCCTTGCCATACGGTCGTCATCTGGACTACTAACCTCACAGTCGCCCCGACTGTCGACGCCGACGCCTTTGATTGCGCGCGCCGCTTCCTTTGTTACAGCAGGCCTCAGCCATCTCCTCCCTCCGAAGCCGCCTCGAGCCTCCACCCTCACCACGCTGCCTCACCTGCCGGCGCATTGCACGGAATCGAACACACACCGTCTCAATACCGTCTCTTCATGATAGGCTTTCGATTCCACTCCCACAGTGACGTTTTCGAGCCTCCGTCGTCATCCTGCTCCCTATCCGCACACGCTGCAACCGGACACGCAACCCTCTTCCCCTTAGCCACGACCTCTCTTAGCTAGACGAATCGTCACAACATCTGGCTGTCCGTTGACGGCGGTCACTTGATCCGTCTCGAGTCGCCGTCGGTAGCCCTGCTCTTCCTGGTCGCGCGTCGGCCGTCATGCGATCCCAAGAATACAGAGCTTGAGCACCAACTACATGACACAATATACAAGCGAACCTCACTGCCAGATTATGACAGACGTCTCGTCGGTTCAGGCGTATGCTGATCATCAGCCGGCCCCTCTCGCCCTCTACGCTGGCCCACCACCACCACCCACCTTCGCGACCGCCTCGCCTCCACTAGAAGCCACCATCGAGGAAGAAGAGTCATCCACGATAAAATGCATCTGTGGATACTCTGATGACGACGGCAACACGGTCTTGTGCGAGAAGTGCGATACGTGGCAGCACATCGTGTGCTACTACGAGTCTGCCCAACACGTCCCCGATGTACACGAGTGCGCAGACTGTCTTCCGCGAGCTATCGACTCAAAAAGCGCCTCTGAGAAGCAACGCCTCCGAAGAGAAGTACACAGTATCGGCGAGCGCAAGGGCAGACCGAAAGCATCAGCCAAGAACCCTAAGAAGCGAACCAAGGACACCCATGGCCCCGTACAACCTAATGGATGGCCAATGCAAACTAACGGCGACCTACATTACACCCCTGACCGGAAGAGTGGTAGCCCACGAGATCAGCCACCGCCGAACAAACGTCCAAAGACCAGCCATCGTCCCTCTGGATCCGTGGGCGTCGTTAGCCAAGCACCAGCTCTTGTGCCAACATCACGGAAACGGGGCGGCTCAGTCATGCTCAACGGCCACAGTCCTGTCAAGTCGCCTACCAATCCAGAGGCTCCTATCGAGGACTACTCGTCCGAGTTCATGCACCTCTATCGACAACCTGAACCACCCTCAGCTGATTCCAACTCCTACACCCGTATCGATGTCGCAAACGACATAGCCATGTGGCTCCAAGACCCCGAAGCCCTTGCCGAAGCAAGCGGAGGCAAGAAACCACAAGACATCTTCTCACGCATTGATATTACTATCCAGGAACTCGAAACGTCAACTGCGCCAGAGATCGTGAAACAGACAGATGTCGACTCGGGTATACTAGCGCATGGTCTGCACCCACAATGGCACTTCATTACCGCCGAGACACCGGTACCAGATGGTGGCTACGTTGGAGAGCTCAAAGGACTCATCGGACGAAAGGCAGATTACTACTCTGATGCATCCAACAGATGGGACTTGCTCCGACACCCCGAACCCTTCGTCTTCTTTCCTCCTCACTTGCCAATATATATTGACACCCGTCGAGAAGGCAACATTCTCCGATACGCTCGAAGAAGTTGCAGTCCTAACATGTCCATGAAGATCTTGATTGACTCCAGTAACGACTACCACTTCTGTTTCTTAGCGACGCGCGAGATCAGTCCCGGCGAGGAACTCACGGTCGGCTGGGATATTGATTCCGAGGTACAAAAACAGCTTGCCAGAGTCGTTACCAACGGCGCCAAAGAAGGATTTAGAAGAATACAGCCTTGGGTTTCTTGCGTCTTAGCTAACTTTGGGGGCTGCGCCTGCGATACATCCAACGGCAACGAGTGCCTCCTAGAGCGCGCTCGTAGGAACACGATCACAGAGCCAGCTACATTAAAGGCCAAAGGCAAAAAGGCCAAAAAATCACAGATATCTCCTATGAGTACAGGCCATGCAACCAATAGCCGTGCTGGTAGCGAAACAGCCAACCGCGATACTATCGACGAAGACCAAATGGACGCTCGCTCTACGTCTGGCTCACACAAGTCGAGCAGTCGCGACATAACACCGGCAACCCACTTCTCCTCCTTAGAAGGCGATAAACTCTCCGAGCGCGAAAAGAGGAAGATCCAGCACCAGGAACTCTTGTTCCAGAAGCTTGATCACGATGAGCACAAGGGCAAGAGGAAACGAACCAGCGCCGGATCGAATCTGAATACTCCGAGTGTCTCTGCCTCGGTAAGACGCTTATCTTCCTACTCGCTTCCTCTTGCTAATGCAGATGCACAGAGACGACTCGGACACCCCGAACCTTCACCCTCGGCCCGCCATCGCGAACACAGTCACGGCGTAGCACGCAAAACATCGGGTAGCTCTACAAAGACAAACGGTCGTCCTGCACCCCGTCCAAAACCCGTCTATATCAACGCATCAACGCAGACAATTGAAGATAATGATGTGAAGTCACAAGTCTGCATCAAGCCACGTCAAATGAAACCCCCACTTTCATTCAAGCGTAAGCTTCTGCAGCAGGCGCAAGAGGACAAGCTACAACGCGAGCGCATGCGGTCTACATCGGTTAAGACAGAGGCCAAGTCGCCAGCTTGGAAGGATGTGTCGTCAAATAAGCCGTCGCCACTGCCACCATCTCCACCGCTCGAGGAGCCCTCCGCGATGGACATCGCTACAGAGCCTGTGCCAGATACAAGACACAAAGAACTCACACCTGCAAAGGAACCCACACCGCAGCCTACAGTAGACATAGAGATGACCGAATCTGAGGATGCGATTCCCAAGCTCTCGGAACCGAAACAAGAAGAGCCGGCTGAGGTATCTGCACCAGAGCCTCCTAAGGAAGCTCCAAAGGAGGTTCCACAACCGTCAGCACAACCCCCCGATCCTCCGTGGTCAGCTTCGACGCCAGCTGAACCATCCCCAAAGTCTACTACCGGTCTGGCGCCAAAGTCGGCGGATCTTCATGGTGAGATGCCTACGAAGCTCGATTTGGTCAACACCAGCAACAACCGTGCTGTCACTCCTGGATCGACTTCTTCAATTTTCAACGAAAGTACAGTTGCGCAATCGCCGGGCACCTCAAGTATTGCATCGCCGTTCTCGCCTGCTGTAAACAACGCCCTCAAGCCTGCGCCGGCGCGCAAGAAGCTCAGTCTAAGTGACTACACCAATCGCAACCGAAAAACCAAATTGGCGCAAACACAGTCGACTGGTTCGAACGCTACGCCGCCACTAAATTCACAATCAACCAGCTCACCTACGCTATCGACGGCTAGCCTGCCGAACACAAATTCGCCACCACCCAAGGCTGTCGAAGCGATCCTCCCACCAGTCGTAGAGGAGACGAAGCCGTCTGAAGTACCCGTCGCGCCTACTATGGCAACTACTTCCACTTCGACATGAGCGACATGATTCACGATACCCTGCTCCTATTCAAAATCAGTTCGCGGGCCGCAGGGCGACTCGTGGTTCTTCTTTTCTACCCTTTGGAGTGTAACAACATGTAATGATTACAAGTCGAACGATCCTTTGTTTTCCCACTTATCTCTTTCATTCCTTTTTTTATCATTTTCTTCCAACGACTTGAAGTGTTCGGTCGGGTTTACCATATATCGATTTGATGGGGGGTTTCAAAAAAGCGGAATACTTTCAATGGGCTCTCCATTACACGCAAAATAACTTCCCTGTCTACGTATGGATGGAGCTGGTGTGGCGTTGGTTGACTCTTGCGCTGAGCATCCTAGGGATGAGGGAGACGGAAGTGGAGAAGACGGGCAGCCCCGTTCTTCTCTACTGTACGGCTTGAAGATGAGTAGTGAAGCCACGTCCTCTATTGCTGAGCGTCTGTGTTTAGCCGAGATGAAATGAACACAAGAATTCAAATCAAAAAAACTATCATCATACAACCACCATTTCCTACCAATTTACACATATGTATGTGTGTTGTGCCAGTCGAACATGATGTCCATTCATCAGGCAACGCATCGAGGCGTTCCGAAGCTAGACGGGATTGCACAACGAAGCCATCAATGCTAAATTTACCAGTATATACACATCCGTTAAACTATCATTTATCTATATCATACTAAGTTGAGTCCCAAAACGAAGCATGGCTCCCATGTCGCAAAAGGAAGATATAATCAAGTGGTAACAAACCCAAGACAAAAACCAAGGAATGGAAGAGAACGAACAACACAAAGAAGACCAACCATCTATCCCCTGTAAACGACGTCTCCTCCGCCGGCCGTCTTCTCACCAACCTCCTCCCACTTGGCCTCTGTCATCCTCGCAGTTGTAGTTTCCCCCGTCACAGCTCTCCCATCTATTTCCATAGGCCCCATCTTCCCCCCATTGATATGTTTGGGACCCGGTCTATACACGCTTTCATAGTAACTCGGTGCTTTTTCTTCTACCCTGTTGATGGTAGCAGCAGCAGTGGCAAGAACGTGTGATGGTGATGTTATACGGTACGGTTGAGAAGGAGATAGAGAGACAATGTCAGGGTTATTAGCGTTGGCGTTGCTGCAGGTATGATTGTGGCTGGGATTATTGGTGGGAGGAGGTCTGGTATGATTGCTTTGTAGAGTTCCTGCATCGTTTCTTGTAGGTGAGAGTTCAAAAGCACCGCCTAGGGAGCGTTGGGAGAGTGCATAGTCTATGCTAAGTCGGGGTTGCCGTTGTACAGGAGGAACTGTGTGAGCAGGGTGACCGGCAGAACTGTTAATGTCGTATTCGTACGTATTTTGCTGTTGTTGTAGTTCTTGTTGCGATGGCGGCGGCGGTGGAGGAGGCGCATGAGAGGGAGGGGTCTGCGGGTTGAAGTAAGATGGTGCTGACGTGCTATACCCTGGTGCATTACTGTACCCCTGATTATAGTTGTATTGTTGGTACGCAGAGTCTACGACATGCGCCGGTAACAAAGGTGTTTGTTGATATTGATGATAGATACCTACTCCATTGCCGCTGGTAGTGGCAGGGTGATTGTGACCGATCTCCAACATCCTTGGGGGACTCCTGTTGTTTGGGCGTGGGTAGCGTACTGTTCCTGCATTTCGATTTACTTCGTCTTTCAAGCCCTTTGTGCGGCCCCAGAAGAAGAAAAGTAAGCCTGCAATGATGACGACAGAGGAGCCTGCAATAGCGATCCCTGCGATGGCACCTGTTGAAAGACCTTTCTTATCAGTGTTGGTACTATCACTAAGTCCGGGTGTCGCTGAATTGGTGGGTATATTACTCGGTTGTGGACTCTCTGGTGGGAATGGCTCGCCAGGATTAAGCATGTAGGCACTATCAAGCGCTAGTTGATATTGCTGATCGACACTGGTCGTTACGTTCGGATTGATGACCCCCACCATGCCGTAATTTATACAAGAACCTATAGCTGAACAGTAGAAGAAGATGGGATCGGTGTTTTCGATATTGATGCTGTAGGTCGGTGGGGAGTTAAGGACAGAGTCGACGGGCTTGAAACCGCTGAAAAAACCAGCTTTGCCTTGCCCTGTCATTTCGTAGGGGATGCATGGGTAGCCATATTCCGCGCGCACCACACTGTGATTCAAAGGGTAAAAGGCAAATTCTATGGTCTTTATAACGTCAGTATGATTCCAAGCTGTCTATTGGGATGCTGGTACGAAATCACAGATACAAGAGCGTCTTCAAGATCGTCTGTGGGGGTCTACTTACATCGCCAATATTGGCGTTTGTTGATTCCGGTCTGAACTTGTGATCTGCTAGACCGACAGATATGGTATGTGTTTGCGCAGCTGCAGAGCTTGTCGAGCTTGATTCATCTGCTAAAGTTGACGACGCGGTAGGGCTGCTACTTTGAAGGCCGAAATTGTCCTGCGCGAGGCATGTGGATGGAAAAAGAACAAACGTTGAAGAGAGAACCATGAATACAGTAGCCCAGGAGGATATCCAACGTGTTGCAGAAGCCATACCGGAGGTATTGACTTTCGAGAAGATTACAGTCGTCATAGGGTATCGAGGCGAGGCAAAGAAAACACTAGGTGAAGAGGCCACCTCGAACCCGACTAAGGAAAAGGGATCAGAGCGGAGTGCAATATTCGGACGCGCAAGACGTGAGCGTACCGTTGCGGTAGCGACGCAAACAAGGGCTCGGAAGCAGATCAAGCGACCGGACTTCTAAAAGGAATGCACAAGATGAAACATATACCTGGTACTTATAGCCTTGCATCACCAGAGCTATGGCGTAAATGTTGAGTTTCTATTTGCCGAGTAGTGGTGTAGCATCAGCCTCAGGGGCGACACGACAAAGAGAACACGCTCCGAAAGGGTTCCGTGACCTCATGTGGTCGCTGCAAGGGCGAAAGGGAGAAGAACAAAGCCCATCGGTCTTGTGCGCTCGCTAATGGCGGATTTAAGAATGCAGCCATCCGGAATCCTTCCTTGGAACTAAATTGAGCACGACCATCATCTGCATTGCGAGTAACTGTTGCATTTTGTCGGTAGCTGAGGGCCTGAACTGCTCCTGCACCTCGCCGCCTGACGAGAGATTGGGCGCATGTAAGCGGAACAGCACTCAATCTTAGTCGTTCGCCCAAGTTGTCAATATGTATCGGTTCACTAGGATGTTAGTACGCATTTTCGGCGCTCGTTTGAATGCATGACAATGATCATGAACATAGGGACAGCGAGGAAAAGTCGAAATATTGGGGTTTTTTTTAAACGACTGCTATACACAGCTGAATTAGAAGGAGAGGAGTGGTCCAACAAAGCGTACCATATGGTGATAACATAGCCGCACCTGGCCTGGTATATTCCGCGCTGTCGCTCATATAAGATTATAAGCTGCCCACAGCATCCGTCATTAAAGTCATGTGGCATGAAAGCCTGGTTGCACTTCTCGGCCGGAGAGAAGACAGCCTTCGCCAGTACCGCTAATAACACTACGTCGCATGTCAAACTTCTTTGTGTTGGGTCTGCTAGATGCAGGGGTGCGGAGCTGGTCTCTCAACGGAGGCCTGGATCGCCGAATCCAAATGGATCGTTGCTTGAAGAGCTATTGGACCCTGAAACATAGCCTGATGGTGTTGCAGACAGCTGTTTGCCAAATCCGGGGTCTGGCAAAGGGTTCCAAACCGGGAAGCCCTCTGGTGGCTGACTCTCACCTATTGGTTTACCACGAGCATAATCGACGAGGCTGCCGTTGATGCCAGTAAGTGCCCATGCAAAGACGGCGACATCGCGAATGCTCTGCATGAAGTTGTTCTGGAATTCCATAGATGGTCCTGCCTGCACCATGGCTGGGTATCGGGCGCCGAGAGGGTATTGAGGCATTTGTTGTGGCGCCGGGTGGAACACGGGTTGTGCTGCCCATGGTGCGGCGTAAACACCATTGTATTGATGTGCTGGCTGGGCAACAGGCATAGTGCCTGGTAACATGGGGCGGGCACGACGTAGACACACAACCAGTCCATCTGAAGTACAGGATATAACAGCCTCGAGTTCGATAGGGTCGTCGTGAGCCTCAGAACGAGGCGAACTCACAGACGATATCGATGAGCGGGGCGCAGATCCACCAAACATGGCTTGATGCGGATCACTTGGGTTGCGGTTATCGCCAGAATTGGTGCGCGACGCAGAACGCTCCTCACTGTTATCTGTGGTGTGGTTTGAGTCTGAGAGATGTCTGGCCGTGCCGTTGGATGTAGAATGACCGCCAAGACCTTCTCCACCCTCGGACTCATCGTCGGACGTGACATCCGTCATGATGTCATCTTCGCTCTCAGATGAGGATGCATCAGGTGCGTCGTCCTGCCGGGGGTCGCGAAAGAAGAAGCGCATGTAGGCGATAGAGTCGTTGCCTTTAGCCGACTCAAGACAGCGGACTGCATCTTCGAGGCAATTGGGAGCAATGCAGTAATAGAAGCTGCGTCCCTTCATAGCCTCTCCGGAGATGCCTATGATCTGCTCAATGCCACTGGTTGCGTACATGACAGTCAAGGTTCGCGTGAACCTATTAAGAAACAAGGCAGCTCGTGGCTCATGAGTTTGATCATCGGGGCCGAGGTCAAATTTGCTGGACAGATGTGATAACATGTGGTAGCGTGGGTCCTTGGGGGACGAGGCAAATAGCTTGCGGACTATAGGAGCCTCGATTGCGCGTTCTGATTGGCTAGGATCAGCGAGCCGCAGGGACCAAACGGGTTAGAAGACTTACTCTGGCTCTGCATACCCTGTCTATAGATGCTGGTGCAGCAGACAAGGACATCGTAGACGACTGAGAAGCAGCATTCACAGCCGACCCATTGTCCCTGGCGGTTCTTCAGGCGACAATAGGACAAGACAGCAGCCTTGTCCAATCTCACTCCCCGGCTGTGATGCGCTCTGGCCAGAGGGAGTTCATCTGGATGAAAAAATTGCCACACAGACCGATTGACTACCTCGTCAGGTGTATGGCCGAGGATGTCGACAATCGAGTCGGAAGAGTATAAGATGTGGGCGTCATCGGAGAGGTCTGTCAGGAATGAGAAATGGTTGGCTAGTCGGGAGAGTTCGCTGACGTACCGTGAATGGTGATGAAGGTAGTATCCATTGTGGCAGGAACGAGGGAGCGATGTGCCTCGAATGTGTCGTTCCTACTCTACCGCACTCGTCCTGATATGTCGAATCTAATAATTCGCTCTGGGACGGGCGGTGGAGATTATGAGGATTCCGGGCGGATCAGGCGAGGGAGCGGAGGGCGGTCAAATAGGCAGGGTCCAAGTGGCACAGAGGCGCACAAGTTGGGTTAGAGGAGAGAGAGAGAGAGAAGGCAGTGAAAGTGGTGCAACAAGGGCCCGGTGTGGCAGCGAGGATGAGATGAAAGGTCGCAATGTACACGAGTCAGTCGGTATGATGTAATAGGCGATCAAGAAGCGACAGTTGCCCCTCACTGGCAACGAGGCAGGCTGTCGCAGCGCAGTAGAATTATATGAAGAAGCACACGGGGGACGACTGCCTGAAGCGGCTAGCCGAGGATTGGAGCAGAGTGCAGCTGGATCGTGTGCATAAACCAACAGAGTGAGAAGCGTTGACGTTGGAGCTGGCTCGGTTGCGGTCACGAAGCCCAGGATGGCGGGAATTCGAGGGCGCCAGCTGTGAGGGCAGCGCGACGCAGACTCGTGATGGGCAGCGGGAAAAGAAGTCAGCCGGGTCAAGCGAAAGGATTGTTGCGACGTGTAGAGGATACGAGAGGACGCTCCTGGGATAGGATGGGATGAGATTGTAGGGCGAGGTATGCAAGAGATGTGCAGAAAATGAGCTGACGAACGGCAAACCCTTGTTGCGCCGCCCAAGGATCGACGCGAGACTTGTAGTCAACGGCGGTTAGCAGCTTGTCGGCAGCGGCGCGGGGCAACGGCAGTCGTGCTGGTACGAAGGATGATCCATCAGGCCATTCGGACGAAACAATCGAGCATCCATGCGTTGCACACGGCGGGTGTAAATACATGGCCTGCAGCTTGCAACTGCCACCCATGCGACTAGCCTTGGCGGTACCGACGTCTATCACTGCCGTAGACATGCAAACTTTACTGGCGCGCTAGCACCACCAAACACCTCACGGACACGCCTCCGACTGCCCTCACCAGCTTGCCAAAATCTTACCCACAGAGATTGCCGCTTCACACAGCATCGAGCTGCACTGCCGCCAGTCTTTCTGGCTCGGTGGTACTGACCTGTTTTACCCTGGTGCTTGTCATCCCGAGCCCTCAACCCAACAACATCATCGACGATCATCCCCAAACTACGCCACAAGCCACATGCAAGACCTATTTTCCTTCTTTCCAGTTCCCCCATTCTCTGCACTCAGCCACGCCTCTTCATTGGACGCAGCGCCTGTAGGCGCACAAACAGGCCCTTCTTTGCTCTGCTCCTCCCCGTCTACGCGTCCTTCACCTGTTTGCTGCAAGTGACAACTTCTATGAGACTAAAAGCCCTGTCTCCCGCGCTCGCCTCTTCCTAGTATCCGATTGACATACACGGCTTTGGAACCAGGCTACCTGCCACGAGACCCGCGCCCTGCATATTAGCTGTTCCGGCTGTGGATTCCGAGCAAATCCCATCCTATGCATGCCAAGATGGACTGCAACTGGGAACTGCCTACTCTGAGGGGCACAGTGAGACTAGGCGTAACCCATGCCTTCCGTGTACCTCTTAGCCACCACTAACACCTCCCCAGGCCCAAACCAAGTCTAGGCTTAGCTCTAGTGAGTTAGGATGCGCATCAATAATCACTTCATGCAATACTCATCACGTCCCAGCCCAGTTCTACGATGTAAACTTTTATCCCTATACCGCTCCCGGTCTCGATCCTGTTTTCGCTCTGTGCGGAGGTCGCTTTGTATGTATCACGCTGTGGCCCATCAACCTTGTACTGATTGGCCAAGACTGTCATATGTCGGTGCATACTGGACAAGAACAGCACCATCGAAATCCTGCGGTGGTTTGAAGATGAAGAGAACACCACAGAACACGGCGCACCCGACGACAAGGTAGGTACATACCCTCAGTGCTCGGCCTGGCTAATCACTCGCCTTTTTGCAATCAGCACATCAACTACAACAGTGTCGTTTGGTCTCAGGCGGAAAATGGTGACCCGCTTGTGTGCGTGACCGGCGACTCTCGCATCAAGGTCTTGAACGTCCGAACAGGAAAGCTCGCAACGGTATGCTCTACATCACTAATCAGACTGCATCTACTAACATTGCACGTAGACGCTGATAGGTCATGGCGATGTATTTACCTCTACTGCTCACTGCGAGCTGCCTTCTCTGACATCCAACAGTCTGTCAACGACCTTGCTATATCCCCAGTAGACCCCACTATTCTCGCATCCGTGAGCATTGACCATAGCCTCCGAATATGGAGCCTGCACCCGTCGCACGAAAAGCAACCGCTCGGAGCCATCTGTTACGGACAAGGCCACAAGGATCAGGTGCTGACGCTTGTGTGTGGCTTGCCAATCTGACCAATGTAATATGCTAATGTTGGTAGGCATACCATCTGAAAGGACGGTACATCCTAACTGCAGGTATGGACACTAGGATCAATCTGGTAGGACACATCACCCTTGGCCTACTGACGGTTTGGAGACGAGTTCTGACGAGCAAAGTGGGCTGTACCCGATGACCTCAAGAAGCACGCTGGAACCGATAAGCCGGCCATAGTGCACTATCCGCATTTCTCCACCACTGAGATTCATACTGACTTCATTGACTGGTAACTTCCCTTCTTCAGTCCTTGTTTACTATCACTTACACTATACAGTGTTCAGTGGTATGACAATTTGATCCTAAGCCATGCGTGTCGCGAGAACAAAATCATACTTTGGAGTATCGACGAGTTCAGTTCCGATCGCTCGACAACGCCTCCTGCGCCGATCCCCACCTCGAGCGCAGTTCACAGTAGGACTCCCGTTACCATCCCAGCAAACTCCACCTCAAGCACTCGATCCGCATGGGGCGGGCGCTTCCAGAGGCTTCTACAATTCGAACTGCCATATACAAATCAATTCTACATACGATTTTCCCTATTTCACGAGCTTGGCCGTCATCCGATCTTGGTTGCGGGCAACGAGAGAAGTAAGACCTTCTTTTGGGACCTACAACGCCTGGAGGATGCTGGAACTGGAGAGGATGGCTCTTTGAACACAAAAGGTTTACTGCTAGGTCTACCTAGGCATGTGCGTGAGGGAAGCTCAACATCCACTACATCATCTGCTATCAGCGCTGGCTCTGGCAACACTAAGGCCAAACAGCAGAGACTAAAAGAGCAGCCTCGCGATCGAGGTATATCAGATCCCTTTCGCTCGATAAAAGCGCACAAAATTGTTGAGACTCCAAAGTACAAAGCTTTCGCATTCCGCCACTTCGCCTGGAGCCGTGATGGTCAGTGGTGTGTCGGCGTCGGCGACTGTGGTACCATCAATATCTTCAACCGTTGGGAAGAGAAGGGTGTTCCTCCAATCGACCCAGACAAGGAGATATCCAGACAAGATGATGGCCCAAAGATCAGTTAGTCTAACCGCACGCCAACACCCCCAGTCGATCGACTTCAGACCCAGGTCAAGCGTTAACTGACATGGTATGAGCAGACAAGGAGAAAATCATTGACTCGCTAGAAGGTCTCTGTGAGGCACATGCGCTGCGGCAGCAGATGGCAGCAGACCAGGGTGAATCGTTTGAAGAGGACCTACGGCCTCTTCTTGACGAGTACGTATCCAGTCTCCCAATTCATGAAAGGGCATTTGCACAGTCACGTCGGGAGCGGTAGATTTGCGCAACGGATAAAACAATCGTACATTCAAGCATGACGGCGCAACGACCTCGCCAGCATCATCGCATCCCCTGAGACTGGTTTGTGTCGGCTACAAAAGCGGCCGTTCGCCCATCGTTAACGAGATACAATAGTTGATTCGCAATAGATATACAAAACCGTAGGTTCCAGCGGTCACAATAGGAGAGGAGTGAGGCTAAATCCGCTGAGAGCAAGATTGCAATAGGATCTCTAGGCAGCCAACCACGCGCTGGGAGTTTACCACCTCAATCGTACCAAAGACAAATGTGCGTCTACAAGAACTACCCCTTTCCCAGCCTCTTCTTGTCTTCAACACCATCTCTCAAGCTTTGTGTCACCCAATCCTTCATCGCAACACGACGCAGACCCTCGTACAATACATACAAAGTTTTTCATCGCTACCACGAATACACACACTACCGCTACACACTATGTTTTGCAAGTAACTGCACGTCCAAACAGCATGGATTACATCATGCACGCTCGCAAAATGCATAATTCACCAAAATTCGCATCTCTTGCCACCCCAACCCACAACACCACATCTCTGGAGCACACCATTGCCATTACTTCAACAATCACAAAGCCCGCACAACCCGGTTGTTCTGTTTCTTGTGGACACAAAGGCTGCATACGCAATCTCAACAGGGAATCCCACAAAGCTGCCGGTCACAACGGCGACTATCTTTGCGCCACGCACTGGCTTGACCTGTGGGATGTATGTCATGAATTCTCTCAGGACTGGTACCAGTATAGTAATATTAACATTGGGGCTACACTAGAAGACACACCTGAAGGCGATTAAGTAGAAAAGAGGAGTAGAATGCAAGGGAGAAAAGAGACCGTCGACGTGCTTCAAGGGATCCGCGCAAAACCACATTTCATCAACAGTCACCACCAATATTGCAGCGAATGCCCTCTGCGTTTATCACCAACCTACTGTTGCGACAGCCAATTATCATGGCTACACGGTACTCGTAAACTCAGTCAAAAAGTAAAAGCGCAATGCGAAGCTCGTCGTAGGTGCACATTACCGGCTCTTCATACGAACCAGTTAGCGCAAACACCCCCACGCAAGCCGCCTTCTTCAATACTAACCCAAACCCAAACAAGGTCTAGAGAAGTGCGCAGTATTTTCCACAAACGTGACCAAAAACACGGCATAGCTGCAGCCTGCCCAAAGAAGATGCCGGTTGCCCTTCCAAGAAAGAAACAAAAAATACAGAAACGCTGCTGTGGCCTCGCGCAGGGCAGCAAAGCTTATCAAGGAATTGCCCGCTCTACTTGCTTTTTCCACCACATGGGCGCCACGGAGGATTTCTATTTCCACTACACTGCATTGCGCTCGATAAGATTCTACTGCGATGCGGTAAAGTGTCATTTCGTTGTTCTCAGACCGTGCACAAGGATTACATTGAGTGTCACTGCAGAGCGGCTACGAACATGCAGGTAAACAAACAAAGCGCGAAGTATCCTATACACACGGAGTAAAACGTCGTCTTCTCGCCAACGCCTTCGCTGCGGCTTTGTCTAGGCCTGGAACTCAAATATGTTGTTTCATGATGACGGACAAAGAAATCGAGGATCTGTAGGAGAGTGTGTGTTGAAACATTGCGTCTTTTACAGATGATTGCGATAAAGATGGGAGGATGATGGCGAAGGAAAGATAACGGTACGATACAGCAACAAGACCGGAAAGCTGTACTAGACTCGATCTACTGAGCAGCAGTAATGCTTTCCAAATCGTCAGCAGCAGCAACGACAGCATTGAACATATCATGTACATGCACAGAATGCACATCGTTCCTCGGTCCAATCTTCCCTTCAAAATCCTACTACTCACGAAACTTCTTAGATTGCGTCTTTACAGAGGTTATTACTTCACCTTATGCTCAAACGCCAGTATGGGTATAAATGACCCTGTACGAACTGCATGTGAGACATACACTGACTTCGTACACGCACCTTATAGGTTGATAAGCTATCGTTAGCAGCATATGAGACGCAAACTGTCACCCTAGTATCAGCGCCGCGAGTTACCAATGGTATCGATGGCCAACAGAAACTCAGTATCATCACTTCCACGACGAATACCGCAACCAACATGCGTAGCCCATTCCCGAAAAAACCAGGTATGTTTCGATGCTCAAATACGTACTGTCAAACTCGCATACCGGTCACTTCACGGTTGGCTGCCACAACTGGATTGTGCGAGAAGCCGCTGTGCGATGAACATAGGGGGCAATTCTTCGATGTGGAGGAACATTATGGTCAAATGGAAGAAGATACAACTTCTGCGCAGAGCGCTGTCATATCGGAGATCATCGATTTGTACCAGCGCTCCGGTGCGGAGAGCCACTGGGGAGGTAACAAGAGGGATGGGGCGAGAAGGCCGGACTTGGATAGTAGGACTAGTTGTTCGGCTTCTTGGGAGAGTGACGATGTGGAGCTTGAATGGGATGCGAGGGCGTTTGATTCGAAGCTCTGCTGGTAATTATTGCCTGAACTCGTTGTAGTTTGACAGGAATGACAATGCTCGGAATAAGCGGACTTGGATGAAAGCAAAAAACCATAGGTAATGGTGCCAGACGTCTGTAAACTATGTGATATGAATTATGAAAGCAAAAGGGAACCTTGAGATGATCGAATAAGAACAACATGTGCCGGAACTCACCCGCATGCAGAGGGCTTTGGTCGACAAGATCAGACTGAGGAGACATAAGCACTTCTCAGGCGGATTTACAGCACCGAACTGTCGCGCTTGGGGCATCAAAAAAGAGAGTCGAGCACATCGTATGCATTGTATCGTGCCTCGTTCAGCTCAGCCATCCACTATATATGTTCAGCGAGCAAATCATCGAACAGGGAATCTGGAAGACTTAGCACTGTCACCTCGCGCAGGTACAGCTATCGATATAGCCCCAACTCATCGGCCTCGACCGTATCGTTGTCAAGCGCTATGATCCAGCCGTCGTCCACCCCGACTGCAGCCACGTCACCTCTCCCATAAACTAGCGCTGTGATCCAGACATCTTCGCTTTCGAAATGGGATGTCGAGGTCTTCCCATGGCCATAGCGGCGACCCATCTGGGCGTGTGCACGATAAGGCTGCCTGGCGTATTCTGGGGGAGCTGAGAGAGTGCTACCCGAACGGGCGTCGAAGGGGCGGTGTGCGGCTGTACTGCTGCGAGCCGCAGAATAGTTTAGCTCACTAATGATAATTCGCTCCCTCGGAAAACCAGGAACGAACAAAACATGTGGAAGTGTGTCCCGAAGAGGCTCCGGAAGGCTGGTTAGCTGAGTCATGCTCATGCTAGCCTATCCACAAGTCGTACTCGCTGTCGTCCTCAAACTCATCGTCAAACAACTCAAATCTACAAGGCGAGCATGCTGATTCGGTTTGCATCCATCTCATATTGGAAGTGTCGTCAAAGACATGTCCACATGGCGGCTGAACCGGGACTTCGGCATCCTCGTCTCTGGTAGACGTGTAGTAAGCGTCAAAACATATGCAGCACCGCTGTGGCTTTTCTGGGTCCACGCTCACCGGTGCCGACGTTTGGAGTCCTTCTCTGGGTAGCTTGTGGCTGGGCATGATTGAGTAAGAAGCTGAGTTCTAATAGGGCTGCGTGTATCGTGAAGATCCACTTAGCGTGAACGCGATCACCTTGTACCAGCCTCGAGGTATCAGAACAGCAAAGGTGGGGAAGAAGTAGAACCCTGACACCCGAGTATCCTGCGTAAGGCTTCGGGTTCCATAACAAGAGTTCTCTAGGCAATGAGTACCGTGGTACGTTGTGCGGAGTCATAGTACAACGTGCCGTACCTTCTGGTTGAACGTTCTCTAGACAATGTGAATAGTGCCCTTCTTCGCTACCATGTGTCATTGTAAACCCATTGTTTGAGACCAGCCTCGCAGCCGTGGTCCACTCCAGCAGCCGGCGGTTACACGTGGGGATTTGCTCGCTTGTGAACTTTCGCGAGAGACTAGCATTATGCAAGTGACAATATTTAGTCGTGCATGCATGACAGCCAGCATCGGCCTCACCGTGGACTGCACCCTCGTCGTTGTACAGTTGTGGAGTAGCCCCGCATCTCAGCTCGCCTCTAGAGACAGCCATTGTGGCAGACTCCAAGTCTGATCAGGCGTTTTTCGTTGTAGGCGCAGCGTCTAGATCCGCGGAGTGAAGTGCACCAAGAGCTGTTCGACAAACCGCTGGGCGAGGACTTTGTCGGACATAAGTCAGGTTACCGAAGAGACATTCCCAGGGTAATGGCATTGTTTGGAATGCTGTAGGGTGGCTAATATTTCCGACTGCAAGGTTGACGGCTAAGCTCTGATGTTTCCATGGTTCCCAAAAACCGCGAGCCAGTTGGTATGAGCGGAACCGGTAGCGATGTGAAAACGCGGTATCGGTAACGGATCCAGTCGACGATCCCAAACCGGTAGGTCGGATGACGAGGAAGATAGCGTCTAGCCTTGCAGATGGCTGTGGTTTCTGTGCGCTAACTGGGGTGAGTACTGTAGACCAATATTGACACCTCCACGCCAGTCTCGTGACGTGGGCTCACCGGCCGCTTTTGGGTTCGACGCTTTACCAGAAAGGCACCAGGTGTCGACCGTCTATCGGGGCAATTCCAGTGTGCTGAATATAGCTGCATCCTAGTGTGGTTACAGAAAGTTCGGCAGACAGTTTACTCCACTCGACGTTAGCAGCCGTCAACGTCCAAAAACGATCCGATAAAACAATGATGATGAACGATTCATTGACAAGATAGGGCTGTCGTCATGTAAGGGTGTTGTTGAGGATTTCTCGAAACTGCAGAAGCCAACGTGCTAGCGCTATCGGAAGTGGGGCGCACTTGACCGCTCTGGTCGAACAAGCCAACTTTGGTGTTGGTGGTGCGGGAACGGTGCCTGGATACCAACACGTTTGTGGAAATTAGCTTGGGCTATCTCCCGTCTCATCCTGACTTCGCTAAAGGAGATCAGCATGGCAACTGACAAGGGGCCCGTTCGTGCGTTAAGCTTTAGCCTCAGTCGCTCTCCCGTCACTATTTCGGGTTGTTTATGTCCCCGGCACTCCTCCTGGTCCTTTCGGTGGACGCGATTTATGCAGCGCTTCACCAGACTTGTGGCTTGCGATCGTATCACTCCTCAATGCCATCCCTTGCTGCACCCCATGTCTACTGCGATACCGTGTCTTTCGGGCGCAACGAGTCTGCAAGCCACAAGCCAACGACGTACGGCTGGAACTTGCATCGTTGTTCCAAAGCTCCATTCTGGTCCACCAAGGTCGACACGCTCGCGACTTTGGGCCCGATCTGGTCAAGTTGTCAGACTTCACGACCAACACGCCCAGCTGGATGGGTGCCGCCAAGCGCTATCGAACGGCGTTAGCAACAACTGCGGCTTGCAGCTAACAACACAGGGCTCGGCTAAATCATGCCCCATGTATTCCATCATGATGTCCTGACGATGTATAAGTAAGATGTCCGTTCTCGTCAGTCAACGATCTTCATCCACAGCAGCACTCAGTAAGCTTCACTGGCATCTCATCAACTCTTCTTCTCCATCACCATCTCCACCAAGCAACCTTCAACATGCGTAACGTTCTCTTCGCTGCTTCCGCTCTTAGCGGCATGGCTGCTGCCCTCCCCCAGATGATCAACATTGAGGCTGCTTTGGCCGTCCCCACTCCTACTGTTCTTGGGCCCCAGGCCACAGAGACGGCTGAGCTCCCCGTATCCTACGACCAGGAAGCTGCCACCAAGTCTGCTGCTGCTGCAGTTGCAACAGGTGGTGTTGTGGTAAAGAAGCGTGATGCCTGCCAGGATCAGCCTGCAGGGTAAGTTTGTATCCAGACCACTTTTACTTAAACAGGGTGGCTAACAATCGATACAGTGCTGGTGCCGAGTACGTTCCTGGTGATGGCTCCGTGGGCGCTTACCTTGACCCCAACAACGACCTTAGGAAGGCTGCCCGTAAGGCAATCGCCCCCACTGGATACAAGGAGTCCTTCGTCGATGAAATCGGCTCTACTGAACAGATTGGCTACTTGACCTACAAGACTCTGGACTCGTACAGCGTTGACGAATGTGCTGCCTTCTGCAACAGCGAGAAGTTCTGCCTTGGTTTCAACCTCTTCTTCGAGCGCGATCCTAGCAAAGACCCTGGCGCCGGATGCCCAGACCAAGACCCCTTGCCAGTGACTAACATCAAGTGCTCCATCTACGGATACCCCGTCGCTAAGGCGTCGGCTACCAACCAGGGCCAGTACCGTGGGGACTTCCACGTTGTCATCACCGGTAGCAACGGTAAGCTTTCTTCGTCCCATTCACCTGCTTTTTACTAACGTCACCCAAGGATACTCCAAGGCTGGCAAGGGCGAATGCAAGGGCGCCCCCACTGTCGATGGCTACAACGCTCCCACCAACCTCAAGGCTGCCATAAACGCTCCTTACATCCAGAAGAACGGTCAGAACTACGACACTTACAACGGCATGCGTCTCTTCAACACCAACCCCTACGACCCCAGCCTCTGTGCTGCTGCTTGCGAGTCGCAGACCCAGTTCGACAAGGAGCACCTCGTTGACGCCAACGGCGAGTACAAGCCCTGCAACTTCTTCACCTCCTACATCTTGACCAAGAACGGCGTTCCTCTCGGTACTTACTGCGCTCTCTACACCCAGCCATGGGATGAGTCCTATGCCGTCAACACTGGCTACTACTACGGCGAGGATGAATACTCAGTCATCTGTGCTGCTTCTTACAGCGATTCTACTCCTGACACTGGAAAGATCACCGAGACCGTTGTGGTTTAGAGCGATTGACCCGAGTGTGTCTTGAGGTTGATGGAAGAGAAAGTGCAGATATTTGGTTTTAGCGACATATATATCCTGAGCCCGTTTCTTTTCGGCTTAATTTCTTATTCTAAATGCTATTACCAACATATTTACTTCCATGCTCATTTCATGCTCTGACGTTTCATTGAAACATTCTGCAGCGAAGCAGCCTAGACTCCTCTTCACTGTGCTCTTCATGACCAACAGCTTCATTTGGTCTTGTGGTACTGGCCAGCAATCTGTGTTCCTATCATCCACTCCAAGTCGTCCGAGAGCTTTACACGAACAGTCGTGCTTACTAATATGGACGCCTGATGTTCATTATTGAACACTTCTGAACGTCAGTGTGGGGAATAGCTAGCGTCGGCCCTTCCCATCTGGCACTAGTTTCTGACATTGAACATGTCAGAACATCAGAGTGCACGGCCACCTCTTCTCGCCATCGTGTTTCTACCGGGCTTTCATCCACAATCTTCTCCACGAGTATGAAGATGGCAATGCATGAGGCTTATAAAGCGATCGCTAAGGATCGAGTTTTGGACGATGCACAACTTCCGGTATCCGTCCTTACCTTGCAGTCGATGAATCGTAGGATGAGCGATAAGTGAAAGTCTGAGTAAGCCGGTTAACGCCCAGTATATTGAATTTATATAAGAAACCAATCGTCGAAGTCGAGATTCGTCCATCAGCGCCAGACCAACATCAACTCTCAGCAACGACATACAATATCGTACTTACCACTCACCAGTCCCTGAACCTCACATCGCTTTCTTTTGGTTCAGATTTCACATTCTTGGAACTTGAGAAGATGTCCTCCCAACCCAGTGTGGTCCTCATCCCGGGCTCCTTCTGTCCCGCTAGCATGTACGATTCTCTTGTAACGCCCCTCCGTGCGAAAGGATACGACATTCATGTCCTCGAACCACCCTGCTACCCCGCCGGCTACCACGCCAGCTCCGGTACTGCCCATCCAAGTATGTACGATGACGCAAAATACATCAATGATTTTGTGATGAAGCTGGCAGACGACGGAAAGGAAGTCATCGTAATCGCTCATAGCTACGGTGGTAAGTCCAAGATCGTCCACATGGTTGTTTATAGACGAAAACATCGCTCAAAATTAACCCATACAGGTTGCGCAGCCACCGAGAGCTTGAAGGATGTGACAAAGAAAGAGCGCGAACAGCAAGGAAAGACTGGCGGGGTAGTACGCATCGGGTACCTTACAGCCGCTGTACCACGTTTCGGTGAAAGCTGTGGCCAGACTCTCGTGGGCGGCAAAGGTGCTCCTGTTGATATAGATGAGGTAGGTCAACATACGTCTTACATTACCGTAAACAACGCGGTGAGACTAACATGCTTCCCGTAGAATGGATGGATGTCGCAGCCAGACCCCGCGGCTACAGCGGCCATATGTTTCAACAACCTTACGCAGGAAGAAGGTATCTCGTACGTCGCCAAGTTTGGAAAGCATTACAGTGCTTGTTTCGGCGATGCAATTACCCACGCTGGCTACAAAGCCCTCCCGGTGTCTTGGTTCTTCGCTGCGGAGGATCTTATCATTCTGCCAGAGGTGCAGCAGACTGCCATCAACGTGATCGAGGAAAGTTGGGTTGATACGGAGAGAGAGGGGAGGAAGGTGGATGTTACTAGAATCGACTGCGACCATTTCCCACTTGTTCTTGAGGAGAAGAGGGAGCAAGTGAGTGCGTGGATCGAACGTGTTGTTGCGAAGGGTGGCCTCGAGTAGAACGAGGTGGTGGGCTTCTAATATGTGCAAGATGATTGAGTATTCACGTCTTGAGCGATTGATCTTCGGATTTGCTGTGACTCCAGCTTGATGTACTTGATACACATGTAGCGTAGCACATCATCTCCAAAGACGGGTCTTATCATATGCTGCCTCGTTCTTTCGTGTCAAGTGCCGCGAATCCACGCAATAGTATGCATCGTTGGTGCTCTAGACGTCTTTCCGCTATCTGACCGATGCTTGAGCTGTGAGGGCACTCTACATGCCGCAAACTCTGTGTAAGAGGTACTCAGCACTTCCGCCGGCAATATGCACAAGTGTTTCAACAAAAAAATGTAGCTAGATCAAAGTGCTATGCGACCAAGTTTTGGGAAACTGAAACTTGTTCACGGAGATTCGCCTCGATGTGGTATGGGGTCGAGATGGCATTGGTGTGGTGTTGCATACACCTAGCACACGGGCTATCTTGTCACATTCAGAGTGATCATGCCAAGATTTGGAAACTGATGATGGTGTTGGAGGCTTCGAGCGTTGTGTAAATAGGTCTCAGGTATGGTTCGTGTCGTGAAATTATAAAGGCCAGATTAGTAACTCCAGATCCGTGGGCGCATATCCTCAGTCAGCAACCACGACTTCCAATTCATCATCTTAGAACACTGTGCCGTAAACCCGTTTCTACGTAGACCTGACACAAAGCCACCTGTTAAAAGAAGACATGTCCGAAAAGTGCATTGTTCTGAGGCAGTAAGACGGAGCCTGATGTTTGGACTGAGAACCAACAAGGCATGAATGTATATAACTGAAACAGAGACTCGGGTGCCTCGTGATAGACAGGCGGCAAGACCAGGCGTGTGGTTGAGCGGATTGAACGTGGAGAAACAAGATCTGGAACTCTGTGGCGTATTCTGGAAGGCGCCTAGGCTGTCATTGTTATGTGTTTCCTTTGCTGTAAATGTAGTGGTTCTCACCTTGCCAGAATCAACAGGCATAGAGCATAGTTTTGCAACATAACGACGATTGGCGCGACGATGCGAGTCGCTGTTCCCGAGTCCAACGTACAGCTATCGCAACATGTTCGTTAGAGACGAACGACAAAACCGCGCACTTCTGATATCCGCGCCACACTAAGCAGACGATTCCGAGTTCCGTATCGCTCCAATCATCGTTAATCGTAGCCAGCAAGAGCCCAGTACGTGGGTGCCGTTTCAACACCATCTTGTAACCGATGGTGCGGCAGAAATGCGAAACAAGCCCGCATTAACAGCATCACCTTGGACCACCCACCTAATTAATACACGGTCTACGCTGTCTATTTCATATAAGGAACGCGCGTAGTTAGATCGCTTGAATTTGCATGACCATCGCATTGCTCAATCAATACGAATCGAACCCAAGAAAACAACTAAACATTAACACTCTTTTTCGCTTGTAAAAGGCCCCACGATCGCTACTGACTACTGAATCCCTGCTCGCAAATATGCGCTTCACTATTGCTGTTGTTAGTGCCGTTGTAGCGACTGCTGCTGTTGCGTCACCCATCACATCGCTGTCTACGCCTTTGTCACGGAGAAAGGGCCCTCCAGGGCCTATGGGCACAGGGGCTGGCGTTGCTGGGGCTGGATCCTGTCCGGTAAGTTGTCTACTCACTCTCGACTAACATACAAAGAATATGCGCTGATGATACTCTCATAGATGAACTGCTGGAACGAAGCTGCGGTAGTAGCAGGCTGCGACCCTAACGCAGACGACGACTGTTTATGTGGACCATTCTTCGATGCTGTAACATCATGTTCAGCGGCGACATGTAATATGGGAGAGAACCTGGGTATGTCGTGTTGGGTCTTGCGCGCATGAGAGCAAAGTGCTAACACTATCAACAGCTGCGTTGGATTTCTTGAACCCTGCTTGCGAGTAATGAGGGGGAGGAACGCCGCTGCAGATGACGATATGTATGATTACGAGCGTAATACGAACTCGAGGACGCCCAGTGGGGACAATCAGACGATAGATCATGTATCCCAGGAAGACTAGATGCCCTTCTCGCGCGAGAGTAGTGGGAATCAATCGCTGTCCCTCTTATCGTTTTTGAGCCTGCGAAAGCGTGGATTGACAGGACAGAGTGCTTTGGTGACTGCTAAAAAAGTCTTGTCCCAACGTGCGGTGATACCTAGAAGGCACTACGGCGTCCTCGAAGCGTGCGCCTTGCTCCTGTGAACCTCTCACATGTATATTCGAATAATGCGGAAGAAGCATGGTTTACAGCACATTCTAGACCGCATGGCCCTGCTTTTGCTACTCTTTTCGTGCCTTCCAAATTGATGATGATGACTACGCTCGTGGATTGAGACATGCTGACCTAGTATCCGTCCAAGCGCTGATGCAGCGCTCTGGAAGACCGGCCTGTATTGGAAGTGCGCAGCGCCTCCGACTACGAGTGACAACTACTAAAATGTAGGCGCTGTCGAATCCTATCAAGTTAGCGATTTTGAGGTATTTCTCAGAGGTACGAAGCACAGCGTCGTCGCGTTGCATTGTGGGTTTCGGATGAACTCCATATTTCGCCCTCGAGCCTCCACAAAGGGAAAGCCTTCCTCCCATCTTTTCCTATTCAGATCCTAGCCAGTACCGCAATCTTCGACCCCACAGTTCCTCTATCAACCTCGCTTTCAGCCACCGGAACTTCATTTTCGCGCAACACACATTGCCGTGTCTCAAGCTACTTTGGAGACGAGATCGCCGAGCCAGATGCAAAGCCGTTATTGACCCCACAGACCCTTAAGGCCCTGCACATGGATATAATTGAGCCGCAAATCAATACAGAACCATGCATCAGCTTCTCCGCGCTACCATTTTGGGGTAAGTGTGTGTCCAAGGGAATGAATCCAACACGGTACATATCGCGGTAGTATTGACCCGCACGACCGTTAGTGGCGTGGTACTTCGCCCGAGGTACCAGTCATGTCCCTAATTTCTCCGGCTTCTCTCAACAACAAAGAAAAAGGGACTAGAATTCTTCCGCGTTTGGACCCGCGGTATCTCGGACCGGCATAATTGCGCGTCTTAACTTGTCTGGGGAAACAACTCGCTTGCATAGCTGGAAAGCTGGAGAGGTTCGAGGCCATACATGTGTGGCGTGGGGGTCAGTTTCACATGTCGGAGGACTGTGATATGCTGGGGATCGTGTTGAGCTCCGAGGTGGTGAGAGTTATGCAAATGATGGAGATCTGACGACATGCAGGTACCTCAACAATATGCAGCGTCTTAATCTCTACAGCTTGCAGAGTCTTAGCAGTAAATTGCTTGGGTAGCGACAGACGTCGTTATCGTGTCACCGTCTGACCATCTCGGACCACCGACATGTCGTCCAGAGATACTTTGGTACATTGCCCCGCCTCAATCAATTCGAAGGAGTAGTTACGTGCACGTATGTATATGAGCAACACGTGCAATCTATCCGACTTGCTGCTTTACTCCCGGGTATCTGCGACATTGGTCGGGTAAATACCCATCTAGATTAAACCTGTATGTATAGCGCTGCGCGTTGATGCATAGGAGAAATCCGCTGTCAAGATAAGGAAATGTATAGTGGTGGGAGCTAATCGAGTGTGTGGTGTTGGATGCACATGCGATGCGCGTTCGCTTAGAGTAGTGCTGCACTACGGTGACGCGCATGTGGTCTCGCAAGACTCCGGAGACAGCTGTTGCCTTGTCTATCGTCCACAGCATGTGAGAGATATGCTGCGTCATCATGGAGTCAGACTAAGACTCGCGATCGTGACATCTAGCGCCATTTGGTGTTGGGACGGAAGCGTAGTGTCCTTATGTGCGGCTTGGTGTCGGTAGATATGGTTGTTACGGGCTTACGGATCCGCGTTGTGCAAGACAGTGATATCAGGGTGTCGAGAGTGCTCCGCAGCGATGCGCAACGCAGGAGCCGTCTGTCATCGTGTTGGAGACGTATCCTCAACTCACATGTTAGACCATTGGATGGTTCACGAACCAGCGGTCAAAGCTGCAAGACATCTGTGCATCGCCCTTGCGCAGGGCCTCGGGAGCAATTTATATTACCGTCTAGACAGAACTGATCTGCGGAATAAAGTGTTTGCGCGGACCTGGTTGCGGTCGCTTAAGCACATTACCAGTAGCCCGGTACGGCGCAATGTTGGATTTAAATGAGAAAGCATTGTGCTAGATTTTGCATCTCGTATGCTGTGCAAGTGCGGGGGTCCTCAACAGGTACTTTGGAAACCATATTTTAGACACTTGACAGTAATCCTGCCCCTGCATGGGCGGAGGTGAAGTCAGAAGAGGAAATGTGATGTCGCGAACGTGCGACGAACATTCGATGGCGGCAGTTAACACGATGCAAGGACGGATGGAGAAACATCGGCGCATACGACCGAGACTGAAACTTCACCTGCGTGGGTTCGATAATGGGAGCGCGATTCGAAAGAATATGTTTAGTTAGTTCGGTTCTTCCTTTGAGCCGCATCGGATCGGAAAGAATGCCGATTGCGACGGTGCTAGTCGTGGTAAGCCTCCGACGACATAAGACGGTGCTCTGACGTTACGCGGAAACCCAGCCGTTTCGGGAAGCATATGCGCTGATCGAGATGTGGAGAAAGGGTCCCCCACAGTCCACGACGCTGTGTCCTTCCTTCTGACTGGTGCAATTTCTACCGGCAAAACTTCGTTCCTAGACTCGAGTACTTTTCAGTGATCCGCCTCTAAGAGAGACCATGTACGTGACTCGCATATCGCCAGCCTTATCCGCCGCGATTTCCTGCTCAGGCAGGTCCGCAGTCGCCAGTGTGGAGACCCCGCAAGTAAGCGATTCTGGTACAAAGGATGGATTCGCGGCCTGGATGGCCGGCTCTAGAAGCTCGCTAGACGCCCTTTGCTTTGCGATCCCGAGTCAGCAAGCAAGGGGCGGGAAGGCTTGGTAGAATATGGTATTTGTCCCGCCGGCTCTGTTGTCTGGGGTGAATAGACGACTACCCTCGGAACCGGTTGCTGCTAATGTCGCGCGGCTGGCATGGAAAGATGCTCCGTCAGCTTAGACGCATTTGTGGGACGGAAGTATGCTCTCCCCTTTGTCCTGCGTTATCCTTGCTTTTTTGGGGCTGACCAGAAGAGGGGCGGATCTATCTGCCAAGTGAACACTGGGGGGAAGGCGTGCGAGTTAAGAGGCCACGATGTTCAGACGTGAGCAGATTGGCGTCAACTTCCGTACTGGGTGACCCACGGCGGAGCTACGTTCGATAAGTCGTGGGATGTGCCGCAGTCGCATGGTGGTGCTAAAGCTGCTTGTCAACTTCATCCCGTGGTGTAGTGTCGCTCTTTGATTGCGGCGCGATAGCCTTTTGCGTCTTGTCGGGTTGATTGCAGGTCTCTTGTTATTCTCTCGCAGGAGTGATGGTACACACATACGTGTGTATCTTCGCTTCGCACCCGCCGGCCCGACATTGATCAGACGCCGCAATATCTAGCGCTCAGCCAGCGGAGAAGATCCCGCCAGACCTGCCGATTCGCACACTCGAGACTTTGAGATCGTCATCGCTGTGGAGTAGTGACGGCGCTGCTGCGCTCCAGTCCGGGGTACATGCCCAGGTGTACCAGAGATGATCGTCTCAATCAGCCGGCGGGAAATAGTTGTAGCGAGCGAAGACAGGCTGTGAGAGTTTCGCGCTTGCAAATCCGAGACAATCAGTCTGACGAGTCGCTCGGACGCCTGTCGAATCGCATAGATTCGCAAGGAAGCGCGGCGTCTGCCGATGGACAAGTCGCGATTCGTGCTGTGGTGAGGACAAGAGATAAGCCAGCACGATTCGATAGATCCTCGCAAGGATGGCAGGCAGCCAAAGGATCTCGGAAATTGCCAACGTCGTCGCTTCTGTCCATTTAGAACCAAGGCGCCTTCCGGTTTCGGACTTTGACCATGAAGCATTGGAAGCGCCACTTTTGTTGCGTGTGCCACGTACTCCACAGTCTGACTCCTCCCCTGCTGCCCTGTTCCGTGCTCTCCGCAAAAAAACTCTTTTAGAGCTCTTGTGTCATCGCTCTGCTAGCGCCAGTGCCGCAAGGTGTACCATAATTGTCATGGGCTGGAGCTTATCACACGCAATGCGGAAAAGGACAATAATAGCTATTAGCTGCTCACATGAGATGAGCGATCAAATGAAACATGTCTGAACGTTGTGTGTGTGGGTGGGTTCCCTCTTCTCTCACCGCATCTTCGCTCTACCTCGTCCGGGGTAAGGCACCTCGCGTAGAAGAAGATCGCGTTCGGCACAGTGTGGTAGTACCAGACAACGGAATGTGGGGAAATATCAGCTTCGGTTGCGTGATGCTCGTCTGATCCGTGTCTTCAGATCTGTTTGTTGGTGTACCAGGGGAGCAAGAAAACTTATCTGCGGGGAAAGACTCAGCGTGGTGGTTGGTTGTGGTGTGGAGAGATTAGGTAGATAGGCCACAAAATCCCAGCGTTCCGGATTGATGCAAGTATACCCTGCGAATGATTCTCGTTGCTTGCATCACAAGGGTGCTAAATCACGTCACGCATAGCGACATACTTCGCCATAACATAACCATCTCGTAATCGCACTTTTGTACGCGCGTGGGTGTGAAATAAGTGTGGATTGGTGTTTGCAATTAAGCGCTAAGCTGAGGGTATGCTGTCTAATCTGCTCTGCACTGCCAATAAGCAGGCGCTTCCCTCGCAACAGCCTGGCCAACAAAACAGGGCTGAGTGGAACATATACAAGATTGCGAATCGCTAGATGCGGCCTCGCGGGGTATTGGATCCGACAAAACAGTAAGAAAAGTCTATCTGGGTGGTGGGGCCCGCAATGTAACAGGGAATCGTGATATGCCGCAAGCATTACCCCTCATGAAAGTTTGTCCATATCTAATCTC